ACTAACTAGGTTAGTAATTTATATAGTACTAATTAATTTTATTAATTTTTATTTTTTAAAGCTAATACTTTTCTTTTTTAGTGTTTAGTCTACTTTTATATAAAGGAATTCTTATAGGTATGCTTTAAGTTATAACTTCTTTATAGTAGAAATCTTTACTGCGCTAGTATCCTATAGTTTACCTTAGTATACTATATAGTATTAATCTTTAAGGATAAACTATTCTGCGTATTCTTTAGGTTCTAGGCTGTAGATGTCCTCTGCAGTTGCGCAGTAAAGAAATATAGCATTAGTAAAGTAGTTAATAATCTTTTTACTTTTTTTTTTATTTAAGTTATTATTATTATGCAACTTCTTTTTTTTTTACTCTAGTTTACTTTTAAACTTTTAAATATATATATTTACTTTTTTACATGTTAGTGTCTTGTTATAGAATTTTTTATATAAAGAGATATATTAGTGTTGTGCATAAAATTAATTTATGTAAAAATAATTTATTAACTAACATTTTTTTTATAACAAACAAAGCATTACTTTAATTATGCAGAGAACTATAGTCTAAATAATCCTTTATATCCCCTTAGGCTTCTTTTATGTTGTTAATAGCTATATGTATGTAGTAAGCTATATTACTTATTAGTGTAGTACACGTTCTAGGATTTATTTATAAATGTATTATTCTGTTAATTAATTATAACCTAAAGTGCTAAACAGAGGTTACTGTACAGTGCCTTATATGTAGGCTTAATTAAGAACATTGCTTATTTAAGTTTAAGTTGCCCTTAGCATGCTTATATAACAGCAGTGTAAAGTAGTATCTTACCTTAAAATTATAGACTAAGAGCTTTTTATATAAAAGTAAGTTTATTAATTATAGCTTTAAAAGCTTTATATAAGGTTTTTATAAAGTTTTTTTATTTACTTTATGTAAAGCTTATTATTATTTAATCTATCTAATACTAGTTATAGTTTATATTAGTATTAAAGTAATTACTAAGCTGCTTGTACAGTAACTTCTATAATTATTCTAGACTAATATTATAAAGGTAGAACATGTGTGCGCGCCCTTTAAAAATATTAGGAAAGATGCTTATGTATAATGCCTTAGAAATAGTAAGGTGTTAGTAGAGCTTAATAAATACTATAGCCTTATTAGCTAAAATATTATATAGTTGCCTTATATAGTTATTTTTTTTTATGCCTTCTAAAATTATATAACCTTCTTAAGTGTAAAGTTCTCTACTATAATATCTTATATAAGTAGAAGTTAGTATAGATTGTATAGTAATTAAATTATATACAGTAGGTACAAGCTTTAGGGAATCTTATGTAGAGCTGTGGCTACAGGAATATGTAGCTGCCTAGTTGTGCTCTTATACAGTAAGCTATTACAAGGTAGTTATACTAATTATAAAGAAAGTATTAGGTTTATAGGTAATTTATATAAAGATATCCTCTATTATGTTAAAACTAGTAATAGTAGTAATAGTTTTATATAATACTTTAGTAAAATAGTAAACATGTGTTCTTTTTTTATAAGTCTATATAGTGTAGTAGCCTTTATTATGTCTTTTTTAAAGCTAATGCTTTTATTTTATAAAGTAGTAATTAGTTTTTATAGAAATAGTTAGCTAAGATCTTTAAAGTGTATAAGCTCTTACTTTATAAAGTTATTTTAAAAGTTTTTAAGTATACATATATTTATTACACTTAACATGTAAAGTTTTATAATTAAGTTAGCTATATATAAATTAAGCTTTTTCTTAAGTGTGTTATTTAATAGTTTAATTTTATTTACTTAATTTTTAATATTTATCTACTTTGCTAAAGTCTTTGCTAAGATGCCTATAAAAGGTATATATTAGTTATACATTAATATGTTATGTTAGCTAGTTATAGATAGAGCTGGCGTTACTTATTGCTTTATAGTAGTTAATTATATGTTGTTGCGCGCTGTCTTACTTCTTGTTGTACACTACCTCTAAACAGCCTTATGCAAAAAGATAAAACAGACCTTCTAGCATTAAATAAGCACTACTATTTATATAATACCTCTAAATAGTATTATACAGACAGGTTTCTTACTTTTACTTAAGTAACTAAATAAAGATTTATAGCTACTTACATATAAATTAGACTCTATCTTTACTTTTACTAATTTATAGTTAAAGTAGTAAGAAAAAAAATTCTTCTTATACATAAACTTTTAAATAAAAAGGTATAAAAAAAGCTTTTTTTTTTATAGTATTTAAACTACTAATTAGTGTTAAATAGACTCTTTGCTAGCTAGCACTTAGTGTTAGCAAATGCGTACAAGACAGAGAGGTTTACACAGTGTAAACATTGCACAGGGGTGTTAGGTAACTAGTGTTAATTGCTTCTTGTTGTTTCTATTGTACAAAGGAAAGGGGTTAATATAGTCCTAAACTCTGCGCACAGATCTCTGTGCACAGGGATCTGGGCGCATCCGAGCCACGTGACTATCAACCAGGCGCCCGAATATCACTATTCGGACAGTTTTCCTATTATTTTGTAGAGTTTGCTAGTGTACTTAGGCGGTTCGCTCGCTTATGAAACACGTTAATTCTATTAATATTATAAAGTATAAACTAACTTAGAGGAATAACCTACATTATCAAGCGCTTGTGGCCCTTACTCTTGGTTGACTTTACTATAGTTATTTTGAAAATTTAGGCAACGCCTTAGCGCGAGGTCACGCTATGCAGTGCAGGACTGCTTTTATGCATGCCTTACAAAGTATTCTTATATTGAAAGAAAGGCATTTGGCGACGCTAGCGAGAAGAAAGAGGGGTGTTGGTGCTTCTGCCAGCTTGGAATGGAAAGCGAGAATGATCGTTACACCCATGTTGGTGTGCTGTGGTGCGGACATTCACTTTGGTGAAAAATAACTAACTGGATTGGGAATAGTCCGTTCCAACCACCGTCATTTAAAAGCTGCTTCAAATCTTTTTGCGCAAAACGCAATTCTTACAAACAATATCCATATGATAACTTCTGAACTGGCTCAATACTCGAAATCATCGTCAACACTCGGCCCCTTACTCTTCGCCACGCTGTCCTGCCTCTGATACATTTCCGCAATCATCCTCGACGTGCTCGCCTGCTCCGGTTTCTTGTCATCTCTCCCCCTGATAAATCTTGGAAACCGCAGGCTGACTCCCTTCCCGCCTCCCGCCACCTCATCGGCCGCAGCTTTATACCTCGGGGATAGCGTCAAGTCTGCTGTCTTGACTTCCCACACATACTTTGGCTCAAACCATACGTCTGGCTGGTCTTTGTTCCCGCTGGAGTGGGTATAAAATGGTTTCGGTCGATCGATTTTGATGGTAGAGAGTTGTGTGTGGAGAGTTTCCAGGATGGCTTCAGAAAAGCCAGTGCCAATGTTGCAGACGGTTTCAAAGTTCTGGGTGGAGGGGTTGTAGCATGCGAGCAGGAAGGCACCGAACCAATTAGTGCGTTTACCTTTACCATAATAGGCTCCGAGAACTACTAAGTCAAGGGAATCGCCCACACCGGAGAGATAGTCCTTCTTGACCTTGAGCCAATTCTGCGAACGTTTGCTGGGTTCATACGAGCTCTCTGGACCGTCCAACATCTTCACCATTAAACCTTCACAAGAGGCTTTGATGCTCTCCTCAAGAAGGGTTTGTATCTCTTCTAACTCGTTGGTGTTACTGTATTTGGCAAATGCAAATTCGCCTTCTACGGGCACAAATGCTTCGTGGAGAAGCTCTCGACGATTGCGGAATGGCTTGTTGACAAGTGCCTGTAAATGTAAGATATCATACTTACTGGTACTAAGGGAAGAGACGTACCTCGCCATTCAGATAAAGAATATCGAATGCGAAAACACACACTTTGACTTTTACGTCCTCGACCTTGACGTCCTTCCTCTTCCTTGTCATTAATTGCTGGAAAGGCAGAACTTTCCTCTCAACCATATCCCATGCAACAGTCTCGCAGTCCAGAACAAAGCTCTTCGTCCCGTCTTTAACCCAATCGGGCAGCTTGGCAAGGATGTCTGGGTATTTCTTTGAAAGATCCTCGGAGTTCCTGGAGAAAATATTGGAGACACCTTTGTCACTCTTTCCTGCGGACGGTGGTGCGGTCACAAGATCTAGGGGAGAATCATGCGCTACGAAATGAATTTGGGCCCGTTCACCGTCGTACTTGTATTCACAAGTGAAATCTTTTCCATCAAATCTATCAAGGACCTCCGTAATCGACTTTGTCGGCTTCGCAAGCATGGGCTTGAGAGGTACACCAGGCTGTAATCTGCAGTTATCTGGCAGGCTGAGGATGCCATGCTTGAGCATTGCCGGAATTATGACTTCATAGCTGGGAAGTTCGCTGAAGGGATGTTAGTCTACTGAACGAACGCAGCAAGGCAGCGTGCATACCTATAGACAGACTTCAATGTAGACTCTGCTTTGGCCAAGTCTGCCGTGGACGGAATCTTGCTCCCTTTCGCTGACATTTCGTGGAACATCATGGCCTGAGCTAGAGCAACCAAAACTGTCCTTTCAGCAAGACCCAGCCGCAGTTTGCCCTCCAAGGTTCGGACAATGAACTTGGCCTCACTGGGACCACCCTTATCCTTGGTGATGTCCACGGCTTTCCCGGCGGTGTGCGCATCCGCTGCAGACAGGAGCTTCTTAATCCCATCGACCTTTCGGCCTTGAGCGCCTTGGCCCTCCGTTGTGGCAATGTCCATTAGACCCTTGTGTACTCCTGGTACGGTAAGAGCTTTTGGCTTGAACATGGTCGGTTGCTTTGACCTGCTTTTAGCAGCGACGAGTCCAATGTCACCCACCTCGTTCTGGTCCGCTTTGATGTGCGCCAAACTCCTGCCCGTGCTTTGAGAAACCGCTTTCATAATTAGCGACTCTCCAATTCCGAGCTCGACGCCAGAGTAATCAGCGGCAAGCTTGTTGGTCATGAGCAGGATGGTTGGTAAAAGGTTCGCAGGAGTTAGCCGGAGCACTTGCCGAAGGAAGAGAGAGCAATGTGCGAGTATTTCCAAGCGCTTCGTAGTCATCTCGATCTTTGCAAAGGTTGTACAGAGCGCTGCGTAAGGAATAGGCTCGCCAGGTCTCCAGTCTGGATACGGATCGTTGGTCATGGACTTCAGGGTAGACTGCACCTTTTCTCGAGCCTTTTCTGCGACTTCTGGTGGCTCCTCGTCAGAGTTGAGGGAGTCCTCTGCGTCGCTCGTGCTTGACTCCATGGCAGGCAACTCTTCAATGTCCATCTTTATGCTCTTTTGCTTCTTTGTTGGCGCTGATTTTCGTTCATCCGGATCCAACTGCTCTTCGGGCTCCGACTTGGATGATGTCTTTTTGTCTTTCCCTTTGCGCGGTACTTCCTCGAGCATCTTAGCTCTCTTTAGTGAATCCTTGCTCTTCTTCGCACTGGCCGATGCTGCCCTCTTTGGCTTCCTCCGCTGCCGCTTCGAGGGAGGCTCCTCGTCTGATTCACTCTCCTCCTTCATTTGTCGCTTCTTCCCGGACTCTGACGAACCATCACTGCCCACATCCATTGGCTCTCCCTTGGCTGGGGGGGTTACCTCGGCGTCAGCTTCAGTGTGCACTATCCCTATCGACGGACCGGGCTCCTTAGTAGACAGGGAATGCTCGCTCAATGGCTTCGGCTTGGTCGAAAAGGAAAGCTTCGATTGCTGTGGCTTGGCATTGTTACCATTAGGGTTGCCGAAGAACTTCCTGGGAGCCCGGTCAGCAAGGCAAACGTTAAAGGAAATTGCCCGCACCCTAGAGTCGTCTGCGAGGGTCTCACATACCCAAGAGTAGCCTGCTTGGGCGACATGGCTACTAACTGATACGCACGAGCGAGCGGATGTTTGCAGAGAAATGGTGGTGGGAGGAGTAATCTCAGAGTGTAGAAGGGTGGAATGAGAGCAGAGTAGCTAGAGTAGGTAGATGCAATAGAGAGAGAAGCATGTAAGCGTAGGGGCATTCTAGTTGCCGTGGTGTGAATATGTCAGGCGCGTTGGCGTACACTCGCGTCTTCGCGTCGTGCAACCGTGCTGACATCATGCCTGGTCCCGATCACGTGAAGGACATTGGCCTATCCCACAGATTCAATGCACTATACCTAGGTAGCCAAAGTAGATAGCTTCCTCGTTCGACACCTGCTAAAGCGTTGGTTCAAGCTTCCTCAGACTTTCCTTTCCGCCTCTATAGTGAAGCTGGCGCACCTTTTCTGGCGCCACGCTCCCTCGAGCGACTCAAAGTCCCCATCTGAAGCACAACCGGTAATGTCGCGACCGTCAGAACGGCCCCGCTTGACGCCGCAATTCTGTTTCAACCAAACCGCACTGCGCGGTACGCACAATCCATTCCTAACAGTCCAGCGCACTAACTAACATCCATGCTCAGACTTTCTCCGCATCTCGCGTTCTTCGATGGATGATTGCATAACTCAGAACCTCAATGCCCTCTTAACGCCCGCGAAAGAAGGTTTCAACCCTTCCTCCACCGCTGCCCGCCAGATTGAGTACTCCTCGAAGCGCGCTATCACTATCGAGTCTTGTTACTCATTCCAAGATCGCGTGCTTTTTCCGTCATGGAAAGTACGATCTGATGTCCTAGACTACTGCGCGGGGATTGCAACAAGTCCGGATTCAGATGATCCGGACCTAGTTCTGCGGCAGATAGAAGATGCAAAGGCTAGGGAGCGAATTGTGGACGAGAGGCTGGATCCCTACAGTGGGAGATACTTTGCACGGGAGGGGAGGGCGGAAAGCTTGGCGATGCTAATGCGAAATGAGAGAGCTGTGGAGAAGATAATAAGATCGAGAACATGGACACTGATTGGGGAACGATGTGGTCCGAGTACTGCTTCTGCAGAGGAAGCTTTTGACCAGTGGAGGGCACGGCAACCGAAGCCATGACGGGAGCTGGCTTACCATGAATCTCAGCCTTGCGGAGATTCGGACACAGGCATACTATCTTCGAGACAGGGGAGCTGTATGACAACTTGTAGAATAGAATACTGACTGAAAAAGAATTCAGCTCCATAAAGCCCCTCCGAACTGGGCCAAGTCTTGTTTTGTTGCATGCCGCAATCTACGGTTTAACTGCCACCCTTAGCATTCCTAAAGGCAGATTAATGCCTGACTTCGACATGGGTAGCAGAGAAGCGAAGCATCCATCTCTTCTTGTTCACTTCACTTCTTATGAGGTCATCAAAATCCAAGCACCATCGCCATAATAGGTTTAGCGCGGTTTTGTAAGCGAGGGCTTGCCCACCACGGCGGCACTGAATTCTGCCATACAGTCACTGGTGCTTATTTCTCTCTTTCTCTAAACACCATCGCCACAGAGCCACCAAAGCATTCAAGCAATCTTTGGGAGACGTATCCAAAATGTCGAAAATCTCTGTTGCCGGCGTTCGCGTCAACGTCAAGGGTAAGAAGCATAAACTACCTTATCTGTCTCCCCCGACTGCGGAAGCAGCTAACACTATCTTTCAGAACTCCTCGAGTACAGCAATGAAACCAAGAAGCGCAACTTCTTGGAGACAGTCGAGCTCCAAATCGGCTTGAAGAACTACGACCCGCAGCGCGACAAGCGTTTCAGCGGCACCGTCAAGCTCCCCACCATTCCCCGCCCGCGCATGTCCATCTGTGTGTTAGGTGACCAGCATGATATTGATCGGGCTAAACATCACGGTGTCGATGCTATGTCCGCTGATGACTTGAAGAAGCTCAACAAGAACAAGAAGCTCATCAAGAGTGTGTACATACAGTCCCCCGTGGTGAGAAAGAAGCTGACAACCCTCATAGAACTCGCGCGCAAGTACGACGCATTCATCGCCTCCGACGCTCTCATCAAACAGATCCCCCGTCTCTTAGGCCCAGGTCTCTCCAAAGCCGGAAAATTCCCCTCTCCCGTCTCTCACGCCGAAGATCTCGCCAACAAGATTAGCGAAGTCAAGTCTACCATCAAGTTCCAGCTTAAGAAGGTGCTGTGTATGGGTGTCGCCGTCGGAAACGTTGGTATGACTGAAGACGAGCTGATTGGCAATATCATGTTGGCCATCAACTACCTTGTTTCGCTGCTGAAGAAAGGCTGGCAGAATGTTGGCTCCTTGACTATTAAGGCAACGATGTCACCCCCTAAACGTCTCTACTAAGTTACGGAAGGTGGTAGTACGTAGAGACTGATATATTTGCATGATGAACCCCAAAGTCACCTGCCTCCTTCTGGGCGTGGAAGCTTTTGGTCCTCACAGGTCACTGGTAGGAATTGCAGATAGCAAATGGATTAGCATGAAACCCCCTCCAAGAGGTCATGAGTATATGCGATAATTGTACATGCTGCATTGATACAAGTATGCATTCTAGTATGGATACTTCATGAGGTGACAACTTCACGCTTGGTGGCTGATGAAATCAACATTGCAAATTGTGAACTTCAAGACATGTTTTCCATGTCCGATGTGCTGTACACTCCCAGGTACATGAATTACCGTTATCCCCAGGTTGTACAATACTTCACCAAGCAGTTACCTCTGCAAATTTTTGAGAAACTTTTTGCCGTCGGTAGAGCTTGACCCACAACTAATTCAGGTCGACAGACATAGCACTTGCATCCCTAATTTACGATAATGAAGATCGCAGAAGAACACAAAATGTACCGCCCATCCCACAACTCCGATCCATCTTTTCACGGACTTTTCGCAGTTGAGAAGGAAGAACGAGCGGACGATAATCTACGGGGCCGGGAACGGAAGACTATTCATGAAAGAAAAGAATAACCCTCAGCAAGCCGCTTGTAGCGGAGCCACGACAAAGGTATTATTACCTGACTGATGATGAGGGAGAGAAGAGGGCTCCCGGGAGCGAGGAGATTTTATCTTCCTCGCTAAGAGTGGCCTGTGCTCAGTTAGTCAGCTCGGGGCCTCGGGGCCAGCACGTGCTTCCAGTGGTGCAAGAAGTGTTTGGAGACGGGACGGTGTTATTACCTGGTTCCGATTGAAGCGGGGATTAGAAGTCAATGATAAATGGTGCTATTGATGATAGTCTGATACAACATGACCATACTTCCAGAGAGAGAGACGGAGGCACCATCTTTCGACAGCAGGTTACCATGCTCACTCACTGACCATCTTGGGGATTGCGTTTACAATAGGCACAATTGATTGGGATTTGGAAATCCCGTATCCCCCATCCCGTGGTCTTGCGTCATCGCCATACATTCACTGTTCGATAGCACAAGATCGCAGCATCTGAGGTTCCCCGCTGTCATCACCAAGTGCTTCCCACCCCAGAAAGTAATAATAATATCCGTAATAAAGGATGCTAATTGAGAGTTGCAACGGGTATCCCACCGAAAATGCAGCCAGCAGGCCCTTGCCGACACCCATTTTTGGTCTGACAAATCAAAGGGGTATGTAGGAAGGAAATGTCCCAGTATAATGCCATGTCATGAAATCCCAGAAACAATAAACACACAAGAAAGTGAGCTTTCGCAAGGTCCAGTCCGACGGAGCTCGGCGTCAGGTCTTGTCATGGTTCGGTGCGCATGCGTCTGCAACACGGGCGCGCGGTGATTTAATGGAGAAGTTGCTGGTTGTTGGTCGGCTCGACAACGTTATCCGAGAGGTTGATCAAGAGCTGGGCGAGGCAGCGCTTAGTAGCAGCGTCGTCACGTAGAACCGAGGAGAAGGTAGCATCACGGAGGGGCTCTGGGAGGCACTGGCGGAGAGCTTCGCGGGCACGGGCATTGTCGCTTAGACTATTCAATTCCAGGTTAGCATGGCCGGACATGAAAGGCCAACTATCGGTTGCACGTACCGGAGGAAGCAGCGAACAACGTGCTTGAGCAGGCGCACCGTCTGTTGTTCCACAAGCTGGTTCACCATGTTGCTGAGGACAGTTCCGACCGCATAGAAACGCTCATATGTCTGGCAGATGTACGCCAGACCAATATCGTCCAGCAGAATCTTCTGCACAATGAAAATAGCCACCGTCTTGCTGAGCTCCGAACCCGTCTCCATGATGCGGAGACACAGCGGGATGATCTCAGTGGTTAGGAGGAAGTTGATCACCTCGGAGGAATCGTTCTTGACCAAGGCGCCAATGACACCGAGCGAGGTAAGACGTAAGTACTCGAACGGGCGGGACTTTGAGGTCGTGTTTAGGAACGGGTAGAGGAAGAGCGGGATATGGGCTGCATGTGCTTAGCCAAGGAGGAAAATCTGGATAAAAACATACCACTCAAGAAGAGGCCCCGGGTCTCGGTATGTGAGGCGACGCATTGAAGAAGCGCGAGCGCATTGCAGACGCGATTTGAAGCGGCGGCGGTCAGCTGCGAGGGATTGAGAAGAGGGTAGACTGAGATGATCTCTTGAAGCAGTGAGGCCATGACGCCTGAATACTATTAGTCTGCCGCCCATGGACGAAGTGGAGGGACGCTCTATTACCGAAAGAGTGCCAGAGAATCAGCGCCAGCTCTGGGACCTGTTCCCGCTTCTTGCTCAGCTCCAACAAGGCCGTCTCACGCGTAGCCGGCTTCATCAATTGCGCAATCCACTCGAGGACTCGGCGGTTCTCCTCAGTGATGCCCATCTCCTGGACATTGAGCTGGTTGAGGTCGTTGGCCGGTCCACGAGGGATGCCGCCAGCGCCAGGCATGGCAGTGCCGTTGTTGCCAGCGATCCTACTGTAGTGCTGTTGCTGAGCGGCAGCCTGGGCTGCAGCGGCAGCCTGAGCTTGAGCCTGGGCCTGAGCCTGAGCCTGAGCCTGAGCCTGGGCTTGGGCATGCTGGGCTACATTGTGGGTTTGGTGGGGATGGTGGCCCTGGGCCCAGTCGCCAGGGAACTGCTGCTGGTGCGAGAAGAGGTGTTGCATTGACATAGCAGAGTGCGCGGTTCTGGGGGCTTTGAGGGCGACTGTGGCTGGTGGTTTGGGGTGGATGAGGGAGTGTGAGTTGTCTGAGCGAGTCGAGGTGAGGTTGAGAGAGCTCCGATTTGAAGCCGCGAAGCTGTACGTGGCCCGTGCTCATTTAGCGCGGGCGTGTTCACGTGCATTAGTCCCTCACTTTCACTGTAATGTTGCCTGGTTACTATGTTTCTGCCCGTTGCTGCCGCCGTCTGTGAAGAGCAAAAGCGCAATAGATTCCTTAGCCCAACGCGCCATAGACATCTTCAGTCTTGAAACAAACCCCTTCCCGCTGACCAAATACGTCGAGGCACGACAAAGCGAGTGACCTGACCTTTTCCTGAATGGATGTAATACAAATGAGATTCGTGATGCAAGTGTTCTCCCTGCCTTCCGCTCCCTTTCCCTCCAAAGCATCAGACCAGCCTACACTGCATTACCATCCTCGCTATGCCCAACCCCCAACAAAACGCCTCGCTCAAAGACGCAATTCTGCCAAAATCTTTTGGGCCATGTTCTTATACTGCCAAGTGCCACCATCCACCTTCTTGAATTGAATGCCATGCAACTGTAAAAGAGGAACCTTAACGATGAGAATTTCAAACACTAGAATCATGCTTCCACCCAGGTCACTCTGCACATGCGTCGTCGTCTCCCCGGCTGGAGCGGGCCTGCTGCGCGGCCGCCTGTCCTCCTTTCCATCACTCTCCTCAGAGTCATCGGTGTTTGTGTAGCTGCGGTCGCCAGCTGAGGGTCGATGGCGTGCTGATTTTGGTGTTTGTGGAGCTCTGTGCTGTTCTCTGAACTCTTCCCGCTCGCGGTCACGATCCCCGCCCTTAAACCCACCGAAACTAATCTTCCTCCTGTGACTGCTGGGAGGAGGGTTCGCGGACGAAGGAGAATCAACCACCTGGTTCAGATCGATGCTGGGAGCATGTCGACATTTAAAACCACCTCGTATTTCGTGGTAAGTAATGCCGAATTGGTCCAGAACGCGAATAATGTCGGATTGAATGAACGACAGTGGTTTGTTGCTTGTGGTTGATACACTGAAGAGGCCTTTGAGATAAACAGGCTTCACGGCATCAGGGCTGCGGCTAGCTTCAGCGCTAGCTTCTGCAACATCCTGGTCGGTTTCCTCTGGTACGTTTGACTCTCTCGCCTGTTCTCTTCGTACTCGACGGGCTTGAATACTCTCTCTTCGGGCATGACCGAGAGATTTAGCCCGTGATGCTGGAAGCCGGCGCGGGCTTGCTTGCAAATCTTCTGATGCCGCGTCTGCTTTCACTCTTTGTCCGCTAATGTCCGATCTATCTGATCCGCTTGTGGGCGGAGGGTTTCCGGGATCTTCGGAGGACCGTCCTCTACGGCTCATTCGTCGTCGAAGGTCTGCGCCATTTACACTGGTGGACCTACCGAGCGCTTTTAACTTTCGCGTGGCACTATTCCCACTAAGTGGAGGAGAAAGTAGCTCAGGCTGTTGGGCTCCACTTGGGTGGAGCATCGAAGACGATTGAGTGTTTTTCTCGCGTGCTCGACGGACACTAAAGCTTTTGCGAGGAACGTTTGTCGAGTCGGTGGGGCCTGATACGGCCAAAGAGGGGGTTGGGGGATGGTCTTTCCGATCATGGTCTGGATTTCTGTGTTTCCTCGTACTAAAGCGCCGTAAAAGGCCGACGGCTGTGCTCTCCTTCTTGACAGGAGGCTGTTCAATGGGTGGAGTGATTATAGCTGGTGACACATTTCCAGGCGAGTTGAGATTCAGCCTTTGTAAGCCTTCCGTTACCTCGTCTTCGCCGTGGGTCCTGGCTCTTGGCCGCGATCGTCCACCCGTTGGCTTTTCACCAGCCATTTCATAAGTTGCAGAATTTGTGTACGCTGCTTCGGGGGCTGGAAGATCAGGCATCTTCAAAGGCTTCTCGCTGGGACTCTGTGGCATGGCCATGGCTCCCGGATTTGCCTCAAGCCGCTCGCGGTCTCTCTTCTCCCGCACGAGATAGTATACCGATATCAGGGGGCTGAAGGCATTCACCGGGTCGAGGCCGCGTTGAATGTCTTCTGAAGATGAGGTTGATAGCTGTTCACGGCTCGAGATCGAATTCCGCCTCTTATAAAAGTCAAACACACCCCTCTTCCTCTCAATCTCTGGCGTCAGCACTTGAGTCTTGCGAACAGCAAGCCGCACTGCGCGTTGATATTCGTCGGATTGGATGACGTTGGTCAGCTGTGAGGTTATGTATTCGGGGGTTCCGAAGTCAAATCCTGTCATTTTCTCGATAACTTCTCGGTCAAGTGGTAGTTGCAGAGCCTCGCGGTGGGGCAAGTAGTTTTCGGGGGGGCTGTTGAATCCTTTAGTCAGCCAAGGATGGCTCATGATCTCGCCGAGAGTCAGACGGTTGTTGGGATCCGTTTGGAGCATCCTGTGGATGAGATTGCGACATTCTGGGAAGGCTCAGCACTGACGGAGACGGCTCGACCAAAATACACATACCTGCGGACAGCCAAGGTGGATAGTCGACATGGCCCTTCTTAATCTTGGCATGCAGCTGTGGCATGCTTTGGTCGTCAAAGGGGACCTTACCGCAAACCAAGACATAGAGAACTATTCCAAAACTCCAAACGTCAACCTCGGGCCCAGTGTACTGCTTGGCTTGCAGCAGCTCCGGGGCGGCAAAATAGAGGCTTCCACAGAACGTTTTGAGATGGTTCCGGGGCGAGAACAAATTGCTCAGCCCAAAGTCGATGATTTTGATGTCGCCGGTCTTGCTGATGAGAATGTTCTCAATCTTCAAGTCGCGGTGCACGATACTGTTTCGGTGGCAGTAATCCAGGGCGCTCGCAATCTGGCGGGCAAACTTGCGCGCTTGTTTCTCCTTCAGCCGCCCATGTGATATGATGTAGTCCAGCATCTGTCCACCGTTGACGTACTCGAAGAGCATGTACCAATGGTAGTTGGTCCGGACCACATCGCGCATGCCGCAGATGTAAGGGTGGTTCAGCAGGCTGACAATGGCAGCCTCTCTGGCGGTGCGGACTTCCTTGGAGTGGTCGGCACGCTCACGGTCGGCCTGGCTGCGGTGCTCATCGGTCGACTGCCGGGGCACGATCTTCACAGCGACCTGCAGAAGCACCGTTAGCACAACATTGCGGTATCAGGCACACTAGCACATCAGAAGCCATACCTGCTCACCCGTCGCCGCGTTCTTGGCCAGCTTCACCTTGCCCATACTGCCGGCGCCGATGGTCTTCCCTAGAGACCATTGCCCAGTGTGTGGCGCCGAGATGGTTGTTCGCCGCTTTGTGGCCGAGGCGGTGGTGGTCCCGGACCGCGCATTGTCGGTGGCTACGCCGTTGATGGGCATTGCAGCTGTCGTCGACGCGTCTGACGCATAGCGCGTGTGGCCAGAACGCGGGTGGTGGTTGCTCCTGGTGGAGTCGGTGCGCGAGGGAGCAGTGGCAGTGGCAGCAGCAGCAGCAGCAGCAGCACCAGTGGTGGTGGTGGGGGTGGTGGTAGTAGCAGGAGCAGGAGCAGCGTGGGCTTGGGCGTGGGTGTGGGTGTGGGCGCGGTCCCTCGAGTCGCTGCGACGAGAGGCTGGCAAGCTGGCGACGTTGGTCTGCTCGAAGTCGCGGCGGGCGACGCTGGCCAGGTTGGTGCGATGCGGGCGGTCAGAAGGGCGCCGGGGATTTGATGAAGCGCGGGCAACGGGTGCTGGTGGTGCTTTTGCTGACATTGCGAGGCTGGTGCAGGGTGCAGAGGATGGGCTCTGTGGTCAATGTTCCGACGCCTGAGCGCAGTGGACGAGGGGCCAAGGCGGGCCGGGGTAGAGCAAGGAGAGCAGTGATGTGCACCTGCAGCTCACAACAGACGCCGTGTGATGGCGGGCGAGGCGTGAGAGCGTGATGCAGCGCGGGACTTTACGAAGCCGCGTGAAAGGGGGGTGGGGTGGTGTAGCTAGGGTTCGCGGGATCGTGATTATGGATGCAGAAAATAGCAGGACACTTCACGGGGGCATGACGATTGACGACGGGCCACAGGACTGAGGAACTCCAGCGAGCGGGTTGCCCAGCACAGAGTTCTGGCGGGCAACACGGCGATTAATCTGTGGACAGGGCGCAGAAAAAGGAGAGAGACAGACCCGCTCGCTCGGGGAGTTGCAGTACGAGTGGCGGCAGAGAGGCTGGCCGACTTTGCTCGTTAATAACAATGGCGCGCAAGACAGCTTCAGGCAAGCTTGAGTGCTGCGCACAGGAGACTGAAGTGGCCGACAAGGACAACCAGCACAGCACTGGGGCTTCACGACTGATGATTGATGGGCTGCTGAGGCGCTGATGAGGCGCTGATGAGGCTCTGGGATCTCTGCCATCGACTGGCTTTCATGTTTGGTGCAGTCGCAAAACCAGCTGCCAGGTTTGACCAGGAGCCCATCCCAGACGGCCGAGCCCAGGTAATCCAGGCACTTTTCTGGCCAATCAGTGCACCCGGCGAAGCGAGAATGCCAAGAGCCTAGACCCCGAAATGAGCGACATCGTTCTTTCCTCAGTCGGCTCTTGCTCTTGCACTCCAGAGCTCCACACCACGCCAGCTTGCTGACCTTGGAAAGTGGAACGCGTCGTCCAAATGACTGACCCCTCCTAGACAAGCAATCCGCACGCTCTTCACGTCCGTCTACCACCATGGCCTACAAACGACCTCGCCCGCCTTCTCCAACGGGCTCGCAGAAGCGCTCCCGTCCATCGCAATGCTATGTCAAATGCGGCACGCCGATGTCCCTAGACGTTGACGGTGATGACCAGGCCTTCGTGCCAGTGTGGAAGCAGATAGTCACGGATGAGCATGGCCGTCGACGACTACACGGCGCCTTCACTGGCGGCTTCAGCGCCGGGTAAGTAGTCCTCTTCATTGCCCGCTGAACTTCACATCTCTTGACTTTTCTCAAGCTACTTCAACACGGTTGGTTCTAAAGAAGGATGGACCCCAAAGGCCTTCGTTTCCTCCCGTTCCAGGCGGAATAAGGACCAATCGAGCCTGGCGACCCAGCGTCCCGAGGACTTTATGGACGATGAGGACTTCGCTGACGCCGCCGAGTCGCGTCAACTGGAGACGGACCAAAATTTCGCTGGCATCGGAGCCACTGGCGAGAGCGAGGGCGCACGTGACGATTTCTTTGGGCTTATGACTACTGAAGACGAGACCATGGGTGTCAAGTTAATGCAGAAGATGGGCTGGCGCCGCGGTGAGGGCATCGGCCCCAGAGTGCGTCGATCTGCTCGCCTGGACGACGATAAAGAAGGCACAGTTTCCATGACGTCTGAGTCCGAGCAGCTGTTCGCCCCAAAGGATACTCATATCAAGTTTTTTACACCCCGAAAATTAAAATGTAGCGGACTCGGCTATCAATCAGACGCCTATCCTCTCTTGAAACCTAGTGACAGTGAGGTAAAACCTAGAGTATCTCCCGCCCTTCTATCCATCGAGGGCGTGTCCAAGCACCCGAAGCCTATGAAACCCGCTGTAAAGAGGACAGGAATGGGTGTGGGTGTCTTGAACGACAACGGCTCCGACGATGAAGACCCTTACGAGCTCGGCCCCAGAATCTCCTTCAACAGAACCATTGGCAAAGATAAAAAGGCAAAAAATCCCTCGACCATCAAGCCCAGCAAGTTTGCGAAAGTCTCTACTGGTCAGAGGCACATGTTCGTCCCCCAGAAGCATATTTCCAGAACTAGTTCTTCGGTAGCTAGGCTCTGCCACGATGGAAGATCCCCTCTCAGGGCCTTTAAACTACTAACAATTACGGATGGCTTTGAGAGTCGACACAAGCTTCCGCCGCCGAAGGTCCCAGGAGCGTGGAGGTCGTCAAAACAGGTGCCTGGTTCAGGAGCACGAGCTCAGTCCTTTCAATCCGTTGCGGATGCTGCAAGGTCTTCAACCCTCGACGCCAAGGGCCGCGCGACTGTGCTCGGTGAGAAGGCATTGCCTGGCAAATCGATTTTCGATTACATTTCAAAGGAGGACCGAGACCTGCTTGCGGCTAAGACAGGAAAAAATCTTCCTCCAGGCCTTGGACAGCCTCTCCCTAAGCAAAACAAAACCCGAGGAGTCACACAGCCGAACGATCTCTGGACTTGGGTTCCAGCACTAGATAAAGGCATCGCTGCTGCCGCATTGAGCAAAGGCACAACCGGCTGGATGCCTTATGGAGAAGACTCCAAGAAACGAGCAAGGTACACTAGCTTTTTAGAAGTCCGTGCCGGCCTGAAGGATGGCCTTCCCGAACGAGTGCCTGGAACGACCAACGCCGACTGGGCCCAGGAACTGCGAGAATTTGCGCAGGCCGCTCAAGTTTTCAAGCCTGTCCAAGGATTAATGGCTTCGCGGTTCACCTCATCCACCTCATCCACCCCCTCCGCTCACCCTGGTTCAGGAAGCGGTCCATCGGAAAACACTCTTCTGCGCGCACCAACGACGAAGCCAGATGATCCAGCAGAGACGGCAGCTAAACTCGGTATGTATGGAGCCATGACCCGGACTGCGGTCCCATTCCATCCAACACGGATCTTGTGCAAACGATTCAATGTCAAACCTCCCCCGAACATTTTATATGAATCCGAATTCGGTACTAGCGCTTCTTCGAAGACCCAAGAGCCTGTGTCTAAGGCAGCCATGGATCAAATGTTTCATGAAGCGATGACTGCGGGTTCTGTGATGCAGTACCCTTTATTCATGACACCACAAGCAAAAGGTTCTGCTTTATTCTCTTCCGCTGAGCACGCGCCCGTGGACTCTGAAACGAATGAAGCGCTTTTGAAAGAACGCGCTCCTGATGATGTATTTCGCGCCCTCTTTGGAGATGACGATGATAATTGAGGACGCGAGGAGAGTCTCATAACACTCACAGAGTTCAGATGTCCTTGAAAGGTTACCTAGGTTCAACAGCAAATTGTGGGCTTCTTCGGCAAGGGGCTGTTATTAAACGACCCTTTACGCAAGGGCACATCCCCATTAAACCTTGTAAGCCTCCAACGGTAGGTATATAATCCTTTCCGAGTCTACACAAGAAGAGCATCTGCAGTGTCTGCGAGTAGAAGCCATGCAATATAGATCTCCTTCCGCTTGCTCTCTCCGCCCATAGCGGCGGACTAGCTGTTCCACGAAATGCAAGTGTACTCCTTAGACCCTTTAATAGTTACAATATATTCCAAATAAATTGCACAGAAGGTTTGCAAATTGTAGCGGTTCCAAATGTGATGCTATGATAATACTGCGATTGACTTGGTCATCTAATACCCTTATCAGCAAACCTTAACCTAGACGATGAGATCGGCGGAGTGCCGACGAGATATTGCCTTGACTTTATATCGAAGGGGGAACAACTAGTACTTAGGTTTCTATTAAAGGCAATCCACATGCCTTTCCCTGTCCTGGTGTCTTTTTTACCCCTTAATTGTATTGCACGCACGTAAAATTCTTAGGAGACGTTCGGATGCAAGCTTAGGTTACCAGGGCGAAAAATTTCTACATCCAGATCACGACCACGTTTCTTCGGTTGATAGGGATGGAACATCATTAATTCTCCTAGCCAACCACACATAGTGAAGAATAGTGCTTATCAAACGTCATTCCATAGCTCCATGATGACAGCCTGTCCAGCTGCCGGGGATTTTCCTGCATCATTAACCATCGCGAAACCCACACGTTTGTACAATTCCAATGCGTTCGAATTCCCTAAGGCTGTTGATACTCTGACACACACTTTGCAAGCTCCCGCCTCCCGTGCCAAGCTTGCACCGTGAAGCACAGCTGCTTCAATAAGTGCCTTTCCCAAACCAAGCTGTCTTGAATCTGGACGAACAAATAACCCACATATCTCGAACCTGAGGACTGGCCCCCTTTCTTCGGTTTCAGGATCTTCGGTTAGACACTCAGAGATTGAAGAATCAGCAAACGAAGAGATAGGCCCAACAAGCACAGCTGACCCCAACCACGGCTGTTGAACTACATCTGCGATGTTTACTTCATCCAGAGTTGAACCACGTTTTAGCTCGGATGAGATAAAGGTGGATGCAAGAGGGGTTTGAAGCCTTGCTTCCCAATCGTTCCGAGTAAATTGACTCTCCTTTTCGTAGCTCGAGGAAAAGGACTCCGGAGAGATCTGCGGGGACTGAAGCCGCAGGCCTTTTTGGTTAGATATTATCTGATCCCAAATGTCCAGATCGTCGTGGGCCTTTGGAAGGAGAGAAATGGTGAAGTTTTTCGTTATGACTTCCATCCTAGTGAAACATATGAACCAGAGGCAGTAGCGTATGTATCTCAACTTGATTTGCAGTGGAAATACTATCCGTGTTCGAAGTTGGCACAGGAAGGGTGAAAAAGTGGCTGAGTCACAGTTGACTCATCCCTCTCCCAACTGAACGGTAGATCCATCCCTGTCAGCGTTAACGGTAGTACTTAAATCGAGGTGTTAGGAACACTTATAAAAAATGGTAGATCCGCACTCCGACGCCAACACACGCCACAAGACCCCTCCTCTAGCCATGACCGCATTTCCACAAACTGAATAGAGATGGGTATCAAGAACACTCCCCAGGATGCAGCTCAAAGCAAGTTACAAAGAAGGCAGTCTCGCAATCAGCAAACAGAATCGCGCGGAAGGAATAATAAGGCAGTTTGGTCAGCTGCGAGACATCGCAAACAATGTTGATGGACAGGCCTAAACCTTGACGCTCACTCTCGAGAGGTCCCACCACCAAGTCCTGGATGCACACAATTGCTTCTCGCACTTGAGCCTGCAATCCTCCACCGAGACTGTTGTGTTTGACCCGACTGCATTCTTCTTGCGGCTATGCTGTTCTCTTAGCTTCTCCCACAAAGTGGCGATCCCAGTCTAGAAATCTGCGTGGCAAATGGGTGAACGCTTTGAAAGAGCCACTCGTCACGAAGCTACCGCACTGCCATGCTTGTCGCCGTTACCAAAGACATTCCCCCTCGTAGACCAGAACGGTGTGTTGACAAAACCCTAGTCGCAACAGCACAACGGTTGTATAACTCTTGCTTTCTGAACCATGATCTTTGGGTTGTTTTCCCGAAGAACCTTCTCTCTGATGTAGTGGCATGACTTTCTGAGACTAGTCTTTGATTCCTCTCCAGTTTCTTTCCAGGCACTGGAGGGCAAGTCTGCTGCGGACAAAATAACATCCTCAAAACCCGCATGTACTTGTTCGTAGTGGAAAGCAAAGCCACTCGAACGGAATAAATCGGCGCTCGCCAATACAGCTATACGATAAGCGTATAGGTTGGCAATTGACGCGACTGGCTGGACAATACTGGGAGGTAACTATGTCGGTGGGTTGGAAACCCAGACAAAGGCTTCATGACGTTGGTGAATATGGATTATGCACTCTTTGGCGTGTCAGGGTTGGAGATTTGGTTCAGGACTTTCGTCTTTGTTGGGGTTATCAGAGGCCACAAGGGCCATTGATTAGATGCACGGGACGTTTTCCATAATCATTGCAGTGAGGTAGTCCGGTCATGGTTACTGTAGGCGCAATTGCGTACTAAGTCCAACACGTGTGAGCGTCCGAGGCGTTCTTACAGATAGCATGTTCAAGGTTTCTGATCCGGAGCGTGGCGGCCCGTCATGGTTTATGCCATAGGCATGGAGACTATATCAGCCTGAGACGCCGAGATCTCGCTGGGTGTACAAGGCACCTTTCCGACGAGTGGATCTCAGCGACCAACGTAAAGGTGAATCAGGCAGATATGTCCGTTTGTGAGACAAGACCAAAGGCCAGGACCGCGCTCGTCTTCCACCTTTCCGGTGCGTCTGAAGTGCCGTAAGAGGGCTCATGGCCACGAAGTCGAAATTGGAACCGGGCATTGCAACTTCCATGCAGCTTCCAGAACCGGACGATCAGTGCTTGACGATGAGTAAAAACCCCAAAGACATTCCTCGTGGAGGTGTCCGGCATCTCCCACCAAGTCTCTCCCTAATATCACCAAAATTGCCGTCAGCGGAAGCTGTCCGTAGTTGCCAGAGTCTGTTGTCCAGATGGGGAAATCGACGTGGTCCTCGCTTGAGAACTTTAACGCCCTGACAGGCACATGAAAGCCCCAATTCGAAGTCAAACCTCCCGGACCTCGAGGCTCCCTTTCAAACACCGCTCGCGAGCGAACTACCCTCAGGTATGTCAGCAAGCAATTGGTGACTAATCGGAAGGTCGGCGACATGACCGCGATACTACTTGCTTCACGAGACGTGAATACCGGAAGAGAGTTAGGGTTAAGATCCGAGCCTGCCCTCCCCATGAAGCCGTTTCGATGTTGCCATTATAGCGCAGGGACCGAACATGCAAACACCCATACGAGACCATGCTGAGAGGCTCCAGTGTGTGTCCAGAGTCACAATTGCAAGCAAACATGGGGCGCCGTGAGGCATTCCACACCGCGAGGATGGGAAGACAGACTCGGGAGCTGTGACGAAAGTGACATGCACAGTGTGCTGTTACCTGTAAGATCAAGCGAGAGAAGAGTTGGTGGAGGAAGAAGGCGCTACACGGCCGTCCCGACGTTGTTGACGTAGTCAGGAATTGTCGATCGCCTATTCGAAGTCCAGAATCCAGTCCTGGCATAGGTGAGGTTGCGGCGGCAGATTGAATGGAATCAGACTCTGTGTGGTGGTGTAAACGTCGGGTGTGGTTAAAAGGAGAAGGGAACAACAATGCCGGCAAGTCAATTTATTTAGGGGGCTAGGAACGCGCTACTAAACACGCTAGCGAACAATCGTGGACTAGCGTTCTCGCGAAACCCCGTGCATCGAGATTGAGTATGCCGACATCTCGTGCTCAGCATTCGCCACCCACATTGCTACCCCTTCATATCTTCCTCATATCCACTATTATGGTCCATCATGGGCGTAGTGGAAGACGCTGTTGATACCGCCGCCGATTTCATTGGCCCACTCCTTGACAAAGATGATGGCCGAGACAGAGTTGACTCAAGAGACCCAATACCTCAGGATCAGAATGGTCGGCTCGTGGAAAATGCACTCTTCCATCTGCAGGCTATCAACACAGCAGATCAAGCGAAAGACCTGAATGCTCCGTATGATGGGTCTTTGGTCGGCGTAGTTTATGGTCTCCTAGACATGATCGCTTCCCAGGGCATCCTACCCTCCCTTTCCCCTGGAGTCGTCTTTGCCCATCGGCCACAGTCAGTGCTGAAACACAACCTGCTACCATCTCCACCTCAAGATTTTCCGCTTCTTTGCAGTGTCGTTCAAACATTGTATTCTATCTTCGAGCAGGGTGGCACGGGAGTCCAACCCCTTCTCACTCAGCGCGTCCTCCCTGATCTCATCTCTGCGCTCGCAGAACTTGCCTTCTCTCCCAAATCAAGCCCACATAGACACTCACTCTTTAGAGCATCATATGAGGATATTCTCGATACCACTCCAACATCACGGCTACTCCCAATTCTGACGTCTTACCTTCAACAAGATATACCTCTCTGGCTCCGAGAGAGGCTTTCTAAACAGCTGGCTAGGGTCCCACTTCGGACTCGTGGAATCCGTCATACTATCGAGTTCATGTCTTTAGCATATATGTCAAAGACATCCCCATTGTCTCCTGACCAATCCAGTTCACTCTCGCAGATTCCGATTCCTCTAGAAGCCATAACACAGGCATCCCGGTTATTGGCGTCCGTACCCAACGGGATGAGTGCTACTGAGTGGTTCACGGAACTTGCACCTCAACTTTGGTCTCTTCTAGATGGTACAGAAGGGCCAGAGTTGAGTAGAGCAGCGGGCCAAATAATCGCGGGTGGTATTCTCAACAAAAAGTCATCTGGAGCTCCAGGGACAATTGGATGGACTCTGTTCGCAGAACCTCTCCTCCAGTGTATTCGCCCGGAAAGCTCCAATTATATTCCAAAAAATAGCACCTCGGAAGTTGTTCTGGTGGACGAGCACGAATTAAAGGTCGCATTAAAGAGAATGTTCACCATTGTCTCGTCACATTCTCATCCTGGCCTAATCAAGCGCCTTGTCGGTCCAATTCTCCTGCCTCTGTGGGGATTAGTAGCATATACAAGATGCCGTCCTGCACTAGACGCACAATGGGGCGAACTACCGCGCAACATCATGCTCCGCTATATGTCCATAGCTGTTCACCCTATGCAGATCAACATCATCACAACCAACCTGTTCTGGGATGGCGAACCTTCCTGGTCCTTTGGTCCGGGCTCACAAGGCGGTGTCGAGATTCGTGAGCGGAAAAAGGACGACCGCGATATCTCAGAAATGGCCGATCTGCTCTCGCAAATCGAAAAGTTGGACGAGCGAGTGGACCTGCTGACTACGCTATTAACCGATGCTAAAATTGACGATGAGATCGCTAGCTCGATTTTCTTGAACGTCACGAAGAGATGGCTCACAGCTGGTCGAGGAGAGTCCCACGTTTCCTTAACAGATAATGGAGGCAGCGACCCATTAGTCACATTGGCCGATGCGAAGCTCTCGGAAACGATGGCAAGAAGGTTTAAGAACCAACTTGCTCGAAGCCCACGGCATGTCATTGAGCTAATGGGACAATTATTACAGGATTTCGCTGAAATACATCAATCCAAGTCAAGACCCATAATCGAACCCAATAAGCCTAGCCGAGCCAGTCTGAGGGATATTGTTCGTCCCCAGTTTCGAGGGACACAAATGCCAGATTCCATCTTGGATACAGAATCCGAGGAGTTGGTATCCTTTGCTCTTAGTATTTTAAATACCTTGATCACTTCTTCGGACTTCAAACGAGTCTCCAATACAATGACTCTGTTCTCGCCAATACTCCCGTCTCTTCAGTATCTTTCACAGCTACAACAACACCCCCCTGTATCACCTCTCATAATCAATGCAGCCACCAACCTCCTACAAATTCTCCAACCAACATCCAGTCCCCCAGAAGAGTCGCAACCTAGAAATAGGGTGATACTCCAGCAAGCCCTAACGGACCTTACATCCCCTGACCCACCCAACCGAACCTGGGCCCTCTCCATGCTCCGCAAAATTGTCCAAGATCCAAACACCTTCTCGCTCGTTGACATCCCTTCACTCACCCACATGATCCTCTCAAGCTCAATCGCAGATAGCGAGTCCTATGTGCACACAGCCGCCATCCCCGTCCTCGTTGATGTCGTCACACGTGCTCCAAATCCCACTCTTCGAATCCTTGTAGACGCATTCATAGACTTAGATGAGCAGTCTCTTCAGCTCAAGAAAGAAAGAGAACTCCATGAACCGCTCGACTCCCGCCTGCGTGTGGGGGAAGTCCTCAACAATTTCATTCTGGAAGATGGGTACTGGACAAGAGGCAGCAACGCATCATCAAGGTTCAGCAACCTCAAATTGCTTACTGAAGCCACACTCTCCCTCGCAAGTCGCCGCGGCCAGCGATCTAAGACCCATTCCAGACGCAACGAGCTCCTCGAATTAAAAAGGAAGGAACAAGAAGAAGGTGAACGCGCATGGGGTGGCCCAATTCCGAATATAATCGATGCTAGGGGTGATGATAGCCCTAAGCAATACGAGGAGGATCGTTTACTAAAAGTTGTGCAAGGGTGGGAAGACACAGGAGATGAAGAGGATGTCAGGATTCGCGCTTCAGCATTGAGTATATTTAGCTCTATTATGGAGAAGAGATTAGAGCTTCTGAGTCAGAAAACGGTAGATGTAGCGCTACAGATGAATCTTACGATTCTCATGCTGGAAACTGGGGCTGAGAAAGGGATTTTGAGGAGAGCCGCAGTGCTCGTTTTTATGGGCCTTTTGAGGGGTATAGATGCATCGATCAAAACCGGGACAGAGAGCGTGGTGGGTTTGGGCATAAAACAGTCCGAAGAGGTGGAGCGGGTGATCAAGTGGGTTGCTACTGGGGACCCTGATGACCTAGTTAGGTCTCATGCGGAGAGTGTGCTTGACGGGTTGGAGACTTGGAGAATGAAGAGATTGTTTAAAATCAGGGGTGAGGGGGTCCCATTAGGGCATAACTTTGGGCTAGAGGAGAGTTTAAGGGGATTGGGGTTGACCGCGCTGGGGGGCGAGAACAAGACCCGAGGAAGGGGACCAGCTGTGGAAGAAGTCGAGTAGGCAAGAGATTTACGTGAGAGAGTGTAATTTTGACCCCGGGTTTCCCGCCGACTGTGCATCCATTGTTCCCTTGGTATCAAAACGCTTTGGCCGCGCCTAGCACCTTCTTCCATTCAGATGGACAGGATCGGGCAAATTATAGGCCCGAAACACATCACGCTCTCTTTCTCCAAGGCTAGAGCCCCACGATTGCGCCCGGCCGTGAATGATGCTAGTATCGTAGACTAAGATTCTGCGGTCCCTATGTCGTTGCCTCAACCAGACATAGTTGCATCGCTTGGGCCCTTTGGTGAGACTTGCGCGGCGTCGCCAATCCACAGCACGTTGTTGCACCTGCCAAAACTTAGCAACAAGAACCTGCCTCTATGTACTGGAGCATATTAACCGTATCAAGACTTGTCCTAGTGTCCCTGAGCTGTTCCCACCCACAAACTCCTCCGTACCGGCGAGTTGAATGTTCATATATTGGTCGATAGACACGAGGCGGCCCTTGTACTCGGATTCTCCCCACTTGAGCTTGACGATTACTTCTTTGTCGACCCTACGGAAAAGTCAGAACCGTAGATATCGGACGGGTGAGAGGAAAGAACGTACAAGCTCTGCAGCATAGGTCGTGGGTTGAAGGGTGCCACTGCACTCTAAATGCTAGTATTAGCGGTGGCTTCAAGGAGGCCATAGTGGGTAAATTACCGCCATGTTTTCTGTTCGTTCAAGGCTCTTAAATCAGTGGATTGCAATATGGTAGGAGCCCAGACTGTGGAGAGGTCGCAGGACGTCGAAGAGATAATGCCAAGTCTTCGGATATTCTTTTTTCCGGATCGCGCCGCTTGTGCCTGATCTTGCACCAACTTTCTCTCACCCGACCTCGATGATTAATCCTACGTAATTCGGTTGCAATGCATTCCTCAAGCTCAATTTTAGCCCCCTGTACTCCTGCACTAATGTTTGGAGATGGTTCCTACAAATGAGACGGAGGGAGCGCGGATCAATTCCCTAAGTAGGATTTCCGCACCAATGCACCCTCAAAAGATTAGTCGAGTCAGCAGGATCGTATTTAAGCTCGAAGCGTCCCCGCACACGAAGGTTGAAAGCCAGACCGGATGTCGCAAATTGTCAAGTTCTATCCATCAACTACAGAAGACCATGCAAGAGTTCATCAACGCTCAACCTCTCTTCTTTGTTGTCAGCACCCGATTAGCAGGTCGTCATATTAACCCCCCCCAAAGGGTCATTCAGCACACTCATTCGCCATTTTAAGCGCGAACATTATGGCCTATCTCGACGCCACGAGCTCTGGCTGCGAAACAATATCTCACGTGTACGAGAATGGCCGAGTCACCACCATGTTCTGCAGCTTCGGTCTCAGCCTAAAAATCATGAGGCTATTCTGCGCGGGCCGTGTTGTGGAGAACGACAATAACGGTTTCGACGAGCAGAAAACTAATGTGGAGAGTGACGTCGAATTGACGGGAATTCGTGCCATCATCTTGCTGGGCATTTGGAATGTGCAGACTGCGTTTGGGCTGGAGTGCCTCTTGCTAGACAAGAAGAAATGCTCGAGAGTGATCCCGAAAGAGGAAAAGACTTGGAGTCTGGAGGCGAAGGCGCAAACCATGATTCCATGGATCATTGAGCGACGAAGATGACAGAAACGAAAGCACTCTTCTGATACCAGAGGAATTCGAATACAAAAGCTTGGACGGATGGACCAGCATGTGTAGCACTAGAAGAGCACGTGGATAATGGATGTTAGCTGAAGATATCAAAGTGTGGGGGAGGCGGGTTGGGCATCAGTGGGACACTCTTTTGGTGGGCATGCTGATAGCAGTATCGGTAGTGTGGGTGCTCCACATATCATGTCTCTTGATTGTGGATGCACCGCCGAGAGTTACCAGCCATAAATCCTCAGGGCGCAATCAGATCCCCTAAAGCTGCACGCATAACGGAACATGCTGATCGGCCTCATAGGGCTCAAGATAGAAGACTGTAGTACATGCTAGCATTCTATGGAAAATCGGCACATCGGACATCATCCGCTGAACATGTTCCCAGGTTTTGGGAGAGCATCAGGAGGATGCAGACTTTTTTCTTGAAACAGACTCTATCTTCCATTACTCTTTCAGTTTTCTTGCTGACACTAGCAACAGGCTCAGCAGAACAGCTATTTTTTGGTGAGATTTTGTGGTAGGTGCCATCATGTACACGAAACCTGGCCAACGTCGGTCACGTGTGTCCGATCTCCTGAAGTACCGCAAAACGCATTTGGCCCGATGACGGTGGACAGGTGATAGGAAAGGCTTAATATTTTCGTTGGTTTCTACCCACGAGACAGAAAGTTCGTGAGCTGAGCAAGAGCACCGCCAAGCTCGTTCTGTGCTATCTATTTAGATTAACCGACATCTCCCGCCATGCAAGTACAATCTATTCTTCTCGCTTCATGATCGACAGCTTCGACGTTTGCTTCTCTGTCCTTTTCGTTGGCCTGGACTAGCAGTAGAGACGATTGTTGATTGTGTCATACGGCTTCGCCGGTCTAAATTTCTCTTTTCGTCGGTTTGACAGTTTCCTGTCCTCCCTCCTGCATAGTTGCAATGTAACCATGTTTTAGGTTAGATTAAGGTTCATGAGATCTAAATCTCTTTTATTCTTTTACTTCATTTTTACTCTTACGCCGTTCGTCTTTCATCATCGCTAGGTTGGTAAAAGTATGCAGCACTGCCTCTAATTTTAGATTCAAGGTTTGATATTCTTCTTCCGGGTCTCTGTCTCACTCCAACCCTTTTTTACCTTGAATTTCCCGGCGAGATCAATATACCCAGAGTCGGTCCACTCGCTTAGCATCACCGCCTCGGTTGCTGGTGCTGAAAATAACTCTTCTAGATATGAAGATCATATAAACCCTAGGCCTGATCAGTGTCATTCGCCTTCAGCATAGATGGGGCAACGGCCAACCCATTTGCCAGGTCGCAATTTATCTTGCCGGCGGATCAAAGAACGAGATTAAGCTTCTCTCGCATTTGCAGTTCTGTACTGCTGTGGTATAGAGCTGCGCGTCAACTAAACTACCCCGTGCAGGCCACATCTCCAGTTTGAACACCTGGTCGTTGAGCTTGGATTCGGCATGGCCGTTGGGATCAAGGATTCGAGGTTCCACAAACGGCTCTGCATCTAATCTATCGACAGCCATTCCCATCGTACTTCATGCACTTCCTTGAGACGATCCTTTCCACCTCCCTATGAAATGTAGTATCTCGAAATCCTTGGCGCCGCACCGATAGAGTTTTTCAGGCCCAACATAGATCTAGCCCAACCAACAAGCAACAGGTATAGACCATTTGCGAGTGGCCGAGCCGTTGGTCCCCAGTATGCGGCACGTATTCACGATTCTGCTTCTATGCATTTCGCTAGGATCAACTTGCCAGCCTTGACCATCACCGTGCTTGCACCGGACAGGGGGTTACCACCAATCCTAGCTACTCATCGCGCCCAGTACCGACAAAATGCTGCACTGTACCGTGCTTTCATGCTGCGGATCAGGTTATAGCATTTCCCGCTAGCCAGCCGTCTCATCACCTCACTTTGTGGAAGGGCATTCACCCCATCCTAATATGGGGACTCGTGAAGACGCCGAACTGGTCCACAAAAGCGTGCACGATATGACAGTCGTTCTGCAGTATGGTTTATCCAGATTATCTATACGAAAGTCTGGGTACGTCTTTTGAAGAGAGTGTCAATCGGAGCGTCATAATCAGGCAGGTGGTCTTCACACTAGGAATAGGTGGCAACCGTGACACATTAGAGGCGAAAAAGTATATGAAGGGGGCACTGGTCCTGATAGATCGACCTCTTGTTTCTTGATATAAGATTCTTGACTTGTTAGCTCTTTGACACATTCCCTACTCACGTATTGTCTTCGCACTATCTTATATAAGATTGATTCCGAAAGAGAAAGCTATGCATATGAAGTTAGTATCGGTACTTGCCGTTGGCGTGTTCGTCGTTAATGGCCTCCCCGTTGCAGAGCCTGAAGTATGTTTTATTCTGTCTCTTTCTAGACCTCACCTCTCCTTGATTTTGTCAGGAAGATATTTCCAGCCATTTTCAAAGCAGTATACTAATAGTAAAAAGGCCCAAACCTTTGGCGTTGGTCAAAGTCCGCCTGATACCGTCACTTTCGGCCAGCCTTCAACAACCACAACTTGGGGCAAGGAGAAGCGCGACAATGCTGGTCAGCCAGATAATATCATAACCATCGGGAAGCCAACCACAGTCGTGACATGGGGCAAGGAGAAGCGTGATGATGCAGGTACTCCGGATAATATTGTAACTCTTGGACAACCGTCAACCGTCACAACCTGGGGAAAGCGAGACAGCGAGCACAAGAACCCACCAGATATCATTACGCTTGGTCAACCATCCACGACCATAACATGGGGAAAGCGAGACAGCGAGCACAAGAGCCCACCAGATATCATTACGCTTGGTCAACCATCCACGACCGTAACATGGGGAAAGCGAGAAGTTGGGAAAAAAAACCCACCCCACATCGTTACAAGCCCGCCAGATACCATCACGCTTGGCCAACCATCCACAACCATAACATGGGGGAAAGAGAAGCGTGACGGAATTGAGTTTGGCAAACCGAAGGACACAATCACACTCGGCAAGCCCGATTCCACCATCACCTGGGGTAAGCGGGCCCCTGATGCCGAGCCGCAGACGCTCGATCCTGTCGACTGTTCGTGCGTGAACGCGCCTGTGGGTAATTACTGCGGATACTGCGATCAGATTTCGGGTAGCTTCATGAGCTGGAACAAGTACCATTGCGGCAAGGGTGGAGCATGCAAGAGCTTGGGATACAGTGACCAGTGCGTAAGTGGAAAGGCAAGGTGCCCACTCTAAGGTATCTAGCTTGTGCTTGATGTGAGTATGGTCGGTTCCTGGTCGTTTTGTGAAAATGCTGATCGAAGTTTTAAGAGTGGCTTTGTGCGAAATGTGAGCGATGTTTCGATTTCTTTGGTTCCTTAGTGCAAGTGTTGATTTTGATACCGTGTATCAAGAGGACGAAGCACTTCTCTTCGAGCTAGGATTCTCCTCCCTTGGCTCTCCCGATCGCTTTTTGGGTTGGCTCTTCGTTACTCCAACTGCTAGAGCTGAAGGGCAGACAATGGGCCACGCGAACAGCTTGATGGTTGTCAGCAAGATCTCCTAATTTCTGGTAGGCTTTGTTGAGCCCACGTATATATCCCATAGTCCAAGTGTATAATTTAAGCCGTTTCACACTCCAACACCTCATAAAATACAATTAACGTTCTGATTCCACACATGGCACTTGGTTAATGTGGAATTTCTTCACCGCGATCTAGCACGCCTAGTTCTATGCTGGATATTAATTCACGATATTCGCGACATGTGTTCGAGAATACTTGGATATGATCCTAGAGCCGGCACTAATGGGACCCTTGTCAGAGAAAGAGCATCGAAGCTCGTCCCGCGGAGTAGTGCTCAATGGAACGCTGAAAGCTGGCGCGTCCGGCCATTGAATAGGTTGTAATATAAGGTATGGAACGGCACCTAACCAATAAAACCCTATTTTTAGCACCAAAAATAGAAATGCGGTCATTCTAATCAAGACTTAATGGTTTGGGCAATGCGACGGCCTGCAGCACAGCCGGTTCCTGTTTCTCGGAAGATCATCAACGACCACGCCGGGATTCTTATTCTTGCGCATGTGTCTCCAGGGTTTGCTATTTTAAGATCCGGAACTATCATTGTGAATTTGGGTGTTTGCTTCTTAGGGATTTGGGTCTTTTGGACACGGAGAACAGATTATGCTCTCCGGATTTCCCACTTGACGTTCGTGATGCTGACTTCATCGCTAGCTTTTTCGTCGTAGTCGAACCATTCCCCTTCGGCAAGTTCGATGTTGGAGAATTTGGTGCCAGAAGCAACACCCGTGGCTAGCCATTCGCCCTTGGATGTCATCAGATATGCTCAAGGATAGGGGTTATATCACAAACGGACTTCAGCGCTGAACTCGGTAAACTCAAGGCCGCGACAATCGAATTCGAGTATGCTCTGAGTCTTAGCGGGTTCCGTTTGAGGATACGCAGCAGGTCCTGCTTTTATTATCGCGGAATGCTCTCTCTAGTTGGTTTAGTGAGCCATAGGCTGAGGATATCTGGGAGGACAAAATGACCTTACAGTTCTTGCATCTCCAAACAAAGTTCGCCTCGCCTCTGCTGCCGCTCACCTCATGGGTCTCCTATGCTATATTAGACGAGGGGACGCCAGAAGAGAGGGGTAGCGTACGAATCGACTCATGGTGACAAAGTTAGGATGGGTTTCACGGCAAGACGTGCACTGAACCTTGAATGTGTAGAAGAAGGGGCTCTCAGCCGTGTCGTTTGGACGTAAGTCCGTGACTCTGGCTTGTTAACCGTTGTCGAGCGTAGCTGGCATGTGAACCTACCCGTTGAGCTCGGCGGTCAGGGCGAGCGCAAGCATGTTAGAACGGGAATATCTAGGTAGCGCTTGTTCGAATATATTTTTCGAAGTTGAAGAAAGTCATGGCCAAGATGCGGGGCCCTCGATACATGTCCCGCATTCACGTGATCGCGTGTCTGAGTCAGCCGAATTTTCAAGCATCAGGCCATCTGCCCATCGTGCCTTCCAACCTCGGAATTGGAAAGCTCAACAAGTTCCTCTTTCCACTAACGTCTGTCCTTATCGCCTATCGCTGCGAATCTGCTACCCCAGGACTCCATCTACGCACACATTCGAACCACCACGAAGCATGCCCCGATAGCAATGCAAGCCCTCTGGTCCCGGGCAGCGCGCAACCCGGGTACCTTTAGATACATTTCCTGCATCTCCAACTCCACAGCCCTTGTACGGCAGCCCGGTGTAGCCAGTCTTCGTGGTGCGTGGGCTTTTGGGACCCCAACGTCGACTTTTGTCTATACTGCGATATTCGCCGCTGGTCTTGCAATCGATGCAAAGGCAAAGAGAGATAGGAGCGAACAATGGGACTTGGCATTTGCTTTGTTGCGGGAAGAGATGGCGAAGCCATCCCATCCCACGCCTCGATTTGAAACACTTGATCCGACTGTCGATGCCATGATCTCCACAGAACAAGAAGTGGTTGAAGATATGAGCATAGGGGTACCGGGCTATATCAGGCCCGAGGAAGTATGGCCAGAAGGCGTGGATTGGCCTTTCATCTACCGAATCGCTGGCACGGAGCTTATTGATGACCCTGTCCTGCTGCAGCGTCAATCTCAGATTGACTTCCAGGGAATCGCGGAAGACCTATGGAAGCTCCTTTCGTTCGACTCAAGGATGCCAGGGACGCAAGCTATTGATTGGCCTGTCAGCACAGGTCCGGACTTAGTCCGCCACCATCTGCCTCCACAGTCGTTGTGGTCTTATGATCACGTCCGAGAGAAGGCTCTGAGGAGAAGGCACACTTGGAAGAAGGTGGCAATTCAAGAACTTGCTGTTGGCATACTGATTCATCGATTACTTGCGGCTACTCAAGCACATCAACTACCGCACCATGTTCTCCAAACCCTACCACAATCTATTCTTGAAGTCGCCAAGCTTGACGAGATTGAACACCATTCTATTGAGAGAGAAATGTTGCAACACATGCGGGGATTGCACAATATGCCTGGCGAGCTTTCCGCCGAGAAGATTCTGGAAGCCAAGTCATTCTTAAAATATTCTGCAACACCCGAGTTCCATCAAGACGCTGATGGAGACTTTTACTACATTTGCCAGCAAATGAACACAGCCATAAAACAACTCCTCTTTGAAACAGACCCGCATGGCTGGCAGATTCCAAAAACTATTGCTAAATTGTGCCACAATTTTCTTGTTTCCTCCGCCGCTCCCGACGTCCAGACATTTAATATTCTTCTTGCTGGCCTTCAACGTTGGAAAATGCCCGATATGGTCGATATAGTTATACAGGCCTTTTATGATTGTAAAATCCGCCCAAATGAGATCACAGTCTCCATGATACTGGATCATTACATCCAGTCTAATAGCCCGACGGAGTTTAGCAAGTTCGTGGCTAAAATGCGAGGCTTCGGCGGGGCCTTGATGTTAGCAGATCCTGGCATCACCATCAATGAAGCTGGCGGCGGTCGCCTTGTCAAGATAGACGACCGGAAAATCTATCAAAAGGTTTTCCCTACGCCTTTAGTTTTTAATACCCTCATGCTCGGCGCACTTAGATTTGGAGGTTTGGAGCGGTCCCTCGAGATATACTACGAGATGAAGCAAGACGGCTGGGGGCTCGATGTTATGGGCCTCAACCATTTCCTCACAGATTGTGTGCTCCGCTGCGACTGGGACAACGGCCTCTATATTTGGGAGGAAATCAACAGCATCAAGACGACAGCAAATATGAGTCACTTGGCAGTCGCCTACTCCACCATGCTGAGTCTATGTTCCGTCACACGCAATTCTGCCGCGTTTAACCAGGTCTTAACTGAAATCGCCCGTCGAGGGTTCGATCGCAAAAGGATCCTTGAATCAGCTATGGCAATGGCGCATAAAGCGCAGGAAGAGCAGGATATTGCAGCCCCCCCTCAGACAGCGGACAACGTACTCATTGCGATCTCTGCATATATGGATGATGTGGGTCCGTCTCAGTCTCAATCCCAAACTTCAAGAGATATGTGTGACAGCACTCTAAAAGAGGTTGCCTCACCTATAGAGGAACCCGAGGAGGCTTGGGCCTCCTGGCTTGAACATGAGCTTGGGGGAAACGTCACACATGGGTCTAACCAGCTATCGGATCCTAGTCGGTTGGAAGGGACCAGCCACCCGAAAAACGCAAAAAGGAAACAGATGTGATGAAATCAATATGAGTTGTAGGTCGCAATTGGTCACTTCGAATATACCCAAGATGGGCCTTGTGTTAACAGCTACGCCAATGCTGGTATGATATACCAATCTCATCATTCATCGAGTGAAGGAAAGGTCGGTCTGCCATTACTGCGATCTATAAACACTCTAGATTGGAGGCGAATGCGGAACCCCCTAGGCCCGACTCCTTTAATGCCAAGACAACTTGTTCTTGGGTGCGCCATTCTATGTACAACACTCCACAACACCCTTTTTACTCCTGCAGGGCAACATACCTTTTGCATACGAGGCTGTCCTATACACTGCCTACATATATGGAGCTGATCGTATGCATTTCTCTGGCATCCATGATATTTTTGAACGAAGAATTACGGATGACGTAATGATGTACAATGAATGTATCAGATATGACTCGGTTACGATAGGATTAAGATTACATCACCACTCAACAGTGAAGTCCGGCTCAGATACCTTTATCACATTGCTTTCCGCCGAGGCCAGTCTTCTTGCGCAAGCCCAGGTCAGGAACAAGAATTGTTATGTTAGAACCATCATACCTATTTACTGGCCTTAAAAGTTTTCCTCCTCACTGGTTGAGTTCCCTTTGCCTTGCCAAGGCGTTGATCAGGAAGCGGGTTCACAGCTATTCTCCATGGAACTAACATTTCATGCTGTCACAACTGAGAGGACTTCTTGTAGTGAAATACGTGTGGAAAAATCTCTTAAATCAGTGTGACCTATGTATACTCGAATGAGCGGTACCTCAGACTTCGTTCGACGTACCAGTGATGGTAGCTGCACCAATGTTACTACTTTATCCACCTTGCCATCAAATATCATTCTATCCGACCGGTCACGCCCGCGCCAATCACGGGACACCTGGTGCGGTAAACTTGATTTTTCCTAGCAGCAACCACAGAGGTTACCCAGCGGTACAAACGGCAAGGTCTAAACAGAAGTAGAAGTGAAATGGATAATTGACATTTTCTTCAGGAGCGGTCTAATGTTCTAACATTGACACTCAGAAGAATACGATAAAGCATTTGATTTAGGACAGAAACCAGGATCCTTCCAAAACCCTTCTTATTTTCAGCCAAATTTGCTAGAGCATGATGTCAATGCTCGAGAGGAGACATTAGTATGCTGTAATATTTACCTGTTTCCTAAAATGAATATCACAACCCAGTAAAGCTGTCCTTCCCGTCAAGAGGGGTTCCGGATTATTGTGATGGGTGAATCCCTTCTTCCTACGCCAACTTCCCCGGCACAAAAGGTAATCCAGCGCTCAATCCACCATCCACTGCCCAAGCCTGCCCATTGACATAACTACTTTCATCGCTCGCTAGGAACAATACAACTCTAGCAATCTCATCCGGTTGGCCTCCTCGCCTCAACGGGTTCAGCTGTCCGATCTTCCTTTCTGTGCCCCTTGACCGCGCAGCTTCGTAGGTGACCTTCGTCATTCCTGTTTCAATCAAGCCAGGACACACGGCATTACATCTGATGCCGGTGCCTGTGAGCTGATACGCACAAGTCTGCATGAGCGAGATAACAGCAGCCTTAGACGCACTGTAATCCGTAGGCCCTGCATTTGACCGAAGTCCTGCAACGGAGGCGGTGCCAATGATACTTCCACCAGGATACGGTTTTCCAGAGCTCGTTTTCAGCATGGCCCTCGATGCATATTTCGCTGCTAAGAAGACACTCAACGTATTTGTCTTGAGAATCTTCATAAACTCCTCACTACTACTTTCCCAAAATACTTTTGCGGAACTGATACCGGCGTTGGCGAAGAATACGTCCAGACGACCGTATTTGTCTAGAGCTTCTTGGACGACATCATCGACTGACTCTTCTTCTCCTGCGTCAAACTGGCGGGTATGTATGTCAACGTCCGGGTATAGGGAATGGAGTTCGCGCTTATGCGTGGGGAGATGGGAGTCGGCGAAATCGCAAAGGAAAATAGCTTTGGCGCCATTGCGGGCAAATTGATGGGCAGTAGCTCGGCCGATACCTATTGGGGAGTTTGCGCCTGAAGATGTGTGAGCCGTGTGAGACCATGAGCATCGCATCTTACGATGAGCGCTTCGCGAGTGTGAAGAAGTTAAAGGCAAGATAAGTTGTACGAACCCGTGATGATAGCGACCTTTCCTTTTAGCCTTCTATCACCCAACGACATCAGCAACTTAACCATATCCCAATTTTGTCGCCTGAATCGAGAGATTTCATACTCACTGTCCCACCGAATCCCCCGCATTGGTTCGAACCTTGGGTATGTTCTCAAACGAGCCAGGATCTGACAATGGCTCCGAGAGCTCTTTGCTAAGAAATTGTTGTTTTAATTTTGGACCGGGCGGCATCTTCAAGAAAGGTAGGTGAAGTGAGAAATCTGAGTGAGTTGTGGGAATGCGGGAGCTTTAAAGTGCGGAGCTGATGACGGAGGTTCCAGAAGTTGAAGAAATGCCGAGGTACTTTCGTGGATGGCCGAAAAGGGAAAGCAAGCTCTCCTTGTCGATGCAGACGACAAAGCAGGGAAAGATCATAGAAAATATTATTTTGAGCATCTCTACGATTGAAAACTGCTTCAGGATGACGCTCTGAGTTAGGCGCGAAGACGGGGCTCACTTGTTACCACTCCATAGCACTCTGACAGATTTTGCTTGCATTCATTTTGAGGCTGAGCTGGGAAAACATATGCTCTGGGTATCTAAACTAGGCAAACATCTCGATAGGTAAGGCCCCTCTCAGTAGAACGAAACCGTGGTATTATCCGCAAACAGCTACTGGCATCCCTAGTAGTCTTGGAAGACATGTTGTAGTCCATGCTTACGAGAAGAGGGTCTAGAACAATCAGCCAAAACCCAAGTTCAGGATGTGAGGGAACTCACTCTATCTGTTGGGTTCGTAGTGTATTTTTTAGAATCGGGCCGGTGGTGTTGGTCGTTTTCGGGACATGCGACACAGTGGAGGACCCATTTGACCCTGGGTTGTTGCTTCGTTGCTAGGCAACTCGTAAATTCAATCACTATCTTCTTCATCGGCCACGACCTCGGCCTCTTCCACGCCCTCGGGATCGCCCTTTTCCTCGTGGTGCTCTACCTACCCGCTCATACAACTTTTCTTCCGAGAAAGCAACGTCTGCAATCCTGATATAGCTTGGAATGCCATTGTCGACTATAGCAAGGATGACGTTCCTAGAGCCATGCCTCAGCTTCGCATATAAGTTGCCATCCGATTTAAAAGCATTATACGGAGTAGTTGCAAGGAGATCATTTAATTGGGCAGCTGTAGGCACTGACGTCTCGCGCGCGTTTATGACAGCAACACGATAGTCTGGCTCGCCGCGAGCTGTTTTCTTGAATTTCCCGGCTGGCTTGTACACGTCGAAAGTAACTCGGAATGGGTTTAATGAGTCTGGCTCGAGGGTGAACATGGGTGGAGCTTTGTGATCATGGGTATGAATGATTTCGAGGAGGCGGTAGATGTCAGTATAGCTCCTGTACAGCCCCAATTTGACCATGGGGCCACATTGTAGTCGCTTTGAAAGGTCTTCTGTGTCATGTCTTCCCAACCTTCGCCATATCTCAACGAAGAAGCTTGACCGTTGGGGACTACTGTTAGTGCTAGTATGCTCAAGAGCCGTGTGCTCGGAAGGTTGTAAGCCTGGGCGGTTGTCATCCCAGCTCCCTGTGCGGAACACGACATATCCAGTTCTTTTCAGAGAAGCATACACTGTGTACATCTCGAGCGTCAGCTTTCCTCCTACGCCACCTTCGAATCCAATGAAAGCAGCATAAGCGCCCTGCAGGCTCATGGGGGTTCCCTCTTGAGGCTTCGACGTGGAGTCCTCATCCTCAGTGGGCTTCGTCACGGGCCACCGACAGTCTAGGCTGCCCTTCTCGATCAGGAAGAGGGCTTCCTCCGGCAACAGCCAAGTGGTGATTCCCTTGGTCTGACCTATTGTCTGGAAATTCTCACCTTTGGCTCTCTCTACGGATGCCATGTTGTGCCCTGGGTCATAGAGGCCCAGTAGGTGTTTCTTCGGGGTGTGAATGCGCTGCCATGATAGGACGCCGTGCATGGCCTGGCGGGAGGCCTCGAGGTTAGAGAGCTGGAGAGACGTGGCATGCGGCTCGAAGTCCTTGTCGCCGCGCTTGGGGAGAGTGAGATCTTTGGAGTCGTACGCACTGGAACTGTGTCAGTGGTACCTGCCTTAGTAGGTATTGTTGATTGTGGGAGCCTGGGAGGGAAGGTGCCTTGGGTGAGGGAGGACGCACGTGAGCTTGTCGAAGAAGCGAAAGTCCTGTGTCTCGTCGCTGAGATCGCCTTCGTCGGCACTTGCGGCAGTACGCAGGCGAGAAATATCCTCGTCTTCGTCAGCCATCATTGCCTGCCGAGTGATACCGAATGGTATGGCGGGGTTTGTGGGTGGTGGAAAGTCGAGGTGGGATGCATCAAAGTAAAACAGGAGCTGTGACTCCTCCGTCTCGCCTAAACTTTCCTTGCTCATCCTAATCTGAATGGTGCCAAAAAGCCACCTTACGAGATAGCGACCCTCGAGCACATTCTGAAGCTAGGGAGCTGCTGGTACATTTCTGTTGTCGTGTACTGTAGTGCAGCACATTCTAACGCCTCCCGGATGCTGCACAATCGTGTTTCGAAACCTAGCTCTCATATTTCACTCCTAGATGTTTGGAAGAGCTCAATACCTCAACCAGGTCAGCGGAACCATGGTCTCTTGAATGGATCCTTTCTCAGGTCCCAAGCCTTTCCAATGGGTTCGTACTCGCGTTCACTCGCTTCGGAGATAAACCTCTTGAGATTGTGGAATTCCCATCCTCGTGCGCCCGTTGCGGCTCCCTGCAGAGGGATCCTCGATGCTTCGTTTTGGAAAGGGGAAAGACATTGACTCCTTCGATAAGTTGGATAATAGCCAACCTCAAGTCACTCCTTACGCTCGATCGACCGACTATTTCGTAAGTAGTCAACTGATCCAGTCGAGATTCGAGAAGGCGAATGTGTATTATTGAGGCGAACGACGACCTCAGTATCTCGGAAGCTTTGATCAAGTTGTGGGCTGAGCTCTCGGCTTCTGGTGATTAAGAAGCTTAACACCATGCTGGTGCAACGTGGGATGAGCGGTTCGTCACGTCGTCCTCTTCCGACGGAAGTCTGAGGCTCTTACGGTAAAGTTTTCCAGAGCCGAGTCTCACGCGCAGACCGCCGGAGGGCTGGCGATAGCCATGGTCCGGGCGACGACAGTACTGCACAGGAGCACGCTATCCGAAGGCGATCAAGCGCCACATGGCAAATACGATATCGACATGCAGACTCCCCACGGGGCAGCAAAGGCAGTCACCAAGAGCATCCAGAATGACGCCTCATACTCACAAATCTTGACCGGTGCAGCCTTGGCAGACAGAGAGTGGAGGGCTTGTATTGGGTGAGATGGCCAATTAAAAGACCATGACTGAGCCAGGCAAAGTTCAGACAAGCTGTGGCGTACTGTAGGAGGACAGTCGAAGAATGAAGCCGCCTGTCAGCCCAGACTCGCCAAGCATTGCCCCATGTCCTTGAAAGCCTCCTTCACGAGTGTTATTGGGAGAAGTCGTGGGCCAAGAGGAATCAAGTTGGCGTGGCTGGGACAGCCTAGCTTGGGCACGATCGGTCGGGGTGACCGACACGCAGTCTGCTTTCGGAGCGACGTCGCTATGTAACCAAAGACACACAAGGCAGTCTGGGAGGCGCTGCGGGGAATACTTTGCAAACAGCAAGTGTATGCGCCGGCAACATGAACGAACATACGAGATAGATGGGCGAAATTGGAGAAACTCATGGTGGAGCCGTCTGCTGCGGGTGCCGCCAATCAGGCAAGCATCGACGGTCCTTGCAACGCTAGTCTTTCTCCGCTCCCTGCATCTCTTCCGAGTCACTTGCACCGGACGTGCATCCTTCTCTCCAAAGCCAGCAGTTTGTGGCAGACTGAAGCCGGGGAAAGCAGCTGCACGCATGTGAGGCGATCACGGAAGCGCGTCGAGGTGATGTTGCCCATGCACAATTGGCTTTGCAGGACTCCAACATCCAGAAGTACGGGACGAGTGCGAAGGCTAAGGGCCTGGGCTCCCGAACACCTTCACTTTGCTCCACAGCATCCTGGGTCAGGTCCCGCTAGGCTTCTCAACCATTACGCTGGATTGCCCTAAGACATATCATAAGCCACCCGCGCGCTGCTGCAACGCTTTCTCACACTTCACAGCAGCTCGTTATCTTGCTGTCTCTTCCTATACAGATTGAGAGCCCTTGCTCGAGATCGCCCGTAAGCTTAAAGCTAATATACCTGAAGAACCCCCCGCCGGCATATGGAATTCGTCGTTGACTTCTTCTGCCTTCTTCTCAAAGCCATTTGCTAGATTCTTGGACTCCAACTCCAGGTCCCTTAGTTTCTTTTCACAATGGCCTCCACCGGTGTTGACTATGCTCCCCAAGCCTTCGACGAAAAGAAGCCACCCTTGGACCAAGAACAGCCCGCTTACAGCTATGATGTTGAAGGTCGTCGCGGGTCGCTCGCTACCTCTGTCAAGACCGTTCACGATTCCACTCGGCGGAAGCTTAAACCACGCCATATACAGCTGATCGGCATTGGTGGTACAATTGGTACCGCCCTTTACGTCCAAATCGGACATGGACTGCTGAATGGCGGACCAGCGAGTCTGTTCATGGCTTTCACAATCTGGTAAGTCTCTTCAGAGGCAGCATTCGGTCGAAACCCGGTAAAGAGAATGGAAAACATATAAGAACAAGAGTCTTACGATTTGGTGCAAACAGGTGCTCGTTCATTCTAGCTGTTACGTTATGTAGGGATATCCTTTTCTTGAGCTCTACTGCCCTACCCCATTGCGACATATTAGGACCTTCAGCCAAAGCAATATCAAGTGCTCGCAGAGTCATTCCAAGAGCAGTCTAGACCAACCCAAAAACGCTTCAAGCCTTTTATAAAACCCAATGCGTCAAATCCCTGCTAAATCAAGACCTAGGTATGGCCGAAATGGTCACTTACCTCCCAATCTCATCGCCTTTCATTCGTTTCGCTGGCCGCTACGTTGATGATGCATTTGGAGTCGCTGCAGGATGGAATTTCTTCATCTTCGAGGCCATGCTGGTCCCCTTTGAAATTGTGGCTTGCAACGTCATTATCCATTTCTGGAGTGATATCGTCCCCGCTGGTGGAATTATCGCCATTGTTATCTTTTTATATGGGTAAGTCAGCTGCTTTTGAATATCGCTCAAGGCACTCCTGAATTCTACTCCCCAGACTCACTTGTAGCTATGGCACTAACCCTGATGAAGAGTAATCAACCTCCTGGCAGTGAAGTGGTACGGCGAAGCCGAATTCTGGGCTGCTCTTGGAAAAGTCTTGCTTATTATCGGTCTCATCATTTTTACCTTCATCACCATGCTTGGCGGTAACCCTCTTCGAGATCGCTTCGGCTTCCGGTTCTGGAAAAATCCTGGTTCCTTCGCTGAACTCTACTACACCGGTGACCTAGGCCGCTTTTTGGGCTTTCTTCAATGCCTTATTCAAGCTTCCTTTACAATCGCTGGACCAGATTATGTTTCCATGGCTGCGGGTGAAGCCGAGAACCCTCGACAAGTGATGCCCCGCGCCTACAACGCTGTATTCTACCGTCTGACAGCCTTCTTTGTCCTCGGAAGTTTGTGTGTGGGAATCAATGTGCCATACAACGACCCCGAATTGACCGCTGCCTTCAAAGAAAGCAAGCCCGGAGCTGCAGCGAGCCCGTATGTTGTTGCCATGAACAGGCTCCGTATCCAGGGGCTCCCTCATATTGTCAACGCCATGGTCTTGGCCTCCGCTTTCTCGGCTGGAAACTCGTACGTCTACTGCGCGTCCCGCTCTCTCTACGGTCTAGCACTCGAAGGCAAGGCGCCGCGATTCTTAACCAGGTGTACACGGAACGGAGTTCCAATCTACTGTGTCGCTATCGTGCTTGCCATCGCCCTGCTATCCTTCCTCCAATTAAGCGAAAACTCAGCTGTCGTGCTCCAATGGTTTGTCAATCTTGTCACGGCCAGCCAATTGATCAATTTCAGTGTGATGTGCTTCACCTTCATCCGGTTCTATAAGGCGTGTCAGGCGCAGGGGCTCGATCGAAACACGCTGCCGTATAAGGGCTTCTGGCAGCCGTACGCGGCATGGTATGGCCTGGTTGGCACTTTCGTGATGACGTTTGTGGGAGGTTATACGGTGTTCTTGAAGGGCCAATGGGATGTTCCTACGTTTTTGTTCTCGTGAGTCTAACCAAATCCCCCATTCTGAAATATACCTATCGATCGTTGGGGGAACTTTGAGATGAAAAGGACCTTGCTGATACAAAGTAGTTACATGATGATCTTTGTCTTCCCGGTTCTTTTCCTTGGATGGAAGTTCATTAAGAGGACCAAATTCATGAAACCTGAGGAGATTGACCTGTATCAGGACCTGGAGGAGATTGAGGAATATACAAGGAATTTCGTGCCCACGCCGGATAAGAATGCTTTTGATAAGTGGTTCAACAAACTGTTTAGCTAGGGGTGAAAGTATGGACTGTAAGGTAACATAGGAATTGGAGTGATTTGGGGGATGTACATATCAGCTCTTTGAATTGAGGAATTGGAAATCAAGTCTTTCATTTCGGGTGCATACCCCTGCAGATGGATGTGCCTATTAAGGAATCAATAGTCGCGGATCGTCCGTATTCGAACGGGTACGAATAACCTTCTCGAACCGCTTGTAGATGCCACCAGGAATATGAAACCGCGTTCGGAAAGCTTGTTGACTTAGAATTCAACATAGGCGAACCTTGGGAAACCATGCTAGACATATCTATTTCATCTTTAAACTTCATGTCCTCATTTTATATTTTTCTTAAACCCACTGCAAAAGGGTTTATGCACAAGAGGTCTGAAAGACCTTATATCGATTCCCACCACCCGACGCCAATGCATGTCGCGAGAAAAGTTGATTCAGACTATGGTCAAGAATGATAAGGACACATAATGGGGGAGAGCAACTAGAAGAGAAACGTTGGTATATCATCCAACTTAACAGACTTCCTTTTCTCTTGTTCCAGGTCCTTCCCCCCCTTTTCAGCCTTTCGTTTGGCGAGGCGTTCTGCTTGCTCTTTGAGCACTGGCACGCTACCCGGAAAGTCGAGGGAATTCAGGAGGTCGAATGTAGGACGGGAAGCTGTTGATCGCGTTCTGGGGTGAGACTGGTAGGCTACCGGAGGCTCGGAGACATTCGTGGACTGGGTGGCCATGCCACTCGAAGTATCGAAGACCTTTGCGGGCGATGGCGATCTCTTTGTTAGGGAGAAGTCGTCGAGCAAGTTGACCCTCGATGTTGCTGGCCGAGGATTGGAGGGTAGCGGAGGCTTTGTAAAGGATCCTGGCTTGGACACAAATTTACTCTGTGATGGGCTAGCAGATGCTTTTTTGGAGGGTGGCTTCGAACGTCTTGGTACATCCAGGTCGTCATCTTCGGAAAGGTCAGAACTAGAGAAGCCATGTGGAGGTTGAGAGTCTATGAACGACAGAGGTAAGACTGGAGGATGCGTCGCCGATCTGCTAAGAACGGCCGGTCCAACACGGCTTGGTTTTGCGGGGGCTAGTATCAACGTATCTAAGATATCTTCATGTCTATGTTTCTTTGAAGACATGAAGTCGTCTTTCAGCGCCTTTCTCTGGGCCTTACTTGGTGCATGAGCTTTTGCCTTCAGCTGACCCTCTAATGAAGGCCTTGCATTTGCAACCACTGGGCGGGGAGTTTTCTTTCTCGTTTGCAGTTTGTTCTTCAGTCGTTCATATTCGGCTAAATGTAGGTGTCGAGTGAATAGTTTGGCGGTTTGGAGGAGCTCGTCTTCAACCATCATCCATTCGTCATCGTGAAGGTGAGATTCGTCGATACCGCTGCGCATGAATCTAGGCTTCTAAGCCGGATTCAAAGAGGCACCAGAAAAGTGACTTACTCTCGTTTAAGTGGGGGCAGCTCTGAGACAGCAGGCTGGGGAGAGGAAGAGGGTGCATGATCTGACAGTAATCGTGTCTTCTTTGTTCGCACCGCAAAAGGAATCTCTGAAAACCCATCGTCAGAATCTAGGTGTTCTATAGTTGATAAGTGATTAGCGAAGTGATAGCTTTGGAGCATGCCCACGTCTTTCGCACGTACTCGCCTGTGATTTCCCTTTTCGCGGAGGCGCAGAAACAGTCCCTGAAAATAGTCTCTCATCATCATCATCGTCGTCGTCGTCGTCATCGTTGTTGTCGTCGATTGGTTCTCTTTTCGTAGGTCTCGAAGCCGCCTTGCTCAGCCAGGGCAGCTTTCTCGGCATGGTGTAGGGTAGCTGAGACGTTGTCCAAAACAAAAATAAATATTTGTCCGTCAAAATCAAAGCAAAGTGGTTGCATATTGTGAGATTAGATGCTTTGCATCGCCAACTTGCGCGCCGCTTCTGCCATGCAAGCAAGACGGTAAGCGCGTCAAAGGAGCTGTGAGGTGGAATGGCCATGTCACGGGATGACATGGAAGCAGGTGCCAATTTCCGAACAAAGCTTTCCTTTGATGATCCCTGTCAAATTGGACCGCCAGCAACTCCGCCCTTCACTTGAGGCAGCATCACGACACCAAGCTGCCATGCTTCGCGATACATAGAGGCCACGTTTCAGATTTCTATTCCTTTCGGTTATGTTCTGCGATTCGTGTCTCTTAGATACACTTTGGGTGCCTATTTCATTGTGGATTCGACTTGTCGTCTCTGAGTTCGTTTAATCCGAACCCAAACTCCCGGCCGCAACCTTCATTGAAGCATAGAATGAAGGTCCTATTTTTTCTTGACGGGTTCCTTGCTTCCTTGTAATGCCTTCGTTGTTTCGCAGACCAGGCGATAGTTCCTCTAGCGATAGCTCATCAGAGGGCGCCAACGAGGACACAAACGCACCACCGGAGGACTTGAACCTTTTGTCGAGGATCAAAACTATTGACTCTGCTCAATCCGAACGCCAGGTGCCGGGAAGCCGCCCTGCCATCTCACGGAATAATAGCCAGTTTCGTGATCTTATTCTTCATTCGCTGCTCGAGGACAAAGCGCTTCGGGAAGCCGCCGAACATCTGGGCAAAGATCGGAGTGCCCCAGAAGTCCAAGAACTTGCACAGACGACGTATCGAGCGCTTTGTCAACAACTTTCGGGACAATATGAAGTCGACAAGAAGTATGCTAGTGACGAGATGCGCGCACACCGTGCTGCAGCGCAAGAGGGTATAGATGCCCTGACGCGCAGCCACCTTCCCCAACTTGCAGCGCAAGCAGTCGGTGAAACCAACGCACTCATGTCGCACCCTGGTGCCGCTCGCAATATCTCTGGTCTCGAAAATGTTCTTAGTAGCATCCCCCCTCTCCTTGAGCTTCCCCTTCAAGGTTATCCTGGTATCCACAGCGATCGTTATGCTCGCGAGTTCGTCGAAATTGCTACCATCGGAAGGGGCGGATATGGAAAAGTGTACAAGGTCAAACACAAGCTCGATGACTCTTTCTATGCGATTAAACGAATCATGGTCAGCCCAGCGCGTCTACAGAAAATAAAGGAGCATGGACCAAAAGAGATGGAAAGTATGCTCAATGAGGTTAGGGCGCTTGCGCGCTTTGATCACAGCAACGTCGTTCGATATCACAATGCCTGGCTAGAATTTATATCAGGGCAAATGGACGTGTCGGCGCCCCCTACAGCTTTCGTTCGGATCGATAGACTCCTGGAGAACGGTTTTACCAGACCCGACAGTGTCCGCGGTGTCGACAAACTACCGTCTAACTTCAACAACCTGTGCTTTGAAGACTCACTTAGTGACGAAGGCCTTAAAGAGGGCCTGGACGTTGTTTTTGAAACTAGTGATAGAGGCGGTGGTCAAGACGATACAAGCTACGGGCCTCAGAGTGCATCTTCAAACGACGCGCGGATGACAGAACAACGCCGTTCACGCTGCATTAGTAACGCAACGATTGAAACGATGTCTTCCTCCCGTTCTCAGATGAGCACAATTCATGGTTTTGGAGAGGAAATCGACGAAGACGTGGAAGTCATTCCAAGAAGTTACCAGCCAGTCCCACAGGACACTTCTTCCGACTTCTCGCCAAGTATGTTGTCGCACAGCGACATTCCTGGCCATCTCATATCTACACGCGCGTCAGGACCGATCTTAACTCTCAACGTCCAAATGAGTCTCTACGATACAAACCTGGGCGAGTTTCTGTCCGTCGAACAGAACTCTTTAGCTGCCCTAAGCAATCCCACATCCGTCCAAATACGCCATTGTTTCCACCCGCACGTTAGCCTCGACCTCCTCACCAAAGTCCTCGCCGGTGTCGAATACCTCCACGCAGAAGGCGTCGTACACCGCGACCTTAAACCCGCTAACATATTCCTCTCCCTCAGCGCCTCTAACATCGCACCGTCCGGCTCCGTGGACCTCGCTAGCTGCCACGACTGCCCCACACGCACCTCTCTTCACATAAATCCCCGCATCGGAGACTTTGGTCTCGTCGCCGCTCTAGGAGACGGCTGTCTAACATCCGATACTGCCAAAAAGCCAGTTGGGACGGAGCTTTATCGGCCAGAGAGCGTCGTAAGGGTGAACGAGAAACTAGATGTTTTCGCGTTGGGAATCATTGGGTTTGAGATGCTGTGGAGATGTGGTACCAGTATGTTCCCTTTTTAGTGACACTTTCCATGATATTCTTGGCTGACCGGGTAAATGTAGGGATGGAAAGAATCGATGCTATCATGCGGCTTCGGCGAGGTGAGCTTCCCTCTGGCTTTGCTGACGTGGTGGGGGGTGGTGTACCGGAGATCATTCAGGGGATGGTGTGCACGGACGATAACGGCAGGTGGAGTTGTGAAAAAGTGAAAACAGAGTTATGGAATGCAATGGAGGGGCTGAGGCAGCAGCAAGTTGGTTTCTGACGTTATGATACCCCATTTAAGAATTGAAAGCTGAAGCTGCCAACTGCTTCAATATTTCGCAAAGGTGTCATCATGATATAGAATTGTGATAATAGTGCACAGAGAATGCCCACACAACCCCCACACGCGGAAGAAAACATTGGAGTACGCAATCTTCCATTCTAGTCGTGCCACCAAACCTTTGCATATACGTACAAAGGAGCCCCTAATCTGTATTGATCAATACCTTACCTCCATGTTCCAGAAGCTAAACTCCAACCTCGACTGCAAATGGTTACCAAAAACCTATCGCAATTTCGAATTGCTCCAAGGTCGAACAAAATTTGTCTTGCCAGAAAGACTCCAAAACACCGCGCTTCCATGTACGCAGAAAAAAAAACCTCCCATCGAAAACCTGATATTCTCATCAAACGCCTTTCCATTCATATGCACAACGCTGTGAACCCGGTCACTTTTAATTGAGTTGGGTGGCTTGAAGGGAGGCAGCACTTATTTAAATACTGACGTAACCCCCCTCGTCGCCTCCCGGTGCATCTTCCCATCCTTTCCCGACCTCACCGAGCCCGGGCCCACGTGTATCCATGGCCATTCCCTCACCCTCTCCACGCTCAACCCACTCTTTCTCGTTAATATCTTTCCAGATGCGCTGGAAATAGAGCCTCAGTGACCTCAAGCCACGGAGGTAACCCCGGTCAACGCCATCTGGGTCTCTTGGTGGGCAAGGCACGACTTCGGGAAGAGGATCTTCAGCTGTAACGCAATTTGCAAAGTCTACAATTTTGAGCTTGATCTCGGAAGGTCTATTAGGGTTGGATGTAGCGTTCGATGGAGGACCAGAAGATGGGACACCTAATATGTCTTCTCGATTCGAGTTTGAAATGCCATTTAGTAGTGTCGGAGTCTCTTTGTCCTTCTCAAACCCATCGCCGCGATCATACAGCATGAGGAGGCTGCTAGCGTAGAAGCGGTATCCAGGCAGCCTTCTAATCATACCTTCCAGTATACTGATCTTCTCGAGAATGATAGGAATATGTCGAACGGCGGCCTTGTATCCATTTCCATCAAAGAAGAATCGTTTCAATGCATCCTGAAACTCCTTTCCAGCTTTCAGATCGCGACCGAAGTACTTGTCTTCAAACACGTAGCTCTGCGTCTTAACATTCCAGATCTGCATTCCACAGACCCTGACACCAAGTTCGCGGCTCGTTGTCATCTGGCACTTGCGGCGTTGTGAACGTTGCTTCTTCTCGTCCGCTTCAACACCGTACTGCCGCGTTCCCATTTTGAGGTCGAGAACGCATGGTTTGGACATACCTGCCGTAAGATCCTCAAGAAGAAGGAAGTGTTGGACACGTTCGTCAGGTTGCTGCTGGGCTTGTTCGGGATTGACTGGCTCTTGAGAGGCGAGGGGGACCGACTTCGGCTTCGGAACCACGGGCGCTGGTAGCATGCTATCAACAGAACCAGCTCCTGAGGGACGTTGCCCAACACTTCTGTCACCTCTCGAAGATTGGCCGTTGATAGAGCCATTCGCCTGAGATGGGGTCTTAGTCTCTTCATCCATTGCAAACACCTCCTCCTCGCCGTCTCCCCCATATGCCTCTTCGTAAAACTCTAGATTGCTTCTTCGACTAGATTCTACACTACAAGGTCTACGTGTGAGTCCACCACCCGAATGACGGCGCCGTGGAAGTGTAGAAGGGGAAGATGACGGCCGATATTCGTCGTTGCTTACGTAACTGGACGAGTCGGATATTGCCCGGCCACCAGCGTGCCGAGCACTACCCACAGATAGCTGGCGCTGAGCTTCGGCCTTGAGCACTTGCTTTCGAGTGGATTCCTCCGTGAACGGCACATGCAGCTCAGAGACATCCGTGCTATTTCTCCTTATTGACGGTGCCGATCCCACAATGCCTTGTGAGTCTGTTCTCATCTTCGAGGAAATACTATGATGATGGTGTCCATGACGATGACGATGATGAATAGGAGGGGGAGCAAAGACCATGCGCAGCACCTCTTCTTGCAACTTAGTGTTGATCGTCGTTACACCCCAACTGGTATGCTGATGCATTGGTGGTCGCGTCGGGCTTTTCTCCGAGGTGAAGCCAATGTCACTTTGATTTCTTCGATGGTATTGTGATGGTAATGACGAATTTGTCATCCACGGGTCGGGAGTAGCAGAGCGAGGCGGCACCCGGAAGAGATTATCGGGTATAATGTGCCGGTTGTTCTCAAAGATGACCTGGGGCACAGGCATGTTGTGTTGAGAGTGACTAACCATCCTGGGGAGTTCTTCGGGCATACTGGATTGGTTTGGCGGCCCTGAGACCTGCCTTGAAGACATGGGATCAGCGTTGGACGCTGATTCAGAATTGCCAACATCCGTCTTTGGCTTGTCTTTGTTGGTCTTCTTTCGTTTTGGCGCTTTGCGATACGTGACATTGAGAACACCGATATACCTACGAAAATCGACAGCGTAACGTTAGCAAACACATATACTCACATGGGATGGGACTCGGGGCGGGCGATGGCATCTTTGCTGAGATTTCAGCTTCAAAGCTACCGAACAGTTGCAGAAATTGCGGCGTACCTTGGCAAGAATTCTAGCAACTCTGGATGGTGCCGCTCCACTGTCTCGTAAAACTCATTCTCTCGGTTGTTGAGCTGCTTGCAGACGGCCCTCCTAGAAAAGCGGTAAACAGTTGTGTGGCCGCCAACCTGGTGATCGTAGGGTTTGAGTTCGACTGCACCGAGAGGGGCAGGGGGTTGAGGGACGGGCGGTGGCTTGGTTTCCTTTCTATGCGACGTCGCTGTCGGCGTTGTACCTAGATCATCAGTTGCACTGGACTCATATCCACGAAGAGAGTGCGATGATTCTGCCAAAGACTCATAGCCAGATTCGGCCGAAGTGACTGTCTCGGATGGTGAAGTAAACGTCTGCTTGTCTTCTTCGGGCACAGTGGCTGAAGCCGGAATATCACCATGGAGACATTGGTTCGTATCTTGAGACTGTAGAGAAATTTCTACCTCGTGAGGAGTCTTCACTACCTTTTCCTCGGCCCAGCCTTTAGGTAGCTTGCCTACATGGATTGACTTCCGTTTCCGAACACTCTCAACCTCTGTTTTTCGTATCTCTTCTTCTGGGGGAATCTGCTCTGGGGACGCAAATTGGCGATGAGGAAAATATAGGGCAGACGAGATTTGCTCCTTTTCAGACTCGTCTTCTTCAGAAACCGGTGAACGCTCTGCTGTTTCGTCTCCTCGGGCATCGAAGTAATCAGCAGGCTCGCGAACTTGCGAGGCTGGCCGTGATTTACAAGTCTGTCCACGGAGTCGTTCGAAAGCTGCGGTAGGTAGACTCTTAGAAAATGAGGATCCTCGGTCAGCACCAGGGGTGAGGTTGTGGTAGCTTTTGATCTCGTCTAGTAGCCGCAACGGAAATTCATGCTTGTTGCCCCTCTCCATAATCGCCCGCATAGTCTCCTCGACGTTTGGTTCAGTAACTTTCTGGGCATCGCTACCGCGATTCGGCGCGGGCTCAAAGTAAGACTCAATGGGGCCTTTGTGGGGGGAGATGGCTGCGGAGGAGGAGCGCGAGAATGCGTACTTATTGGATTCTGGTGTTTGCAGATAGCCATAATTAGGGCCGGCCTCACTGGGCCCAGGGGAGATTGCACCCAGCTTCAAGAGACCCTCCTCTTTAGACGGCTGCGTGCCCTTCTCAGTCCCGCGTCGTTCTTTGGTGCGGCCATCTCTTCGCTTCTGTTCTTCTGCCACGTCGTTCTCCTTGAACACCCGAAGATAGTGACTTGCCTTCCGACTTCTGGCGGCCACTAGCTGCTCGGCCTTGGGGAGGGTTGCCTCGATCTTCTTGTCAACGTGTGAACGATCACGGCCGAGATTTTGGAGGACGCCACTGCCGTCGTTAAGTGTAGCCTTTCCTTCCCTCCACGACCTGTAGCGCAATCGCTCCTCGCTTTCCACCAACGTGCCATGTAACGATCTGCTGCTGGAGTGCGAGTCGGGCCGTTGAGGTGTAGAAGGACGATGGAGAGGCGAGTCAACCGGACTCATGAAAGGGGGTGGACCGTGGTGGACACTGGCGGAGTCCATGTCGGCACCGCCGTGCCTGCTTGGATTGAATTGGGTTGCGAGGAGGCTCTGGTGGTCTTGGAGGGATGTATGGCACGGAGGGTTGCGCTGGCGAAGGAGAGGGGCCTCCGTCAGTGTCCTACAGGGAACCGCTGACACTGCCATGTCTGATAGGCCATGGTCGGGGGCATTGTAGATGGTGCCTTCCAAGCGGGACGTGAAGCGTGGAGAGGACGAGGGACTGTCAGAGCCTAGGTACGTCGTCGCGAAGATGCTGTCGCGTTCCGAGAGTTGAGGCTGATCAACCGACGGCGTCCACAGGCGGTCGAGCGCAATCGGGGCGGTCTTAGAGCGGCCCGTCGCAGCGAGGCTCTTTGGTGTCACCTCTGTAGAGTCTTGAAGACGGTGGGAGGGTGCATGGTCCGGGTTGTGCAACGCATTATTTGACCTCACCGCAGGGTGTGAGGTATTTTCCGGGGCGTTCGAGGCGGGTGACATGGAATCGACATTGGTTAGGCCGTCGCGGAGGGGTGGATGGAGGTGCGTGGCGGTCTGTTTGGCAGATACTTCCCGGATGAGGGACTGAGAACTGGGGCGGGAGGACCAGGAAAAGGAGCGGCAGGGCACAACGGGCGCCGACAAAGCTTAACGGCTCTGGCACGGCAGCGCGATAGCTCCAGGGGCAGGGCAGCGGCGGTTTGGGGCCTATGGGCAGTCCACGTTGCGAGGATAGGGCGATGTGTTGGGTAGACAGGGCGACGGGTGTGAGATGTGGCGTAATGACGACAAGCCGGGTGTTCGCTTGGGCGCACCGACGTCGTGAAGGGTAAATAAAGGCGCGGTAGCAGGTGCCTTCGCGCTTGGGAGCTCGCGGCCGTCGACAAGGACGCGCCGCACTTGGTTTTGCTTTTGCGTGCGGAGCAGGAGGGCCTTCCAAGAATTGCTATCACGCTGGACGGAGAGGGAGACAAACTCGGTCGCGATGCACTACGGGCAGCCAGCGAAGAAAAGACCCGACGACTTTGGGCAAGTGCGGCCGTGCACACCTGCCATGGCGGTGCTGCCGTGCCGATTCCGGCCAGAGGTGAATGTTACGTACAACTACATGGCCATTTGTCCACCTCCATCCCCAGTGTCCATCTCCATCCCCAGCAGGCCCTGGAGAGACTGAAACGTGTTGCAGCTGGAGCCGCCATTGGAAGTCTCCATGGGCACTGAGCGTGCCTTGACATGATTCAATCTTAGCTTTGCTCTCCTGTGCGACTCATGTCGTGAAACAGAGACCCTTCCCGTCCTTCCTCGACTCAATTCTCCCGTAACCCTCCGCTTCTTTCACCTCCCTCCATTCCTGCTCCGTCACCCTCTCCCATAGGCATAATTTGGATACATCCGCATCTAGCCTATGCAGCAATATGCAGCGGGCTCCGGCCTCCAAATTTGCTAACGTCCAATCACTCAAGAACGTGCTCCCTCGCAGCAACCAAACGACTAGGGCCTCTGCTGCCAGAGCACAAGGAAGCCCCGTATTTTGGGAGGACCTCAACCATGCTGATATTCATACCCATCCATCAACAACATGATCTTCATATCCAGAAAGTCCGATCGCTCCACCACTCCACCACTGCAGAATGCCCAGAACAGCGCGCCATCAAGTCATACCATCTAGATTCCGAAGAAATCCATTCGTGAACGAGAAATCCATCTCCTCGTCGAGGGCGTCATCCAACGATGTATGCAAGTCGAGGTTAGGGAGCTCAAGGGCACCTATTGAGGGCAGCCGTTGGCCCTTCAAGCACGACTCCTGCGGTCCTGTGCTTCCGAACCTCAGTGCAGACCCACAGGAGTTTCGCTCCTTGAGCGGAATCCGCTCGGCCGATGGCGTTGGACTTTTAGGGTCATTCGTTTGAGCAGCATCTTTATTGATTCTTTCTTCGGTGGGAAGCACTGCAAACCTCAGAGTGCTCTGTGGTTGTCTCTTAGTCTTCTTTACTGTGCTGAATGCGAATGGAGATGCTGCGCAGAATAGGTCTTGGGTGCTTATAGGCGGCCCATGTAGAACACTATCTGGGGGGTGTCGTTCATTCAACCCTGCGTTGAAGGTATGAAATGGGGTAATAGCAGGGCTGGGCTCTCGTGCCGGGGGTTGTGGTGCGTTATCAGACTGCAGCACGGCGCCCGGGGTTTCACAGGAGATGGGAGGAAACACGTCTTGTTGGAATTCGAGCTGGGCTAGCATCATGGCAGTTTGAGTCGAGTAGGTCGACTGGCGGCTGGAGTTAAGATCATCTTGTTGCTGCCGCTCATCTTCAAGATGGTCTACTACTCCTGTGTCCGACACAATTACCTCATAAACGTCTGGACGAGGGCCCTCACGGCTGTGAGAATGGCGGATGCTGAAGCTCCTATCGGCTTTGTCGTTAGCGGACATATTTCCTTGAACATCTTCCGAAATTACTCCAGGGCCATCCTTCGGAATGGCTGGAGAGGATTCGAACATCATCAGGCGCGGTTTAGTTTTGCGTGATAGGTTCTCTTTGCCTCTTGCCTCTGCCGTCTTTCGATATGTAAAGCCAATTGACGATGCAGGGGCGGGAGAAGCTACGAAATCATGGGGTTGAGACAGTAGTGACAACACGTCTTTCAAAGTTCTCCGGCTCGACGTTCTCCGGTTTGACTTAGCAGCTGAGAGACCTACGCATTGCTCCGCGGAGCGCTGCACTTCCTCCCTGTTAAGTGGTCCTCGAGAGTCTTTAGTCGTAACGTGCGCCTGTTCGATGGCGAGGCGAGATAGCTTCCTCGCTGAGAGATAGCCTTCTAGAACCGTTTGGTTGACTTCTTTGACATCCAGCACTCCTGGGCTGCAAGCGGAATCTGATGGATGTTGCATGTGAAGGTGAGATGATGTCTCGGGTAGTCGAAGGTCATCTGCCTGAGGCTGTACTATATCTCCAATGGTTGAAATAAAGTCTACCCTTTCCTCTTCTCTTGCATTCACCTGTTTGTCCTTGTATTCGTTCATAGTAACTTGAGGAATACTCTTTTTACGTTGCGCATGCCGAGATATTTCGCTAGTAAGGTTGCCGATCTGATCAGAGATGCAAGCTGTTGATCTTTCTATAGTAATTCGACTATCTAGCGTCGACACTTCAATATGTGGACCGAATGATGTCGAATTTGTAGGACTGTCATCTTGCGCTGTTGAGTGAACAGCTGCTCCTTTCAGTGATCTTACGTAATCTTTGCCATTTATTTGGATAGGATTGAGTGGCCCCACAGGTGAGGATACAGACATCGTGGCTGACGCATTTGACAGCCATTGGGCATCCGTAGCACGAGCTCCCATCCGAAAAGGGGATGACCGGGAGGCTCTAATCGCGAGTCCGTTGGATGGCCTAACTTGCAACTCAGCTGTGGCGCCCAGGAATCCGTGGCTGTGACGTGAAGGTGTTGGTGAAATGTTCGTGTGTCCCTCCCAATGTCCATTTTCTGATCCATGTACTTCAGATGCGACCACGAGCCCGTGCAAGTCGCTCCTGTGCCTTTCTTGTAGAGTGGCTTGATCAAGACTTGCACTAAAGTACTCAGTCGCGGCAGATTCCCCATTCCTATCTGTTGGAGACCTTGTCGCTGAAACCACGGCCCTTCCTTCATGGGTTTTCTGGTGGTGGTTGCTCGGCCCCTCGATTTCAAGGGCTTTTGGGGGATCTGGCATGGGTGGCCAGGGTGCTGCCCGAACAACGTTCCTGCCTCGATTAGGTAGATCCTCCCTATATGTGATGATATTCCTTGCGCTCTTGCGAATTTTGCTAGCTCTTGGCTTCATTGCCTTCTTCCGTTCCCATTGCTTGTCGTTTGTGCCTCGGCCCGCCCATGGATTGTCCCAGCCCTTGAAAGGCCCGCGCAGTCTGGTGGACAATAGCACTGGTGGCTTCCCACGCAGGTATTGCGTGGCGATTTTTTCGATTCTTCGTCGTTTGGCTGCTCGTTGAGGGCCGTCATAAACCTCGTCGGGAATTGCCTCAAGAACATATTGACGGTCTGGCTCAAGCGCTTCGAATGCTAGGCCATTTCTCAGATGGCAATGTAGTGACAGTGGCATGTCGTTCTACTTCTAGGTTTCGTTGGTTGTCGTGGGGGGTTGGGTTGGGGGTCGTGGGGTGGGAGCATCAGTGGTCCGTCAGTGGTGCCTTTGGGCCCAGAGTCAGTTGCATTTATTGGAGACAATAGGATTCGAGAACAATACGCAGACAAGCGGCGGGGGTAGTGAGAGCATCATTCACTATCGTCTGCACTTCAAAGTGAAGCTGCACCGTGCCTAGCATCCTTGTCACACTCTCCCCGTTTGGTTGTCGCGGAAACGGGAGGCTATCGATAAGGTCACGTGTAGGCATAACACGACGTCCATGGGTGGCTCCGACACAACCCCGGACCTCGTTGACTTGGCGGTATTTGTATATTGCGACACCAAGCACTCGACGCGTTCATTGATACACCTGCTGCCATTGAGGCTTTAAACAATCCCGCTATGCCATATATACTAGCATAATCTCCTGCTAGGACGCGTATGACGAAAGTCCCCTCCCAAAACAACAGTCGCGAACCACAAACCGCCCCACAGAAACGACAACAATCATGAAGCCTTGGCTCGAGGACCTCTCTGAGGAGTGGATACCCCAACCCGCTCCTCCACCGCTCACACAGAACCCAGATAATGCTGCCACAATGCAGACTTGTCAAAGTGTCCCGTCTAAACCCCGAAGCCGCCTACCGCGCCTACGGAATTCGTCGGGATCCTTCTCCGAGATACAAATACGACAACTCGCGAAGGAAAGTCGACCTACTCCTCCTCCGAAGAGTGCTCTAGCCGAACGCACCCTGAGCGATATCAATATCCCCTCAACCACAACTCAAGAAGCACCGAGGGCCACAGATTCTCGTTGTGTATCGCTCTCCTCGCCGACTTCGGCCACTGGGTCGGTGATATGTAATGGCACGGTGGAACAGAAGCCAGCTATGCTCGCTCCAGGAAAGCCTCAGCAAATCCATGATACACCAGAATGGAGGCGGAGGTTGCTTAAAGGCGAAGTGGGCTATGGTGAACAACGGGACCTCTTCAGCCCAATGGGGCTTGAGAACATCTTTCAGAAGCCTACGGCGAAGGCTCCCGAAGAAGCCAAACAGCCTAAAAGCAAACTTGCTCTTTCTAGAGGTCTGAACAACATGCCTTCAAGTCCACCGCCATGGCCGTCACGAGACCAAGAGCAGAGCGCTACACGAGACAAAGACGGTGTAGACTATTCCGGCTTGTCATCAAAAATGGTCCAGGATTTGCAGCGTATAGCGGCTGAGGATTCTGCCTTCGAAGGTACATTCGAACAAGCACGAGCTGGTGGATCATTCTCAACCCATGTTCCCGGGAGCAACAACTATCAGATTCCCCGGACTGTCAGCGGACAAATCGAATTCGAGAATGAAAGCTTCAGCCCTGTGTATCTCTCCACCAACCTCAAGATCGGGGCTACGGTCAACCCTTCTGATCCAAATCTCAGAGGCTCCGACCTTGCTAATAGATTACGACATTTGGGGTCCCCACCACCCACTTCCAATTCGAACCCTGCTTCAGAGGGCAATACTGTCAGTGTGAGCCAAGAGGACTCATCGATGGCGAAACTGCGAGATGATACCCTCCCGGAGGACCTGCCAGCTGGGACACCAGAGTACGCAGACGTGGGCCGTTTTGTAGAACTCCGACGGGGTGGATATTCAAGAGACGGGTCTTTTCGGAGGCGACCACTCAGTCCGTCTCCTCGCTCAAAAGCTCCCACACTTAGTATGCCTGGGAATCCCACACTCTCTAGGAAGAACGCATATCCCAATACCCCGTCAATTGTTGAGCCTGAAGCTGCAGGTCAGAGCTTTGAATCAGACAGCCCACCATCTCCGGATCCTGTAACCCCACGTCGACATGACAATGCAAGACATCTGAGCCCAGCACGAACAAAGTCCCGTAGCCCGTTAAAATTATTCGATGCTCACGATACCTTCACGAGCAACCGACTGCAAAGGCGACTAAGCCAGCTTGAGTACAAATCTGAGCAGACTACCTTGACCAACGTACAGTCCAATCAAGCACATTCGGCAAGAGAAGTAAAAAAAGACTATCGCTTGACTTTGGTCGAGGAAGTAAGCATCCAAAAACCTGCTATAGAAGCCAAGGGTGCCTTTTCTCCTATTGGTCAACATTCTGAGGCTTTCCAAGTGGAAACATTCGGTGAAGGTCAACTCGATGCGTATCAATTTCCTGAAGAGCTGTCCTCTACTTCTTCTCAAGCCTTGGACGATAGATATAGTGCTCCCGACAGTTCACCTACCTCAGATATTGCGCCACCTGGTAGTCGACAGCCGCCTCGGTTCCACTTCGATGAATCACTTCAATTACAAGGCCGACCCAAAGCTAAGAGGCAAGGCCTGACACGTGTGTCCAATCAATTCCGGGCCAGGAACCCGTCAAATTCTCAGTCTGGATGGACTGCGTCTGGTCCTGCGTCATCGCCACCACTGGTAGCTCATCCCATTCAAGAGTATACTGAAGGTAAAAGAGGTCCAACATCACCATTCAAAAACCCTACGCCGAAACGCCGAAGAACTCTGTATTCAATAGACGGTGATGACGATGATGTCTTCAGCGAGTCCGGACCGAGATCTGTCAAGGAAACACACGCCGTGATGCAGTCAATCATCGGGCGTAAACGAAAGGACGCCCGCCACGAACAAACCAACAATGTGGCGGATCCAGACGTCCTGGCCCGACGGCATATTTTGCGTCCCCGGAATCCAACACCTAGTCAGCGGCGGAAGGATGAGATTGAAGCAGAAATACTTGAGGCAACCGAAGCCTTTATATTGTCCTCGCCAAAGCTAAACACTATTCGGGAGCACCTTAATTCACCTGTTGGCCCTAAAGGACCCTCGGAACGGAACAGAGCCGCCGCAGTTGCAAGCGAAGTTGCTGCCTTTAGCATGAAGAGGACACAAGCCATGAAGGATGAGAGTCGCAAGCGCTCCGTCACAACCCAGGACTTCCTTGATGAAGCAGTGAAGATTATGGAGTTCATTCGGACAAAAGGACGGCCCACTAGTGGGTTGGGTAGTGTGGAAGAAACGGAATCGGAGTCACCAATAAAGGAGGACTGCAACCCTCTTCCATCAACTCCACTCACATTCTCTCGGCCGCCTAGCCGCGAGGGCCACATGTCGCAATGGAGGGAACCTAATAAGCGTGAGCTAGATCCGCAGGTCATGAGCCATTTACGAAAGTTTCAAGAAAAAGAGTCAGATGATTTCATGGGTTCCTCCATACGGTCTCTACGATTCTCGCGAATGAAAGGTCCCGTCTCCCCTGAGGGCAACAGCATTGTTATCGAGCAGGACAATATTCGTATTACTGACAACCAAGACCGGCATGTAATGAGGGACATTGATGACGGAGGGGTCGGGTCACAACCGAGAACAAACGGCACTCACCCGTCAACAGGCTCTTCCATGGGCCAGACAATAGCAACGAATACATCCCGGAGATCGGAGCATGTCGCAACCCTAGCTCCAGAAGCGGTAGCACATCTGATACCCGAACACATCGCAGGAATGAGCTTCGACCGTGAGAAAAACATCTGGGTCAGACAGAAAAGTCCAATCAAGGAAACCCGGCCGAACGAAGATCTGAGCAATGCGAACGAGAGCGAGGAAGATCCTTTTGGGAACATTCCGGATCTCACGGTTGATGAAACCGCTGAGCTCCGAGTGAACAAAGCATTACTGTTTAAGCCCACGGCGGAGACATTCCTTGAAGAGTCGGAGGACTTCGACTGTCAGAATGGGGTCCGTCCGGTCACACGAGAGGGCAAAGGTATACCTCCTCCAGACACTAGTTCGGTACCGTCAAAGGCATCCAACTTTGCATGGAGCTTTCCGAAGACCGAAACCCGAGCGACTTCCTGGAGTGATCAAGAAACGCGAAGCGGAGGAACTCAGATAGTGCGTCAGCCGCCAACGACTTATTCCATCCCAGAGTCTGATGAGAATGACGTGGAGCACGAGATCAAGTACTTCGAAGGCCGTGGCACAGCCAAGCCAACTGTACAAAGTGCACATGTTCGAGACATTACCATATCAATCTCATCGCCGCATCCTCCTCTAGGCCAGGATTTCCAGGAACGAGACAACGAACGCACAGAGGGACTGTACCAGGAGTCTATTAGCCCTCGGAAGAACGTGCAACAAAAATGGACATTTTCGAGCAATCATCAAACCGCCCGTTCGAAAAGGGCAACCTGGCGTCAAATGGCTGGTGCGAAGACATTGCCGAATGCACGAGCTACGCCGATCAGAGAGCACGATGAATTGCCACTCTTGGATGACTTGCCTTCAAGAAACTATCGCATGCAACTCTCCATGAGTGTAACTACCCCTGTCTTGGGCGTTGGGCAACCAGGTGCACTAATACCGGCTGGATCACCACCGGCTAGGGCAGGAGATGTTACGTTCATGCTTAGTGATCTGCCGGAATTTACCCTGAATCAGGTTGATGAATGCGAGCTCCCGGACCGAGTCGTCATGAAACACAATGGAACCAAATTTTCTCAGGCTTTAGAGGACCGCTACGCTTTAGGAACGGCGGAGTTGGTCAAGGCTCTACAAGACGTCCAGCCAGACGAGCCATATTGGGAAGAGCTTCGCCAAGTTGACCTTCATGGCAAAAGCCTTACCAATCTTCATCGCCTTGATGAGTTTTGTTGCCGTTTGGAAGACTTAGATGTATCTGATAACAGCATCAGCCATGTCGCAGGCATCCCCTTTACGATACGCCGGCTCAAGGCACACAACAATTGCCTCACCGGACTCACTTCCTGGGCATCGCTTATGAATCTACAATACTTAGATATCTCTGGAAATGATATCGACCGCTTAGATGGCCTTAATCAACTACTTCACTTGCGAACATTGAGGCTTGGCGATAACAAGATCAAGACGTTAAGTGGCATATTGCATCTCGACGGGCTCATGGAGTTGAATGCCGAAGCCAACCTGGTCGAAACCGTTGACTTTGCGAAATCGGATCTGTATGGAAATCCCAAACCACTTGTGCGTTTAATCATCCTAATGCTAATGTATTACACAGAAAATCTTTGACAACCCTTGTTCTTCGTGGAAACCGACTATCCAAGATTCTCAATTTGCACTGCCTGCCGCGACTCCAACACCTTGATCTTGGTAAATTAAATTAGTCTCACAGTATCCTGCAATAGCTAACTTTTTTAGACGATAATTGCATCAAAGAGTTTCCGGTATTCGATATGCCAACTGGACGAAACAGCTTGTTGAGGTCTTTAAGGATATGCAGGAATGAGATGACTTCGCTCATTATCGATACGTATTGCCCGAACTTGGAGTCTCTCTATGTGGATGGCAATGCCCTAACCCAAGTCTCTGGGTTGGAAAATTTGACCCACCTTCGGACCCTTTCTGCGCGAGAACAAGTGCTAGGGACCGATTCAGACCCAGAAACCTGTGTCGGAAACTTAATGAGGAATTCAGATGTCCGCAACCTCTACATCTCTTTAAATTCCGCTCGTAGCTTGGATATTTCGCAGCATCTCTTAAATCTTCAGCGTGTCGAACTTGCTTCTATGGGATTGAAGGAGTTGCCACAGCACTTTGGACAACTAACCCCGAATATCCGATCTATCAACCTCAATTTCAATTCCATCAAAGATCTCCGACCGCTACTCAACGTAAAGAAGCTCAACGAACTACTCGTGGCTGGTAATAAGCTTTCACGCTTGCGCACGAATTTAGCGGTTCTGGCGAAGTTGATCACTTTGACGAAGCTAGATATGCGGGACAATTCTCTCACACTACGCTTCTACCCTTCGGTTGCAGAGAATCGTGTTATATCGCTCAATCAAAAGCCAATCGAGGATGACAGGTGGGACCGCTTCATTCTTCCAGATGGAGATCAAGAAGCAGACAAACAGTACCTTTTGCGATTGGATGATGAGACGAGACTGAGGCGAAGGGTGTACGAGATGATGTTAGCGACCAGTTGCAGCAACCTGCGTGAGCTAGACGGCTTGCAGTTTGACAAAGCACGTATATTGGTGAAAGACGATATTTGGGAACGACTACTCTACCTGGGAGTTATCAGAAGGTCTGAGAAAACCGAGGAAATTCACGATCGAGAACCAGCGGGCTGGTCGGAAATATGACGCGTGGCGTCCTCTATCTCGCGGTGCAGGAGGAGTTCATGGCTGGCTGACATTCTGCATAGCTTTTGGAGATTCTGGAATGGGTTTTTGTGTCACATGGGGGTCTTGGTTTCTTTTCTAGCTGCTAGAGGGAGTATCCGGTTCCAAAACATGTACGACATAAAAATGTGCGTTCTCGGCGCGAGGTGGGGGTCCGAAAGCAATACCTTACGAAGTGTATTAATAATGAGAGAATGTCTGCATGTTTATCATTTTGCATCCATTCCCTTTTGCAGTGAAGACGGCGAGAGCGCTGGTCCTTTCGTGCCGCCGTAGGGCCGAGACGAGATTAGCGCTCAGTGTGTTAGGTCGAATCATCCCATCCCGTGATCACGCCTATTTATCAATCCACCTCCACTTCGCAATTGCTCGACAACGACGACACCTTCAATTCTAGACATGGCCACCACGACAGAGGAAGAACGAGCTGTGGAACTCGCCAACAAAGCCACTGAGTTCGTCAGTTCCGGCAAATTGTCGGATGCGGCAAGGTTGTTGCGTGAAGCGACTACAATTGCACCCGAAAGTACACTAATTAAAGCTGGATGGGTGGCTCTCAAGAAAGAGGAGGCAAGGTCACCGTTGATTGGAATATGTAAAGACTGGATCAGGAGCCAGGATGATGCGGATGGAGCGAAGGCACTAAGATTCATCAGAGGCCAGAGCTTGAGTAATCAGAATGCGGAGGAGGCAATGAAGATCTTAATGGAGGCTAAAGTTGAAGATGATCTCTTGGATCAGGTTACGGGAGAGCTTTTAGGAAAACAAGGCGCGCAGATGTGGCTGGCGAGGGCGTTGCAGGAACGGCCGACTGAGACGTATTATCAACTTTTCGAACGCGGAGACGATAGTCTAGACGGCTTGCTGAGAGTCCTACTAAAGCGTTCGGCGTGGCCTTCGGATGCAACGTTTATCCAAGGGCATAGGGATTGCTTTATGCTTTCTCTGGCCATGATGATGGAGGAAGCACTCGAGCACCCAGAACGCGCAATGAAAGGCATCGCTACTCTTCTCGCCGCTCATGCGGAGCACCTCAAGGGCATCATCGATGCAGATAGCTTCGATGTCATCCTCGTATCCCTGGATCTCCGACTTCCAAACAGCCTCCGAAGCCAAGCTACTCTCGCTACAGTCAAACTTCTCGAGCTCGCACCCGATACGGCACAGAACCTCATCTCAAAGTTCGTTACCTCCCGAGTGCAGCGTCCGACGGCCGATGGTCTCATTGTCGCTTTCTCCACCGCGACCGCCATTTTCCCGATCACAGTATCCGTGGCGTCTGCACTATTCCTTACAGAGGGTTTCATCAGTAGTCTCGTTCCTCTCGTTCAAAGCAAGAAGAGCCAGAAACTCGAACAGGCATCATTAGAACTCATTTCCGCCGCTTGCGTTGACAAAACCTGCCGGGAGGCTATAAATCGCCACTGCAGACTCTGGCTGGAAGACATTGTAGCTGCCGCCATGGATAAAAAGCGCGCGAACCTTGCGGCTCTCATTCTTGTAAAGTTAGGTGATGAGCCTACATCATCCATTCCACAAATTATACAGCCTAACAAGGTTGACCAAGACGATCTCATCACACGCTTCAAATCCATGGTCCTCGACTCCTCGCCCGCCTCTAAACAAGACTCCGTTGAAGGTCTCGCATATGCTTCCCTGCAACCGAAAGTCCGCGAAGCGCTTGCGAATGATCATGTGTTCCTTCTCCGGCTCATCGAAACAATGGCTACCTTTGACTGCCCAAAACCTGTCCTCTTTGGCGGTCTCACAATTTTTGTTAATCTAACTACCTATCTCCCTGTACAATCCGAGGAGGAAAAGCGCATGAGTCAACTCAAAGCCTATGCCAACACCCAAAAGCCTTTGGAACCAGATCCGCTAGAGGACGAGAGCTACGTAACAGCACGGTGCAAGAAGGTCCTCGGCGTCGGTATTGTGCCCTTGCTCGTCAAGACGTCCAAGCGTGCATCACCTTCCGTGCTTTCCCAAATGTTACAAATCCTTCTCTCACTAAGCAAGGAGAAGGAACATAGGGGTCCAATAGCCCAGCAAGGCGCTATCAAACTTCTCCTCCAAATCTGGGATCACATCCACGCTGAGGAGCACCCACATGCATCTTCCTACACCCCGCTCGCGCGGTCCGCAGCCGCACAATCTTTGGCCAGAATCCTCATATCTATTAACCCTGCGCACGTCTTCAGCACTGCATCCGCAGTTCCCAGTACATCCGCCATTCGTCCCTTACTCTTCTTACTCCAGCCCAGCGAATCCTCAACCTGGCAACTACACGCTTTCGAGGCCCTCCTCGCTCTCACAAATCTCGCATCCATGGATACGGAAAGTCAAAACGCAATTCTCCGTCTCGCTTTCCAAACAATCGCGGACGATCTCCTCTTGTCTCCCAGCAAGATGCTGCGCCGCGCCTCCACGGAGCTTATCTGCAACCTAATGGCCTCTCCTTCGTGCGTTGAGAAGTTTGCTAATGGCTCAAAGCAAAGTCGGCAGCGCCTCCACATTCTACTCGCAATGACAGACGTTGATGACACGGCCACGCGGTCTGCGGCCGGCGGGGCACTGGCTATGATGCTGAATTGGGATTTAGGGGTCAAGGAGGTATTGCGACAGGAGCGGGGCATAGATTTCTTACTAGGTTTGTGCAAGGACGAAAGCGAAGATGTAAGACACAGAGGCGTGGTGTGTGTGAGAAGTGTTGTTGCTGCGCCGGGGGAAGTAGGGGTCCAAGGGGTAACGACTCTCAAGGAGAAAAATGGAGTAGAGGTTTTTAAAGAGGTTTTAAAGAGTAGTAGGAGACAGGAGGTTGTGGGATTGGCGGTGGAGACACTTAGAATTCTTTTGGGATGAGGAGCAGACGGGAGGCAAAGCATAGAGAGAGGAACAGGAGGGAGTTAGCGTGTTCTCGGTTGGATGGCTGGGATTAGATTGATACATGATTGGCCATAGTGAGGACTCTCTTTCCAGGAATGGGTTCTGGGCTTTTCATGACTATGCTTTACTACGAATTAATGAGGGGTTTTTGCCATGCCACCCTTCATAGTGAATCAACTTATCCGCCAATTATAATTAGGCGACCTTGGGACAGCACCTTCAACTCCACGAGACTGAAAATATGAATGTCTGGGCAACTTTACATACAACAGGAAAGGTCTTCGCACTGGTCTACAAAGTATCGTACATTCCAAAACAGTCTATCTAAATTCCTATCAGACTACATGAACTAAGAAATATTAAAGGTTAGCTCATGACGCCAGATGCCTGCAAGCACAGAGAGAGATATGATATCGCCCATCTTGTGACGCCCCAAGTTATCCCAATACGCACCCCTTCCCCAAATCTTGCGCTGACAGTATGAAGAATACACCCTTCTTCAAGCCTAAGGAAAATTCTCTCCCGTAGTTAAAGGTGCAGAATCTTTACTCCTATCCCTAGTGTCCGGAACTACCAACTCAACTAAACTCCCTCTGTCGTTTTTTCTTTTCAACAACCTAGAGATTGCGCCTGGGTGCACCACGTTCATCACCGCCAATACCGCAAACATCAAAACTGCATCAAAGATGTATAGGAACACCTCATGCTTTAGCAGATATCCTGTGTTTCCCTGAAGATACTCGATGGCCCTGAAGACGGAACGAACAAGGATGAACATTGATGAGACATAAAGAACGTAGAGAAACTTCTTCCACGGAACACTGGACGAATCGAGTTTGGAAAGATGATGTCGGCCTCGAATCTGGAAGACTGAGGCGACAACAATGAAGAAGCCGAAGAAGGCAATCTGTGCAAACAGACCAGCGATGATGATGTCTTCACCCAGCTTCAATTTGTCCAGATCCTTGTCAGCCCCGCTCAGGATACTGCCACCGGCGCTTTGAATTAGAAAAGCAAGGATATCACCGATTACGAAGATTTTGGTAAGCCAGCGCTGTCGAATCAGCGAATATTGCTCGCCTTCGGTGAGTAGGATGACGCGGCCGAGGACCATGTAGATTGAAGCGGCGAAGAGTGCAGGTGCGAGCAGGAGGAGCAGGGCCTGCATGATGTATGGCCCTAGGGCCCATTGGTCGTGGGAGGATAGTATTCGCCCTATGTAGCCTATTGTCTCAACTAGTGAATGTTAGACCAGGCTTTCTCGTTTAGGGGTTACGGGAACCTTACAGAAACCGCCAATAGCGAGGGGAATCATGAAGGCTGATCGTAAGCGGATCAATTGATAGACGTGAGAAAGCGTGGAAATGCCGAAGAGAACTGCAAAAATGGTGGCTGCTACGAGAGAAGGGTGATATCGGTAGAGAACGAAGACATTGGGGTTGTTGATGTCAGGGTGCAGTCCGTTTGCCATTGTGAAGATTGAGTTGATTTGAGAGGGTGGTAGAAATTAGAGATGAACAACCAGAGCGTGTGAGAGATACATGCATTAGAACAGAGATATATGGTATATAGTAGAGTATGGAGATCAAACTGAAGAATCTTCAAGTTTCTTATATATCCACATTTGCCGTTCAGCGACGTAGTCAATTGGAGATTTGGAATACAGGACCTTAGCAATAACAAAGCCTCACGTCCACGTATGAATTTGCTTGAATACGCCTATGTGGGGCGACGATAGCGTACAGTGACATTCTCCATTGGCTACGGAGGGAGGCTTCTCAGCCTTGCGAGTAATCCTACTAAATAGTTTCCGCAAGGCATCCCATTTCAAGAAAAGGAGAGACCCGGTGCTACAGTCGGTATCAACGAGTAAAGGCAAAGCGCGAACAACGGCCAGTGTATTTGACATCGATTCCTGGACCGTGCAGGGCAGTCGCTCCTGGCCAATAGAGAGGCGCTGAGTGCGAGAAATGCCGTCTACTTTAAGGCTAGCGCATAGCGGCTCTCCCGATAAGTTAACGTCAGTTCTGGCACTGCCTCACAACTGCCACTTACATAGGCATTTAGGTGCATCTCGAGCGTACCGAGCCCCTTTCAATTCGTCGGATCATATCTTAATCTATTTCATCATTGAGGGGAGCGTCTGCTCGGCCCTCCCGTCCTCGTGGTGCTTCTTCGCTTGCACGTTAAACTATTTGGGGTGGAAGATGGGGACCAGGAAAGCCCACAACAAAACAAGGCTCGGTTGCGCACAGTGTAAGAAGAGACGAATAAAGGTATGATTCCATCTTCACTCCATCGGTCAATTTCCTATCATTTATCGACTGTGCCACTTCTTTGCACCAGACGAATCTCAGAGCCGCCCAAGCACGTGATGGCAACGCATCTAGGGGGTCCGGCAGCATTTAAACCATGTTGCCCCAGAGTCAGGGATGCGCATGCACTCAAAACGTATTGCCTTCTTCGGGGAGAAAAACAGCAAGAGAAAATGGAGTGCGCCATTCAGTGCTCCGTAGCCAATTCATGTTCAAGTTGACTCCTGATTGAGCTACGGCAAAACATGTTTCAAGGTACTCAAGCGTGCTTTAGCACTGCTGACTTGGCAAACAGTGTGACATAAAACACCCTACATGCGAGAACTGTTTAAAGAGAGGGCTAGAATGCAGTTTTCAACTTCTCGCCCCCTCATCAAGATTCTCGGCTTCCAACCCTTGCCAATCACTCGTTCCCTCATCACATCAAGAGTTAGTCTCAGCACCCAAACAGCTCATTGCCAAGAAGAAAGCACCGTATGAAGTCCATGTCTTTCGAAACGGCTCACAAGGGTCATCTAGTCCGACTTCGACAACATCCGTACGTCCTTCAGCTCCCATTCGTACACTATGTCGTTGCCCTTTATTCTTTATCACAACAGAGGGTTTTCCCTCATTCAAACTACCACTACCCTCTCACATAATGTATATAAGCGTAGGACAATTGTCTAATCGGATATTCCTCTATAGGCTCTCTGGGTCCCCGACAACTTCCGAATACCCACAGAAATTCGCTTTAACGACGTCTGGAAAGACTGCCGCTCGCTCGTACCCTCTGGCTTTCAAGATCTCTTTGATCACTACGAATTTGCAACCTCTTTCTCCCTCGCTTCTAACGACCCTGCAAAAGCGGCATGGCGTTCCTTCATCCCCGAGCTTGCGTCTACGCATCACTTCCTCCTGCATAGCTTGCTAGCCGTGGCTTCGTTACACCTCGCTCGTCTACACGAGAGCACAACCGAGAAAAGAGATCAAATGATGAGCCTAGCAGCTTCGCACATGAACCGGACAATACCGTACTACAGCACGCAGCTCCTGAATGTGAATGCCAAGAACGCAGCAGCACTTTTCGCGTGCTCTACACTCACCGCTGTGTACATTTTCCGCACCACGACGCTCGACTTTGAGGAAATACGAGCGTCAGTCCCATCGGGCACAAAAGCCTTTACCACCGAAATCATAGACCGCATTGTCCAAGCCACGGTACGCCCATTCCATGGTCTGCGAGGCACACTCCTTGTATTGAGACCAGGCTGGGTGTGGGTCACAACAGGATGTCTAGCGCCGATTTGTTCGCGGATATGGTGGCCTCCGCATAGAGTCCCCGCAACTGCGCAAGCCCAGGATGAAAACCGACGACTTTGTGAGCTGGAAAACCTTTGGATGTGTCCTGGTCGGGAGTATGAAAGCCACTTTGAACACCTTTCTCAAGCCTTGCAGCTACTACGAGAGACCTTCGCGTTAGTCTCGCAGCTAACGATCCCGGGGAATACGTACACACCAGTGACGGCGATCCCATACGCTGCGAACGATACCACCGTAGGGTGGCTAGTGGACAGAGGCGCGATATTCGTCTGGCCGACGATCATCCCGCGGGAGTTCATCACTTTGATGGAACAGAAGAATCGAGAGGCACTTGTTCTGGTAGCACATTATGCGATCCTACATGGTAGGATACGAAATGTCTGGTGGTTAGAGGGGTTGGGGGCGAATATGATTATTGGGGTAGCGGTGGCAATTGGTAGAGAGAATTGGCATCTGATTGAGTGGCCTGCGAAGGCCGTTGGTGTGGATTTAGAGACCTCCTTCGTTCCGCAGGCGAGGAAAGGGGATAGAGAGGTAGTAGAAATTGATATGAAGATGGCGATGGATGTCGTCTAGGTAAAGATATGGTTTCAAGACCTACCACACTCTAACGCATTATTTGGAGTATGAACAGTGTTGTACATATCTGTTGGCCTGTTACCAGAATTCAAGGCTGGATCTGGGGGGAAATTTATCATCCCACACCCCATAGCACGAGCTATCTTCTCCTAACAATGAGGGATTCTTAGTTTGCTACGTATACGTTAATCTTGAAGTTAAGACTGAAACCTAGCAAGTTGCAATTCCCTTGCCCCTAAGTGTCCGAAGCTATGGAGGAGGATATTTGGGTAATGAAGCGTTTACTGTTTATCCAAGGAAAATAAATATAACTAGTGTGTTAGACCTCTGTTATATTCCAAATGGCTAGAAAAAACTCTACTTATTTCTAGACATATTGTTTTCTGCGGAGCTTGACCCTCACCCCAGCCTCGTCCTCGTATCCCTCAAAAATCTCTCAGTCTCCTCTTCAATACTCGGCCTATACGGCCTCCAGCCCAACCCTTTCATCCCTCTCTCTGCTTTACCCCTGCAATTCAAACCCCAACTCCCAGCTTCAAATCCCGTCTGCTAAAGCGCAACTTCTTACAGAACGCATTTTCCTTCAGTGCCGGGATAAATCACTACTCGGCTGCCCTCTTTCCCATCCACCAAGGATGCCCCACGTTGTCTGTTAGGATGTAGCCATTTGCGCCCAGAATTATAGAGAGAGGCTCTGAGAAGCTGCGGCTTTAGGGGGGAGAAGGAAGACATCGGGGAAGTCGGCTACTTGTATATTGTTCCATCACGCTTGGCCAGAGCCGATGACTGGAATATATTTAGCTCAACGCTCTCAACCGTACGAATTACGTTTCATACTTTTCGTCTTAGTACTGTCACGTGAGCTGTAGCAAACGTAGTATAGTCCTTGTATGTTTTGTTTTGTCTTGTAAGTTATAGCTGTAGACTGTACTGCGTCTTAAAAGCTTAACTTTTAAGTAGGGATTACCTATTAGCTTAGACATTAATAGGTAGGGACTTGTAGCACTGTTAGACAAGTTTTTTAATAAGCTAGTTATTAATTAGGGGGTAAAATTACTTAATAACTTAGGTGCAGTGTTTCCTACCTAAATTAACACTGCTAAATTTTTCTATATCTTAATATTATGTTAACTATGCGTAATTTTCTTAGTTAACAAGCCTTTATGTAGAGCACTAGCTAGTTATAAAGCTCTTAGAGCTTTTAGTTAACCTAGAGTAGTAATATAATCTATTACGCTTATTTCTATTACCTAAAGAAGTTGTAATTATTATTATTAAAGTTTTTATTCTATAATAGCTCTCTAGCTTTTATATATAATTTTTATATAAAAGAATACTTTAGAGATTTTTTTTTTAATCTAGAAGTTATGTTTCTAATAAAGTAGAATAATATATAGCTTACTAGTAAAAAGCTAAAGGTAAAGAAGCTAAGTTACTATGTAAAACACTCTTTTTAGCTTTAAGGTAATAAAAAGGTGTTAGTAGTGTAAAACTATAAAGCTAACTTGCTGTACACTAAAAAAGGCTTAAGGGTAAAGCTCTAGCTCTACTAACTCTGCTATTACAGAGGTAATTACACTGCTACTAAAATAGTTAATAGCTATAGCTATATTAGCTACTATTTTAAAAAAAAGCATAAAATTAATATTAGTAGTAATAAAAGTTTTTTACTTAATTTTTTTTATGCTTTACTTAATCCTTAGGCAGCAACAGCTGCTATAGTAGTAGGCTTAGCCTAAGTTGCTTTCTATAATCCTTAGTAAAAGGGGTTATTGCAGAGGTTATTAGTAGACTAGGTTATACTTTATAATATATTATTTATAATAGCATCTTTAGCTAAACTCTAAGGCTTTTTTACCTAGAACTAACTAGATCTTCTTGCTGCTATCTTAAGCTTAGATATAATAATATTATTATATATAAAGTAAAGGTTAACATGCTAAAAAGAGAAGATTTAAATAATATTAAAATTAGTTAAGTTAAAGGTAGCGTTAAGTGTTAATATATAGACTTTACTAAACTACTTTTTTTTTTTAGAGTAGTAGCTTACTTTCTTAGTAAGTTTAGTAGAACTTTAGAGAGGCTATTTTAGTATCTTAGCTTAGAAAACTAATAATAAATAATAACTAACTTCTACTTTATAAATGTTAATTATTAATAATAAGACTTATTTATTAGCTTCTATAACCTTTATAGCAACTATATAAGGGCTAACTAAGTGTAGGCTATCTTTAAAATTATTTAGAATTATAAAATTATGTTAAAATTTAGTTGTTTTATTACTAATAATATGTTTAATAATAATAACTTTACTATTAACACTTTAGCTAAATATCTTAGAGTTAACCTTAATAGAGAGCACTATATACACTGTACAGGCCACATAATTTAATTAGTGCTAAAGGCAGTTATTTATAGTAAAGGATTATTATAATTTAAAGCTGCTTTTGTAAACGCAGCTCTTTAGAATTAGTTTAAGCTCTATTATAAACATAGAGTTGTTAGTAAGCTATATAACTTTGTTAATGCTATTTTTTTATTATATAAACACTAGAAGGCTTTTATAGCTATATAATTATTTTTAAAGAAAAAAGATAAGCTCTAGAGCTTTAGCACACTTAATTTAATACAGGACAGTAGTGTCTACTAGCATTCTGTATATCTAATGCTTGTATAGTGCCTAGAGCTTAAAGATCTAATTACTAAGTTTATCTAGAAGTAGTGTAGCACAGATAATAACACTAAGGACTCTAACATACTTAGCAACACAGCTTTTTAAGAGATTATTAGTAAAAAAGACTAAAAAGAGGTTAAACACTTTACTAAGTTTTTTAAAGTTTTTTATTAAATAATAAAATAGCTAGAGGGTAATAGTAAGCATAGTTCTCTATAAATGTCTATTATTAATATGTAAGTGCTATATAACAAGCTATTATAGATAAAAAAAAAACTTTTCTTTAAGCTTAATAATAGTTACTTTAAAAACAGCGTCTTTTTTAGACTTAAAAAAATTAACATATATTTTTAAAAAATAGTTATTAATTTTTTTATTTTTTATTTAGTAATTACTACTATACTTAACTTATAACTTTGTATACTTTAGTTTAAAGACTACTAGCGTTATTACTAATTCTAGTACTAGAAGGTAGAGACTTTAATAAAGGTTATTTTCTAGCGTTACATTAATGCTAAAGAAGATAAGAAAGTTAATATAAATTCTTTTTAGTAAAAGCTTTTAGTAATAAGCTTTTATAACTTTTATTACTAAAAAGCTTTTATAGTTAACACTTCTTTTTTTACTAAGGCCTAGAGTTATAAGAAAGCTTAGAAAATAATAAAGTTATAGTAATACTTTAACACTTATATAAAAGACCTTTAAAATATTAAGGTAAAAGACAGCTATTTTTTATAGGCTAGCTCTCTTACTTAGTAGCTTAAAGTAAGTTAAAACAGTATCCTATGCTGTTTAAAATTGCCTTTAACTTCCTTGCTATACCCTCTACTAGCTGCGACTGCAAGAGAGCCTTTAGTGGAGGCTAGTGTACAGTTATAATTAATAGAGGTTCTCTTTTTAGGGCTACTATTAAGGCGCTTTAATTGCAGAAGAATTAGCTATGTTATTAAGTTATAAAGAGTAACTTAATTAAGCTTATAAACTTTATCTAAAAGTAGCTAGTTACTATACTATAAAATGTTAATAGTAGTAAGTAAGACAAAATGTTAAAAAGTATAAGGATTTTAGTGCGTTTTAGTTTAGCAGCAAAACAGACAGCTAAGTTGCCTAGGCTGTACAAACGTAGCAGGAAAGTGAGACGTTGACGTCCGTTGATTACTACGTTTCGTTTCGTTTCGTTCGGTTGAGAGCGTTGATTTAGCTATCAGGATGAGCTTTAAGAGTCCGTACGTTTAGCGGCTACGTGGTATGAGAGGATCCTTGACCTCTCCCTGGACATATATTAATACAACATCATTATTATATAGAAAATACTATTACCACAAATACTTACCACAAATAGTCAACGGACACATGATAACAGCCTTCACTACACCTCCTTCCTTGATGCCCGCCTAAGTCACAAATTTATCTGCATTTTTGTGGAAAACTTCATCAGGCGGATTCGTGAGTTCGTCTACCTTGTCCCAGTGGTAGTAGTCTTTGTCCGACCATTGTCCTAGCCTATTATGCTTCTCATCTTCCCAAATTCGGATTCCGGTTCCTCGCGTGCGCAACCAGAAGCCGGGGCTGTCCCTTAAGTGACCGACAGCGAGCTATTTAGCAATAGTTTTTACGGCACCTGAATCGTCAGACGCATCTGGGGTGTCTACTCAGAGAAGTCAGTTAGCGAGTTTTTATCCATTGTTTGGGTACACATACGAATCATAATATCAGCTTTTGCCACTTCTTCCTCGACAAACTTAGGGCTATCAAGGTCTTCGACTACAGTACGGACTTTTGGATACTTTTTCTCACTGAAAATGCTTTCTCCTGGATTCATATAAGTGTAGAGTACTCGTACTCTATATGCTTGGTGTGGGGTTCATACAACAAATCCCCACCAATGTAGCCTGTCGTTCCAGTGCTTCAAATGCTGGCCAGCCCGAAATCCATTTGAATGGATGATAGTTCACTTAAATATAACTAACATAAAGACCTTGGGTGCCATAATGAACGCAAAGTGAACTCTTTCGAGGGTGTTAGGTAAAGTTGAGGATTTAAACAAAAGTTGGGACCCGAAGAGGTGTTCACAAGCTTATTTTATATTCTCGTATTTCATAAGTGTAGGATCTCAGTGTGTTTTCCGTAGAAATCTATACCCATTCAGCAAATAAAAGCTGCAATGATGATGTTGATCTCTTTGAGAGGGTGAAAACGTCTATCCGGGGTAGGAGCCCCAGTTAAACAAATAATAACGAACCACTAGGGAGGCCCCGGACAAATTTCGGAAGGAACATATTGGTAGCTAGGGATATCTCACTCTACCAGATATAATATATATCCAAATACACGGAGGGTTTGTATCTACGCAAAAGGCTCTGGCATCTGAGCTTCCAATTTTGGAATGAATACCGCTTTCACCTTTCCGCCATGAACGATTTTGTGACAGCTCGCACCCCCTGGGTCTATTTCCTAAGCCACTCGAGGTCAGGACATTACAATATTGGCCTTGAAGTGACGCAGGGAGACTCCAATTACCTAGAGGAGATTAGGGTGAATGGGAGTAGAGCCCTTGGCCTATTACGTTGTTGAAACTGCATGTCCAATCGACTAGTATAGATGAAGATATTCCTCGCGTGTCCGCCCATGTCCATGCATTGCTGTACTCGGATCCAATCCCGGAACCCCACTCCTTCCTAGATCTAAATCTTGCTCATGAATAGGAATGCGGTTATCTGTGGTAGGCTGCGTTGACGTTATAGTAGCCGAATTGGTCTGAGACCTCATCAGTAAGTGGACCGCCAGTGGGATCAGAAAAAGCTTGCTCTTGTTCCGAATCCATCACCATACCAAAATCTTGAGACACACTATCCAGAATATTGGGGTCGATTTCGGGAGGGGGTGCTGGGGTTGACTGTAGAGGGGAATTGGAAGGCTGGGCGTTACTGACTTCAACCATCTTATCTCCGTCTACCCGAACTTCGCGATCGCGGAGACGCCGCATGAGTTCGAGGAATTGACTATTTTGAAATTTTTCGCTGGTGTTGTCAGCGACTCTTTCCAGTAACCGTCCTGCTGTTTCTGCCATGTCATCGTCGTCATTCTTCAAAGGCTGCACCTCTTTCTTCTGCTCTGGGTGCTGCTCCATCTGTTCAAGGAGAGGCGACCTTGTTGCATAGCCTGCAGCCCGCAGATCTTCCAAGATACTTTCCTGCACCACGGGGACCCTCGTCGCGAGGAGTGGATACCGTGACATTAGTCGTTCGTTGATGGCGGTAATCAACCTCTCCGCACGAGCTTGGATCTCCTGGGGTGCGTCCCGATTTACGATTTTCTGCAGTACGTCAACACACCATTTCGCCTCGCTGGCATCGTCTATTATTCTTCCGTTGCTTTCAAGATCTTCTAGGTCCTGCAACCAAGGTAATGCCTCGGCAGAATTTCCAAGATCGATTTCACTGCGCAACTTGATCGCAGTATAGACGGCTGGAAGCGCATTAGCTCAAATATTATTTTAAATAGTTCTCCTGACTCACGTAATCGTTTCTCTTTTATGCGGAGTAGAACAGGATCCGTCTCGGCCGGTCTCTGGTCCACCTCTGTTTCCAGTCCATTATCATTGGAATCACGCATGCCAGCAGATGCCTCCTCGAGCATGTCTTGCTGAGCTTGTGCAAATGCCCTCTCAAATGCTGCCTCGTCAAAATCTGGAGTTGCCTCTTGAGTTCGTTGTTTTCCTTGCGCCGCATGTGACACTTGACTCCCACTCATCGGCCCAAGGCTGGACCGCTGAAAAGCCTGGCCTGAATATCCACCCATACCATACCCTGAAATGCCTCCAAACGTAGTCTGGTGAAACGCTGGGGCCTGTAGCGCAGGTGCCTGTTGCCTCATAAAGTCCTTGTGCCATGAGGACGTTGGGTTCGAGATTTGTGGTTGATGAAGTCTTTGTATCGGTGCAGAGTTGATTGGCGATATGCTCAGTTGCTGGAAATCAGACGCCCAATCCGGAGCTGCGCGAACTTGTGCGAACTGTGGCGGAGGTGGATGGTGGGAGAGATTAGGATGGAGTTGGCGGAAATCAGGCTGAGGTAGACCTGAGTGTCCGGCTTGAAAGGCATCAAACTCGGGGTCAAGTATGCCTGCATTAGGTCCAGGAGGAGATCTAAATCCCTAAAGACCATCAATGCCTGTGTCTGTGTCATCGGAACGTGTTTCTTACTTGGGCAGGAGATTGGCGATTCGTCAACCGATCCTGCTGCAGAGTTCGGTCTACGGAAGTGTGCTTTTGAAAGTTTTGGAGGGCATTTGAAGGCCCACAGAGAGCGTCTGCCATTTCGGCAAGAGAGAAATCTATAAAAGAGATGTGCAAGTGTAAAAGAAGGGGACTGGCTCCGGAAGCGCGTTCCGCCTTGTGATTTCAAAATGCCGAGGCATCACCTTATCTTATCATAATATCACGTGGGTTCCATTCATCCCATCCTGGCACACAGTCCTTGCCTTCCACGCTTATTCACCATAACCGAGAAGGGGATTGGGGTAATGGGCAGTTAGCAGGGGCCGCAAGGATGCGGGCTACAAGAGCTTAGGGTGGGCTACACAAGACCGCTGAGAGGGTGGTGTCAGCACCTGAGTTTGCATGCTGACTTACAAGAGTGCAGATGTGTCATTCTGTTAGGGCTGCACCTAGAATATAGTCAGTGTGGTGTGACGTATAATGGAAAAGCCGGCGGTTGACATTGCAGTCAAATTCATTCTGGAGAGTCTCGGGGTAGGTTCACCATAGAAGAGGATAGGGAGACTTGATTCCACAAATATATGTGTGAAATTAGTGGAGAGGGACCAAAAATCACTTGCAAATTGTAGTCTTGTATCCACATGGAAATCAAAATTAAAAATAAACCCAAACGTCAGACGCCATCCCGTCTCCGGGGAGCACATCTCCATCAGAGAACCATACTAATCCGAAGAGCAGCCCTCAGAGCAGATATCAACGGCAAGGATATAGCCTCGGAATCAAGTATAACCAAGAAGAATGAACTGAAACGTCGCAATGCCCTCCAACTCTCAACGAATCCGGACCACATACTTCCGTGTCATAGCATTCATGAAAGGGACATTATCTTCCAACTGTCACTTGCACATGAACTCATAAGTGCATCCAACCATTAATAGAACATCTCCTTGATCCCAACAACCCGCTTTGGAGAACTTCGGCGCCGCGACGGCGATACTGAGTACTTCCTCCGGCGCACCCAGGCATAGTCAGGCTTTCCGTGATCGTGTCGCTCTTCAATGAGAAGACGCGTGCTGTGCTTAGATCGGAGGCGGCGAGTATGCTCAAATAGAATCTCGGTTTCCTTAGAGTCCATTTCGCGAAGAATGATGATGTAGTTAGGATCACCCTGATTGGGCATTAGTACTGGCGAAAGACAGTGATGAAGGAGGGGGATGACGTACTGGGTCAACTTCATAGGGGATGTCGTAGTATAATAAGGTGTCGATCGCGAGATGGTCCTTGTGCACTTTAACATACGTGGGCTGATGCGTTAGTCGCAGCGGGTTGAGAGGCGACATGCCAGCAGTCAGAGCCTGTTGCTGCTGGAGTTTGGCCGCCTCCTCAGGCTTGATCATGGCTTGGATCTGGTTCTCTTGGAAGCCGAAGTGAGCGAGACGCTTGCGCATTTGGTCTTCGAGTTCCTGTTCTTGCTTCTTTTTCTTCTCCTTCTCTTCATCCTCCTTCTCTTTCTGCTTTCGAAGGAACCTCTCCCACTCCTCTTTCTCTTTAGCCTTTTGCTTCTCTTCTTCGATCTTGAGCTGCATGATCAACTCCTCACGTTGCTTTTTTTGCTTCTCGGAATCCTCAAACTTCTGGCGTTCGTATTCGGCAATGGCGCGCTCCCTCTCTTCCTTTTGCTTTCTCTCTTTTTCCGCCTTCTCTTTGTTGTATTCGTCAACGGCCCGCTGCTGAGCTTCTTTACGCTCACGCTCGGCCTTCTCCATCTTCATCGTGTTCTCCATTACGATCCTCTTCCGCTCCTCCTCTGCTTTGTCGAATTTGATTTGGTTCTCCATGAGAATGCGCTTCCGCTCTTCCTCTGCCTCCTTTGCGCGTTGTTCCCGCTTGCGTGCCTCCTGCTCCATCTTGAGCTCCCAGTCCTTCTTGAGGCGGTCCTCTTCGAGCTTGATGCGCGCTTCCTCCTCATCGCGCTCTGCCTTGTCCTTGAGGTATTTGAGCTCCATCCTCTTTTTAATGAGTTCCTCGCGCTTCTCCATGGCGAGTTTTTCCTCGGCTTCTTTAAGACGCTCATTGGCCATTTGCAGCTGCCATTTATCATAGGCGTTGTCGGGAGAACCATCGTGGTGGTGATGGTGTGCCGACCGTGAGCGTGAGCGTCGTTGCCTCGCGACCTCCAACCGCAGCTCGGCGAGCTCGTCTTCGAGTCCCCACTCGCCAGGCATCCTGAGAGGGCGACCGCGTGGACTTGCGGCACGAGGGCTGGGCGCCGGGCTGCGCTGTTCGGTGCGCACGTTGGGGCTGCTCTCGTTGTCCATGCGAGTGGTGTTATAGATGGTTACATTAGGGGCGGGAGAATGTCCCTGGGAGCGAGTGCGGTGGAGGCCAGTGGAAAAGGTACGCGCCTCAGGGACGAGGAAGTCTCTCTCGCTGTGACGACCGAAGTCATCGATGCGGCGACCGCGTGGAGGGGGAACATGGCGGGCACCACTAACAAACCGATCAGAGTGGTACCACTCATCCTCTTCGTCCCAAAAGTCGGCGCGGGGCATCGTGATGGTTGGAGCGACAGCGCTAGAAAACCTCAGGCGTCTGGAAAGGGTTTAGGAATCGACAGATGTTGCGCTCGCGAAGCAAGATGTGTGGTGCGGGCTGCTGGAGCGGCGAGGCGGGGGTGGTGTTGAGTCTTTCCAGCAGCAAAAGCAAGCTGACACGAAGCACAGCGGGAAGGGTAACGGGTAACGTAAGAAAGCTGGGAGGAGAGGGAACAAAGCGGCACAGCCAGAGATTTCAAAGAAAAGGCAGGCGACCACTTTGGGGGCCAGAAGTGCAGAGGCTGGGCTAGTCATCAGGCAGCTGCTGGGGCTGAGGCGGAACTTAAGTGCAGTCTGGTGGACCTCCAGAGGGCTGGTCCATGCCTGGTTCCACACACGCGCACACCAGCACCCCCTCCGAGAGACGGCGACGCAAGACACAAATGCGGTGTTCGGGCTTGCCGCCTGTTTGCTGTGCTGTTTCAAACCCTTTGGCTCAGACTTCTGTGCTGTGTGCGAGCATCGTCGTCTTGAGGAGGGGCAGTCTAAAATTGGCTGAACTCGAGACGCGACATGTCCATTTCGGGCGGCGGGGCGGTAACATCACACTCTCCCGCCACATCTACCGACCTTTGAACGAGCTTACCTGGTTCCGTTGGTTGCTTGTCATCGGGGAGGTGTTGCTTTCGCGCCGCTCTCTCGACTGTTTCAGACCAATATGCACGGGAGCGCCTCTTGAAACAGTGTGCTCATGTGCCAATTTGCTCAAGCTCACGTCGCGACTTTGCCTTCTGGACCAAGCGTGGTCTGGGCGGGGAGCGACGTCGGAACCTTGGAACCTCTGCACCAGTTCAGCTCGATACACCAACTAGGACGGTGCCAGTCGAGAGTCTTCAGCCGCACCCTTCAATCTCTTGAGCGGGGATTCGAGGAAGATTCAACGGAGATGGAAGTAGCGCAAATATGTCCTTTCTATGTATTGTCACCGAACCTTGGGCATGACCAGGGTACTTCAAGACAGCAGACCGGATCCTGCTGACCTTCTCCCTAATTCCCGGAAGATGTTTAATGGAAAACCCTGCCCTGGTCATGTTCCGTGATAACATGCCATAAAGAGCGAGGCAGAACCACGATGGATTTGTTCAGGTGTGCCACCTTAGCAGGAATATCGCCGCGTCTTCGCATGGTCGCTGATAGATACTCCCCACTCACATTTCGAGTATGTCCATATATCGAACAGGCAATTGACCTGTATTTGCTCCCTTTGATGCCGTTCTCCGTGTAAACATACCCTCCCCACCAGAGGCATCCAATACTCATCCAGAGCAAAATGTAGCACGCTAGATCGTACCGGCTAGTGACCAACCTCTTCAACAAACAGTACACTGAGATTCTTCTCCGAGGTCCGCTGCTTCATACCCACAACAAACCATTGCTGTCAATTGAAATTGCGACTGTGGGTAGGGTTTCCTTGTGGTGAGCAGGGAAAATAGGCCTCCCTACCGTAGCACCGTCTTTGTTCCCAGTAGTCGTAGTTTAAACGCCAACTTAATGTCTGACTTTAGTCGCAGCTTCCGTGAGTTCAATGAGTTCAAAGCCACTAATATCATCTTGACTGAGGTCGCTTTCGTGCTTGAGCGTATGCTTGAATCCCGCTTGCTTCCTCAACCAATATAATGCGCAATTGGAGGTCTGGTATGAAACCGATGCTCTCCTCTGCGATTTTCCAAATGAATTCCACAGTATCTTCTCATCTCAGTAAAGTAGAACATGGCAATTATATCTCAAGTTAGAATGTGACCTCCTGTTGACCCTCCCCCATTCCAGCGAGGGGTTTGATAGACAGACTCTACTTTAATCATGTTCGACAGTATGCGATACCATGCTATACGACCTAGATTCTTACTTTGACTGGGGTCTTGAGGGGTTTCTAGATCAAGGATATCTGCTTCTCGGATAGGCCGAGGGAATTGATGTCTGCCTTGGCTTTCTGGATGCTGCTGTTCTCTTCGCAGCTGAGCTGCGTGTTTGCGGCAAGTGCTTGGACCGCCAACCTGGGCTTTTGCTGTGATATACGGGCAGGTAGAAATGCGGACTCCTGGTATAGAACTGCGCTCTCGCTGATTCATTTGTTACCCGGTTCACCGTCCAGGAACTGCATGTGTACGTGGGAAGACGTGGCAAATGTGAATGCTCCTACTTCATTTCATAATCAGCTTTAACTTGATGTGGTACACTACTTCTAGCGTCGTAGTACTTAAGTAGGTACGGCGGATACACAAGTCACTCCAAGAGCTAGATATTCTAACCAAAGAGAGCAACCACTTCATAAATATCAACTCCAGCCCCTGGCAGCTTCATACACTGACCTCAAGCTAAGATGGAGTCATTACGACGATTTATGTGCTATTCGTCTTTCACTACTGATGCCATTCCACCCTTTAGAACATCTAGAGAAACTAAGGAATCAGCATCCCCGAGACACAACTCAACAGATGCTAAAATACCACCCGAACCCCTAAAAAGCCCTTAACAAGGCATCTATCAAAACCAAATATGATATGAGAATAGAGATAGCCCGAGCCACACCGAACATGTCCATTAATCTCGTCAACTCGTCCACCGTAACCTCGCCAGCATCACCATTTCCATCAAACTCCGACAACCCCAACCTAAAACACCGCTGTCGAATCAACCCCGATTGACAAATTTCCTGCTTCTCGTATGACCTCGACTGGCTCAAGGACGAATCCAACGTCGGTTAGGACGACACAGAGCAACGATATCAACTTTATACCGCTCTACGAGGCGTGGCACAGGTTTCACGAGACTTAATTCCAAGATCAGGAATGTCATCTCGGCAGCAGAAAGCCTGTGTTCTCGGAGAAAGCTGTTGGTGATACACAGCTAGATACACGGCTGATTAGTGAGTTTCTCAAGGCTTACTGGGTGGCGATTGAGGAGCATGTTGATTCGGTTGAGTATGTACCGCCGAACGTTGCATATAAAACCGAGCGGGACAAATCCTTGGGAAGTTCTGAAAGACCTTCCTGATAAATATTAGACATCAAAAGGATAGGACAGGCTTTGAAGCTGTCTTCGAAGAGACGAACGCCGAAACTCTACCTATAAGTCCATAAGATAAGAAAGAGGCGGAAACAGGATCCCTCAAAGATGCTATCAGGGCGCCAATGGTCCTCGATATTCTAGATAAAAGCATTTTGCTATTCTTTATCCGTCCCAAGTTTGCGCCGCTATGCATCCCTTGCTTTATCGCTAAGAGAGAGCTCGATCTGTTGTTCTTGTTTTCCCATGAGTTCGTCGCTGGTGAAATGCTTGACCTCTGTAAACTCGACTAGGCCGCTAAAGATGATACTAATTTCTTCAGGCATCTTACTTTTCATCTATAGTATCTAGCCAGTATTCCATCAGTAGAATTACAAGGGCCCGTACCTCTGAGAAGAAATAGACCAAAGCGCTGTGCACAGCCTGGCAAATAATTAGTATCTTCTAGAAGCTGTGTCCAATATTCTCGAACGCTGTTAGGGTCGCCCCAAGAAGAACAATTCATTAGCCCACTATACTGAGCTGACTCCAAAGGACAGGATGATTATCGGAGAGATCTCGGCGGGGATTAAATGTATGGTCGCGTCCAAGCATAACGAATGGAACACGAGGAAGAGAGTTATAAAAGCAACCCCAAAGCCGAGGCCGGCCCTGTTCGTTGATCTTGTCTCTGCAAACAATGCCAGCAAGGCCGCCCCTACGGATAGGAAGACACAGAGATATGCGCACCCCGTAATGACAAACTTCCTTCGACAGAACATGGTCGATTAAAGTCCCGATTGGGGAGGTTTCCTGGTACTGTTATGAAGAAACATCTGACCAAGAGTAGTGATAACTTCTTGTTTATTCCCAAGCCGTTATAGAATGTGGTTTGGTAGTTATTCATGACGAGCACTCTCGTGAACCGATTTCTAGCTTGGACAAGGAAGCCAAGGGCACGCCGCTTGCGGAAGTTTCGCCTTGAGAATGCAACCCGAGCCTGCTCGAGGAACCCCACGGCAACATGCTCTCGTTCGAAGGAGATTTTTTCTATCATTTGGCGGAATTCGGTTTAGGCGTAGATATCTTCTGGATCCCTTTTGTTCACGTGTAACCGTCCAGCTGTATTCCATGCCTCCTGTTCCCGGCCTTTGACAAAGGAGCCAACGTGGAGAATAATAAAGGGAGAATATGCTAATGAAGAGGATGATGGCTATACTTTCTTGTGTAGCAAGGGGAAGCGCCACTGGAAGGGGGTATTGGTTGAAAGCTGCATCCGTCGTTGATGAATTCAGTGAGGGAGTAAGATGGATCAATAAACACTCCGTGTAAGCTTACTATCATCCCTCTCCACTCTACCGGCGATACTTTAGGCTCTTGCGGCATTAGCAGTCAGGCGGTCTCAAAAGCCTCGAGTTCTTTTTACTTGATGAAGAGGGACAAAAGTGACGACTGACGACAAACATAGGAATATTCACTAAGCTAATCATCAATGACGCCTCTAAATGGTAAGAAGGCAACCTATCTGTATGCATCGTTTCCGTTCTCAGTATTGTACTACATGTGGTAGGTGCAACTGAAAACGCCTCCTATAGAGTATATGCATTTATTCAGGCCTATGATGGAATCTGAGTACGGCGACACTACCACAAGGCACATGCCATTGTACCATCCTAGAATGCCTAGAGAGGGATAGTGGGGACCGCACATACGAACACCGATGATTGTAGCACTGATCGTGGATGGGTAACTACAGGAGAGGCCTCCGAACGCGACAAAGAGAGCAACGGTGGAGTTCCACACATACCAGGCTCGAGGAATAATGTACCTGTTTTATCATGTGACTCTTCTATCTTATTCTGCGGTACGAGTCTTTAGGAGGGGCGAAGCCAAGCGGACGAGGATTCAAAGGTGACGCAAATAAGTTGAGCCGAATCTGTACTAATGTAAGGGCTTGTAGGTGAACAAGACGCCCTCTAGGGCTTGAGTACTTGCTAGAGATAAAGATGGGATCGGCGTAGCACAGGACACACCCGTTAGAACCTATAAGAGTGAAGTGTTGTGGCTCCGTTCACCTCAAGGAGTGGAAGATATTACTGATCAACCATGCCCGTTGGGATTAACTCGAAAAGTACAACGTGGAGCAGGGAATGGCGCAACAGAATCCCCTTACCAAATTTCCATTTAGCCTATACATAAGCGCCATATAGGCTGTTTAAGACAAACTTCTACCTTCAGGGTCCGTGCTCTGTACAGCGTGCCTAACAGCCCGTACTGTACGATTAGGAGATTTTGAGGCCTGTGCGGACGAGATGTCCTGTACGTACGTACGGTCGTGAGGGGTAGAGGCAACGGTACGAACAGTAACGGCACCGTTTGAGGTGAGCTGTACGGGTAGTACTGTACGATTGATGTGCGTCATAACAATTGATACGCCATACTATAGAAGAGGCAGAGTCAAACGTCTGATAGCTCCTTGTAAGGCTATTTTCCCTAGTAACGTGGGCAGCAAGAGCCAGGAGCTCGCTCCTCACTTAATAGGCATTATTCAGATTCTGATGAGCTATACTATCTAGATGGACAGGAAATGTCCCCTAGGAGCAGCTGAATTGGCTCCTCAGGGCAGCTACTCCGGCAAGGGCCCTCCAAAACACCTAAAAGGTAACTGTACGCCGTACTACAGGCAGTACCCAGGCCAACAGCTATCGTACGGGCCGACAGAAGATCGCTGTACGATCGTACGGCTCAAATCAACCGTACACCGTATTCAGTACTGTCAGTAGTACGGCCTATTGGGCACGCTGGCTCTGTAGACTCAGACCATGCGATGTCATTTGCCTGTAAGATTGGTATTAACAGGTGTTTTTCCTGGAGACTGGACATCACATAAGCTTTAACAGATTTGAGAATCAAATAGTGGTAAGGACTTCAAGGCCCGATTGCTAGCCGTCAGCCACCTGCCTCTATATGGAGGATCAAGATAGACTATCTGGAGCTCCTTTTGGCCTGGTGCAACTGTTCGGTTATCTTTATACCTGGAGCTTCCAATAGTTGCCGAAAATCGCCAGGGTGGTTTTCCAACGTTTTTAAGATGAGGGAAAACGCTTGGGTCGGTAGTTTAAGTCTCTGTGGTAGGTGGGTTTGTTCAGCTTCCTCCTCCGCGAAGTACTTGTTCGAGACTTTGCTTGCTATTTTGATAGGTCTTCTCCAAGTAGTCCTGCTTCTTCTCCAAGTTCGACATGTCTGATTTGAGTTCATCACTCTCGAATGAGATCCTCTTCTGCACCTCCGGAATGGGGGTGCAAACAAACCTGCACCGAATGGGTTAGAAAGGTACCAAATACCGAAAGAGAGGACAAAACTCACATTTTACCAACGCCCTCATAGACCTTGGTATCCTCTGGCAGTGACCCTACTTCACTGGCTGTCAACTGAAGCATACGATTCTCTCGGTTCTTGACGGCCATTTGTTGTCGGACAATGGCAAGTTGCTGCTCGGCAAAGGCCTTCTTCTGACCTATCTCCCGCAAAATCTAGGGGAACGTATCTGATCAGTCTCGAGTACGTTATGCCGAGCAAAGACGTAAATGCTCACTTTTTGCAGGGCCTCGTTAGGAATCGACATGATGAGTTATTGGTAGTGTCTTTCGAGGCTGTTTGAGGTTGAGGTGCAGAGTCAAGCGTTGCTTGGCACTTCGGAGAGCTGAGGGAATTGCAGGGATCGCTGGTAGCATGTAATTGGCTGACAGAACAGGTTCAGTTAGCCATGACGGAATAGCAGGTGAGGGCAGGTGAGGGAAGGTGAACAAAAGTTTCTCTCGTCTCACACAATCCTACTCAGCTCCTCTTCAATTTTACTCAAGGACGGGCTTATTCACCGCCCACTATTCATAACATGGTTCGTTTTACGAATGTGCTGTAGCTCAACGATGTGCATTCCGAACACTCCGGACCTTGGAATACATAGTACATTGCTGGCTCCTACACTCTCCTTCGCTATTCCACTACCCTCAACATTGGCATTTCTTCTATATTGCTACGACCAACATGGCTTCCAGGATATTCTCTTGGCTTCCCTCTATTCCATACCCACCCTCTCAGGACGGCCGGTGGTCACCTGTGACCTCTACCTTAAACTGGTGTGAAGAAGTCAGTTTTCTAGCATTCAAACTGCTTCTTACGCGCTTACCAGGCCATAGGACTACTATGCAACCATTTACGCCGCCGAGATTGTAAATACCTTGACCAATCTCCTGTTCATGTACCTCGCCGTTAAAGGCATCGACAATTGCCTGACAAACGGACACGACCGCATATTCTTGGTTACCTTTGCCGGATATTTAATTGTCGGCACTGGAAGTTTTCTATTTCATGCCACCCTGAAATGTACGTCACCATCTCGAGGAAATCCCACACGAATTGAATGGCATCTGGGGCTTATGTGACCTCTAGACCCCATGCAGCTTGTCGACGAACTGTCTATGATTTATACTACATGCCTTATGTGTTATGCTACTTTTTCTTATCGCAAGTCTAGACGATTCGCGACGGGCCTGGCCGTATTCCTGGTTTGCATGGCCCTGTTCATCACACTGTATTACCACTACCTACAAGACCCGACGTTCCACCAAAACGCGTACGGTCTTCTCACAGCAATCGTGCTATTCCGGAGTGTGTGGATAATGGAGATCAATATTCGCCCCAAATTCCGTTCGCAAGAAAGGGAAGCAGCAAACCCCCGACCGAACAGAGGACCTCAGGCTGCGCAGGACCAGGAAGATCTAAGAGACGAGGAGATTCTGCGCCAGATGTGGACCATGATTGCGTGGGGGTTGAGTATTTTCATGGGAGGGTTTGCCATTTGGCAGCTGGATAATGTGTTCTGTCCAACGCTGATAAGATGGCGGAGACAAATCGGGTTGCCATGGGGTATAGTCCTTGAGGGACATGGCTGGTGGTGAGTCTCCTGCATCCATGGATAGGATTTTCGACTGACGCATGATTGTGGAGGCATCTGATGACTGGGGTAGGGGCATATTTCTATATTGTGTGGGGAATCTGGCTCCGGCATTGTTTGAATTACAGGCAAGATGACTACGAGCTGGTATGGCCACGGTTGACTTCGATGCCGGTTGTCGTCAAGCACCGAACACGGCATGCCAACGGGTACCACAACGGCTCAGCGAAGAAACTGGAATAGGACGGGGCCATGTTTGCTCAATGGGATCTATATCTGGGGCGTTGGATCTGAACTGACTAGGATGATGGTGGAGAATAGACAGGTCATTCCCGGGATATGTCATGGAAAGCGCATTGGATTCTCCTACTGCGATCTATGGAGTGGTGGTGTGTTTTGCTGCCGGGAGCGAGGGCTGGTGCCTGTTGTCGCGTAGAGAGGTTAGCGCAAGGTCCGTGCGCGTTTACCCACAACACACGGGCTGCAGGTCTTCTTGACCGCTTCCTCCTCTCGACCTCCACTCCACGAACGCTCCACCCAACAGCTCTTCTTCTCCAGCTCATCTCGCATTCTCAGCTTCAGAACGCCCCCTTATCTAGTTTTCTCCTTCCAACATGCGTGAGATTGTACGTACACCTCCCACCCGCAAATTTCTCTCGCGCGTCCCCTGAAACCAAACGCGGGGCACCACCACCACCTCACCACCACTACCACAACATAGGAAGAACACAGCTAACCTCGAGTCTTTTGAGCGAATAGGTCCACCTCCAGACCGGCCAGTGCGTAAGTTGCCCTAAAGCCGACATTTTGACACTACATCTGACAACTGCTAGGGTAACCAAATTGGTGCTGCCTTCTGGTGTGTCAATCCGAGCAAGAATCACATCTACATTGGACTACAACTAACTTCACCTGCACGACAGGCAAACCATCTCGGGCGAGCATGGTCTCGATGGCTCCGGCGTGTGAGTATTTCCGCTCCCCATACCGCCAAATCTGTTTTGGTGGCTGTTAACTGACTGCATGTAGCTACAATGGCACGTCGGATCTCCAGCTCGAGCGCATGAACGTCTACTTCAATGAGGCGTCGGGCAACAAGTTCGTTCCTCGCGCCGTCCTCGTCGACTTGGAGCCCGGCACAATGGACGCCGTCCGTGCTGGCCCTTTCGGACAGCTCTTCCGCCCCGACAACTTCGTCTTCGGCCAGTCTGGTGCTGGCAACAACTGGGCAAAGGGCCATTACACCGAGGGCGCTGAATTGGTCGACCAGGTCCTTGATGTCGTCCGTCGTGAGGCCGAAGGCTGTGACTGCCTCCAGGGTTTCCAGATCACCCATTCGCTCGGCGGTGGCACCGGTGCCGGAATGGGCACCTTGTTGATCTCCAAGATCCGCGAGGAGTTCCCAGACCGCATGATGGCCACCTTCTCCGTCGTGCCATCCCCCAAGGTCTCGGACACTGTCGTTGAGCCCTACAACGCCACCCTTTCCATCCATCAGTTGGTTGAGAATTCTGACGAGACCTTCTGCATTGATAATGAGGTACGTACCGCACTAATGTCGTATTGTAGGCTAAGCTAACTGTCTCAGGCTCTGTATGATATCTGCATGAGGACCCTCAAACTCAACAACCCCTCATATGGTGACTTGAACCACCTCGTCTCGGCTGTCATGTCCGGCGTGACCACCTGCCTGCGTTTCCCTGGCCAGCTTAACTCCGACCTTAGGAAGTTGGCTGTCAACATGGTTCCGTTCCCTCGCCTCCACTTCTTCATGGTCGGATTTGCGCCTCTGACTAGCCGTGGCGCCCACTCATTCCGAGCCGTCACTGTCCCAGAGCTCACCCAACAGATGTTCGACCCCAAGAATATGATGGCTGCTTCCGACTTCCGCAACGGTCGCTACCTGACCTGCTCTGCCATCTTCCGTGGCAAGGTCTCCATGAAGGAGGTCGAGGACCAGATGCGCAACGTCCAGAACAAGAACACTTCCTACTTCGTCGAGTGGATTCCCAACAACGTCCAGACCGCTCTTTGCTCTATTCCTCCACGTGGACTCAAGATGTCCTCCACCTTCGTTGGCAACTCGACCTCGATCCAGGAGCTGTTCAAGCGTGTTGGTGACCAGTTCACTGCTATGTTCCGTCGCAAGGCTTTCTTGCATTGGTACACTGGCGAGGGTATGGACGAGATGGAGTTTACAGAGGCTGAGAGCAACATGAACGACTTAGTTTCTGAGTACCAGCAGTACCAGGAGGCGGCTGTCTCCGAGGGCGAGGAGGAGTACGATGAGGAGGCCCCGCTTGAGGAGGAAGTTTAGATCAATGCCTGATCTCGAGATACCATACCGAGTTTTGTTTGGTGTTGAGGGCTGGAGACATGGTGGACAGATGCGATTACTCTGATTCGTCCTGCTCTAGATGTCTTGGCCGCATTCGATCGGGTGAAGAGGATGTGGGCGCGAATTGTTTGTTTGTTCCTGCCCCTAATACACCTGTGAAGGATGCACCTTGAGTATTCTTTGAGAGTAGGAGCGAGACTCTTGTTAATGGAAAAGATTGTTCTCATCATTCAGTGTCTTGGCAACTGTCAATAATGAAAGTGCAAACCCTCTCGTATGTGATGTAATATAAGGTGAGCCAAGAGTGTCTTGTGTCGCGGGGACAGAAGGAAGCACCTTCGAATGCTTAAGAATTTTCCACCAAAGCTCTGCAATTCCTATGCGGAGGCAGTTGAATACCCGCAACGCCGCCGCTATGTATCCCACTGATATGTTGAATCGAAAGTTACCTCCATGTAAGAGTACGCCAAGCAATATATCAGCTACGCTGACACACGCATCTAATGTCTCGCCACCGATCCGCCGCTTCATCGCACATACTCTAGCCCCATTCCTATCTGCCTATTCCATCATTAGGGTCTGTACTCTTCACAGCTCTTCACAGAGCCTTGCTTCCCGCCTTCTTCCTCCCCTCGTCCCTCTTCCTATAAATCATCCCGGTAAAAGGATCCTCGTACTGCCGAGCCACAGTATACATCGCAGCGACAAACACGGTGAGTAACACGCCCGCTGGTTTCCCCTTCCAGAGCGCGGCGGCTAGGAAGGACAGCGTGGACCCGTGGTACATGGGTGCGTCGGTCACGTTGAAGGGGAAGCTGGTTACGGGCGCGTCCATCAGGATCCCAAAGTAGTCCCCTAGATAGGTGCCTGTGATACCGAGGGCGTACATAGAGGTTAGCACGAGGACATTGCCGGTTATGAAGAGTGGGATCGCGGAGTATTGGACTACGGGAGTGGAGAGGAGGGGGGAGGAGGGTTGCGCCGAGAGGGCGCGGTCGTATCTACATATGGGGATTGGGGGTCAGCGAGTGATTTTGTGAAGGGGGGCTAGAAATGGAGGGGCAAGTCATACAAGACATCCCTAACGATCCCCAGCGAGAAAATCGATACCGCAAGCGCATAGCATCCGAGTCTCGAGTTCCCACCAAACAGCTTCGTAATGAGCTTGTTATGATATTCTGCATTCCAACTGCTGTTAGCATCATGTCTTCCCAACCGGCTAGTTTCTCTAAAGAGCCTCCAAGTCTTCAGTGAAGCTCCGGAAGGAATGTGTACCTTGACGAGCGGCGATACTAGAGCATAGTATAAGCTTTGGATATCTGAGATAGAGGTAGAGGCAGAGATGGCATACTTCCAGAAGGTGGGGTTGAAGACAATTGTGGCTGCAGAGACTGTTTACCGTGTCAATAAGCAGCCACTTTGTTAAGCTCCAACAAAAGGGCAACAAAACTCACTCCAGAAGCTAGGCTGGCTGAAATCGATGAGGTCGCTCATTATGAAAGGCTCTTAGAAGAATTAAAACTCCGTAGGAACAGTAGGAGAGGCGGTTAGGAGGATCTCTAGTTCCAGGGGTGTCGATGCAAAAAAACTGAATGCATCGACTTGGGGAAAGGGCTTGGTGGTGTTTTCGGCACCTGCGCGCCGTAGCGAAAACGTCATTCTTCGCTTGATGTATCTTAACATCTACATTAAATATGCTCGCAACATCATCGGTGCAGGGGTTTTCTGCGCAGTATTTTCTCGCAATAATATTAAATGAAGGTGTATCGTACAGCACTTATTCACATTTCCCCGTGAAACCGTGCAAATTCCCACGTACCTCACACACAAAGCCGTTAACCCGTGTGGCAATAAACCAGCCTAGTTCATTCCGCCAACCGCCCCACCGTTTCCCAGTTCTGATTTGATAAGATAGCAAATGCGCATCCCTGAAGAATGGAGGCAGTAAGTCCATCTTACCGTAATGATGATAAATGATGATGAAATCGAATGAAGATGTCTATCCATGACAAGATCTCCCTGATCACTCACAATCCGTTTGTATCACAGGAGAAGGGTCCACCGAACCCAGCCGTGTGGTAGCCATCGACTATGGATTGAACGGAAGCCTGGAGAGACATTAGCACCATATAGAAATAGGGACGGGCGGATGAGAACATACGTAAGTTCCGGCAGACAAGAAGAGCAGTCCGATCAGACAGAGGATAATATTGAAGATGAATCCAAACCACGACTTCAAACCGCGCGATTTGTAGAATCCGGGCCCGTAGTCTGCGTACCGCATTCGCAGGTACGCCACGCCCCAGAAGATGAAGCCGAAGAAAGAGTCGAAGAGAGAGCTCATCAGCGAGAGCAAGTCCGAAAAGAATGGAATCACCTCGGCAATGATGAAGGCTAGGATCCAGAGGATAGCAAGGATACCAGCCCAGGTAGCCCAGCCCGCAAAGGTGTGGTCGCTCATATGCCGAGTGCCCTTGAAGAAGCGGAAGAAAATGAAGCGAGCCGAGACAGATGCATACAAGACACCTAAAAAGATAAGAGTCGGGATCATGAAGGAGAAGGACACCTTCAGATAAAGCTCGTTTCCAAGCGAACCGAAAGCCGGGGCGGTATTGTAGTTCGTGCCAGTGTACGCATACACGATGGCTCCTACCAAGCTAAACACAATGACCTCAGCGATTGTGACAGCCCACAACGCCTTAGGAAAATCTTTCGGTTCCTTCATCTCCGCAATGAAACTCGGAATTGTGATCTGGCCAATGAAGGTGTAGCTAATATTCATGAATGCATTCATTCCGGCGACGAATGTGGTTCCTGCGGCTGGGACGGCCAGCACCGTAGGCTCGCCAAATTTGGGGTAGCCTTTTGGATGGTCCTCGATACCAGCGAAGATGGTAGCTAGCAGTACCGAAATGAACGTGAAGAAGGCAGAGAAAGTAGCAACCTTCGCAAGCGTGGAGAATGTCCGTGGTAGCGAGCAGATCCAGCTGATGACAGCTACAATAGCGGAGAATCCAATGGTGCACACGCTGTGGTTTGTCATAGTATTGAGATACTTGGCACCAACGAGGCAGTGAAAGCCCTTTATCGGTAAGTTCTTGTTCAGTAATTTCAATCAAAGGGCATACCTGGATGAAGGTATTGTTGAGGATAAACATGACTGCAGTGAACCACCAAGCTGAGCGTTGCTGAAAGAACAGCATCTCTCCAACGTCGCAGACATCACGAAGTTCGGGATGGCGCAGACAAAACTCCCTACTAGGAGTTAGTATTTGGGATTTAGGTCCCGATGAATAGGTTGCTTACCAGACGACTAAGGATGTGTACAAGACTAAGCCAGCGACCACGACAGTCAAGATCAAGCCAGGCACAAGACCAAGAACCGAGTAAGAGTAAGGGAATGACATGATAGCCAGACAAATGTACTCAGAAAACAGCAGCGCTGCAGTCTGGGCATCAGATCAGCATTGGTCATGGAGTTCACCATAGCCGACGGAATTGGAAAGACTTGACCACGCCATAGGCGGAGGGTAAGGAAACATACTTTGGGCCAGCTGCAAGTACGATACTTGATGGCATTCTCGGCCTCCATTTCAATCTGTTTTCCAACAGTGAGACCCGTCGCATCCTCCTCTTGCTCCATGTCTTTGCCATCGATGCGGCGCATGCGACGAGGAGCTCGGCGCTGGTCCTCAGAATCATAGAATGGTGGAGAGTCGGCATTAGGGCTCTCGGTCTTCTTGTCAATATCACTCATGCTGGGGTCCTTCTCGGGCTTCGAGCTGAAGAATCCTAACGCCATTTTAGAGAGCGAATGGCCTTCTTGTGAGGGGTGTAATAGAAAGGTCGGCGGGCGTTGGCTTCTGGCAGCATTAACCACCTGAATGAATTGATCGAGCTCCGACAGGAGATGAACGCGCAGCGAGGATACCACTCGGACTGCGGGTTGGTGTAAGAATAGAGTTGTAAGTCGCACAAAGCCGTTGCGACTGTGGGAGTAGGTGGTAGTAAATAGCGTAGAAGAAATAGCTCAAATAGCGGTGGATTGAAGGTGAGTTGGCGCCAGGTGGTGGTGAGAGCGGTCAGGGATTTACTGTGTAGTCATAAATGAATGACGTCCGCGGAGGCAATCGTGGGAAGGAGTGGAGAAGTGAACAGACAGGCCCTGGTTCACGTGTTCGCAAACTGCCTACCCAAGCATTCTTTGACATAAAGAAGCCAAATTCGGCCTAACAAGGTGGTCCCCTCCAGCACCCATAACCGCTACACCCCCCGCCGTCACGCTTAGCAGCGCAGAGTTTGAACATGATCTCTTCGAGCTTGGCTAGGCCGGTGAAGTAAACGCGTCCTATTCGCAGTTACCCGCAGATGCGGCGTAACAAAGCAGGCGTGACGACAGACTAAGAGTGTCGGACCACTGCCTTGGAAATCGGGATTCGCGCTGCGCTCCCCTGTGACGGCCTGGTTTAATACCCTCCGCGCGGGTTTGAGCATGTGGAAGGACAGTAGTGCAAATAACTCAGGAACCGGGCCAAAGCTCAGTGGAACATTCCTCCCTCACAATCCTCTTTATTGTCCCTTTATGGTCGTTCCTCCTCTCAAGACGGCCTCTGCTTCTGGGGGACTCAAGGCTGGCTGAATCTAAAGACGGCAAATTGATCATGTTTTTGCGTGCGGAATGTGTGTATGACGTCGGTGTCCCAGCCCTGGAAGAATGCGGCTACGGCAAGCTCCGGCTTCCAACATTGGTTGGGGAGCTTGACTGGCCTAGGCGTCATCTTGGTTCCGCCGTTGGCGCCATCGCATTGTGAGATTGCGACAGGGCCTGGTACGACGTATATTATTAGCCAATTCAATACTCATTGCCATGAAATTTTGGCCTCAACAATCTCAGCACTCACCCCAACTATCTCATGGAAGCAGCGCTGGCTTAATAATCTTGAACTGAAAGTGTTTACATGTACCCCCAAACCTGCCCCGGCATCACAATCCCCTTACAGAATCCTTGATCGTAGGGTGCCTAGTACGGATCCGTAGATAACAAAAAGATATGATTGAGCACGCGAGCAACATACTGGAGACCGGGAACGCCTTAGTCAAGAAGGGCAGAGGAAAAAACCATGACTTGGACTGAAAGCTGAACCCCAACGTCGAATCGTCACGAGCTGAAATTGGCTATCATACACCTTCTACCCACGCCCGACCTGAAAAGTGTGTGTCCTGCAAAGTGCCTTTGAAAATATTCGAGAAACTCCAAGTTTCCGCCTGCCAAAGATTCTATGCCAGTAGTCGCTGAACAACACCGTGAAACCATGAATAAACACTGAGAAAGTAGAAGAAGAAACTAGATTAAGGAGTCACTCCCACCTCCCCAATTTTGCGTCTGTTGCGTTTGCTGCAATTGTACTGGTCTCTGCTGGTTCTGATTCTGTGCCATTCTCGTGGACATAGCTATCCCTGATCCGCCTAGCGTACTCATATCACCTGTCTGTGCCCCTGTTCTCGGTGGCGGGGCGATGCTAAACGTATTAGACCCTGTTGCCGGTGGAGGTGCGATGCTGAAACCCGAATATACGTTACTCTGTTGTTGAGGCTGTGAAGGCGGTGGTGCAATGGAGAAGTTCGATAACCCAGTCGTACTAGAGTTCGTGCCTGTGTTTCCCCAAGGGTTAAACGCAGGTGCAGTGGCTTTACTCCAATCTAAGCTAGAACTTTGTGTTGTGTACGTTGGTGTAGAGAGATTTGTATTGATGCTGCTCATACTGTTCATGCTCATGCCCATGCTCGGTCTAGCTTGTTGCGGTGGAGAGAAAGAGCCGATGTTGCTAATGCTAGGGTTAAGGGGAGTAAGAGCAGGAAAAGAGGAGTTCAACGAGCTGAGAGTATTGTCAGGCGTAATCGTTCTGCTTGCCCCCCCCTGTGGTGCTGAGAGGTTTGTAGGAGGAGACATAGGGGGCGGTGGTGTGGACCACGAAAATGTCGCCGCGGGCGAAGCATTGTTCGATGACCTTCCACGATGTGCTGATGGTCGGGAGGGTAGGACGGACGATGGCGAAGCGGAGGCTGGTGCATTTGCCCATGAATCTCCCCCCAACATATCTGTGCCTGAAGATGTATTCGCATTGCCTCCGCGGACAAGAGCCTCGAAGCCGGCCTCTCCATCACCGTTGGTCGCATCGGTACCATTTGTCCCACCAACTCCCCCGAAACTCATGAACTCATTCCGAGATGTGGAAACGGTGGCATTGCTTGCACCTAATTCCTGAAGTTTGCGCGTTTGCTCGTTTTCGACACGGGAGGATAATGACTTAATGAGTGCCATGTATGCCTGAAACTGCGGGAGGTTGAGGAGAGGACCAAGACTAAATTGCCAAAGGATCGGAAGAATGTCCATTGCAAGGAAATCCGCATCGACTTGCGAGCCAATAGCTTTGAAGACGTCAAGAGCAGCCATCTCAACAAGAAAGATGTTAGCATTCAGTGAATATGCAAGCAGTTAAAAGGCGCTGACGTACCATAACTGCGGGCTCCTTTGTCTTAATGCCTTTCAATAGCGGTACCACCTTCTCTTGTATCGTATACTTATCCAGTATCGAAACGTTGGAGCTAGGTTTTGGAGTCTCCACAACTCCAGTAAGACCATCGCCCTGTATCTCTTGCTCTTCGGGCCCACCACCACAGAGAGTCTTAAGAGCCTCAAGACCTCGAATCTTGATGCCCATACTGCTGGTTTTGGCAAAGACGGTGGCTATCACGGGAAATAGCTCGTTTTTGATCGTGGAGAAGTCAATGATAGGAAGAACAAACGGGAGAGTACGGAGGGCGGCATCCACCACGGAGTGTGTTGGGGATTCGAGAGCGTGCTGGAGAATAGGAAGGATGTCTACAACCACTAGGTTAGACCATTCTATTCGAGCCTCTTGCAGGCTCCAGCTATGGATAAGACAGAAGCTATGGAAACAGTATTGCAGAAACTCTGTTACCAAAGAAGTTAGAGCAAATCAAATCTCAACTTACTGTCTTTGAACTCTTTCCCTGAGGAATTCTCAACCGCGATAGCCATATTCTCGAGCAGAATCATTAATCCTGCCTCCTTCAAGCTGTCTCTTTCTGGTGCGGCAGCGCCTTTGCTAGTTGGAGGCCCTGATAGGAATATCTCTCGCAGGCGAGGGATCACTTTCTCTGTAAACGCACGCTTTCCTGAGGTTAGAGTTGTAATGATCTTGAAGACATTCTGTAAGACTAAGGCAAGAAGTTCGCGATCCTTCATCTCCTCTAAGAGTGCTGGCAAAACTTTCTTCTCCAAGACTGACTTTGGGAACTGAGACAATATTCTTGGAAGGCCCCGCATGAACTGCGATTTCTCGTTTGGTGTCTTCGCAGGCAAAGAGTCCAAGAAGCGAATGGTAGAGACCAGAATGTTGTCGAAATACTGAGCCTGCTGAAACTCACGAGCATCCAACCGTTGGGCAGGCCGCCTCGTGATCAGCCGATCTAAGACGCCATTCGTCACATCCTTTGGTAGGGGCTGTGAGGACATGAAGTTGTTACTCTTGGTGGGGACTGAAGATGAAGATGAGAAAGCCCGTTTGTAAGATGACTGGCTCCCATTAAACTCCAGCGGACTTCGATGTGGTGAGTTGTAGAGAGCAATGATCAACAAGCCTAACGAGAACATGTCTGCAGCGGGGGTGACGTTACCATCTACGACAAAGTCTGGAGACGAATAGTCGAGGTTTAGCTGAACATGGCGCGGTAGCCGTGGATCATAGTGCAGGACCTCGGAGAGTGCAATAGGAGTAGCGGATGTCGGCTTGGTCGAGTTCTCTGGCGGACTTGAGAATCCTAGGCCAGATATCTTCCAATCTGACTGTCGCGTACGTCAGTATACCACTCTGGGAAACGAATTGATATTGCCTACTTTGGCATTGACGAAGATAGCCTCGGGCGTCATGTTGGCGTGCACCAACCCAGCACTCTCATGGAGAAATTCGAGGCCCTTAGCAATCTGCAACAGCCCCTTCTGTATCTCAAGCTCATCGATTTCCAGCTCTCTCCTTCGCTTCTGCCCGTCAGACTCTTCTACCACGTAGCGGCTGCGGCGGCCGCCCACTCCCCCGGCCTTCTCTTGCTCATCCTTCTCTTGAAGCAAGCCAGCCAGCGACGCCGTGACGGGCTCTGTGGCGAACATTAAACCTCCCCCTCGAGTTTCTTCCACGGGTTCTGCCAATTCCAAGATACTAGGATGCCGTAATCGGGCAAGGGAGCTAGCCTCTTTCTTTAACCTTTCCACGACTTCCTCATGGGCCCGCTTGAGCGCAGAGGCGTTGGCCCGGCCTCCGAGGCTTGCCCCACCCTGGGGCTCCAAGGACTTCTTCTCGAAGACAAACACGGATGCTGCCTTCCCTGTGGACTTTTTCTTTGCATCGTATATTTTCCATGGTCCGGAATAAGACGTGGGGTGCGGACTGAGCGAGTAGTTAGAAGAGATGTTTGAGGTGAACGACTTCAGCGCCGAAGAAAACATGGTGATAGTGGAGCCGCCCGGACGGCGATACTATGGAAGTCGGCTCGAGGCGTCATAAATGCAGGATCGCCCAGGGAGGATTTCGTGGAAGGGGGGTCGAGGTCAGGGAGTTGGCCTGGGTAGCGAGCTGAAGACCCGCTCAACACTCAACACTCAGGGCGAGCCAGGCAGAGGAAATTCAGCCAGCGTCTTAAAACGCTAATTGACGGGTGGAGAAGCGCGCACAGCTCTCGAGCTCTCAGGGCCTCAACGTATCGGAAGATCCATGCAGCGCTCCGAACCCCACGCGACAGCTACGGTGCAGTGATGCGACGTAGCAGAGGCACGCCTATCCTGCCCACAGCCCAATTACCTAAGCTGGCGTGAATACACATTGAGCAACCCCCAACTAGCGACCGGAATTTAGGTACGCGGGTAACTTCCTGTATGCGTGCGATACGCTGGTTCCGCAACAACCGCGCCCTTTCGGGGTAAATGTAGACCGCCGATAGGAGCCAAGCTGTGTCGCGGCAGAATAAGCAACCCCCGGCATCTCACGGTCGGTCAGCTTCGGTTTTTGCAGTAATAATAAATCCTTCGGACATTAATCTGCCCATTTTCTCTTCTCTTCGGACTTCTCCCTTTCTGCAACCGTGTTTCTGCTAAAGGCCAGCCCACTATGCTTCAGCAACGATCGTCACGATTGATATCTTCCTTCGCTCGTTCAATTGCTCCTCAGGCTACGCTGTCGTTGCGATGTCGGAGAGCGTACAGCATTCACGCTGATGCTTCCGTGGGAACCAGCATCCAGGAGATTGACCCGACGAAGCTCAGCATAACGAGGACGACCACCCCCAAAGACCTCCTCCCCCCAGAGGAACTGATCTTTGGGCGCAATTTCACTGGTCTGGTTGGCATTTACCCAAATGTGTCGGTACCTAACACGCTCAGATCACATGCTCTCGCTCGAATGGACAGCATCACAAGGATGGCTGCCAGCACGCATCACGCCGTACCAGAATCTCAGCCTCGACCCCGCTACCTGCGTCTTCCACTATGCCTTCGAGGCCTTCGAGGGAATGAAAGCGTATAAGGACAAGAATGGACACATTAGGTTGTTCAGGCCCGACAAGAACATGGCGCGGTTGAATAAGTCTTCGGCGCGCATTGCGCTGCCCACGTTTGACGGGGATGCCATGATCGACCTCATTGGCAAGTTCGTCAAGCTGGACGAGCGCTTCATCCCAGAGTCAGTTTCCTCTGCCGCGCATTCTTCGTGATTCATGTCTAACAGCCGAACAGCATCCGTGGATACTCGCTATACCTTCGGCCGACAATGATAGGCACTCAGCGAACACTCGGCGTCGGCCCTCCAGCTTCGGCGCTGCTCTACGTAATCGCCTCGCCTGTAGGTCCGTACTACCCCACCGGATTCAAAGCTGTGTCGTTGGAGGCTACCGACTACGCCGTCCGCGCATGGCCGGGCGGTGTGGGAGACAAAAAGCTAGGAGCGAATTATGCGCCCTGCATTGTGCCGCAAATGCAGGCAGCCAGCCGAGGATTTCACCAAAACCTGTGGTTGTTCGGCGAGGAAGAGTACGTGACAGAGGCCGGCACCATGAACCTATTCGCTGCCATCAAGAACAAGGAGACTGGGCAGTCAGAACTTTTGACTGCACCGCTCGATGGGACCATTCTCGAGGGCGTTACGAGGGACTCGATTCTAGGACTCGCCCGCGAGCGGCTCGAACCGCAAGGTTGGAAGATCTCAGAGCGCAAGTTTACCATGCAGGACGTTGCAGATGCCGCTGACGAGGGGCGCATGATGGAGGTCTTTGGCGCAGGAACAGCTGCTGTCGTGAGTCCGGTGCGAAAGATCTCCTGGAAGGGACGACTTGTTGAGTGTGGCCTGGCGGACAACGTCGAGGCCGGCCCAATCGCCCAGCAGATGAAGGACTGGATAGAGAGCATCCAGTACGGTGATGAGGACCACGTATGGAGGTGAGCGATCCCAATTACAGTCTCTCCAATGTCCACTACTAACATGAAGCTCAGCCACAAAGTGTTGTAAGCGAATGAGCTCTGCAGGCGAGAGGCGAGGTTTACTTCATGTACATATATATACCACATAGCTGTATATCAGCGGGCGTTTCTCGAGTGGAAAAGGCGTATTCTCTTTTGATAGACCGCATCTCGGCCAATTGATACTAGCTTGACGGATAAATTGGCTCAGGAGCATTTGGCAGCCGGTGACAGGTGTGGCGTAAATACGAGGTAGCTCGATTGGACAAGAGTGCGCACAGAGCGCGCAGGAGCTTTCCCAGCCTCCCCTTCGCACCACCGCGCAGCGTGCCTGTTTCACTCGCGCATCCATCCCACCTCCACCAACCTCACCTCATATCATCCCCAATTGCCTGCGCCAAACCCACACACTTCGCGCACAGCTGCAGACGAGCCCGGCGATTTTTGTTCCTGTGTATAAGATATGTTGGCCCGCGGTATTCTCTGCCGCCTGGCAGCTGATGTGCCGAAAACGCCAACCCCCGACCTCTCGCAGCTCGCCCACCTCCTCCAGCGCTCCATTCTCGCCCGCAATGCTGTTGGAATCCCGTCTGTGTGCGCACTGTCACACGCCTACAAGACGGCGCTCGCGATAAGCCGCCGATCGTATGCTACCGCCCGCGCAACCAAACCCACGAAGACGGTCAAGAAAGCCGTGAAGAAATCAGCAGCGAAGAAGGCGGCTCCAAAGAAGAAGACTGCTACCAAGAAGCCGAAGAAGAAGGCGGCCCGAGCAACCAAGGCCAAACCGAAGAAGAAGGTTGCGGCCACGCCGAAGAGGAAGGTAAAGAAGTCTCTGACGCCGGGTGAGAAAGAGAAAGCTACCATCAAGGAGCTCAAGGCTAAGGCGCTTCGGGAACCGTCGAATGGCCAGCACATGTCCGCCTGGATGGTATTCAGTGGTGAAGCCGTGAAGGGGAAGACGGGAGGGAACTTGACAGGCAGTGTCAAGGACGCCGCTGCCAGGTTCAAGAATCTGACTCCTGCCGAAAAGGAGGTAAGCTCGTTGCATATCTTCCCGGCTGAAACCCCCAGCGCTGACTACCGCCCATAGCATTACAACCATCTTGCCAACGAAAGGGCGGCTGCCCAACAAGCAGAGTACAAGCGCTGGGTGCTGAGCCATACACCCGAACAGATCCGCATCGCCAACCTCGCGCGTCTCAATTTAAGAAGAAGAGTCCCAACAACGGCTGGCAAGCGCAAATACCCGCCCCACACTTCCAAGATCAAGGACGACAGACAAGTGAAGCGACCCTCGAGCGCATACCTCAGGTTTGCGACCGAGCGCAATACCAGTGGAGACATGAAGAGCATTGCGAAGTCGGAGGTTATGAAGCTTATTGGGAATGAGTGGAATGCTTTGAGCGCGAGTGAGAAGCAGGTATGACTGCATCTAGATATACCTCAACATACGCCAAACCGCTTGCTAACACGCTCACAGAAATACGAAGACGCGTACACGGCAGAAAAGCAGGCCTTTAGGCGTGACTACGAGAAAACATACGGACACAAATTATCGTAGATGCAACAAGCCACCTCACCCACCCCATTTCCTTGCTTCGATATGTATCTTGTCTTTCCACACCTGTGCCCTAGCTTTCTGGTCTGGTCTGGTCTGGTCTGGCCGGTATATTGGGCGGACAAGCGGTCGTAATCAATTAATTGGTATTGGCGTATGTATCCCTTGTCACTATCAAATGTGGAAGCGATTGGACTTGGCCCAGTGGATTTTGTTAGCTTCCGGGTATATTTACGCCTCGCGGTGGATCCTTGTCTGACTACTCGAAATCAAGATAGGAAGGGACGGTCTGGAAATCGGCCACTGCTCGTCATGTGAGTAAAGGAGGAAGTCTCGATAATAGCTGTTCCCCTCTCTGGCTGTAGTTCAGTTGGTCTCACCCCCACCAGTCTTGGAGAAAACGTCTGGTGTAAAAGTAGAAGTATATACCACTACGATTGTGAAAAAATGGCGGCCATTCTCGCTGCTAGTGTAGTGTCGTCTATATTGTGGGGGCGTCTACAAATAAATTTCCCCAACGAAGCGTATTTTACCATGTGGATGTATCTAGTGTCTAGATATCAACGATGCACTCCGTCAAATCACCCCGGCTCATCCCTCGGTTCTACCATGCCTACTCAGACCTCTGTATTTCATTTCCCCTTCCTCTGCTTCGGTCCCTCATTCCCAACCGCAGCTTTCCCAGCCGTCTCTCCTCCTTTCTTTTGCTTCACCCTCTTGATCGCACCCTCCTTCTCCAAAACCTGCACCGTTCTCTCACTCTCCTCCCACAGCCTCTTCTGCATTCCCTCATCCTCTACCTCTTTCCTCACAAATCCAATCTCCCTACATTCCTTCAAAAACACGCCTCCCTCGCCCCTTCCGTACTTCGCCTCCATTGCCGCATACAGAAACGTCTGCGCGCCATACTCTGGGCTCTTAAGAACAAGCCACCAAAAAGGCCAGAGGATGAGGTAGAGCGCCAGACCCCAGAGACTACCACAAGAGAGATAGCGCCGCATACCAGGGGTACGTGTGAAGCCTGGATCGACGAGGATGACGCGTGCGTTCATAGGGTTTTTATCTGGGCGGACGTAGGAGGACAGGTGTTTTTGGAAGGCGAGCGCGAAGGTCATGAGGGCAAATTTAGAGGTTGCGTGGACTTGGCTAGGGGTGAATGCAATTGTGGTGGCTTCTTTCTTCCCGTCCTTCTTCTCTCTCTTTTTCTCCTTGTTGGACCTGGATGCGGCCGATGGGGAGTCAATACCAGGTAACGAACCCGCCATGTAACTACTACATGTCCCAAATATAACCCTAACATCCCGATCTGGCGGTTGCGCTCTCAACGCTGGACTCAAGATACTCAGTAAATGGAAATTCGCCATATAATTTAGTCCCCAATTGCCCTCCAGCCCATCGTCGGTTACACTCGGTTTCCCACCCGGCGGCGTCAAGGTATTCGCACACAAGACAATCATATCCAAACGTCTGGGTGGCGCATTATCCACCCATTTTGTCGCAAATACACGGATGGAATGGAGGGAGGAGAGGTCAACGTGCTCAGCCGTGATTAACTCGTTATTTGTGGAGGTTCGTAGATCCATTATATAGTCGACTAGAAATGGGTCGGAGAGTGGGTGTTGGGTTAGTAGAACAAGTTGGGCACCGCGAGACGCGAGCTCTTTGGCAACTTCAGCGCCTATACCAGAAGTTCCTCCCTATTCCTAATATTATATCTACTCTCGAGTCTTGGTAGGAGGGGTAGTGCGAGCTTACTGTTATGATGACCACTTTCGAATGCATATTCCGCTCGGAGGTGTTGGCTGTGCCATTGAAGAACCGTTTTAGAATGTAAAGGAGAAGAAGGCTTGGTACGACTTTGACTATCGTCCATCCCGCAGGTATAGAGGATATGCCCTCGAACAGTGCTTGAGCGAGGATGGGAAGAGGCATCGTTGTTGGACGGTTGCGGGGTTGATGTGCCTTTGGAACAATTCACCGTGCCAAGCTTTTGCGGTTTAACATTCTTCCGGACACCCCCTCTTCTTCGATAATTGGGAGCATTCGGGGGAGCAGTCAATCAATAGAGCAATTAAAAGCATTTCACCTCCGGTATGAGATATCACAGCATGGAATTTCCTAATCAATCGCTTTGCTCCTTTGTCCAGGGACACACCAGGGACAGGACGGGAATAAGTCAGCACCACATCTTGTAACCTAGCCCGGAAAATTACAGTGGTAGTTTCGTACAGGAATCTGTTGACGTTCTCCCTGGTTACAGCAAGGGGTTTTACAAATAGAGTTTATCCTGATCATGTCCCACGTTAGGTGAGAAGGTGCAATATATGAAATGTAATCATATATTCAAATCACTATTCCAAGACGCCCACTACCAGCGCCAACCGTCTAAAATCAAATGCTGACGAACACAAACTACCACGACGACTCCATAGCCATGCTTTTGTTTCTAATGCAAGCACGAGAGAGATATTACTATGCAAAACCACACCACTCCAGAGTTCACCCTTCACCCTTCCCAAGACATTCAGCATGGTTGGCCGGGGCCCAGCCTAGGCCAATTTGCAGGATGATCTTAGGCTTTCAGTCTCCTCTCTTCACACCTGACACAAACCGGATCTTGAGAGTCTCCTCGCAGGAAATAGCGCCCATCCTCGAATGGTCCAGAGCACTCCTGATTATCAATTAGCCAACACTCAAATACAAGGGGAAAGAGTTATTCTTACTACACAGCAGAAGCAGTTCATATGCCACTCCGCCCCGAGTGCCTTGATAACTGTATCGGTAACCGGCTTCCTACACTTCTTGCACTTGGTCGAATAACGATTAGTATGACAATCAACACACCAAGCATACCCATCCTTCTCCACAAAGGGCATCGAGGAATCGAACGGATCACCACATTGGGCGCAGAAGAAGTGTCCGACATGCCACTCTGCGCCACATGCCACAACAACCTCTCCTTCAATTGGTGTCTTGCAGCTCTTACAGCGGGGACTGAAAAGTTCATGAAAGTCAAGGTGGCAGTAGAAGCGCATGCATTCGTCTCCGTCTTCTTGTTCGAGGCGGAACATGTCTTCTACGGTTGGGTGATTTGGGAGGAATTCGATGTCCTCGCCGCGCATACGGGCTTGGATTCGAGCCACACGTTCGGCACGCTTGTTGTCTGGCTCTGGGTAGAAGGCAACGCATTCGAGGTGTTCACCGCAGTGATGACAGAGGAAGCATTCTGGATGGAATCGCACACCTGCAGCTGAAACTATACGACCAGAGATGGGGAGTGCGCATTGATTACAAAGAGCGCCGGTGCGGACACTGGAAGGAGTCCAGTGCGGTCGAGAGTTCGTGGACTGACGAGGGCCGGACTTGGAGGCGTGATGTTTAGGGGTTGGAAGCGGTCGAATTGAGCCGCCAGACCCACTGACATTAATCGAAGGGACGGACTGCGTGACAGAGGTAGAAGGAGGGTTGATATTGAGAGCACGCTTAGAATTTGTAGGCTCGTTCACTGCGATGATTGGGACGGACGGTGTTACTGATATCGAAGGCGCATTCACCCTTGGACCTCGGTTGTGAGGATTGCCTGAGATCGACGGTGTTTCTTGGACAGAGATCGTCGGAATGGGAGGCGCTGGAGTTGGCTTAGAGCGCGATGGAGGGGCCTGGGATACGTTTATTGTTGGTACGGGAGGCGGAGCGGAATGAGATGGATTGTTGACTTTCCTTAGCTTGTTAGCGTCCGGAAGGGGCCTCGCTGGAGGGTCTTCGTAGACGTTAATGGTAGGCACTTGTGCCCGGTTGGCTCTGACTGCGGGTGTAGGTGGAGTGGGAGAGACGCTGATCTGAGGAATTGGAGTAGGAGATGAGCACGTGTTCCTCTTTGGCCGCTCATTCGGAAAGATGATGGCGGGGGTTACAGGAGCAGTTGCAGCCTTGGATAGGGGGCGAGGAGCGGGCTCTGTTTGGCCAATAGGCTTAGGGGTTGATTGTGGGAGAGCGGATATCTCCTGCTTGAGTTCAACCTCCTTTGGTTTCCAGTTGCTTTTGAAGGAGACAATGGGTCGACCAGGAGAGTCCGAAACGACAGTAGGCGTGGGGAGCTTAGGGCTCCTGTCCTTCAGTCTCATGCCAGTTGCAGCACGCAGCTCATCACTTCGGATCTCCTTGCCATCTTTCATTTTTACTTCGGACTCGTTGTCAGCAACCAACTTGCCGTCTTCCTTAGCATTAGGAGTGACTGGGGCGTTGGAAGTATACGCGGCATTGCGTGACTGGGTTGGTGGGTTGTTCTGTATCTCGTACCGGTCAAATCTCTTTGTCCCTATGATAGGATCGGTATTCGACCTGACGAGGTTATTGTCTTTGGCGAACTGGACGCGACTGAAAGGGTTTCTCCGCACTTGCAGCGGCAACTTGGCAAGAGGCGGAGGGTTCGCAGCAGGAGGAGCAGGAGATTCCTCCTCGGGTTCCTCATAGATCTGATCGTTTGGATTCTTAAAGAGGCTGCCGCTAACAGTCCTCCTAGAGCCACTGGCGCGTCTCCGATGTTTTGCATCCATTGGAATGGAGGGGATTTGCGGAAGTGCGGTGATGTCTTCTCCAATGTTGCTGGTGGCGGGGTGCTTTGGAGGTGAGGTACCGAAGTCCGCATTTGCTGTGACGGATGACCCACTGGCAGCTCGCCTACTCTGCAGACTACTGCTCCTGCTGCCGGAAACATTACTGCCCACCGAGCTGCGCTTCCGCAGCTTCGAGTTCGAACGCTGGATGTCCTGCTCCGCCCTGCCGAGACTTCGGCTTCTTCCATGCGCCCCCTTCCCGTCTGTACCCGGATAAGGGTAGGGTGCATCTGGGTTCGCCCCAGGGGCATTCGGGTTTCGATGCTTCCACACTAGCTCCGCAGCTTCGTCTAAGGCAGCCTTATACAGCTTCTGGTCTGCCTCTAGATCCAGCTCCTCCATGGCTATGCGCAGCGCCCTGGCTTCTTCGCGCTCCACCTGACGCTGTCCATTTTCTCTGTATATCACGCCCGGTGTTCGCTCCCTCAGCTTGGGTGCGTCTATGCTCATATTTGAAGTGGTGCGGCGATGCATGTGGGGTTCGGGCGCTGACTGCGGAGCGGGAGCCGGCTCCAAAGGAGGCTCTGAAGCAGGTGGGGGAGTGTTGACGTCAACACCAGCGTCCTCGAACGTGGGATGAGAGAAGGGAGACACAGCAGGAGTCTCGGCGAATCTTGAGGACGTCCTGCTCGACCACGTGTTGAATTGGGAAGGAGGAGGGGGCCGGGAGCCATTCGGCCTGGCGACACGGTTGGTTCGGAGATCCTGCAAATAGCTCGCTGCCCAAAACTGTTAGCAACAACGACTGGGATGCTTCCATAGAGGTTCCAAGTACCCATTTGCTGCGAAGACATGTACACGGGCGCGGGTGACGGGGCACCCTCTCGCTCTTTCGGCTTATGCATGAGGAATGATCGTGTTTACAAACAAAGGAGCCGTCCTCGTCTACGAAGTGAGGGCGAGATTAGTTTCACAAGAGGAGTCTGAAGATTCTACGAAGAAATATAAATAATAATGCGGTGAAAAAGTTCTCAATTGAAGACTTGAGGTGTTTGTCGTGGCGGGTACAAGCTGTGATATGGCGTGTTGAGATTGGTAGTCCCATAGCAACCAGACCGCCCACATTGGCTCGGAACCTCATCCCTGCATCCCCCTGCAAGCCCGTTTCGGCATCCACCGGCACCTTTTACGGCTTTGCCTTTGCTGCTGTCTATCATAGCCAGCGCTCATTATTATCATCGTTCTGGCATTTACAAAGCTCATCATTGCGTTAAAGCAATTCCATTCTGCATCATAGTATACATGAGCGGTGTGATGACCTAATCGATAACATATCTTCGAGATAGTTTATTGTGTCTGGTCTAACCTGAGACGCCGAATATGTAAAAAGTGTTACAAGAACATAAATATCAGCAATCCTTTATCAAGAGCAGACTTGGGGAGTCAGGAGCCCTCATGACCAATAAAAGCGAAAGTGGGTATCCTTGTCTCAACGCTCAATCCTGTTCCGAAATCTGTTCTTTCTTAGTAGTACACATTCTTTTTAGGCCCGGATTCCTTATCCGGTAGGCGGGTTGCCATGAGGAGGCCCCATAGAGTCCCACCCTAGATTGATGCTCTCCAACATCTGGTTCCAGCCTCCTTCGGATATTGGAGTCATACCCGTGCCAGTTCCCATCCCAGCAGGCATCCCCCATTCATTACCCACCATGAAGCCATTGGAAATGGGATCGTTGCTGAGAGGATTGACTGTGTGAGAGAATAGCGATGCTGAGAACATGTCTTCGCTTGCGGGAAAGAAGGCACTGTTGTTGGCACCCGTTGAGTGGGGCAGAGGTATTTGATTCTTCAAGCCGCTGGGAGAGGCTCGATACGGGATATTCTGATTGTCGTCTTGTTGTCCAGGAGAATACGAAGTGTGTGAAGTCGACCCCCCTCTCGATTGCGATGTTGTTGTTGAGGGGCTTGGTTGATCAGCGTTGGCATCTGGAGAAGTGTCCATTTCAATTCCATCGTCCACGTTGAACCCATTCGATGACAGAGCGATTCCATTAGGCGCAAACCTGTCAGGGTTAGACGGTCTATCCCTGGAAGGAAGGTCCATTTGGGGTCCCCCTTGAGAAGGGACGAATGGTGTAGGCTGTGGCTTCATGTTGAGAGGAATGTTTGAATCGTGGAATGGCGGTCCAGGAGAGTTGTCGTTATATGGTGCGGATGCGCCATTATTCTGTACGGTTGCAGACGCACCGGTAAACTGGTTCATGGGAGCGTTTGCAGACTGGGATTCGCGAATTTCGAAGATGGGGCTACAGGAAACAGAGTCAGTATTGACTGGAATGGAGCCAGGCTAGAGAGATACGAATTAGCTTATAAGAAATTGTCCTTACTTTATTTGACCATTTTGGGTCTGTAATGGATCGCTTACCACTCTGCTTCGCTGAGAATGCAACAACGGCTTTTGTTGCAGACCCAATACACCAGCGCTTTCGAGATCCAAATCAAGCTGAACCAAGAATGATTCTGTGAGGGGATTCTTTCGGCGCAGTGCCTGCATCGCTTGCAGGAGAAATTGTAACGACGAATTCATTTGTTGATCCTTAGGTCGGGTCTTGAGATACTGAACAAATACACGTGCCGCGACGTAGACACAGAACGATATGAATGGGTTCATCTGCCAATATTAGTACCACGAATGGTGATGACAGTTGAGAGAAGCTTACTGCCGCCAAGTCCAGATGGCTGATCATCCTCATTACCGAAGCTATCTCTGCAGCGGCAGTTACGCATCTGATCTTGCTCTCATTGCTGACATTGACCGGCAGTCGATACTTGTCTGCCTTGAAAATAGAAGCTTGATGAAGGCATATAGCTGAAGTGTGGATGCTCATATTAAGGAAGACGACATTAGGATCAGGGAGGCCACATGGCAATCGTAGGTGGTCGGGCAAACCAAGTGAAGTGTTCAAAAGGATGTTCTCAATGCTGCGATGTCGAGTCCAGAATCCACCATTCAAATCATCGTCGCGATCGTCCGATCCAGGTCGATGGAGATGCAGAAGGTTGCGACCGAATAGTGCAGCCGTTAAGACGATGCCTCCGAATGGTTGGAGTGATGCAGCTCCTTGTGGACCCATGGCTTGTTGCAATGAACCAGTGGGCATTGGTTTGCTCTTCTCAAAAGCTTCCTCACTGGATGGCATATTGGTCATGATCTAGAGAGAGGATTAGTAGAGGACAGTATAGAAGGTTAGTAGGCTCACATCTCGCTCGTCTATGGTCATTGGCCATCCTGTTCCAATGCTGGCATAGCGGTCAACGCAGAACGCCATCCAGAATGTCCTCCTTCTCTCTTCTCTCTCTGTCCAATCCTTCGGGGGCGGAAGACATTGCTTCACATCTAATCCGGCTCCATCCAGCCGATGCAGTTGCATCATCTGAGCGAGTCTGACTGCTCTACCAGCCGATAACCACGCCCTAGGGAAGTACATCTGCTTGAATTCGTAAGTTGCCATTAGAATCCACGACTGACAATGCCCCAAGGTGATTGTTGATTCGCCGTGGCCTTTCATCTCGTCCATTTGAGCATATTTCCTTGCGCGATGGTAAAAGTGCTCCTGCAATACATCGTACTTGTCCGTGACAGAAGCGGCTAGAGTCCACATGATATATCGAAGACAGACGGGTGGTCGCATATGGGGTGCGAGGTTCATTGCGGCAAGGAATCGCGGTCTATGAATGATTGGAAGCGAGGGGTGTATCTTTGTGAAGTACAGCTGGTAACTGCATGACAAATTAACAAAGGGCGCAACAGATAAGCACAGAGTGTGATTCACTTACAGGTCGTTTATGACATCCTGAGGGGGCAGTGGCTCGTCCAGGCCTAATCCAATCATTTCCCATTGAAAGTCACCTTCCACGGAGTTCATATTTGAAGAATTCGTCTGAAATGCATCGGGGCCTGGCGATATGGACTCCGGGAAGTTCACTGAAGCCTCGCCAGAGGTCCCCAGATACCCCCCACTTGCGTCCGGCGGTCCCTGTGATAACGTATTTGCCACGTACGCAGATGTAGAATCCTGGCGGGAAGTCTCTTTAGGTTGGTCGTTCGATTCCTGGTTCTTCAACAGCGTCTCGACTTGTTCTATAGAATGAATGGTTCTGTTAGAATTACTCATCCTTGACTACCCTTGGGGGTTGACATACGCAGTCGTGCCTCCAAAAGCTTCACATATCCCCGCTTGGGCCCGCTCTTCTTGCGCACCTCGTCGTAGGCGCAATCATGTGCCAATCTCTTGCAGGTCCCACACGTAGGCCGGGTGCCATCGCATCGCAACTTCCTCCTTCGACACAATACACAAGCTATCCTCTTCGGTTTGTTCGCGGCATCGTCCTTCTGGCCCCCATCGAGGCTGTTCGATCTGGAAGGGGATTCGCAGGAATTGTTCGAGTCCGGGACTTGCTGGGACAGATCGTTGAAGAAGCCCTCACCAGGCGATTCGGGGGATCCTGAGGGCATTTTTCGCGAAGTATGACCGCCGCCGTGAAGCACTTCACGAAATACGGTTTGGTTCAGCTCCACTGGGTTGCGCCCCGCGTAAGCAAATCGGGGTGCGGGCAGATTCTAAAGCGATATCCTCACAATGCCAGGCAGCCTTCGAAGGTTTCTCACGTCACGGGCGCAGATCGAGCAGTTGCGGCGGGTTCAGGTATGTAGGTTGGAACGATGGATGCGAGATGGATGCGAACTTAGACAATAGTGGCAGGGCGATATCCAGCGCAATGCGACTGAGAACTAGGCATCATTCATGGACACGAATACGGCAATCTTGAGGGGGAGGTTGCGTCGCAGGAATGCTCGGAGCTGGAATATCCCACGTGCGAAAAGTGCCTATGAGACGACGTTGTGGGCGCAGACCATCTGAACGGTGCTGGGGCTGAAGGCGCCCTGCCAGGCAGTGTTCCTCTACTGGCCCATTCACAGCCGTCACGCCAAGCGAACCGTCCCGAGGGCGTGTTGTCATCATCGACTTAGACACCAGGACGAATAAACTCGGATTCCCCGAAGCACTGGCAATACTGGCCTGCCAACAGCCCATTCAGCTATGCTGTATTGGAACAATGGTAAGCGTTTATATTGCAGCGTGTTTTGCTCTTTGCGAGTGATTTTGCGAGGTGCATGAGACTGAATACTCAGTCTCTTTCAGCGCTTCTTACCTCAAGCTACAAGGGTCAAAAAGGATGGCGGCGGTTGAAGGACCGAAGGATCGGGTGTTGTCGTCCAAAAATAGCATGGCTTGCGAGTCATCCCTGTTACATTTTGTGGAAGGGCCGCCTCAACCTTATCTGATTGAGGAGCTTGGGTTGTCCGTAATATAACCCGAGTTCACAGCGAAACATTGAAGCGGGGTGTCGTTTGTTCTCACTAGGGATATGTTTTAGACCGTTACTAAATCAACTAATGGACAGCGACATCGCGACATTGGGCTTCTGCCATTGGCTTTGGATGTGCATGTACTGGGTCGTTTCACTGTGTGATATGAGCCATGGTGGATGTTCGCATGACAAAGTCAAATGAAGAAGGCGAACATTAACGAAGTGTTATCGTTAAAAGATTCGGCCATGTTCAACGATATCATCAGCGCACCGAGATATTTGAGGGCCCGTGCGGTGTGCCGCAACATTGCAACATATATGGTACAATTAGGATAACATAATTGTGATTGCGCAGGAAGAGTGCTCTCGCCAATCATCTTGGTCTCCTCTTGCCTTGGTTCCTGGGACGATCCTTGACAAGGAATGTATGCTTGTTCCTCTTGTGCCTAGTCTTGTAGCCTCCTTTTGCCTACAAAGCTGTTATTCACGAGTGTTTAGTAGGGGATTGTATGTCTACTTACTGGAGTACCCCAAGGACTCACTGGATGGACGTTACCCTTCGATTTGCCACGTCCACCTCCGTGAGGATGATCAGCTGCATTCATCGCAACACCTCGGACTTCGGGCCGTTTGCCTAGCCATCTGGCACGTCCAGCTTTGCCTAAGGATGTGAAATGAGATTGTGGATTGCTTGCAACTCCGATCGTACAGCAAGCGTCCGGGCTGACCTTTCGCATCTCCCCACTCTGGAGGCGAACGATGACGCTGGCGATTTCTAGCCCCCTTGGCTTCTCTACTTCTTCCTTGTTCATTACAATGGCGTATGTGCCTGCACTTCGGCAGAACACAGCTTTGCCCCTCGTTTTCGATCCCAGATTGAATACCTGTGTTCCAAGGGGGACCATATGAATTGGTAGGCAATTGCCCCGAGAGGCAGTCTTTGCAGCTAGCATCCCGGGATCCACCACACCTCCCATGCTGTCGAGCAGCTCTTTCGGAATGCCTGACCTATAGCTCTGAATCTCGTCCCCTGCTCTCATGCCATCCGCAGCAACAATGTATGACTTCTCGCCAGTCTCTACGCGAGTGACGAGCGCCAAATGAGCGCTCCGGTTGGGGTCGTATTCTATTCTGTCCACAACGTGCTTTCCTGGAGCGAAGCGATAGTAATCCACGATCCGTATCCTTCTCTTGTGGCCGCCACCTCTGTGTCTAACAGTGACTTGCCCACTGTTATTCCTACCGCCCAGATGCTGGCCCTTCTTCGGGATGGTGAGTCTGAGCAACGGGCGGCCCTTCCATAGATGGTCGTTCACTGGCCGTTTGAGATGGCGCAGACCGGGAGTTCGAGGTTTGTACGTTCGCAATGGAATGAACTCATCTTTTCGCGGGCCTTGGGTGTGTAGAATAGTTTCATCGGCAGGTACTGCAGGTTCGAACGCTGGCGTGGAGACACGATCAACCACAACTGCATAGCTGCGGACGGAGGTAAAGAGGCTGTTGCCAAGGCGCGAGGTGGGCAATTGGCATATCCGAGGCTGTATCATCTTCGTCCGGCCTGTTCAGAAAGGCATTGAGCGAGATGTCAGGCCAGACGATTTTGCGATGCTCCTTCCACGACGCTCCTTCATGACATGAGGCTCGGAAAATCTCGTGGCCCGAAAGCGGTCTAGCGGCATCGGGGCTGGCGTCCGTCGCGATGAGCAACCAAACTCGACGTGACTGCACACCCGTGGACAGCTCCAGCGACAGTCGCCGGCAGCATTAAATCGCCATCGCACCTACCCGCATCATCAAGTCCGCCATCTACCTGCATCTCCATCGCCGCAGCATCTCGTCTTCCATCTCGTCCTCCGCACTGGCATCATTTTCGCGTTGGATCCAAGAGGTAAGCTACAGCGCGCTCTCATTGGTCTTTGCCCCCCCCCCAGCCATTTTCACGTCTCGCCCTCGCGCGAAGTTGGCGCAACCAGCTAGCGAGCGGCTGCCAAGCCGACCTCACCAAAACATCAACACGCCTTGGTTCCTCTTCCATCATCCACACCTTGGGCCAGCACCTCGCCTCTCTCCTCATTCTCCTGCACCCATTGAAGCTGGATAACGTTCTCGTCCCTTCCTTGAGTACGCCTTCAGCTTCTCTCCAAGGAGTTTCGCCGTCTCTACGCCATCACCATCGCTGTCGTCCATGAATAGCGTGTTTGTACCTCGATAGTCCCAGCATCTTCACCGAGTCTGTCGAGCAGACTCTCGCATCTTTGCCAGAATATCGGGTGATTCTGTATTGTCAGCCTTGACCCTTTCCCCATGCTTTTCACGGCTTATTTGGACCCAACTGACGCCTCCTGACAGTGCATCAAAACAACGCTTTGTACACAACACCACAGCTTAATACATACACCCCTATCCCTGGATACAAATCTAGCTTTGCCCAACATACCTAATATTGCTTGCAATGCCTCCAGCAGTATGTCACTGTCGCCCGCCTTCCTGTCATCCCACCTTTGAACACCCTTGTTGGTGGCGCGTATTGCGCTGCCACAGACTCTGACATGTCCCGTTAGGCACGATCCCTCAGGCAGAGGGCTGTCACGAATGAGAACGATGAGAATGCCGGCACGACACGTCTAACGCGCGCCAAAACGGCCGCGCTTGGATCCCACGAAACATCTTCAGACCTTCCAAAGAAGGGGTTGCAGACCAAGAAGTCTACCGCTGGTTTTGGTGCCAACGGTACAACCCGGAAGCGTGCGGCGCTTGGGGACGTCAGCAATGTCACGAAGAACGAAGGGCTCGGTGCGGCTTCCAAAGACGGCAAGAAGCCATTGGCCAGCAAAGGTGGACTGGTCTCCAAGGCTGCACATCCTACCAAGATCCAAAAGCCATCGCGAGCAAATTCGACGCGTTCAGTGCTTGCCCCGAAGGAGAAGAATAATGCGTCATCGGAGTTGAAGCGCCCCGCGAGCGGATCCGGTATTGGAGGACACGCGACGAAGAAGCGAAACACGTCTGCATCTAGCTCAAAGTCCCTGAAAGAGGAGGATCCCGAAGAATCTGAGAACATTGCACCAGTGCAACAGGCAAAAGCTAGTGTTGTGGTCGAGGTTGAGATCACAAAGGCGGCTGGTATCAAGCATGAGAGGACCAAGTCTCAGGCTATTGAGGTTTTCGAGGAAGTTGAGCAGCCTGCTATTCAGGAGGAAGTCCCAGATCTTGACAATGAAGATATCGATGATCCATTGATGGTATCAGAGTATGTTGTCGAGATCTTCGAGTACCTGAAGGAGCTGGAAATCACTACCATGGCCAACCCCGACTACATGGACAACCAGAACGAGTTGGAGTGGAAGATGCGTGGGATCCTGGTCGACTGGTTGCTTGAGGTCCACACTCGATTCCGCCTTCTCCCCGAAACCCTGTTCCTTGCCGTCAACATCATCGACCGCTTTCTCTCTACCAAGATCGTGCAATTGGATCGCCTTCAACTTGTTGGTGTCACCGCCATGTTCATCGCGTCCAAGTACGAAGAGGTCCTTTCCCCACACGTCCAGAACTTCCGACACGTTGCCGACGATGGTTTCACGGAAGAAGAGATCCTCAGTGCTGAACGCTTCGTCCTCGCTGCCCTCAACTATGACCTGAGCTACCCGAACCCAATGAACTTCCTCCGCCGGATATCTAAAGCCGACAATTACGACATTCAGACGCGTACGCTAGGCAAGTACCTCCTAGAGATTAGTTGCCTAGACTACCGCTTCATCGCACACCCCCCGAGCCAGGTTGCTGCTGCAGCTATGTATCTGGCTCGGCTCGTCTTGGATCGTGGCGAATGGGACGCCACACTTGCGCACTATGCTGGCTATACCGAGGAAGAGATTCAACCCGTCCTACAACTCATGATTGACTATCTGTCTGGGCCGGTGGTGCATGAAGCATTCTTCAAGAAGTATGCTAGTAAGAAGTTCCTGAAAGGTATTCTATCTTGCCCCAGCCTTGCCTTCTGCTTGTACTGACTATATAAAGCATCTATTGTTCTTCGTCGTTGGGCTAAGGAATACGTGATTCAATATGGTAATGTCCTACACGAAGAATCGAAGTCACGAAAATGAGCGACCTGCTAAGACTGTGTCTTTGCGTTAGGTCTGCGCTGGCGTGCCTTCTGCGTCTGCGACCTTCGCCCTTCACGCTATGACCCCATCGACATCCGCACTCTGTGGTAACATCGATCTCGTTTCAGCGTTCCGAATGCATTCGGCCATCATTCATGTCAGCATTTTGGCTTAAGCTTGGACGGCGTTAATAAAAAGGGTGTTAATTGGTTATGCAGGGTCTGATGTTTCTTGCGGTTCTTTGTGATTTTTACCTTTCTGGACGGAATGGATGGCGTCTTACCTTCCTGGTGGCGTGTTTTCTCGAACTCCTTTTTCTTACTTCCCATTTCTGAGACGGCTCTGGATACTGTCGATAGTGATATGGACGGTATACCTTCACGGTGGCTATGATGACGGCTATTGATTGGCATTGGGAGGGTGGTAAGTGTCCAGGTGAACATCGTGTATGAGTACTAGCCTGGGTACTAGGGCGGTGTGATTTGTGGTGTTTTGTTGCAACGAGCCGTCTTCTGAGCCATGTCTTTTGCCACTCGCAGCTGTGACGATGTCCTTGTGAGCCTAAATGTTTGATACCATGCTTGGTTCAGTACAATATGCAAATGAGAAAACCGACCCATTGTCACTTTAGAAACATCCAACTTGAAAGAAATTAATTTCGTGAAGTGTCATAGTGCATACCTACATCGCCAAATAAATCTGTTTCGTCTGTGTCGCAGCCACGATCTAAACACGCGATCGAACCTCGGCTTGACGTCCGTCATCAAGATCGCGCTAGCCCACCCTGGTCGATCCCCTAAACGTCCTCTTTCTACTTCCCATCTCTACACAGTCCAAGACATGCATTGCATATAACATGAAAGGACTAGGCCTCCACTACCCACCCCAATCCTGTCCCTTCTGTAACATCGCTTCTGCATTCCCTTTTCCCTCATCCTCATCCTCCTCAACCTCTCCCGCTCCATCTTCGGAGTCAGGTTTATTAGAATGTGTCCCTTCAGATAAAGCTTCAGATCCAGAAAAAACAGATCCGAATTCATTCGTGGTGCTGAGTTCGAGGAATGTAACGGCTTTCCTAGATATTTTGCCGATGACAGAAGGCCATTTGTTGGTTGCGACGAGGGGGCATCGGGTTAAGGTTGCAGATATGGAGGGTAGTGAGGGGAGAGAGATCGGTGAGTTTAGATTTTTGGCTTTTATTTTGTTGTGGCCCAAAGACGGGGAGATATGCGTAGGAAATGAGGATTGGGATATTAGGTAGTTTGGGGAGTTAAGTGGTGTTCAGGGTAATTGTATTGGCTGACCTGAATGCAGGATTCTGGTTGCCGGTCCTAGCGAGAGTTGTAGCTCAGGTGACGGGAGTGGAGGATTATAATATTGTGCAAAATAATGGTGAGTTAGGTTTCAATTTCATTGGTTTAGAATAGCTAAGAGGATATGGTGGTTGTGTTGCGGTGTTTATTTGTTTTACTAGTCCTTTTCCTTGCGGTCACTGACTCCTTTCACCTTGATTGGTTCATTTTTCATTTGTATTCTTCTCTAGCACTCTCTTGCCTAAGCGTGCTTTACTGCCACATGTAGAAAAGGTTTCATTTCTCTGTCTCGCGGTAGACCTTTACCCCACACTTTCATCTAATGTCTTCACCTGACATCCTATGCCTCTCAGGAGCTAGAGCAGCACAAGTCGTACCACACGTCCATTTCCACATTATACCCCGACCAGAAACGATGCCACAGATCAAGAGCAAGAGCTGGGCAATGTTCGGTCGGGGACAGCGAGATGAACTGGATGACGAGGACGGAGTGCGGTTAGCTGGAGAAATGAGGAGGGTGCTAAGAGAGGAGGTGAAGAGGATGAAAGCTGCCTCGAAGCTGTAATTCTCATATCCTATTTACCTGCACACTTGTTCATCACCGGTGGAATGGAATGGATATCTACTAGGGGGTGAAGGTATTTTACAGCTATTTTCCCGTGAACTTGTTGTACAGTACCGTGTATAGTAATATACAAAGGCGTCCCCACAAGCGCCGGTATTCTAGAACCTTCTTACAGGAGATCCAGAAGTTTTAGAACACCCTCTTTCAACCCTTCTAATTCCATCTCAGTCTTGACACCATGTCTTCTACATTGTACCTCGACCCGCCTCCTCTCCTTCCACGCTCGTCCCAAAACAACAATAACTGGATAACCGATCAAATCTGCATCTCGAAGTTTCCACGCCAGACTCTTAATCGGTCTGTCATCGATGACCGTATCAACGATTTCATATCCTTGTGCACCTTCTCTCAAAATATCATACACTTCCACACCATCTTCTTCTGGAACCTGTGGGGTGGTCACAACAATACACTCAAATGGTGCAATAACCCTAGGCCAGTTCAAACCCTTGTCGTCAGCAAGTAATGACGCAATAGCACCAATAAGGCGGGACACCCCAATACCGTGGCAGCCCATTTGCATGGGCTGTTTGGCCATGCCGTCGGGGCCTGCTACGAGGGCCTTCAGAGGCTCGCTGTAACGGGTTCCGAGGTGGAAGGTATGCGCTACTTCTATAGCTTTCTGGACTTTGAGTTCTCCAGATTCGCAGCGCGGGCAGGGGTCGCCGGGATAGATACGAGTTATGTCCAGATGGTTGAGTGGAATTTCGGAGTCAGGGTATTTGGGGTATGGGACTAGGCGGTCATAGATGTGAATTGTTTTTGTTGTTTTTGGGAGAAAGGATTGCAAGGTAGTTTTTTCGATGCCTGTGTCGATATCGATGGCCGCTTTTTTTACGGCGTGCAGGTTAACGAACTTCTCGATGTGGGTTGAATCCGAGCTGAGCAAGGATGGAGGTAGTATGTCGGGTCGTGGGACGTAGACGTTCAATTTTGTTCCATCCGAGCAAGGTACGTTGACGAGCCTTGCGGGGTACGGGACATGGATGTGGATTTTAGTGGTCCTGTCTACACTAATTCCAGTGAAGTGGAGTTCCTGGCTCGTCGGCAGTCTCCCAGTATCGTGGGTTCTTTTCTCAACGAGCTCTTCGTTGGCAACATAGTCACACGAACTACAAGACCAGACATTGTCTTCACCCTTAGGTGAGACGAAGTGGTATTCGTGACTCAACTTGCCACCCATGTTTCCGGAATCCGCATCAGCGACCAAATAGGGGAGTTTGAGCTCGTCGAAGAAGTTATTGTATGCAGTCCTCACAGATTGATAGGTTTGCAGGGCATGCTCATGCGCATAGTCAAACGTGTACAAATCCTTCATCAAGAACTCCTTCGCTCTAAGAAGCCCTTGTCTAGGACGTCTCTCATCACGATACTTCCTTCCGATTTGATAAAGCTTCAAGGGGAGGTCTTTATACGAATGCACCATCCCAGCAACAAGAGAAGTGATTTCTTCTTCATGTGTTGGGGACAAGAGAAATCCGGAATCCTTGCGGTCACTGAGACGTAAAAGTTCGGAGTTGGCGGAGTAGCGGCCGCTCTGGCGCCAGAGCGCTTCCGTGGTAATGGATGAAAGGGAGAGTTTAGAGGCACCGAGAGTGGCCATGTGTTTGTCTATTAGCCAGGAGAGTCTCTCTTGCACGCGGAGACCGAGTGGGAGGAGGTGGAAGACGCCTGAATGGGCCTGCACGTGATCAGATTTATGGTTGGGAAAGGCTGAGTTGGAGGATATACTTGTCGCAGGAAGCCTCCTCGTACGAGTAGTGCATGAGAATCATCTTATTTCTAATCAGATGAAGGACTACATTTGCTCATATCAAGTGGGCTAACCCTGCTCTCCATCTTGAGGTGAGATGCCTCCTGTCGGTGTCCAGAAATTAGACAATCGGTTCCTTGAATCAACCTGCACATATTTATTAGCTCAGACCAGGTTTTGGAGATTAGAACTGCCCAAGAGCAGCGTACTGATATTAATCTGGCATTTTGGAATCCTCTTCTTTTTTGCAGATTACATCGTCGCAACCCATACCCGAGTCGCGCCGGCATTGGCCTTATATTTCGACTGTGGTAGGATTGAAATCGGTCAGAATATCTTAATTATCCATTGATCCAATGACAGTAAAATGATAAATTGGGGAAGCTGGCGAAAGTGACAATTGATGAATGAGTAAACGGAGGAGCAAGTGTTCCCGGAGAAGCGTAGTCCGAAGATCAGCCGAGAGGGTTGGAGCTTGGACGAAATCTTTCTTGAAGGACTTCAGTTCATCGCAATTGCCTCGCAATTCAGACTTCAGGTAATATCTTACATCAATCTCGCGTTATCTGAGAAGGTATTAATTCTAACGCACATCAAGATCAAAATGCCTCCCCGAATACGACTCTGGCCACGCGTAATCTGTCTGCGCACTACCCCCGCCAAACCTCCACCCACTCTTCACTGCAGCTACGCCTCCATGGCCACCGTCATAACCACTCCCGCACCCCCCCTAGGCCAGGCTATCCGCTCAGCATCCCCGGTTCTACGCTATCCCCCAACCCAACCACCGTCCTACAAACCCCCCGAAGTCCGCAAAACCCAACTCCACCGCCAATACCAATCACTCCTCAAATCCTCGCCTCTGATCCTCTTGTTCCAACACAACAATCTCCTCGCTGTAGAATGGATGAGTATACGCCGAGAACTCGCATCCGCACTAGCGAAGACAGATGCTGAGCGTCAAGCCGCCGGATCTGAAGATATCTTCGGCTCGCAAATTAAAATCCAGATTATCCAGACGGGGATATTCGCCAGCGCGTTGCGAGTCGTCGAGTTCTTCCCCCCTTCAGAGGATCCGCTCAATCATGCCCAAAATTCCAGTAATCTGAAATCGCAGTCGAGCTTGAAAATCCCAAGCACGACCGCGAAGCCCGAAGACGCAAGATTCACTCACGGCCTCTCTCGGCACGCACACGAAGTCGCGTCGAACAAAAAACTCAAACTCGAGCTCGATCCTCTGCTCTCCGGACCCCTGGCTATCATCGCCTTTCCCACCGTCTCCCCACAACACCTCAAAACGGTGCTCTCGATTCTCTCCCCATCGCCTGATTTCCCTGCGCCGAGGAGGAAAGCGAATCCAGATTACCACGAGCCTTCCGTCCAGTCTGGACTCCAGAAACTGATGTTGTTGGGCGTGAGGGTAGAAGGCAAGGTTTTTGATCAGGAGGGTGCGAAATGGGTTGGAGGGATTGAGGGTGGGATTGATGGGCTTAGGGCACAGTTGGTGGCTGTGTTGCAAGGGGTTGGGGCGGGTGTTACGAATACCCTGGAGAGCGCGAGTAGGAATTTGTATTTTACAGTTGAGGGGCGGAGGATGGATATGGAGCGGAAAGAGAAGGGAGAGGAAGAGGAAGAGAAGTAGTGGATTGAAAGGGAGAATAAGGATTTTGTAAGTGTACTGTACATGTATCAAACATTTCAGGAGTCAATTCAGCAAGCCCCAGCCCTACAATGATCACTAAGAAGGTTGCTGGATTCTCAAAGCCTGATGAAGGTGAAATATATGGTATCTCGGTATCTTGGTATCCCTGCTAATCCCCAACCAAAGGCTTAAAAGCAGAACATATAAGAAGTATAGAGGAACCCAGTTTACCGATCATCTTTGTCAGGTTTCCTCCTCTGCCTCGTACTCTTCTTCCCCTGGACCGCAGTCTCGTCTTCTTCTTCATCCCTTCCTTTGACTAGATCCTGGTCCAGGCCCCACTCCTCTCTGTCGTACCAATCCTCGCCATCGCTCATCTCACCAACATGTCCCTCTGCTTTCGACCATTTGAGCACGTCCTGTCGCATGCGCTCGCCTTCCATCATACCAGTGTAGAGTTCTGTAGCCGCCCTTGAAATCTCTTCTTGCTTTTGGACGAAGGCAAGGAGAAGCATGCGGGTGTCTTCGGCTTCAGCTGGAGGCAAGCCAAAGTCGCGGTCAGGGAGGGAGTCGGCAGGGAAAGTGAAGAGCGGGTGGATAGGATTCACGACGCTGGAGGGGGTTGAAGGAGGGGAGGGAGATGCGGCTTGTGCTCGTGCGCGCGTTGTCATGCGATGGGCGGTTTGTTGCGATGCTGTGTCAGAGCCGTCGTCTGCTGGCGAAAGTGGTCGTTCGCCGTTGACATGCTGTCCGTTTTGGTCTGCTGTGTGATGCTTGGCCTCCCCATTGGTGGCGGGTGCTGGGACGCCATTCCGAGCAGTAGAGATGTCTATTCCTGCGCCATTGCTCTTCGGATCATGGCCAGCTTCGCCGACTCTTTGGGTCGTGCTATTCGGCTGGCCTATGTCCTCCATTGGGACATCCTGAGTGGTATTTGATATCACTTCCGTCTGAGTGTCGTCCATGTAATCGGGATCTGGTCCTCGCCGAGGAGATAAATGAACAGGGCTCTGGACTCGGACTCCATTTGCACGTCCGTTCACAAGACTTTCCCTCGGTGGCTGAGAATGTTCACCACTGCCCATGTCAGAAAACCCACCCGGTACCCATGAGACGTCGCCTTGAAGCTTGGTGAACAGATTTTTCGCGCGCCAGAGAGATATGCGCTCCTTGCGTGCCATAGTGCCCGCTTCACTCGTCAAATTTGTAAGATGTTTTGAGGTGTATGGGATGCTTAACGCAGGGTGGGAAGGCAGTTCGGCCGCCGAGGTGAGTGGCGCGAGCAGATCTAGACGACACTGTTGGCTACCGTAATTCTTCCAAAACAGCGATTGGACTTACTTTCTAGATGTATTTCCGCGTATGGGTTCTCCTCCACAGTCGAGAGATCGTCCTCGTCTTCATATTCGTCACCAGGCTCAACGACGTCGCCGTCAGGGTCGAATCGCGGAGGGTTGCACTGAAGGATGTATCTATAATAGCCGGCGTGCTCGATGCGCTGGGTGGCGTTAACATGGCTGAAAGTGTGTAGGGCTCGTGAGGTCCACTCCAGCCGGCCAAGGGTGTAGCCAGCATAGAGGGGAAGAACACACCTTCTTGTACGGAGGAGGGTCTGATGCGGATTCTTGCTTCCCGGAACGAGGGTACTGGGCCTTACGCTTCAGGCTCTGCATGCGATGGTTGTAGGGTGTGTCGCCCTCGTCTGAGTCGGAAGCTATTATGACGGGTGAGCCATTTGCAAAGGCGCTGCAATTTGGGCCTGTTGCCAGTTCTTACAGTCATCTCTCTTTAGTATTCGTCTCTTCATGCTGAAAATAGTGTCAATAATCTGCTGCTGCTGTGACCCGGCCATGGTGACGGAGGGTCCTTGCAGGGCCTAGCAAGAAATTGGGTCGGAGGTGGGCTGGGGAGTGCTGGCACGGGCTGGGGAGCGCCTGGATTGCCAGCGCGTTGGCGGAGAGATATGCGCAAGATCCGGGCGCTGAAGAGTAGTCTTTAGACTGCGCGCGATGAGAGTGAGTTATGGGGTGAGGAGTGATTGTGGGCGCGTGGGTGGAGCTCTGGAAGGGATCCCGGAGCGGAGAGCGCAACACGTGCGGCTTGGCGTCGGTGCGTGAAGGTCCGCAAGCCGATCACCGCCCACGTGAACTTATGGCATCCAGTGCTGGTGTGCATCATAGCGAGCTGGCCAGCTTCGTGGTACATACTCTCGTTGGACAGCCTTTCTGACAACCCAACCTGCTCTAACTGCGGCCGATCTTTCCACACTTCATGGAGACGTAGGTAGCTCCTCACGCAGAGATGGATGCATATCCACCCGAATACGTCCTTCACAACCTCCCGTTTATCGTCCTCTCTGGCCTAGAAGCCAAACCAGAGCTTGAATCGCTTCCCGATATCCAACATGTCATGCCCGGCAGGGCTGCCACCACTGTCAATTCAGAGATACCCCCTGTAACCGGCAAGCGTGCACAACTATTGCGTTCAGAATTTCTTGCCGCTGATGAAAGCGATGCCCCATGGAACGGGCGTACGCGCAAGGGAAACCTATTAGGATTCAGGCTACGGGCAGTAGGGAGGGTAGGTCAGGAGCCCGGGTGCATTGGAGTGTCTTCTCGAACACCTGGGTGCTAACGTATTGAAGCATTTCCAATTTCCTCCTCGGAAAGCTGACCCCCCTACCTTGTCTGGCCTGATATCTCCCCCTGGCAGCCCCACGATTGCACCCACTACGTCGTGGATCCTGCACTCCCCAATATCGCCCTTGACTCCTACCTCCTCGGTCTTTCCCGACGGGGTTCTGGCACCGTCATGGGTGGCCAAACACCAGCATTATGTTCCCTCGGTCTTCATATCCTTCTTTGCATTTACTTCTGACCCGAACTTGAACAGCCTTCATGACAATCAGCTGAAGACGGAAATCAACAAGATCAAAGGTCAGATTCTAAAATCAGAATACCGAACGCGATATGCGGTTGTGCTTTTGAGTGACAAAACGATCCTTGAGGCTCCTGATATTGAAGAACGTCTGGCAACAATACGACGTGCTACAGGCCTCGATCCCAAGAATTCCCTGTTTTTCTTGCCGCCAAACACTTCTCAAGTCGAGCTCCGCTCCTTTGTACTCACAGTCCTTGGCACATTGCAGCCCATTTGCGTGGAATACTACAGAGACCTCACGAAACATGCGCGGAGGAAAAAGGGCAGAGGGCATGTGCCACCTCCGACCGCACCGCCCACTAGGGGCACATCGCAAACCTTGTCTCATCCGGCTTGGGGTGTGCGATACGACTTTAAACTCGGAGTCTTTGCAGAGTTCCGCCAAGAGATGGACGCAGCGCAGAGGCACTACAACATTGCGCTGGATGGATTGTTTGGGCAAGACGGAATCTTTGAAACTACTGCAAGCTGGTCACCAAGATGGGATGAAGTCCGGTTGCTGGCTGATGCCATTGCACTTCGACACATTCGCTGTCAACTTTGGAATAGCTATCCAACCTCCGCAGTGAAAACATGGCTGAAATACAAGATAAGATTGCGCGACTTAGTTGATCGTCGCGGAAAGGGATCATCGAACTATGGCTGGGAAGCATGGGAGTCTCGGTGGGCTAAAATCATGGCTCAGCTAATGCAGCGGGCAGAACTTCCCCTATTCAAGATCCCGCAGCCCGTCTCAGACGCCGACCCACTAGTAGATGGAATTAATACGCTCTTTGCACCACCGGAGAAATACTTCAATGCGACAGACAAGATTGCGCCTTGGGAGCTTCTCCACCACCCTGGCTACTGGTATAAAGTCTCGGCGGACCACTCAAAAAGGCGACTAGTTCTAGCTCGAGAGATTCCTGAAGAAGATCGAACGCCACCAGGAATGTCGCCAGCTACCAAGGTCTCGAACAGAAACCAAATGTATGACCACTATCTTGTCCCCGAACCCCATCTAGAAAGTCCAATAGAAGGGACTACTGGGGGGTTCGAGCATTGGAAAGACATTGTGGAGAACCTGAACTCCGCGGCCATTGAGTTCAACGCTCGAGAACAAACTCGCAAAGTGGAGCAATTACAATTGGAAGTCTCCCGAACATTGCTCCACGTTAAGAGATACGAGGATGCTTTCAAAGTACTTCGACCCCTCTGGCAGAGCATGTCCTGGAGGTACGAAGGATGGTGGAATCTTGCGTCGGAGGTTCTCTGGGCTCTACATGAGTGCGCTCTTCGTATTCAGGATCCAGAAACATTCCTTGCCACTGAGTGGGAACTTTATTCCAAAGGTTAGTTGCGTTGCCTTGAAGTCTTCAACGACGATTCATTGTTCTTAGTAAGCAGTCACTTACAACTCTCAGTCTTTTCTGCAAAGTCTAGGTATAGACATGACTTGATGAGATGCCTTGACCAGTTTCCTCATGACAACTCGCACGGCAAGTCAAGTGTCAGCCTCAGCACCAAAGACTTTATCTCATGCTGTATGTTAGCCTTACTTCGCTGTATACTTATATACTAATCTTTTAGTGGACGTCTCATTTACTTTCTCGGAATTAGAAGGAAACGTTGGCGAGCCTCTCCATTCACAGATAGCAGTCACTTCAACAGCGAGACTTGGCGCTGCTCCGATTATCTTGTCCACTCTGACGTTCCAATTCAGAGGCTGTCTTAGCGAGATCCAGTTATCCCACAAGGCCAATGAGTCGACATCTAGGAATGCGTCTGACCTGCTCGAGTGTGTACTTGAAGAAACAACCTCATCGACTAGAAACGAACAAAAGCCTCGGTGGATTGGAAACTCTGACTTGACCATTCATCCAGGGCAGACGAAAGTCTACAGTTTCCCTATCATATTCCGTGAAGCAGGCGACGTTGATGTCGTCGGGAGTGTATTCGAGATCAACACGGATCGATTTGATCTTGTCTGCTCACATCCTAATCTCGAGAGCGATGGTCTGCCCTTGTGGTGGCTGAAGGCTGGATCGAAGCTGAGGTCCCGGAAATTGAACAGAGAGTCTGCGATATCAGTCAAGATCTTGCCCAAGCCGCCCAAGATGGAGATCCGGTTACCGGACTTGCGCGACCACTACTACACGGACGAGCCTGTTAGTCTTGACATCGAGATCTTTAACAAGGAAGAGGAAGAAACTGAAGCCGTTGTCGAAGTGAGACTCCTTGGGCGATCAAAGGACACTCTGGCTTACTCCTGGGTTGACGGCGCCGCTTCTTCTTCACCGGGTCCAGAGGCAACCCCAGCACACCCGGCTGATGGTCCCGCAGAAGCCAACCTACCAGGCCACATTCTCGGCCGTCTAGCCCAGGGCGCGAGCAATACGGAGACAATTCACTTCAGAGCGCCCTCGGAGCCCTCGGACTACGCGCTGGAAGTTAAGGTTCTATACAATCTCCTCAGCGATCGAGACATACCGATATCCAAGACACTAATAGCCGACCTAGTCTTCAACGGACCATTTGAAGCAAGCTACGACTTCACGCCTCGAGTTCATCCCGACCCCTGGCCCAGCTATTTTGCGCTCCAAGATGCTGAAACGAACGACCCAGTTGCCGGTGCTGCGTTTGGTATTGCGCAGAAATGGCATTTGAGGGCGAAAGTAGCGTCGTTTGCAGAAGATGATCTCATTATCAAAGATATGGGTCTCGAGACGCACGCCATTCATGGCGGCGCAAACTGTACTACAACAAAAGAATTCGACGGCTCAGACACGCTCATGAGCCCGCAAGATATCAGCGAACGCTCCTTCTGCCTTGATGTCCGGAAACTTAATCTCGAAGAACGGCGGGCCACAGCTCTAGATATGAGCCTCAACATCGCATGGCAGCGCTCCAACTCCGACACTAAGTCCTCCCACCCAACAGTTACAACCAATCTCCCCATTCCTCGCATCCATATCCCTAGTAGCGAACCCCGTGTCCTCGCCACCGCCCTCTCATCCACGACAGTTCCCTCCCTCATCCATATGGACTACACACTCGAGAATCCCACGATGCATTTCCTGACTTTTGAGCTGAGTATGGAGGCGAGTGAGGAGTTTGGCTTCAGTGGGCCGAAGTTGAGGAGTTTGCATCTGTTGCCGATGAGTCGGCAGACGGTCAGGTATAATATTTTCCCGTTAGTGAGCTTGGCCTGGGTTACGCCGCAGTTGAGGGTTGTGGATCGGTACTTTAATAAGACGTTGAAGGTGGTGGCGACGGATGGGGTGAGGGGGGATAAGAAGGGCGTCGGGGTTTGGGTGCAAGGGGATGGAGAGGAGACGGAGACGGAGTAGTGATTTGAGGGATTAGGGGGCTGGAGTTTTCGGGGGGGCAATGAGAAAGGGCTTGGTGTAGGGGGGTCAGGTGGGCTTGTCTAGTTGAGACATATGGTCTGGCCGTCTTAGATGATAATGCTAGACGTGTATGACTCCAATGTGTGAGCGCCCGCTTGCTGTAGAAACATGAACTCAATACGGGCGGAGTTATCCAAGTCGACGGTACTAAACAAGAGGAATGATCGTGAGGCTCAATGCTAGCAGAGCAGATATGACCCGTCCATGTACTCGAGCACACAGAAACGCCATCTCCACACGCCTGCCTGCCAATCTAAACCGAAAAGTATTGAGTCGAAAGAAAGAAAGCCATAGCCTTCAATTACACGCCGAATGCCGCACAAATAATGAGAAGAGAGGAAAGCCTCGAAGACATCTCGCCGACCCAAATACAAACCTAGAACGCCAAAACCAAAGCCAAAGCCCCAAGCTGCGAACGCCTTGCCTTCCCATTTTACATACTCAGCAGAACCGCCCCAGCTCAGCCCTCGTCAGCATTTTTCCTCTTCCTTTTCAAGCGCATCTCTCCACCTCCCCTCCGCCCTCCTAACCAACTCCTCGTACACCGTCCATGCCAACGCCGAACTCATAGCTTTCCTAGCAATTCTAATCCCCAGGCCGTCAAAAAGACTTGCAAACCCCTCATCCCTCAACATCATCTTCGCCGCTTGCACCATATTCCCGTATTTGCCCGGCATGAGCTGGAGACGGGTTTTGATGGCATCGAAGGGGTTCGTGATGGTGGTCCCGAGGCCGGCGGCTACGAGCCCGGATAAGAAGTTTATGCCGGCGGCGGTGCTGGAGCTGAGTTTGACATTTGCATTTGTGGTAGGGCCAGTGGAGATGTTGGGCGAGGATTCTTCGATCCTAGTAGCGAGCTTCGAAAGCCGTTTTTTGGACTGCTCGTAGAAAAGCACGTATAACCCGGCGTATGGGGCGTCTCGTACAGCCGTAGCACCGAAGCCAGCAAAAAATCCGCGCAGGCCTTCGCGCATGAAAATATTCTTGGAGGCGCCATATAGCGAGGTGTAGGCGTAGAGATTGGACTCGTAGCGTACTTTTATCACTGTGATGGGCATCATGAGGAAGCCCGCCCATGTACGTGCTACGGCGCCAGTGGCTAGGTTTGCAGTGTTGGAGAGTCTGGGGAGGGTACTTGAATGGCTGCTTTGACTTCCTCCATCTACCCCTCCTGCCCCTCCTGCTCTTGCACGCGCGACCAGACTTGCCCTAGCGACCCTCTGCCTCAATGCATTCAATCCGGAAAAATACAACGCTGAACCGCATCCCGTCCTAAGCGTACTGGGCAATGTTCCTCTCCAGAATGTGCGTACGGGGTTTGGGCCACTAGCAATGCTCTTGATTGTCGCGAGAAGCGTGTTCTGGTGCGATTGCTGCACACGCGTCTTGAGGAGGTCGGCGGGCTGGAGGAGGACGGCCGAGAGCATGCCCGAGCTCAGGCCCGCGAAGAAGTGGACTGTGGAAGAAACGGATCAGCACAGCCGCCATTGGACCTGGGGGAGCTGTCGGGCTTGAGTGGATGCAGAGGTACTCCGAAAGAACATACAGTATGACGACGAGCGCGGTTTCTCGCCATTTGACATTTCCGCGCCGTCGAGATGTCGATGTGGTTATGAGGCGTGAGGTGGATGTCTACTGCTCTGCATGGTGTGTTGAGCAGGGTGAGGGTAAGTCAATGAGTAATATCCGAGCTGAGGTTTTTGTCAAAGTTTATCCTGTCAGATCAGAACGGAGAATTGGGATGACGTTCTTGACCTGATCGCCGACGCAACCCGAGGCGCCGGGACGCCGGCTTGCCGACGACTGGGTTCAGTCACACCATCTTTTGTGGTGAGTAGATGCGAGTCGGCAAGCCTCATGGTCGTTGAGGAGGGGGAGCTGAAACTATGAGCCAAGCATTCTTCACTGGTTCCTTGACCAAGAAAAGCAAAGCACACATATATAAAACCTCAGAATCCATTCTAATTCATTCATGCAATCATAGCCATCATAAAGACTCCCGATAATTCCAAGTCTGAGTCGTTGGTATTCCCTGAATTTTGCCTCTTCATTTCCAGCATGCAACCATAACATCGGCCGTAAAGGGTTGGGGAAAGAGTGGATGGAGATTGTATAAACAAACTCCAAGAAGGGGAAGGGAAGGAAACTGAAATACATGTTATATGAGGTTAGAAGAGCCTAGACTAGCTCCACCTCGGGATATAAGAGACTGACCGCAAAGAAAACCCCCCACCACCTCCAAAGTCTTCCTCTTACCAGGATAAAGAAACAGAGCAAGAACAGGAGTAGGCAAGGAGAGGGAAAGAATCAAGGAAACCAATCTAGTATCTCGAGCCCGGGGGCGGCCCAATCGGTGGCGGCGGCACCGCGCCATACGGGTTCGCATCTTTGTATGTCGTCGGATAGGGGTTTGCAGCTACAGGGTAGGCATACGGATTAGCCATTCCATTCCCAATACCATGAAGGGCGTTCTGCCGGGCCTCTCTCTCGCGACGTTCTCGAGCCTTTCTCCTCTTCCTCCGGCGTGTCTCGAGCTCTTTCACACTATGTCGCTGCTCATTCATCTCCTTCCACTCCGAGAACGCCGACTTGATGCCAAGAGCAGCGATGCCCACCGCCGCCGCATCTTGCAACATATTCTTAGACTTGCGCTTACGCGCCTCTTCGGGCGTCATTTCGCCCTCGGAGACGAGCTTGCGCCGGTTTTCAGAAGCAACCATGGACGAGTACACGCCGTGAGCGGCGTGGATCGTCGCGACTGTAGCAAGCCCGGCAGTAAGGAGTTCCTTACCTCTCAACTTCTTGCGTCTGTACTCCATATCCGTCGTGCTCTCCGAATCCGAGCTGCTGTCCCTCTTCTTTTGCGCCTTTTTCGTCGCTAAGCTGCGGTCCGCGTTAGCTCGGGGAGCCTCCGAATAGTCATCCATACTTCGGCCCCGGCTACGGGTGCGATTGCCCCGGTTACGGGAGGGGACGTAGCTGTCTTCGCTAGAAACGCTGCGCGAACGGTCACGCTTGGAGCGAGACTTGGAGCGGACGCGGTCGTAAAGGGCTTTGCCTGCCGCAAGCACGGCTCCAGCACCGGCAACGTCACGGAGAGCGTTACCGCCTCCTTGTCCGCGTCCACGCGATTGAGAGCGTCCACGTCCGAAGATTGACCTTGATCGAGAGCGAGAGCGAGAGCGCGAGGGAGACCTAGAGCCGTCACGGCCGCGGGACTGAGATCGAGCACTGCCGTTGGCGAGGCGATTGGCGAGTAGACCACCGATAGCTGATTCGGCGACATGTCGCTTGCTCTTCCTGTCTGGGTCTTTGTCGACAAGGCTATCGATACCGGCGGCACCGAGAGCGGCGGTTGCAATGCGTTGACCCTTCTCGCCAGTCCATGGACCGGGAGTTTTGCGGCTGCGGAATGCTTCAACGGCTCCGGCTACGAGGGCGGCTTTGGCGGCCTGCTCCCACTTCTTCTCAGTACTGCGGCGACCCCCACTCCGGCTCCGAGAGCTTGAATAGCGGCGGCGATCACCATACCTGTCGCTGTCGTAGCCACGGTGGTCACGGTGTCGAGAACGGGATCGGCTACGACCGGTGACAGCGCCAATGACGCCTCCAAGACCGACGCCTTCGCCAATCTCTTTAAGGTTGTCGACGATTGACTTGCGGCGCTCGCGGCGTGGTCGCTCATATTCGTCAGAGTAATAGCCATCGCGGTCACGGTCGCGGCGGCGTCCGTGATCATAGCTAGCGTACGAGTACTCGTCATCGTGCTTGCGATGGTTCACCGAGCGGGCACGGCGTGGCTCATACGTCTCACGATACCTGGTCTGTCTAAACTCGGCGCCAGGGGGAGGGAAGTCGCGCGGAATGTCCTCGATGCTGTCTTCACGGGGGCGGTAGACGAGATCCCGAACGGGAGCGCCTTTTCCGCCGCGCTCGATGTAGGTCGTTTCGGCGATGTATTCAGGCTCGCGCTCGCGAGTGCGGCGGGGACGACGCGGGCGGTCGTCGTAGCTGTACTCGGACATGGCGGAAGCGGAGATCTAAGCCAGTCGCAGGGAGCAGAGGCGTGTTTGTTGTAGAATCTCCTGCTGTAGGACAGCGGTTGCTGGTTCGGATTTGGTCGTTTCTAGACCAAGGCTAGATGTTAATGGTGGCATCAAGGTGGCAGAAGTGAGAGCAAAGACGTACCGATTATGGCGGATAATCTAGTGGAGTGACTGGATTAAGTCAAGTGGGCTTGTCGCAACGAAGAATGAGTTGTGCCGGCGAAAGACGGAACAAGGGTGGTAGGAGGGAGAAGAGACTTCGTCGGCGGGGTGCAGGTACAGGGTGTATTTAACTGTTTGATCCGCGGCCAAGGTGGAAGGAGAAGGCTGACTGTCCTGTTCGCAGAGGGCTCCCCAGGGTGGCGTAGATATTGCTTGACAGGAGGTAAGGCTGGGTGGTGTGGTGGGCACTTCTCAAGTGGGACGCTCATACGTCATACGTTGGGACTGCAAAAGCAGGCGGCAAGGCGTGACACCGGAGCCCAACAGCAGCAGTGCAGGCCCTCGAGCGGCTGGACTGAGAACAAGCAAGCAAACTTGGCTGTCGGCGGTGAACTATGGCGAGGCCTCCCGGTGAGCGCTCTATCGATCGCATCTGGTGACTGCAGACGAGTGTCGGCTTCACTGCCCTGCCCAGCGCAACTCAGCACATTTCCCCTACATTCACCGTATGCCCGCCGTGTCTGCACAGCCTCGCGTATCCCGTCTCTGATTGGCTGGCGTATCGCTCGGTCAGCGCCGTTCACCGGCAACGCCCCAGGTTCCTCCACCTCGCTCCTCTCCTCCTCCGCCCTCGCCTCCCCAGACTTCAGACATGCAAACTGTTCACTTCAGAGACCACCTCACTAACTTCGCACTTAACATTCTTCTTGCTGCATTCTGTCCAATTTGCAGCATGCCTGACGCCACGGTGCACTGCATTCTTCCACCCCGCTTCTCACTGGCCATGCTGGGGTCCCTGGATGCCCTGTGCCAACTGGCCAGCAAGTCACTTGCCTACCCGATGACGAAGTCGTTGCAAGCAGCCTTGGTGGTCAGTAACGCTGGCTGCACGTGAGGCGCTTCTCACTGGGCCGCCGCCCTCGTTGGGTGATTTGCCGTCAAGGTTGAGTCTCGTAAAATGGTGCCGAGATATCTCCTGTCAGCTTTTCCTCCCTGTCAATTCCTCCCTGTCAATTCCGGGCCGATGGTTTGGCATTGGGTCAGCCATGGAGCAGAAGGCTTGACAGCTCTGCGCACTTTTGGCATCTGGATGGTAATGGGCGGCTGGGCAGCGGGCCAATCACGGGCTAATATATGTGCCCGGGTTGGCAGCCAATACTTGCGAAGCACACATTGAAGCAAGTATTATCAGGAAGTTCCTAGACTGCTAAAAGACATGGAAAATATCCAAGCAACTATTTCAGCCCTAGCAATTTCTACCCTAAACAAATACGCCCGTCATCGTTCTTTCTCCTCTTTCAATTTCTCCAAGAATCCCACCAATCTCTTCTTGATAACCACCCCAACTAGTCCGCTCGTCCCCTCTTCAGTAATGCACAAGTACCTCAGGCCCAATTTGCTAAACATCTCGACGGCGTACTCGAGCGGCGCCTTTGCACATATACTCAACGGCGTTCGGTCCACAAACGGCGTTAAATCCACCTCCAGAGTATCGGGGCTTGCGTCATCTTCAACCATATGTCCCAGTAGCCTGATCTGAAACCGGTCAGGTGGATTGGAAGACAGTGAGCTCGACGAAGAATGTGGCAGCAATTTAGTCAGACCGAATTCGAGCTCTGATTGTGAGATGTACCCTTGTAATGTTGGTATCTCAGATTGCGGATGGACTTGTACAAGAACAAGTCCTGCGTCCATAAGCCCTCTTGCACGGAGCTGCTCTAGCTTCTCCTTGAGAATTCCCTCGCGGACTTTGTTTGTTAGGGGCACGTGGACCGTAATCTCGTCCATCGTCTGCTTTGGTGGTATGAGAGCCTCCACAAGCAAATTGTGTCTCCTCGCCACGGAAATTGCTTGATCTGGGTCTAGGAATGGATGTCCCAGCACGGTTTGCGCGAGGTCATAGACTCCTTCTTCTGAGAATGCATCGGCCACCCACTTAGCGACAAGTATAGCTATCATGTGTGGGACAACATATTCGAGTTGTCCGGTGAGCTCGAACATGATAACAGCAAGGGAAATTGTCATGCGGGAGACGCCAGCCAAGAAGGCTGCTGCACCGACCATTGCAAATATTCCTGGGGATATGGAGGTCATGCTTTGGCCGATAAGCCGTCCAAAAAGAGCGCCTGCATCAAGAGCTGGAATGATAACTCCAGAGGGAACTTTACATCCAAAAGTAACAATCGTAAGGACAAGCTTGACGACCGTGCCATAGATGAGCCAGCCCACAAACGCTGAGCTTGGTTTTCCAACCCCTCCGCTTTGGGCTTCATTTTTGCAGATCCAGGAGTCCGATGAGGCCAGTGATTTGCAATCCACGAGCAGATTCTTGATGACAGTATCTCCAGGATCTCGAATCAGCGGGTTAGGGAATTGGAGCAACGTTGTTGCAAGGACGACGAGGAAGACTTCGAACACGGGATCGTTTTTGATGATAGGGAAGGAGCGAAACCATTTCGACCACATGAAATTGAGCTTGCAGAACAGGCCGCCGAAGATGCCTCCTGCAACTCCTAGGATGACGAATACGAGGTAGTGTATTGGCTGATAGTTTGTCCCGTAGTTCGTTTCGAAAAGAACTAATTTACCAGTCCCAGTAGGATTAAAAGCCTTTAGTACAATAGCCGCGAATAGTGAGCACAGAAAAGCACGCCAGAGCACTTTCCTCGGGAAATACGTGCTGATCTCCTCGTAGCTAAAGAGCACGCCTCCAATCGGCGCTCCGAACGCAACACTGAGGCCCGACGCACATGCTGCAGATAGCAATTCTCTCATCTTCCGGCCATTATCTCGATACTTGGGGAACCGCATCCCGACAATGTAACCCACACATGTCGATATGTGAACGAACGGACCTTCTTTTCCAAGACACAGGCCTGTAGCTACGGCGAAGATGGCACCGAATCCTTTGACGATTAGAACTTCCGGGTCAAGATAGTGTGGGATAACGAAACCAGATAGGATCGTTTTGATCTCAGGGATACCGGATCCAGCCGCCAAATATATTGTTTTTCCAGTGGCAGGTTGTTCGCCTGGAGAAGAACCAGCTCTGTTCGATTTATCAGTATTTTCGGGAGCCACGGCGGGAAGAGAACGTTTCGTAAGCATAGTTGCAATCGAACTGATCATGCCGAATACCAGTGCCATAGCAACGTATATGGCGAAGCTCCCAGCGTAGCTCTCTGTCCACAATTTGAAATGTTTGCATTTTTCCGCTGGCTCAGACAGGGCTCCAAGCAAAGGTGTCTTATCCACGCAACAGGCTTCTCGGCTCAAGAATGGGTTCTTTGTACAGTATCCTAGTTTCCAATCTGAGACCGTAGCTTCGGCTACATCGACCACGAATGCGACGCAAGCAGTTAAGGCCCCGATAATGACGACGGCTATCCAGCCTGAACTGGCCTCAAACATTGAGAGGAGATTGTAGCGGACACCGTGATAGGATTGGATGCAGCGGAAGCGGTATGAATCCTTAACCTATGTGCAACTTGTTAGTCTTTGTGCACAGAACATAGTAAAAAGCCTCGGATAAACTAGACCACTGCAATTCGAAAGAGCTCCTACACATAGTCTTTCGAAGCGACAGAGATATTCTTACAAGATCATGCAACCAGTCAATCGTCGTATAGTCATTATAAGGCAATCTTTCCCCAACCGTACTTCCAGATAAGTTCTGTTCGTCCTTAGTAACCACGCTCGAAATAATGCTCCTGGCATCTTCGTCTTGTTCAAGTTGCAGCTGGCTCAATCTCCTGCTATTAGCTATATGATAAAGCAGCGCCGTGCGCTCAGTCGCCGACTCGAGATCTTGAGGCATGCCCGCTCCCAGTCCGTCAGGCTATTCGGGGCGCGGGCTCAAGGCAGCGGAACAAATAAAGCAGCAATCGCATCGTGAGGGTTGATCTAGGGCTCATAGTCTTGTAGCCAACTTTGCCGAGTGACGTATTGCCATGGCAAAGTAGCAATCTTATCATCAGACCCTTATCGTCCCGCGCAGAAAGCAATTTGCAGATTTGATGAGGTTCAAGAAGGGTTGGCGTTCGAGGAGAGATAAGGATTGCAGGCCGAGAGACATGTGAGGTCGATCGATCCGAAATTCGCCAGTCAACATGTGGGGGACAGAAAACCACGGGTCAGCGAATGTCATACCAGAGTTGCGCTGGTTTGAGGTCGGAAGCTACCATAGCTCTGGCAAGGAACCGTGAGGTAGAATCTGACATTCGTAACTCTGCTGAGGGTGCTAAAGGTTCCAAATACGGGTTTTTTCCGTTTCTGGCTGCGCGACTGTCTCGAATGTTGTCTCTACCCGTCTTCCTTCCGTCTTTCCGTAAATCTGGATTGGAACTTACCGAATTCGAGCTTTTCTAGTGCAAATACTTTGGCTTCCCCTGATATAGAACTTAAATCCTGGAGGCAGTATAAGGTTCGTCCTGAAGAGTCTCCTTGGGTGGTGGCTTGCCGCAATCTCCCGCTCACCACCTATCCTTGTCAAATGGCTTGAGTGCACAATACAGTCACGAGCAATCAGCGGGATGAACAAGAAATGAGTTTGCAGTTTGCAGTTGTTTCGCTCATTAGATTTAAGACGTCCTTAGCGGGCGTACTGCTGCTGCAGAGCAGCAGACTGATTAGCTACGAAGTCTTGCTCCCTTTGCCACTCCTTCGTGGCAATAATGCAGCCCATATGAACAAGTAGATGCAAGCAATAGAAAAAAAAGACAAGGTATCAAAGGAAAGAGAGAAAAAAACGTGCAAGCAATCCGATGCCCTCTTAACAAGAGCCATTCATCAAGCTCTACTGAGGGGGTATGTACAATCGTCGAAGGGAGGGAGGTGACGCATGCAAGGCGTCGGGTATCTGTAGCGACCGGTCGCGAAGCGTGGAGCTTCGATGGAGAGATACAAAAAGGGAATTGATAAGAGTGCGGAAGCGGAGAGAGGTAAAGGCGCGCTGTCTGGAGCGCACGGCAATGCCAAAACAACCAGCAAGTGGAAATAAATGAGAAAGAGATCGAAGATTCAGACGCCCGGCGCTAGGGATGCATGCCTAAAAGAGATTGGCGAGAATAGATTCCAGTAAAAAGGTTGAAAAGAGGGCATGTGAAAACACACACTGCTAGCGCTTTTAGAAGTACCTCTCACATTCCCGTCCGTATGCAGAAATCCGCCGTATAAATCCAATCCTGGCTCGGAAGGAAGAGGCAGATGAAAAGAATCCCCTTAGGAATGAAGAGTCATTATGGTCGCGTGAATCTCATCCACGATGGTAAGGTAGGCGTCTTGATCACTTTATTTGTGTGGTTCAGTGTGCCCCAGCGCCTAGGTTTAACCAAGACATGTCTTGCTTCGCATCCTTTGGGCGGGGCGGACCAGAATTATCTGGGACACCACGCGGGAAGACCGTGACCGTGCTGTCTCGATCCTCTGGTTCACCAAGTCGCGGCTGGCCAGGGTAGAAGGAGCTGTAGTTGCTCTTCGGGTAGAAGGAGCTTGTGCCGTCATGGTAGTAAGAACTTGCCCCGTCTCGGTTCTGGTCGACAACGCTATTCGTGTAGTTACTGGAGGCTGGTCGATTGTCGTAATTAGCATTACCCATCGGTGTCCAGCTTTCTACTGGCACTCGGGCATAGTGATCGTCGTGGCTGACACCAGACCGTGAGCTTCCATTAGAATTGGCTCGGGCAATTTCTGCTTGCATTGGTTGACTGGGCAAGTTTTCTTGAGAATTACCGAGTGTTGGACTTCCGGTTGCTACTCGACTGAGGCGCTGGCCATCAAATTTTGTAAAATTCAACTCAAGCGGAGGCACAGTCTGAGATGGCTGGCTATACATACGCGAATCAGTGTATAGTGACTGGCTACCGGTACTAGTGCGCTCGGAAGCATATGTCGATCTTCCAGATGGCATATGGGCAAGGTTCGTAGCTTCGTTATTTGCAAAATACCGACTCCACCCAGAACTGCGACTCCTTCCAATATTCGCGGTTGCTCGGGATGCCGGCTGTGGCATGATATTCTTCTCAACTGACTTCTCGGTGACGATGGGGGCTGGCTTCATGTCGAATTTGGACATCTCCACAGGTTCAGAGTATCCGAGAGGGCTCTTTTTCGTGACCAGTCCTGCCGTGCTTGCATCACTCCCCAGGGGACCCAACCCTCTTTTGTGATTCATCCCTCCTCGACCACTAATTATAGCTAATGAGCTCTGCGATGCATTCATGGATGCGGAGTAGTTATGTCCAACTGACCCGCCCGCTTCGCTCATAAATTCTGCTCCGCGATCGGCGAAACTTAGGCGATCTTTCTCAATATACCCAGACTGCTGGGCCTTCTTTCTCTTCTCTCGCTTGTACTTCATGCAGAAAAGCAGCAGGATTAAGATCGCGGCAATACCAAATATAGCTCCGAGAGTAGCTCCCAGAACTGTCAACATCCTGCTCTTGTTGTTGACAGGCGTTGTGGCGGGGGCTGCAGCCGCGGCAGTCGACGACTCGGTAGCCGATGGCGTAGTTGATGTTGGTAGGGTTGTGGATGAGGAAGTGCTGGAGGGAGTTGATGAGATGACGACTTCTTGGCCATTGAAGAGTTCAGTCGCATTGACCCAGGCATTCGCTTTTTGGTCGAATATGCATAAGGGGTCTTCTTCACTACCGCCAGTGATTACGGCGACGCCATTCAAGTCTTGTGCAATAGAATAGCCCGCTCTTGTGGCAGTTGGCGCAAGGGTTCCATTATAAGCTGGCCAGTCATTGATAGTGATTCGTTTTGCTTTCTCGCCAACAATCGTTCCAGGGGCGGCCACAGTTCCACCTTGATTGAGCAAAGCAAACCGAGTTACTTTATTGGGGGTTACGCTCATGTCGTATCTTTCCAGGACTTTGCTTCCATCGTCTCCAGACACTACTGTGCATTGGACGGCATCCATATTCGTGATTGGCTCCGTAAGTGTTGTACCGAGATTCTGCCAGCCTGCTTCAATACTGTACAAGAACACTTCTTCATTTTGAGCTCCTCCGCCAAACATCACAGCGTGGCTTTCATCCCAGGGCATTAGCATTGGTTTCACCGCAGCAGGGTTACCGGCTGCGACACCACTTCGAACGTTAAAGGGAGGGGTCGTCGATATGACGAATGTCGAAGAGGAAGGGCCGTTATCTCCAGTAGTTTGGGATCCTGAATAGACGAGTATCGATTGCGAAGCATTGAGGTAAACTGCGGCGTGGTTCTGTCGATTTTGCGTGACCCAAGTCTCCGGCCTGACCCAATCCCACTTCTCTTGGTTGAACGAATAATGCATTAATCCTGGATAATCCCACGATGACGCAGTCTCGTTCACAGAACCTCCAACAACGTAAAGAAGTGCTGCATTTGGATCCCCGCCAGGTACCGCCTTCACACACTGCGCGCCTGTTAATGACACATCCATAGGTAATTCTTGCCACTTGGCTCCTTCAACCAACTCGAGCGACTGGAATCCGGCGGGAGAGTATACGTAAAGGGTGTCATTATGTATGACAGAACAGTGGCCACTTAAGGGATGTATGGGTTGTGGGAGACCCATGATAGGAATCGATCGGAAGGATAGTTAGGCTGTCGATGGGTCGAAGAGAATAGGGAAGAATCCGAGTTCAGAACTCAAGACCTAAGGTTGAGCGACGAACAAGCGACTAGCATGCCAGCTAAATCCTCATGACGAAGCGACAGATCCAAGCAGTGACGGGAGGATATCCTCTACAGGAAGCAAGAAATCCTGTGAAGCAGCAACTGTATGTCCTGGAAACCTTAATATCGACGTGCCCCTAGCTCAATATTGCAACAGGTGGAATCGATATACCGCGTAAGTCCTCGTGGGATATCCGTGATTTCGTTGCAGGTGTGTGGAGAAGGTAAGCTGAAGGACTCAAACGTCAAAATATGATCTAAAACGGGGCGCGGGGACGACTTGCCGGTAGCCAGCTGTGCGGTTGAATAGGACTCAAATGCAAGACAGGTTCTAAGACAGGACGCAGATGCGGTCTCTAAGGATGGGAGACAGCGTCAGAGGTTGAAACAGTTTATCGCACAGAAAGAGTGACTACTCCGTGAGACGGAGGCTCTGTCAAAGAGGAGGTTGAGGTGTGTGCAGGAATGTAAAGCAAGGCACGAACAGTCGCGGGTAAAGGAGAGGAAGCAGCACAGCACAGCGGTGTGCGTTACAGGTGGTGCAGAGCCGAGTTAACGCGGTTCTGGCTCTCGTAGGTGGGCGGCTGGGAGGTGAGAGAACGCAGCGAGGAGACTGTTGGGGCGCAGGAAGCTGTCCCTGGGAGTGCAAGGGTTAGGTCCGTCCTAAACAGGCCAAGCGGTAAGCAGGGGTCGACGACGACGATGTGCTTCAGGTGGCGCGAGCAAAGACCAGTCCGGGTCTCTAGAGCGGTCAGTGTTGATTCGTGAAAGAGTAGGCAGTGGAGCGCGGTGGGAGATGATGAGCCGTCCCTGTTTTTGTCGGTCACGTCGAAGTTTCATGACAGATGGCTTGCGTGTGCGCTGGGCAAACAACATCGCGTATTTAGATCGACATGGGAGCGATCAGGGGCCGGATGGCTTTTTTCTCTCCCGGTTGGCTAAGGTTCTTAATGTCAACGACTGCTGATCCGTCAGGAAGTCTGGAAAAATCCTCAAAGAAGCTGCAGAATCTCTGAGTCCTCCGGAGTCACACAGAGAGCATGGAAGGGTTCCGGTGGTGTTTCGATACATTCGCCAGGGTTGGGCTAAAGAAAGCCCGTGAGGTAGGTCAGGGGTAAACTTGCATGCCTCCGTGCCGACGCACCACGCTCATTCGCCAGTGTTCTTGAAAGGGTCGCCCTTGGCAGCGTCGTGCAGGAACCATCGAGCCGCTCTCGCCTTGGTCCGCAAGTCTCACCGTCACTCGCTAGCGGGCTGACCGCGCAGAGGCTGCGGACCTGAACACTACCAGCTGTCTCGAGCTATCGCGAAGCCCGCGGCTCGCAGCTGGTTGTCGTGGGACATCGCTTCTCCCATCACATCTGGGTCACGGGGGAACAGAATCGATTCGCAATCCTGAATTGTGATGGCACACTCGAACCGCGCGCTCTCACCTTGTCGCCCCCTCCTGAAGTCTTGAGGAAGCAGGGCCTAAACCATGTATTGACTTGGGATTCATAACAGCTCGGATTAACCAAGTGCCGAGAGTGTTGATTGGTTGAACACGCCTTAGTCATTGTACTGAACGCAAATGCAGCTTAATCTTTCGACGCTCGTTCGCCCTCTTGCTCTCACTACCGGCCCTTCCCACAATGCATCCCGTCGAAGACTGCCATCTGGTTGCGACACACCAATTTTTGGCTCTTCAAAAGAAGCCCCAAGAAAAGTAAATCACACAGAAGCGATCGGTGGAATTTAGAGCTCTGTTAAACCATGTTTGACAGCCTGCCAAATATATCCTCGCGACGAACATATTCGTCGTACGACATGGACCCTCATATACTGATACGGGCAGGTCTCTTACATACACCAGTCTGATGCGGACACTAATATCGAAGTCTGCCTAACACACGTCCAGAAGGGCAAGCTTTGGCTCGAGCGTCCTAACTATCGCCCTCTCGATATTGCTGTTAATCTATCCCCAATCAACCTGATTCCGACATGAGAGGACCGAGTTTTCGGCAACCCTCTATCCAGCGGCGCGGAACGCCATCTTGTTGTCAAGAAGCTGTCGGCACCGACAGGCAACGTCATCCCATTTCCAAACCGTCGTCAAACCGGCCACTTAGCTCCATTCAGTAGGATTAGCACACCACGACACAGACGGTTACGATTCCCTCCTAGTAGGATACCCTAGAGCCTCATTCACTGCAATAAGAATAGCAGTCTAATCATGATGAAAGTCGCATTGTGTCTGCTAGTTTCCACTCCTCACTCACATCCCATGAATTCGAGCTTGTTTCCTTATGCGAAACTATGAGTCCCCGCTTCCACGTTCTGTTATGCAAGGGCAGATTTAAATGATCCTCTGTTTTAACACTCTGATTTCCATCGTATGTTTTGTTATGCGTTCAGTTCCGCGCACTTGCTCTGAAGGATGTGGCTTGGCCAAGGAAAGTTTGGTTGAATCGTCATGCGTTTGAGATTCTCCACACCGAGGCCCGAATGCTGAAACAAACCTCCTTGCGGAAGGAGGCCGTGACATGAATGCAAATCTAGGCGGGCCTTATTGGGGCTCGGGGAAGAGGCTCCGTTGGTTGCCACTGATAATCATCTCCTAGTGAATAAAGCGTTTGTCAAGCTGGATTGCAGAATTGCCTGGATTGCAACCCATTCCTAACTCTAAGAATTTCCTCCACCCTGCTCTACGAAACCACTACATGCGCGACACCACTAGAAATAAGTCTCATGCCGGCTCACCCGATTCCGGAATTTCCACGTTCCCCATGAATGAAAAAGTGCATCTCTAGATGGTGAGAACAGTATCAAGCACCGAATATCTCCGGAAAGGTACTATAACAGCGGACTTCCACAATGGATTTGAAGCAGTTATCCAACACCGATTCTTATCGCCCTGGTTAACGTGTCCGACGAGGATGAGTTCCTTCTCTCAGGTGCTGCTCCTACGTGAGCGTTGTGAGGTAAAGGAACCCCGAGTTTAATAAATCAAGTCCGCACAATATCGAAGATACAATATATCAATCTCGCAGTTGGCGGGCGGGGTTCCCCTTTTGTCCGAATGACTGCGCTAACAATGTAGGAATTGAATCCTAAAATCCTCTTTGCTTAGCCTTACGAGTTACATGATGCCTTACCTTAGATGTGCTAGACATGATGTGTCAACTTCTAGGGCACTCGGCCCAGCCTGGAAGGAATAGACCGAACGGCAGAGACCCTGACGCTGGATAGAATCCTCAAAGCCGTTCGCCTGCCCCTCGAACATCTTCAGCCCACATCCGTCGATAATTCGAGATATTCTCAAGCCAGGCCGGTATAGCATTAGAAACGTTGTGTGCGCAGTTAACAGATTGAAACCCCGGCTAGATGGTACAATCCTGGCCCTGGGGCCAGCACGACAGAAAATGGGGCACAGCTCCAGCGTTCAGGATCTGGAATCCTTCAAATGCATTCATGCCCTCTCATTCCTCTCAAGGCCCTGGTCTTCTATCGGTAAATGCGGGTCTAATATAATGCGAAGATTTGATTTCGCACGCCACCTAACAACCCTCCATTATTGTGCTCTCTGCTCATCCTTTCATCAAAGGTTGAGCCACTGCAATGCGCAACAACGCCAAGAATCTCCAGATCTCGTGGAGTACGAGGGAGCTCGTTAGAACAAGATTTCAATATTCACTTCTGTTCCTTCTCAATCTTACAATGTCGCATTTTTTGAGATTCGGTGCTAGGGTAAAATGTACAGCTGGTCAGAACTATGCAGTTGGAATCAGCACTGGGGTTCGCCGACACTAGTGATAGGACTGACTTATAATAGCTCGCCTAGAGCCGTTAATTATCAACTAGCAGACTAAGTCAAGCACACTTGCAAGGTCGTGGCTGCCACGTGGAGGGTAGCAGATGTCAGATGATAAATATAGAAGGAACAGCATTGCTGTCATGGTTCAGCTTACGGTGTGCACTATCATGCTGTCAAACATGTATCGTACAGCAGTCGAGAACTATATTCGATAAAGTCTGCATGTCCATCCTCAATCGTCGGACTCTAGAATGAATCCATTACTTTAGGTTCATCTCTTCAAATAAAGGAGTGGTTCCTGCCCTCCGTAGAATGATTCTCTTCTTCAAATCTTTCTCCTCCTACGTCACAGTAGTAGATAGCCACCACACAATATCTAACCAGGGGGCTCGTCTTCAAGCATCGAAGAAGCTCAGAGGGCCTTCCTGTCTTAGCGTATGCATTTCTCTAATAAACCCAAAGTCTAGAACCCTAGCCTCGGTAATTTCCAGCCCTTCAGCATATTAAAACGATCAAGAATTCATTCTGTGGGTTATTCTCGTCCTTCAATAAACACCCAGAAGCCCCGATCAATTAGAAAACGACTACCTCCCATCATACCCACCACCCTTCTTCACTCCAACCCCTTCCTTGCCACTCGCCACCGCCAGCGTCTGACTGAAATATTGCGGAATCGCAATCATATCCGCAGCAATACTGATCATATCATACCCCTTCTCCGCATACTCTCTCGCCTGTTCCCCACTTGTGCAATATATCCCGACTTTCTTCCCTTCCGCGTGTGCCGCCACTTTAATACTATCGATCGCTTTCACCAACTCTTCATGCATACCATCTTCGAGAATAGGATGGCCGATGTTATTTCCCAAGTCGAAGGGGCCGATGAGAAGACAGTCAACGCCGGGAATGGCGGCGATTTCTCGGACGGCTTTTAGAGCTGAGGCAGTCTCTATTTGGACGATGGTTTGAAGTGAGGAGTTGGCGTTTTGGAGGTAATAGGCAAGGGGCTCGTTGGAGAAGGTTTGGGGGGAGAAGGGGGAGCCGAAGCCCCGGCGGCCAAAGGGTGGGAATTTGGCGGAGGCGACGAGCTGTTTTGCGTCGTCGACAGTGTAGATTAGCGGGACGACGATGCCATGGGCGCCTGCATCAAGAGCTCCTGTAGGCTGTTAGGGAAGGTTGAATGCTAAGGTGGACGACTCACGCTTCACCATCCAGGCTTCATTTGCTGCAATTCTTACGATCGGGCTGACACCTGTGGCTGCAATTGCAGCTACAGCTTCATGCATTTGGCCATCTAGCTGATGTCAGTACCTAGATCACAATACCTTTCTTACATTAGCCACACCGTCGATGTTCCCATGCTCGCCATCAACACATATCCAATCAACTCCTGAACGCGCAATGGCTCGGGAGTGATTTGTCCCCGGGAGCATCTGCGAGATTTCATCAGTCCCCCAGATATATGCAAGACACAAATAGAAGTACCTGCCATGCTCCGAAACTAGGACCACCTTTCTTAAAGGTTTTATATATCCTGCTTGCTTCTTGGAGAGAGTTCATATTTCTAACGCCCAGGATGCTTGAATCTCGATACAGATGCCGTTTTAGAAGTGGCCTTGAAGTCCGCCTTAGTATTATTGTATTCCTCAGCAGTTGTTGCATTATCAAGGTTCGGAGAACAGTCAGATACCCCTCCTTCACAGCTTCCCACTACTACCCCACATCTGCAGGACGCTAAATCGCGGCCAACTGCCCCGAGGTCTAACTCAACGGACCATGGACCTCGCTCTATGCACCTCGCTCTATGCACCTCGCTCTATGCACCTTCTGCCTCGTCCATTAGTTTCATGACATCCTCTTCTTTGAATCGGTGCATTAACTTCAGAGCGGAAGTTGATGTCTCCTTAGTCTCGGCTTTGTCGATGTGGACCTAGAATATTAGCACTCAAGATCAAGGAGAACTCCCATGGGGACCCTACCACGGGAGTATCAAACTCGTAAACGGACTTCCACTTCTCTTGACCAGGGTCCATGACATTGATCTCGTGGTATGCAAATGGTCTCTTATTTCTTGCGATACGGAGAACTTGCCTTGCGGTATCACACAAGGAGCAATTCGCTCTGGTGAACAAGGTCAACCGACAGTCAAGAAGGCGAGATGAAGCACGGAACATGGCTTGATATTAGAACAGATTGGAGGAAGATGCTGCCCAGCGACCACAAGAGGAACGAGGGCAAGCATTCACCGCCTAAGGTCAAGCTTCTTTCTGCCGACGCTCGGGCCTATGACATACCGCCTTTGTTTTCCAGAACATTCGGGTTTCAACACTGGCACGGCACGGCGTTGCAGGCAGCTTTTACATACATCCTCTATATCTACTTCCGAACTCCCCTTCTTCGCCCCTCGGATATCCGTAGTCATGGCGAAGAAGTGCGTTCACAAGGGCTGCGGCAAGGCCTATGATGACGAGAACGAAGACTGCGTGTACCATCCCGGCCCGCCAGTCTTCCACGAAGGACAGAAGGGTGCACGGCAGCCCCAAACCTCTGCTCAATTGCTTGTATTGGACACTAACATCTTCGGCCAGGCTGGAAGTGCTGCAAACCTCGCGTCCTCACCTTTGACGAATTCCTAAACATCCCCCCCTGCACTACCGGAAATCATTCCGAAGTCGACGACACGCCCGTGCCAGAGCCGTCAGGGGATCCGGACATTGCCTCAAAGGTCCCGGAAAACACGCCCGTCTCATTGGGAAGCCTCGAGGCAGCTCTGCCAGCTCCTGTTCCGCGCCTGCCGACCTCACAAAACACGTCTCTCCGACCGTCACCATCGGTAACTCCCGCCCCGCCAGAATCAGAAGACGATGATCCGGCTTTAGCGATTGCAGTGGGCCAGACATGCAGGAGGAAATGCTGTGGTGAGACGTATAAAGGCGATTCGAGTCGAGAGGGTGAGAGGTGCGTGCACCATCCCGGAATACCCATCTTTCACGAGGGCTCAAAGGGGTGGTCTTGCTGCAAGAGACGCGTGCTCGAGTTCGACCAGTTCATGAATATCGAGGGCTGCAAGGCGAAGAACCACCATTTGTTCGTTGGTAGTGGGAAGAAGGCTGGGGAGGAGAAGCTGGATACTGTTCGGTATGTCATGCCCTTCAGCAATTACTGTACCCCGACTCACTGGTTACCTGCAGCCACGACTACTACCAAACAGGAACCTCAGTCATCGCCTCCCTCTACCTCAAGAAAATCGACAAACAAACGTCTACCGTCGCATTTACAGCAACACACGTCAACCTAGATCTACGGACCGCAGACAGCAAACGATACCAGACAGAAATGCCCTTGTTCGCGACCATCAACCCCGAGCAGAGCAAATACCGTATTCTGGGGACGAAGTTGGAGCTAACCCTGGTGAAGGCGGATGGTCGTGGTTGGCCTGTCCTTAGGGCCGACGATAGGCCCACGGGTGAGATGATACAGGTGGGACAGGCCGCGAGAGTGTGAATGTGAACATGAACATGATATCAGAAATAAGTAGAAAAACCCTTTCATAACTTCACATCAACATGCTCCATAAATGCAGTGCTCTTGGTTGTTCTTTTGATCCCGTTGGAGCGGGATTTGTAAAAGATTGTTTGCGGCTCTGGTCTGTGGAAGCATCAGCCTGCAAGCGGCTTGGAGGTAATGTTATTAGACATGATCCAGGTAGGAAAGGGCATCCTGTTGGTGCTTTCTCTGGTTCTAGAAATGGGTTAGGGCTATCTACATCCATCCAGTCAGTATTCTTTGGCGATTCTCAACTTCTACACAAGTGGCTGATGGAAAATGCTTCACTCTCACGACCACTCATCACAACCCCGTCATTCCTATCACATATTCATTCAGTTTTTGGTGATTAAGCTTACGTGGGCGGTGTCGAACGGCGTTAATTGGCCGGCTGGTTTCGACGTTTTAACAACTTTCCCATCCGCTCTTGTCCGGAGAGGCCGTCTTTCACTTTCACGACACCTATTTCCGCTCAGCTGTGCGATCTGGCGCGAGGCTGTTCGTCCGCGTTTGTTTTGGAAACACCTAGTCGGCTGAGCCCTGGCAACGCACACTGTTGCCATCCCTGATATTTGCTCATTCTTTCGCCACCTGCGTTCAACCTCACATAGTGGACCTAACCCCAAGAGCGACCACGGGCTCTTCTTCAGACACACGCAGTGGACCATAACGGTTTCATGTTCGCCTCGCCCGCTAGTGGTCACAACGGAACCATGGATGCCAATTCTGCTGACAGTGACAGCGGCACGATAACGCCCACTGACAGAAATCTCGGTTCACCAGCTTCTGATGATACTGTCAAGCCCAGAAAAGATTCAAGGAGCCCCCTGCTGTCCTTTTCAAAGAACAATGTTCGGACTAGCAGCTTGCCAATTCTCGATGTGGGCCGGCAGCGTTATTGGGAGCAAGCAGAGTTTTCCTCCAGCCCACAACTGTCTTTCACTCGTTCGGTACCAGACTTTGAGCCTGTCTTTGATAGATATTCTGCTTCTGAATATACGCATGAGGCGGCTGGACCCACGCATTCACCCTGTTCATCGATATCCAGCATCGGAGACTACAAGAGCATCCTCAGTCAAGCTTCGAACGCAGAGAGTGAAGCATACTACTCTTGTAAATCTACTGTCAGTGCCGAGGACGAAATGGGCGATCATATCACCGAGTTACGTTCATCCAAAGATCATCAACAGAACCCCCCTCTTCCTGGTCCGACGGCCTACAGGAGGCGTCTGGGTAGGACATCGTCGATGTCATCTTTGCCATTCATCTCATCTCCTCTTGGATTGCCAGACTCTGGGAATAGTTTTGGATATGGTGGAGCAGGCTTCGCAGGAGGGTCGAGCACACCGGCACTGGGGAATGGTTTTGGGGCAGTTGGGGACAGGAGGCCAGTTCCTGGAAGGTCAGATATTTGAATGCCCTGCAGTACTTTCCGAAGTATTGGAGCTGCTGACACGCACCCAAGTAGCAAAGAGCCTCACTCCAAGGGCCCTGTTTCTATCCACTCAGCAAGGCGCGACATGAACAACCTCGCATTCGAACCCCCCTCACCGCTTAATGCCCATATCGTCCAACCCCACACCAACCAGGCCCGCCAACCTACCGACCCGTTCATCGACACTGTTACACCTGACGTCAGCCTTTCCGCTCCATCCTACAGCGCGCGTCGTGCTCTCGCGGCCCATCAGCTCGGCCCGTCCCTAACACCACCTTTTCAATCTTTCCAACTAACCCACACCACCAACGCCCGTCCCACGCTTCCCATTCCCCCACCCCCGCTACCATGCATCTCCTCCAAGCTGACCCACACGCCCGCCGCGCGCGCCAAACTCGAGTCCCAGAAAACCGCGCGCGAAGCCTGGATCAAGCAAACAGCTGCTGAAATCGCAGATCTGGCAGGCGCGAAAGAATGTGCGGAGAGGAGATGGCGACTGACGAGGAGCGAGGGTGATAGGAAGGCATGGATTGAGGCGATGGAGAGGTTTAACCGGGGTACATGTTTGGAGACGAGACAGGAGGAGAGGAGGAATTTGTTTCTTGGAGAGAAGGGGATGACTGCGCTGAGGACGGGGGAGGGGAATGTAGTGGGGGATGGGTTTGCTGGGGCTGGTATGGTTGGTAGTGGTACTTATGATGGTGGTAATCAGGGCGGCGGAGTAGCGAATGGTGAAAGGAGGTTGTTGGGATACCGGATGGCGGTTATGGAAAGGGTTAGTGCGGAGGTGAAGAAGACTGAGGGTGAGGAGAGGGATGCTAGGGGTAAGTTTCCTGACCTACCCACCCACAAGAGGCCCCTGTTCTTAGCATCTAGTTTTTGATGGACGCATATATGACTGACTTCTAACAGAGCAAATAACGAGGATGACGGATCAGGAGAAAGGGGTTATGAGGCGCCAAACTATCTCGCGTATTGAGGCCACGACCGGTAGACTTTGGGGTCAGAAGCCTACCTAGTCAGTATTCGAGGAACTTAGCTTCCGCAGGAGGTCGGTTACTTGTTTTGACATGCTTGAATACCGGATTGACTAGCTAGCTAGCTGTTAGCTTGCAATTGAGAATGCTTTGCGCTGAGTATACATGTCTGCCTCAATATGGAGACTGTGGATTGTAGGAGAGGTAGATAAACGAAATACTCCGTTCTGCACTGCAATCTGGCCGTGTATCAACAGGTCACACATGGTCTAGGGTAATTACATCCCCTCTTACTCTTCGCTGTATTCCAATAGACTGTCAAGTGGACACAAATCCATGACCCCTTTTATACCTTAAGAATGTACCATCTGATCTTCCCGCTCGGGATGCCGAGAATTACAAATACACTAGCCTTCTACTTCCCCTGGTAGCAAGGATACAGAGACGCGGGAAAAACTCCAATCAATATGCAAAGAAACATCCCGCAAATCCTGAGAAAATCCCCCTACGCCGCCCCTCCTGGAATAAGTTTCTTCCCCTTAACACTCCTCCTCTCCATCCAAAAGCTTACCAGCACCGCCAACCCCGCCGTCGCAATACTAACCACAAACGCATTATCGATTGCCTTTGTATACGCCAACAAAACCCCATGCAACAACGCCTCTGGCACCACCTGCCTGACATGCGTCGCCCCGGCTCCGATCACGATTCGCGGATCGATGCCCGGGGCGAACTTGGGGATTTCTTTGGAGAGGCTGTTGACGAAGATATTTTGGGCGATGGAGATCGCGATGGCGCCTCCGAGCGAATTGAAGAACATGACGCACGCGTTGGCGGTTGGCATATCTTTGGTCGAGGCGACTACTTGGACAGCGATGAAGGGGATTTGGACGGAGGCGCCTGCGCCGACGCCCGCTAGGATCTGGTAACCGATCCAGACGCCGGCTGGGGATGAGAGCTTGAGAGTATAGATTAGGCCGGAGCCGATGGTGAAGATAGCAGAGCCGAACCACACTAGTTATTGTGTTAGGGTTGTGGCTACAAAAAGGGGTAGGCTTTGGGGAGTGGGAAGGGATTGGATGGGATGAGTTAGGTAAGAGCTTACTAAATGGAGCGTAAATGCCTATTGCTGTAATTGCACCACCAATGACGAGGGAAGAACATGTGATGGAGACGAGATAGGCAATGGTGCGGATCCCGGATTGTTCAGCCGTAGTTCCTTTGCTAGCCTGGAAGTAGAAGGGGAGATAGAAGATGTGACTAGTGTTGGGGTTAGCATCGGTCTCCGGAGATGTAAAATGAATTTGAGCGCGGTAAGTTTGATTATGGAGAATGGAGGAAAGCAATACGCGGCATAAATCATGACTAGAAAACTTATCCTTTCGTTTGTCTCTTCGAATCTAGGAACAGGGTCGAGGGATTACATGACCTCCTGATGAAGATCCGCAGAATGCTGTAATATATCGGAAAGAGGTCATTGCAGAGAGCATACACCATGAAGTAAGGGCCCGAGGAAAGCAGATGACAGATACAAACAGAAAAGGAGAGATAGAAGTGGAGGGTGTGATCTAGAACAAGGCTGAAATATACGTACGTATAAAGTCCCATCGACAACAACGCAGAAAACAAACAGCTTATCAAAATGGTCCGCTGCTTGAATACTCTCAGTGGGATAGTTGCACGCTCCTTAGAATGGATCTGGATCCCAATGAAGACTGAAATAATTAATCCGAAACCAAGCAGACATCCCCAGACTTTTGAATCCCCCCAGGGATATGTTTGACCGCCCCATTGGAGTGCCAGGAGGAGGGATACGATGGCACAGATGAGGAAGAGAGCCCCTAGTAAGTCAACTTCTTTGATTCGGGATCGGAAGGGAAGGTGACTATATTGGCGTTCAGGGTTGGCAAAGAAGAAAAACACGACTGCGAGGGAGACTGCGCCGAATGGGAGATTTATCCAGAAGCACCACCGCCTGCGATCGTTAGCCTACATTTAAACAGAATGCATGCTGCTGTTTTACCATGATACTTTGTCAGTCAATGCGCCACCTAGAATCGGACCCACGACGCTTGCAATACCAAACATACTTGACAGTGCGGCGATGTATATAGGACGTTTCGACAAGCGTACAGAGTAGCCGATGATAGTCATGCCCCCAGAAAACAGAGCTGCAGCGCCTGCACCAGCGACTGCTCGTCCAATGATGAACATTGGCGAACTAGTCGCAGCAGCGCAAATAATAGAACCAACTTCGAACAGCAGGAGTGCGAAGAGGTAGGTGTATTTCACGTCGAAGAATGTGTATATTCTCCCGAACGAGGGCTGTAGCGAACACGTAGTCAAGAGGTATGAGGATCCATACCATCCTACATCATCGAGACTGTTGAAAACTGTCGTTATCTTGGGAATCGCGGTCGCAATGATTGTCTATCTTGTGATGAGTAAGAGTAATTGGAAGAGTAGATGGCTAGCTTACATTGTCTAGAGCAATCACGAAAGTTGTAAGACACAAACCCAGTGATAATATTCCAAGCTTGTAGCCACTCAGGTATCTTGCGTCATCGCCTTCTTCGGTGGGCTCAGCATCATTATCCTCAGGTATCTTCTCTTCATCAACGTCTTTAGCATCTTTTCCATCATCATTGCCTCCTATATCTTGGTCTTTCGAATCGAAATGTGCATGACTTCCTTCCCTGGACAATTCTGTGTTTGGCCTGGCGATGGCTTCCGACTGCTCAAGAGTGGCTGCATATGCACCCTCTTTGACGGGAGTGGCGTTCTGTGAACGGGGTGTTGTCTCCTCAGCTTTCTTTTCAAAGTCCACCGATTCTCCTAAGTCGGTGTTGTCTGTCGTTGACGTCTCCGTCTCGGCCGAACGACCGTTGGCGTTGGGAACCGGGTTCTGCATGAATCTCATTAGTCGAGTCCAGCCGCCAGACGGGACTTTCCGCGGCGCGGGAGAGTGCCTTAGAGGATAGGTTGAAAGGGAACTTCCGTGTCAGCTGTTCCACAAAATTGGGTACGTTGGCACACAACAAATGACTGTCGTTCTTCCTCAACTTGCGAATGCTTTTGAGGTTGCCAACATTGAATGCGAAAAAGACTCGTAGAAAAAGGCGGAGATGAGGCGAATTTCCTTCTTGAACGCACTCGTTCTCTGACCTCCTAAAAACTGCTTTAACCGAGTCGCCGACCGGAACCACGCTCTCCCGTGGGCTCAGGTGAATGAACCCAGATTGCTTCCGCCAATGAGATCACATCACGACCACTCCCTTGGTGACCCTCGTCTCCATCGCTTCGAGATTTGTTGAAGGTCTCTGTTTCCTTTGATCAAGACTTTTTGGGATTTTTGATGTTTTACATTGCTTTTTCTTCGTCCATAGGAAAAGACTATGGTATTCAGTTATTGTGGTTTGTTTCTTCCCTCGGCCGCCATTTAAAAATATCATCGACCGCCCACAAGAAGTGGCAAAGTCGAAACCTCCACAATCAATTCCCATGACCTCGGCTAGACTAACCCTTGTTCCAGATGAGGCTGTTGGCGGGCGATTTCCGGGGTCCAGTATCTGCTGCATGTGGCATTTGGACCTGAAGAAGCACCTGACAATCGTAGCGTTCCTTTCCTTTGGGCTCTGCGGAGGGCTGACTTCCTTGCCATCGTCGGATTCGGAATCAGAGGCTTGCCGAGCTGGGTGAGATCTCCTGATGAAGTCCATCACCATGGTAGCAGACTACGCAATTTCTTCTGTCCTGGTTTTCGCGGAGCCGGCTGGGTGGTCAGACTTTCAGCTTTCATGATCGGTGAATACGGTGTACGGTCAGTGTGGCGACGGAGGAAAGCATTTGCGAGAGCTCTAACCCCTCAAATTGATATCACGTGCTAGCTATGGATGTCCTGTTAAGGCAGGTGCGGTTCCGGGCGCGGGTACATTAACGCAACGGGCCGACGGATGCTAGTTGGTACGACACCTCACTGAGACTTTGAGTTCAGTGATATATTTCTTAAAGCATGCGATCTATTTGAATTCTTGGAGGTGAAGGAAAACATTAGAAAGGCTGAGCCCAAAAAGTAGAAACGGGGAAAGCAGAAAAGAAACCCTGAGACCTCAAACATCATTCCCGCATCAATTTCCAAACCAATAAATGCCAACAAGCCGACCCCTCTCCGTACCGAACATGCTGAATTCGGACTTCGAGCGTCTGCTTCTCGCCCGAAGCATCTCACTTGGTTTTTGTTAGCCTCGTATCCGAAATCTCGTGATTTCGCGAAGAATGGCGCCTACCTTCTTAGGGCCCGGACATCCAGCACAGGAATACTCAAGTTTGACATCTGTCAAAATCTTTCCTTCTTCGCCCCGTGGACACTTCTTCTGTTTCAGCTGGCCACGTGTGCAGAATGATTGGAAGACCATCTCGGTATGGCCGCAGCGGTGAGTGTAAGCGTGGTAATAGCACATTTGGAAAGATTCTTCGACTCAAGAACGTGGATGTTGAGATTATATGGATGAAGAGGTGGCATAAGAAGCTCGTAGTGGAACGAAATGAACGGTCGCTATGACCACTGGATGTTGTCCATAAAGCGTTGGTCAGAGGGAGTGAGAAGTAGCTGTACCTGCGTTTGCTTCACCAAAGTGTGAACTCGGGATCGGACCTGCCAATGTTAGGGGCTGGATGTGATAGTGCAGGCGCATGCTTGCCCACTGTTTTTAAATGTTGTAGCGAACTAAAGCGCTTCTCTAAGTGAGTGGTGTCGTAAACGCAATATGGCTTGCAAGCAAAGAGTGATTTGTAGAGTCAATGATAGGAAGATAACGAAAGAGACAGTGTGCACAATGAGGTGTTCGTGTGATGGAAGAGACATCCTCTGTTTCCGTGTCCTTTATATATTCTCTCGTTCACCCATTAGAGGATTGAGGGATCTCATGTTACAACGAGTTTGCAGGTTTGATTCTTACGGGAAACAGAGCAATTGCAACCATAATCCTCCACATTGGAGCTTGCGTTACTGCCACCATGGAAACATGCTGAAGGAAATTAGCCAAACAAGACAACTGAAGCCTGTATCCATAATACGACCGGATCCAGTAACGAGGGAGGACGACTCCAATTTGCTCCCGAAGCCGCATCGTGAGTTTCCTTCAGGTGAAGAAATCCTACGGTTGGCGCAACATCCCTCTCACAAACTCCGCCGGGAACGTGCCTAGAGTGATACACAATGCGGCTCATACATGGGGACTTTAAGTAGCGCAATCGCGTGGCAGCTCAGTAAAATGCAGGTAGGAGTAATCATCAAGCTCAAAAATGAGATGAGAAGATACGTAAGAGATAACCTTGAGCGACGCAAAGGACTTCTGGGTTAAAACTTTGTGATGTTTGTTGGGATTTAGTCTCACAATGCCATTGTCTCTCCACTTTTGCTAATAGAAGACGTCAAGTGTAAGGCACCCTGCGTGAACGGCTGACCGCGTTACACAGGGGAGGCAGCAAGCGAACACCAGAGTGGACTCTATGACAATGTACTTCCCGTATGTTGCACAAAGTAAATCAACGCTTGCAGGAGGTTTGGCAAACTGAGGGAGGGGCTATCGCCGATGGGTTGTAGTTCAGGATGGAATGGAGGCAACTTGCGTTTACTCACTATCATCTTGATCCACCCGAAGGATGGGGTAATGCTTTCTGTCGGTACTACGGAGCTTTTTCCACAGATGCTGCTGCAGACAGCAGGGCTGACTGCTAGATCTGCGATTACTGACGGCACCCGGATGCGCGGTCGCTCAGTTTGTAAAGCCAAAGATCGAATATGAATGGGCAGTGGAACGCTGTTCCTGCACCTCTGGCCGCAATGCAGCGATACGAAGGATTTACTAGATTTTTCAGTAAACATGGTGTTGAAGACTGCGAGATTAAGGAGCGAAACCAGCTGGCAAGCCAACATTACAGAATATTCGACCAATCACAGGGCACCTACACCGCCAATTGAGGTGACGGGACTGTCGATGCGAACCACTGCAGATTTGCTTCAGTAGTGGGATTGGAAATGCAGGACGATGGATCCAAGGACTTCGTGTTTGACACGTCCTGTCAGCCTGCCTGCGCCAGCAATGGGTCCAGCTTTCTGAAGTCTGGCGTGTGGTGGCTGTCAGGGCACCGTGGTCGAGTTCGCGGTGGAAAGCGTTCCTTTGGAAGAAGAAAACATGGGATAATGCACCCCGCCGAGCCAATGCATTGCTGGCAACGGAGATGCGGTTGATATGTGCCGTCCTTCTGATTGCTAAGATGCGCGCTGGCAACTTCAAGCTGCTGCGATGTCGCTGATGTGTTGTCCTTGCCAACGCCGTCGATCCCCAACCATAATATGGCCCTTCTAGACGCCTCATTTCGAACCATTAACGGGACGAGAGGTCATGCTGTCTGCATAAGACATGTCTGGTTTAGCGGTCCTTTGACACGTAGCTCGCCTGCTGCATATTGACGCAGGCCAGCTGCACCTCCGTTCCCAGTCCGCCGGCAATAGATTGTGTGGGAGTGGGATAATAGTAGCGCCGAGTTCGTCCTGCGCAGGTCTGCTCTTTTCCTCTTGTGCTGTCGCAGTCATCACTGCCGCTGCTGCTCAATTGCTCTTGTGTGCGCGCCGCGGGTTGCGCTCTTCGCTCGTTTTCTCAACACCAAGCCGATAGTGACGCGAGACGAGAAAGCACCAACCCAGCGATCCAACAGAGCGCGCGTTCAAATACCAGCCCTCGTGCGCAAAGGCTAAACCCTAAAGCCTGGTTCTGTGTGCCGAGACAGAGGCTTCCTCGGCCTAAACAGCCTTCAGTCTGGTGCACTGACCGTCCACTCACCGCCTGCAAACGTCACGGCTTTTAACATCGTCTCAGGACCTCTCGCGGTCAACACAGAGGCTGGAGGAGGTCGCAATGCGCTGTCTGGAGCCTCAGAATCCGACCTCCCAGCCACCCTGCGCCGTCCGCCTCATGACTGACGTTTGCTAGCCTGCCGTGAGAAGGTATCCGAGTCGCCTCATCTGCCAGGCGCTTCCATTGGCCCAGGTGCACCTCCAGCTGTCGAATGGGAGGACCGCTGCCGACTTAGCAGCAACAATTGTCTTGCCTTGACCGTTTTGAGGTAATTCGAGCTTCTGTAGGCCCAACAGGCTCCATCTGGGCTTTCTTGAGTTCTTGCGCCTCATGACTGACATTTGGCATAGATATTCCCCGATTGGATCTGGCGTTGAACAATCACTCCCTCTTTCGGCCCTGTAGGATATAACATCTCTTTAAACTTCGACATTTCCCTTCACTTGTACATTGTACCATTTTCACTTCCATCATCTGCACTAATTCAACAAATCTCCGCGCGGCGCCTGGGACACCCATCACACCCCATCTCGTCGAATAATATCCCGTCAGCCGGGGCCTGTCACGGGAAGCACCATTCACTCCGTGAACTTCTGCGCACGGCCGTCGGCTGTCGAAACTATCAACTGGCGGCTACTTGTGGCTAGGTTTCAAGAGCTCATCTCTTCGGCGGGACATTATTTAAAGACATCACTGGCCAGCCCGTATCGGGTTGTACTGTGTCTGGATTCGAGATCCAGAGTGCAGTGTTAACTATTGTGGATGGTGAGTGGCCCGGTTCGACTTGCGACTCCCAATTGCTCTGGCAACCTACCTTGTCCTCATGCTGTAAGGCCTGGTGCTGGTCGCAGCTCATCCTGAGCAGTGGAGGAGAGAAAGGTGCTCTCATTCGTTTGCAGAGAGTTATCTATCTCCCAATCTGTTCACCTCGTCTGCTCCTGTGAGCCTCGGCTTAGAAGCCGCACCCAAACTCATTCCCATCGCTCCTCCCTTCAACTTTCACCCTTTTTCATCCGCCGGTTCTTCTTAAATCCCGACACAACTGACGGATGGAAATAGCAGCCCAGCGATGGCATCTTTGGACTTCGACCAGAAATTCTTAGGTCGAATAGCCAAACAGACAGCCGCTGCCAGCCCGCTCCTCTCAGACTCGCTCTATCAAATCCTCGGCCTCTCAGTCCTGTTGGCACGGAGGCTTGTCCGAGCTCGAAAGCTTAGGAAGTTAGATACATCTCGAGACACGCCATCTCTCTCAGCCTACCAACACATTCTATGGCTAGCTCGTGAAGGACTCTCAATATTGGAGCTCTACGTCCTTCCCTATGCCCAAGACAATCAGCATGGCCCAGAATGCAGGGTGCTCAGCGTCAAGTTACGGGCCAGCTTCTATCACATCTTCTGCTTGTTTCATAATCAACCGCCCATCACCGCGACAAACATGCCAACGACTGACCCTCGAACTGCAAGCGCACCTCCTGTGCCGCTTTCACCGCGTTCGGGTAACGGACAGACCCGGAAGATTGAAGCAGGGTCGAGCCTCTCGCCCTCTTCAAAGCGCACTGGAAAACAGCCTATGCTGCGCGAGCCGATAGACTCCATCACGTCTGAGACATCCTTTCTCACCAATCCGTACGCCGCGGGTGGCCCGGTTGCAACCCCATCACCAGGACCACCAAATGCGCCCCCAGGCCTTAATCCAGTGCCGATACCCCAACCCTCGTCCTTCATCCTTCCCCCCCTCAATTTTGTTCCACTCGCTGGCGGCTACTTCACAACAGCTACGGCATACGCAACAGCCTTTCTTCCTGGCTCACACCCACTTCGTCTCTCCGTCGCTCTCGAACACAGCGCTTTCCTCTGGGACTGCCTTCACGATCAGGAGGGCTCCCGACGTATGGCTAGACGCGCTATTAAAGATGTTTACCGCGCACAGGAAGCAATGGATGACACCGAATTTGAAGACGCTGCAGAGCTTGTTGGCATTTTGGGCCGGATGATGAAGCGCAAAAGTTGGGAAGGCACGCCACGCGTTCCTGGATCTGTAGGAAGCCCGGCGCCAGTCGGTCCGAGTGGTGTCCAAGCTGGTGGTCGTGGCAGCGAGGAAGTCAATGGGCTGCCTATGGCGCCTATTCCGCCCTTGGCGCCTATTCCACCCATTGCGCCCCTCGCGCCAGCCCAGCAGAATCCGTCGCAAACAAGAAGGCGAGCCGCCGAAGTTCCTCCTATTACGGCTTCACTAGCTCAGGTGCAGGGAAGAAGCGGAGAGAGGAGTCGATCGAATTCTGGAAGCAAATCTGGTCGCGCAAACGCGATCGCTGGAGGAAGCATTGAGAACACACCAAGACAAGAGACACAGCGGTTAGCTGGTGGAGGAAGTCAAGACACAACGCCACGTGCGAAACATCCCAGCATGGAGAGCGGTGGTAGTACGACGCCAAGAGCTCCCCAGAGTGTTAGTGGGCGCTCTCCCGCTACACCCTCCACTGTCCGAACTATTCAACAATATCCAGGCAGTGGTGGTTCTAATAAAGGGAAGTCACCTGTAGTCGGAAACTCAACGCCCATTGAGCCTAGCGCAGCAGCGACTCTTGCTTCTGATGCTGTCCGAACCTCACCTATTCTCCGCCGCTCTCCTCCACAATCATCACCCACACAGGAGAGCATGTACGCAACGCAGCGATGACTCCCAGAGACGGGGCACGGAAAGGCGCGCAAGATGGAGGTTCAATGGACAATACCTGACTACGAAGCAGATGTTGTTCTCTTGCCGTCTACCCGGTCCCCGTCTGTCTCGACGCAAAATCGATCTTCTGGTGTCTCAACGCAAAAGCGAACTTCTGGGTAAGGCACCTCCCCCCTCAGCTTGTCGCCTTGCGGACAGATACCGTACAATTCTCCTCGCCCAAGCATAATATTCGCGCCCCACTCCTGTACTACCCATAAGTCACACAACCCAAGGATGTCTCAACTCCCCTCCCAACATCCTCTGTAGCATATCGGCGTTCACTTGGAGCACCACAGTTTTGTTCATACTTTTCGTTCCCGTCAGTTTTATGGTTTTGGAATACTTCTGCATTGGCATACGGGATACCAAAGGCCTTTCCAACTACCAGAAAGCCTTCTGCATAATCACTTTTCGTATTTTTGGAACCCAAAAACGGGTGGCAATTTTCGGGCTTTCGACTTTGTTCGTTGTTGGATGAATTGGATCCGGAATGGACTATTGGCTTTCTTGGTTTGCGATACCAACCATTTTGGATTTTGTTGAGCCGTCTTTGGGCTCGGCGTAACTTTGCTAGATATCCGGATTCCTTGGTGAGATTCAATGAAAACATATCTCGGACTGCAATGTATTGGCCTGCCACTTTGGATGTGTCGTTCTCAAAAACCTTTTTGGCCTCCGAGTTCACCCCTCGATCTGCGCGTCCCCACGCCTTTCTATCTTACACGAAGATGTCTGTGCTCAGCGTGCGTGAAATGACATTCTAACAAATAAACTATCTGTTGCGTCGCCAAAAGGTCAACCCTTCTAGCTAGCACAGCAGAAGGATATATATAGGCGGATAGTTGTATGCGACACTATCAACAGGCATAATGCTGTTCAATGGTAAGCAAGCTAACCATCATACCTCTGGATTTTCGGAGAGAAAATAAGTGCTCTATTCAACAAATCCGCCTTTGTGATCACTGGTAGCACTACACGTAACTGGATAGAGGACACTCTGTACCTATTCCTATGTTACAACCTGGTATGTCCCGTTCCGGTATTCGCTAAGATCTTTTAAATTGATCTGGCTGCAGTTGCTTGAAAACGCCGTGAAAATGCTCATTTGAAAATCCCCACCAACGCCATGCACTTCCTCACCGCCGCAATGAAGGGCCTAATCCAATACAATCCCCTATACACCTCCCCCTAGAAAAATTTTTTTTTTTTTAAAGAAAAAAAGCTGCACCCCGAATGGCGACGATGCTTGACTTCAGCTTCAGGCTGCCTTACTGTTACTGTTCTCAAGCTTCGTTTTCTTAAATGGTAGGTCTGGGACCTTGAAGCCGGCACTATCAACCTTTGGAGTCCCATTTGATCCGCCAAGCTGGGTGAAAGTACCGCCCTTGAACCAGCGGTCGTCGTCGGCCTTGCGTTTCCGATTCATCTCTTCCCGAACCTTGGGATCGACTAACTCGAGGCCTTGCACAGGCGTGAATGCAATAGAACTCGTTCCCGCAGCCGTCGGAATACCCACACCGCCCGTCCGCAGTCCTTGAGCGCGAAGAGACGTCGCGGTTCCGCCCAAACCAGTTGCCGCGCCGTTGAGCGTAGTTGTAGTTCCGCCGCCCCATCCAGGGTTCTTTTTGGACAATTTAGCGCGCGTGCGCTGATCGATTTGCTGTGCGCGAAGGCGACCTGTGTCTTGGGCGCCAATCATTCCGAGGCCCTGGGTTGAGTCTCCCGTGCCATAGCCTACCTCCTTCTCTTCCTTGCCGAACGCCATTCTATTCTGGGCTTTGCGGATCTCGGTCATGGCGGTTGCTTCCTTGGCTTTACGTGCTCGCCGTCCGCCGCGTTTTCGTGACGGCTTGTCGTCCGGGGCTGGTAAAGCACGTGCACCCCTGTTTGGTGGTGGCTCGGTGAGTTTGTCAAGACGTCGCTCGCAGTCCTCTCTGAATTGCCGACCCATTGATCCGTCCGGCGACTGATGGACTCGGTCGACCCTGGCGGCAAGAATGACCTTTGCGGAGACGATGCGCAAGGCCTGCGTCTTGAGATCTTGTCTGATGCCTTGGATGAGTGGACTGTAGTACAGGAAGCCTTGATGCCGTATTCCAACATTTGTAGCGAATCCAGTTCCACTCGCTTTATTAGATCCCAGGGGAGCAATATTGCAAGCTGGGGTCTTCGCAAGACCAGTGAGGCCACCGGCGAAGTTGAGAAGTTGGGCAGCTGTCAAAGAGCCGATGAGAATAGTGAGATTTGGCGCGAAGACGCTCATTCGCGACTGAACATAATCGGTAAGAATTGTCTTAGCTTTATCAAGCTGGAGCATCATAGAGCATGCGTTGAGGATAAGTTCAAGTTCAGCGTCGTTGAGATCCCGTCCTTCTGCACGGGTAGCCTCGACGGTGAGGACCATGAGCTGTGGGCCGTCTAAGATTGTCCTGAGCGGGACGCCAACTAGGTTGTCTTCGCTTTGCGAGATAGTCTTGATGTCGTCCAGCGGTCCATTCTTTATGATGGCAACTGTCTTTGCATAGTCGACCGGATTCTTGATAAGGTCCTCAAGGTAAGGAAACCGTATTGAGTAATGATCGCGAATAAATTTGTGAAGCGCTGCAATCTCGCCGTCAATCGAAGTCGACAGTGTGTTTGCCTGCGTCAAAAGCTGGTACTCCGGGTTCTCTTCAATTGACTCGCCGTCCTGCACAATGTCCATTTTGTCTTTGCACCGCTCGATTTCGTCCAAGACGGGTCGTAGTTTCAAAAGCAAGCTCGATGCGCCACGAATATCAAATGGGCCCTTCTGTTTCTTCCGTTGCTGCTCGGCGTATTGCGCTTCCTCGTCCACATCCATGTGGTCTTCATCGCTCGAAGAACCGCCCTGGGAGTCCTTCTCCAGCTGTTCTAAGTCATCCTTGGTATCGTCGAGGCCGTCGCCCTCAGATCCGGAGTCCTCGAAGTCAGCGAGGAGTTCCTGCTCGAGCGTGGCCATGGTTTGGATAGTTGATACTTCACTCTGCGTGTTAGAGGGTGCGGCCGGAAGTATCCGGGCGGCGGAGGAGCAAAAGTCGTATTATATGCTGACCTGCTACACTTCCCGGGTAAAGGACTTAGCAGACCGGGTGCGAAGGGTAAGTGGCGGTGTTGGCGATGTAGTGGGCGAGGTGAAGGCAGCTGTGAGTTGACGTGAAGGTCTTGGCGTAGCAAAAATTTCACGTGATTGCCGGTTCTGCCACCTCTCACCGCTGACGCGAAATTCATCCCTAGGAGCTTGTCACCTGCGTCAACAAACAACCTCACATTTTTCCCCCCAGAGGCCGCTCCAGGCTCTTTACGACAACCTGTAGCTTATAGGCTATAACGTGATTCCTGCTAGCCCTACACTCCCGCTTCCATCATGGAAAGTTCACGAGGCCCGCCCCGGGTTAAGAACAAGGCTGCCGCGGACATTCAAATCAGCGCAGAGCAGCTTCTCCGAGAAGCCGTTGACCGTCAAGATGAGAAAGTTAAGGCGCCGACGCAGAGGTTCGCCGACCTAGAGGAACTTCATGAGTTCCAAGGCAGAAAGAGGAAGGAGTTTGAAGACTATGTCCGAAGGAATCGGATTAACATGAACAATTGGATGAAATACGCCCAATGGGAACTCGAGCAAAAAGAGTTTCGAAGAGCGCGATCGGTGTTTGAGCGAGCCCTAGACGTTGACAGCACAGCGGTTGTGCTATGGATTCGCTACATTGAGGCGGAAATGAAATCACGAAATGTTAATCATGCGCGGAATCTGATGGACCGAGCCGTTGCGATACTTCCACGAGTCGATAAGCTATGGTACAAATACGTGTACATGGAAGAAACCCTCGGGAATCTTGACGGCGTTCGCATAGTCTTCGAACGATGGATGCAGTGGGAACCAGAAGAAGCTGCATGGTCTGCATATATCAAGTTTGAGAAGCGGTACAGCGAATTGGAGAAAGCAAGGGCCATATTCGAACGATTCACAATTGTGCACCCGGAACCAAAGAATTGGATTAAGTGGGCAAAATTTGAGGAAGAGAATGGCACCAGCGATCTAGTTCGAGATGTCTTCGGAACCGCTATCGAAACACTTGGGGATCACTTCATGGATGAAAAGCTATTTATGGCGTACGCCAGATTTGAAGCAAGGCTCAAGGAAATCGAACGGGCGAGGGCGATCTACAAGTTCGCTCTGGATCGCATGCCACGATCGAAATCAGTCAAACTCCATGAAGCCTTCACCCAGTTCGAGAAGCAATACGGTGACCGGGACGGAATCGAGGATGTTATTCTATCTAAACGAAGGGTGCACTACGAGGAACAGGTCAAGGAGAATCCCAAAAATTACGACGCTTGGATTGACTTTGCGCGCCTAGAGGAGGCTTCTGGAAATACTGATCGGGTTCGCGATGTTTACGAGAGGGCCATCGCGCAAATTCCCCCAACCCAAGAGAAACGACATTGGAGACGCTACATCTACCTATGGCTGTTCTACGCATTATATGAAGAGACCACAACTAGGGACATCGAGAGGACTAGACAGATCTACCAAGAATGTCTACGGCTCCTCCCGCACAAACGATTCACCTTCGCAAAAGTGTGGTTAATGGCAGCGCAGTTCGAGCTCCGACAAGGCCAATTAACCGATGCACGGAAAACTCTAGGGCGATCGATAGGAATGTGTCCAAAAGACAAACTCTTTAGAGGCTATATTGAGCTCGAGATGAAACTATTTGAGTTTGGTCGCTGCCGTCAGCTCTACGAAAAGTATATTGAATGGAATCCAGCCAACTCTCAAGCCTGGATTAAGTTTGCAGAACTCGAGCGTGGTCTAGATGACTTAATCAGGGCTCGCTCTATCTTCGAGTTGGCTGTCGATGAGCCGCAGCTCGACATGCCGGAGTTATTGTGGAAAGCGTATATTGACTTCGAAGAAGAGGAGGGAGAGTACGAGAGGACCCGGCAACTCTATGAAAGGCTTCTCAAGAAGACAGATCATGTCAAGGTTTGGATCAGTTGGGCTCAATTTGAAATTGGTGCTCCAGATGGCGAGGGAGATGTTGGTGATGAGGATAGACCAGTGAGTGAAGAGGCAAAAGCCCGAGCGAGAAAGGTCTTCGAGAGAGCACATAGCAGGATGAAGGAAAAGGAGCTGAAGGAAGAAGTAAGTTTCCTTATCTCCACTGCGCATACATGCAATCTAACATCGCAAAGAGAGTGGCGTTACTCAATGCATGGAAATCCTTCGAGACAGCACATGGATCTTCTTCGGATATCGAAAAAGTGGACAAGCAAATGCCCCGGAAGGTCAAGAAGCGGAGGAAGCTGGACGACGATTCGTTCGAAGAGTACATGGATTATGTGTTTCCAGCAGACGACGAGAGCGCGGCGAAATTCGCCAGTTTTCTGGCGAATGTGCACAAGTGGAAGGCAGATCAAAATGGTGGCGGTTCATGAAAGTATGTCAAGAGGACTATCGTCCGCCCGTCCTGGTAGCGAAGCTAGAAAACCCCGCATGGCGCCGTATCTCCATAGGCGACCTCGTGCATGCGGTATCTGGTTGTCATTGCACCGCAGCCACATTAGCCCTCCTTATCCGTCTGGGCTAGCTGCACAGATAGAGAAAATGGATCGGAATGGAATGAATGTGCAACCAAGGCAGAAACTTGCAGATCAAGCGCCGGTTGATTGTGAAATTCTTGGGTAATAGCTAAAGAAAGACACGACAGCACATCACATCACACTCCCCCTCCAGCGTGGTTGACGTGGGATGGCAGAGAGGGACAATAATTGAGCCTGTGGGATTGTCAGCAACTTTCAACCTCGAGTCAGCACACATCTGGCGTCAGGAGCGTGTGGTCGGAACGTATTTTCTTGTCTGCGATTTGTTTCTCCGGGCGTGCCGATTCCTATTCGTTGCATTTCGGGACATACGCCATGTTACGCTAACGTTAAACGCCTCGTAGTAAGCAGGGGAGGGATGTGGCACACACATAGACCTCACCTCCAGCGTGATCTTCAGGAGTTCCTTATCCGCTAGCCATGGCCGGTAACATGATGGTTCGGCCAAACTCTCATCCGGGCGAAGAAGAATCTCACTGGATGTTAGACAGTCGCGGAAGCGGCACGACAGCTGCCTCATCGTACTTTTTCTGTCCTCCCGTGGGATTTACACAACCAAGGCTGTCGCAGATCAATGTGTGTATGCAGTCCCTTCTTCTCTGTACCGTTCGGTCGGTACCGGCTGCGGCCACAGGCCGCTGTCCAGGAACTTTGGGCAGTTCGATGTCGTAATTGGCGGGAGTCTTGCGATAACAGCACATGGCCGCGAGATATAAACGATATAAATGCCACAAACGCTGTCGCACCCCGAGTCACTGCAGCCAACTACTTCATCCTAACCCTTAACCCTTCTCCTCCGGTCTCACCGCTACGTTGCTCCTCTCTCTTCACCGAGCATTTTCACCGGAAAGGCTAGAAGAGAGCATTCGGGCTGGTGGGGCAGGCCTGAGCTGCAGGCCGTCCCAAGCAAGGCGGGGCATGTCTGCCCGATTTCTGTCATACAAGAAAAAGGAAGACGACGTTATCTACCTTCAAGACCCTTATACAGATTCAAAGACAGACTTCGACTTTTTGTATCCGCCGTTCTTCTTAACCGCCCGCTCAATTAGACTGCCGTCCGAAGTCAAACCATAGCCCATCATCTGTGCCGAAGCAGCATGACCAAACCGAAAGTTCTACTGCTGGGAGAAATCGAACAGTAAGTCAAGAAGTCATTTCGATTACTCTCAAGAATCAAGTTGTCGAGTGTGCACTCCGATACCGGAATGTGGAATCGGTTTTCCTGTCTATCAGTCTTCATCCTCTTGTTGAGCTCGCTTCTTCCAACCACTATTCGTGTTCGGCGCTATATGCCTGAATCCCAGTCTCTTACCAGATCTCCGATTGCAGCGCACACGACTCATGGAATTCGCTTTCTACTCTCGCCGAATTGATCATTCCCAATGCCCGAAGCCGCAATGAATTTCTGGAGGAGTGCAAGAGCGGACAATTAGATGGGGTATTGGTCGTATATCGGACATTTGCCAGCGTGGACATCACCGGGAGGTTCGATAAGGAGCTGGTTCAGCTTTTGCCAAAGAGCTTGAAGTTCATATGCCATAATGGTAAGTTCAGAGAGAAGCTCGGTTTCTCTTTTTCCTTTGCCGAGTCTAGTTCCGTCCTGCAATGCATAAGTCGCGTAACCAAAAGCTGCAGCCGCTCGTTTTGGGAGATGAACCTGCATGGCTGTCAGAGAATCTGATTAAGAATTTCAGTTTCGGGATTCGGAGCCGCATATGGGGAATAAAAGCCCAGGCATGGTTTTGCACAGGACGAAGGAAAAGTGGCACATCGAAGAAGCATGAACGGACTCAATTCCGAACCTAAGGCGTTAACACGTGGCTGCCGACGATCTGCTAGCCTCTTAGGTCTCAAAACTCTGTTGGGCCTATCAGGTCCTCCGCTGACGCGAGAGCACGCCATGTTGTGCCAGACTGAGAGAGCCATGCAGGAGCATCGTCTGCTGTGCTGCACTCACCACAATTGTTCTCGCCGCGGACTTCAGCACCACAGTGCGATTCGAAGCTAGAACATGAAAATGTACGTCTTTGACTGCGAGATCTTACCGTTGTTGCAAACTCCGGGCTGCGTTCTCAGAGCCACGGCAGCGATACACGTGGAGATGTTTCTGCTTCAACTTTCACTGTCGGACATTTACTGGAGCACATACCAGTTTGCCCGGCCTTCGTGCCACTTTTTCTTCTTTCTGGAGCCGCGCTCCATGGGCAGGACGGCTTTCTAAATAACATCAGCGACCGCTCAAGAGGCTCACCATGACCTATCGCAGGGGCCGGATACGACCAAGTAGACGTACATGTCTGCACAGACCGAGGCGTCAAGGTATCAAATACACCGAATGCGGTAGACGACTCTACGGCCGACGTGAATATGTTCCTAATGCTAGGCGCGCTTCGAGGTTTCAATACATCCATGACAGCACTGCGAGAGGGAAAGTGGAGGGGTCACCCTCCTCCACCCCTGGGTCACGATCCGGAAGGCAAGACGCTTGGGATTCTCGGAATGGGGGGGATTGGAAGGAATCTTAAGAAGAAAGCTGAGGCGTTTTCTATGAGGGTTGTTTATCATAACCGCAAAAAGCTGCCAGATGAGCTAGCCGGCGGAGCGGAATACGTGAGCTTCGAAGAGCTACTCAGAATCAGCGATGTCATCAGCTTGAATCTTCCCCTAAATGTGAGTGTTTCACTTACCTGTAGATGACTGACTTTCCGGATGTTTCCTTGTCCCACCGCTTATTAACTTCCTAAGTCTCCACTAAGCAATCATCTCCTAAAGCCCATCCTCTCCAAACTAACCTAACCCCCAGAACCATACCCGCCACAAAATCTCCTCCAGCGAATTCGCCATGATGAAGAAGGGCGTCGTAATCGTTAACACAGCACGCGGCGCCGTCATTGACGAAGCCGCACTAGTGCAGGCTCTAGACAGTGGACACGTCGCATCAGTCGGCCTGGATGTGTATGAAGACGAGCCGAAGATACATCCGGGACTAGTCGCCAACCCGCATGTTATGCTAGTGCCGCATATGGGTACTTGGACAGTTGAGGTGAGTTGTGTGACGTTTCTTTAAGGCATTGAGCTTTTCAAACACGCTGGTCTGTGTGGGGTTTGGGGGGATGAGGAGAACCTGAGGTTGCGGCTGGAAGAACTTGGGAGGGGAAAGTGGCGCACATGGGGATGTAGGGTTGCGGTGCCGCGGTACTCGCAATCACACATGTATCTTTCTACTTGTTTGCAACTTCGTCAATCTGTGCCCGAACGCACACACGTTGTGTGTGTGCCTGGTACGACGAGCAAAGCAGACAGGAGGAGGGACAGCCAAGACATCTATGGATACGACGGTTCTCTTGCTGTCCCTGCAGCATCCCGCGCGCTTCCCAGCCCATACTTGCCTAAATGAGAAGGAGGGTGCTACTTCATGCGGCATTTTGAGATGAGCGAGGCTGACTTGACAACGCGGATTCAGACTCAAACAGCTATGGAGGAGTGGAACATTAGCAACGTGAGAAGTGTGCTAGAGACAGGGGCGTTAAGGAACGTAGTGCCGGAGCAGGTGAATTTGTGAAGTGACGTGAAAGTGAAGATAGAAGCTGCCAGGGAGGAGGAATTGGTATTAAGTGCTCGATTCAGCTATGGCGTATGTAGGCACGGAATGGAATGGTTTGGCTATAGATGTAATCAAAAGAACAAGACTTAACGAGGCCGACATGCAAAGAAAAGGCTGGGAAAATCTTGGAATAGATTGCCAAAATTCATCTTCTCATTCCGTCCACTCCGTCCCTAAACTCTATCCTTGTCGTTGCATACACTTTCCGACACCCCAAGGCAGTGTGCGAGACACCATCTCCTGATGATTTCCAGGCAAATAAGGTTCGTAACCCAAGGTCAAAAGGCCGGGCGAATAATTACTTTTTGCTTTTTTTTTGCCCTGGCCCAGCACGTCAAAAAACCCCACGATACATACGTAACTCGTCGTTGGTACAAATCATCCCGTTGCTTTTATCCAGAGGCGGCCATAACCGTGCCCGCGGATTGGCAGGCGCCAGTGGACTCGTTACGGCATGCCGTTCTGGTGGGCGTGCGGGCTCTGACGGTTTGTCGCGCGAGGTTGTTCCTTGTACGTATGGGTGCGTGTGAGTGACAGAGATTGGTACTACGGTCCTGTACAGTTCTTTTACCTCAAAGCTATTGGGAACTTGGAGCGGGCGGGAAAGCGTGGTCATCAAAAGAAAAAGAGAAGGGTGGAATGGATAGCCACATGTGGGTGAGTTTCCCGAAGCCCGGGATCAGTCCCGGCCAATGATCTGGAGACTCTGAACGAAAATTTGAGATGGGAGAAGTTACCCAGCTTCCTGTGACATGTGAACTTTTTAACAAGCAGATGTCGTTTCGTCTAGCTCCGATGAAAAACTTCGGCAGAGGATTTGCTCGGCTGGCGGATTGTTGGGCATGCCAAAGGATCTCAAAGGCGTCCCGCTTGATGCGCAAGTCGCTCGTCTAAAATTCTCAAGGCTCGGTTGGCGGCGCCTTAGAAGCCTTCTAGAAACCATATCGCGCAGTCTGTTATGTTGTGCCCCAGCAGGGGCAATCCTTGAGGCGAGAAGCAAAGGGTCGTGACGAGGAAGATCCTTCTAACCTCAAGTTGGAATATCAAAATGCAAAGAGCCACCTTCCATGTAGATGTCTGAGTGGAATTGACGGCTGGTTTGGAGGAGTTCGGGGATGGCATGACCAATGAGCTGGTGATAGAGAGAACACCACAGTTGCACAAAGGCTTTTTACGCTCACCGGATCTCCCGGTTGACCGACAGCTCTGACTGTGTCTTTGCCAGAAGGCTGAAGATTTGGTTGGTTTCTCCAGCAGCGGCTTGGAGAGCATAGGGTTTGGGCGAGAAGTTAGAAGGATTTCGGCTCTGGCGGAAGACAGCACTGGCATATTCAAGATGATGAAGCCGTACGGCGGTACCCGCATACAAAGGGAAGAGAGAGCTTCTGGCTAATCGGTCCTGCAACACTACACATGTTACAGACTGGCCGTTCCAACGACCGTTCACTGCAAGCCTGCTTTTACCCGTTGACAGCCTCCGGTAACACAGGCTCGACCTTTTCGGGTCTCAGGCTGAGTTTTGCTCGGAAGGGAAATGCTGAACCAACGTCAACAGCCGTCCCTGAAGTTGCTTTCATCATGCGGCGTGGTTCACCGTCTTTCTCACCGCGCTGATCCGTGTTCGAAAGGTGGCTGGGATATGATGAGGCTAGATCTTGGTCTGATATCCTGCTGTTCGGCGGGTAAATGGGGCAGGGAAATAACACTGCACAAGCGGGACCTTACCTCATCTTGTCAGCGCCCACAGGTCGAGCGTTGACAATGGTCGATGATATGCTGATACCCAGCCCGATCACAGACCGAACGTGGATAGCCGGGCCGGTAGAGGCCCGTGTGAGACATCTACGCCCCTGTTCCTCCAACGCGCCATGACATTGGAGCACTATATCATGCTGGACACTTCCTTCCATGGGTTTACCGACATGAGGGAGAGGGAAATGTTTCAGGGCTAGGGGGATCAAGTCGGTTGAGGTATCTAAATCAAAGGACCCCTCGCGAGGGCGTTAAGGTAGATCTTATAGATAGACGTACAGTACCGAAAGCAGAAGGACCATCACAGTGAGATTCTTCCTGCTTGCTCGCTAGATCCCGAGGAGCGGAAACCGTAATATGTCCAAGGCTGTCATGCCATTCCGGATGGGGCCTGTAGCCGACCGCTTCCCAGCGGTATTGGATGCAAACTGCAGCACAGCTGAGCGAGTCGATGAGCAAGCGTTGCTGCATGCAGTGTATTGGATTGGTGATGGAGCGGGCAGGCGGTTCGAGGCTGCAGGAGACAGGAGAGAGCCAAGCCGTATCTACAGTGTGGATGAACCCAGCGACCCTGCCAAAGACGATCTGCCCGCGTGCTGCTTGCTGGCGGCGGCGACAGAAAGCCTTGCTTACGGAGGTCTGAAGGAGAAGTGATGCGACCGAAGAAACTCTTCCGCATCACCAGCGTTGCACGTGCCGGCCCAATCGGGTCTAGTGCCACATCACCAGCTAATTTTTCTCTCCTTCACTGCCCGCACCCATTCATTTTGCATTTGCATTTCACCTCGCCCGGCATCTGCATCTGCACCCGCTCCGGTTTTCCATCTCTCCCCCCAGCAGTTATTGCTGACGAGGTTGCGCTGCACTCGCTCGCCAACACCCCAGGCCATCCAGGCCGGCTCTAGCGAGAGCATCTGCAACGGGCGCTCGCGTAGCATCAGCCCTCGAACGGTACGCAATCATCTCCCGCATCTTTTCATTGCATCCTGCCCCAAGCTGCCCCGAGCTGCTGCTTGGGCGCTGTGTGAACCGCGTTATCCCACCACCCCAGGCACCGCCACCAAGCACAACTAGCTGCCTCTTCGCGCGTTAGCTTGAGGACCCAATCGCCTCGTCGAAGCACCCTCCTTTCAGCACCGAGCACCATTTATTGTCGCATTCCAACACCTGCTTTTTGCGCCCACCCCTTCATCCGTCACGCGCGGCTCCTCCGCCTAGCTCGCTCGTCCCCTCCTCTTCTCCTTGGTGTAGCGCATTCGGTGTTCTGGCGGGCGAGCTTTTGCCGACGCTCTCTGACCTTCTGCTCAGTGTCACTACGCGCTCCCCAGCGACTGGCATCCAGCAGACCGAGGTCCCCTGGCCTGCAGCATTCCACCAGCTCCCTAGCTCGACCCCCCGATCTGGCCGATACGCCGCCGTCCTGCGTCTCGGCCTGCCTTCCGCTCTTTTCCTCCTCCCTCGTCTGTGGCCTCGTCCCGTCCTGGGCTGTCAAGCTTTCTCGCTTCGCTCTGACGCCGGCGGCCATCTTTCCACCAGACGCGATTCTGCTGTGTGTCGTCTCAACTTCACGTCCACGGTCTCGACGTCGTGCTGGTGGGACCGTCGAGGCCCCATTCACCGCTAGGCGTGAATGTCACACGATTTTTCCAAAGCACAAAACATCACAGCGCCGTACTCGCCCGCCCCATCGCACTTCTCGCAAACCAGCATGGCGGATCAGAGCACCCAGCAAAGACAACAATCGGCCTCTTATCCCTCTCCACACTCCTACCCGTCGCCTTCGATGCAGCCCACCTACACCTACCCTCCGCCGCAGGGCCAATCCAACCCTGAGCCGTATCGTGGCTCGCCGCAGGGCCAGAATATGTCACTACCCTCTCTGAATCTTCCCCCAATACGTTTGCAGGATGGCCAGACACAGCCGCCGCCGCAGCACTCAGGACAGCAGCCGATGGGGTCGCCGCTCCCTCCACCACAGCACGGCATGCCCCAGTACTATCAGCATCCGGGCCACGCTCCACCTCCTGGGCAGCAGATGAACATGGCGGGCGGCCCGCATCAGCTCGCGATGCGCTACCAGCTGCCGCCGCAGGGCGAGCAAAGAATTCTATCGGGCGGGCGGCACAAGAAGGAAATCAAGCGTCGCACGAAGACCGGGTGTCTGACTTGTCGCAAGAGGCGCATAAAGGTACGTTTGCAGTTCAATTGGACGCGATGGGCTAGACGCGACGTGAATGCGCGAGGCATGAGGTGCAAGCATCGCAGGAGGCAGCGGTTGTCGTCTGTAACCGAGCCACCAAAGAAGCGAGATCCAAACTTTTCTCGACCTCTAATCCGACTTCACTCGTCCGCGACACAACTGCTGACTAGAATCTCAACTAGTGCGACGAAGCCCATCCCATCTGCCGAAACTGCCAGAAGAGCAAGCGCGAGTGTTTGGGATACGATCCCATTTTCAAGCAGCAACCCGGGCCTGCGCAAATACAACCCGCCCCAAATTCTGCACCGCACCCAACCTCTGTCCCTGCCTCTTCTCCACCCACCACGGTGTCATACGGTGGGCAGGTTCCCCAGGGATACGCCCCCGCTGCGACTGCTGGCTACGCCCCGCCGGTTCCTACCTCGGCATCAGGCCATCCTCCCTACGAAAACTTCAACAACTCTGCGATAGATCCTGCGCTCGCTGCCCAGGACCCAGCCATGCATGGGGGACAACCGCCATACAACGGTACGCATGCAATGAACCCTGCGCTGCGCGGGGTGGGAAGTTCAAGTCCATATTCGTCTGTGGCCTCCGACACCCACCCCATGAAGGGTCCGTGTTTTATGCATTTACTTGTTTTCATCATACACTTGCTCAGATATGTGCTGACTCTTTTTGTACAGCCAAACGCATCAAAATCACTGACATCTTCCCCATTGGCAACCATAATCCACCTGAAATACCCCCACGGACCTCACCAATCCCACCGGAACTGGACGACGAATTTGCAAAGATATTAGCGAACGACTATTGCCTGGGTCTAGACGCAATCCTCGAGACGAAATGGTACTCAACCAACAACAATGCGCTCAACAAGATCTTAGCCGACAGGAGCCTCCATGAAGAAGCCGTGGCATTTGCAGAGACGGTGAAATATCAACACAATTCATTCGATATGGCGCGAATATTCAGTCAAGAGGCTCGTCTGATCTGGCATATGTTGGGCGTGTGCAAACAGAATCCCCCTGCCACCAACGGCACTAACGGGACAGCACCCGCCAATGCCGAAAATGAGGATCGTTCATTAAAGGAAGTCCGAGCGCGCTTCGACATTCTAGAATCCCTCTTAACCAATCAAAATCTTGAAACAAATCCACTGCGTCAAATATCGTATCCGGCCGACGTTGACATCCAGAAGAAGGCCGAGATCGATTTCTGGGAGCAATTGGGCAACTTTGTCGTGTATGCAGATAGTGATTCTGCACCTGCAGGTGCTGTCGAACAAGCGTTGAGCACGATGCGACAGGTTCTGCAGCAGATTGAAGCGCGAGATGTTATATACTCTATTGCGATCGCGAGATCTTCTGGTGGCCGTGTCCGTGGATTTCCCAATAGTCTTCCAGTACCCGTCGATCAGAATCCGGAGAGCGACCCGAACAAGCTAAATGTTGCCATGGGATTCATCAGTCACGAGTGTCGAAACAGTACGCAGCAAGTCATTGCGCGCATCTGCGACATGGCAACGCTTTCGTGGACAGTAAGCAGGGCTCCATGATGAAGATGAGGACCTATCCAAAATTTTATCAACGAGCTCAACGAACGACACTTTCCTGCCACTGCATACTTTAAAACTCTATTACCGGAAGAATCTAAGTGTTTTGGTTGCGAAGGGATTCGGTGGAGAAATGAAAACGGCATGATGCTTGTCATTGCATCTCGGCAAGAAAGAAGAATGCTATTTTATGTACTACTATTCGAAGAGTGCGCCGTTTTTACCCATCATTGCATGCCCATCTAGGGCAGGAAAGAGGAGTTGACTATCCCCCACATGTTATTATTTCTCGACTGGTTCGCAGCACTTTCTAAGCTTCTGTTTCTCTCGCTGATGAGCATTTTCGGACCCCATCTTACTGTTTGCCCCATCTACCCGCCACTCATATTCCCCCTTATTCCCCCTTATTCCCATATCTTTTTATTCAAATATTCGGGTCTTTGCATTCGAATTAGCAGGCTGAAGTATGTTACTTTCAGCATTGGGCAGGCAAACGACACAGATATCCGATTCTTTTACTCTTAATCGCGTGTGTATGTGTGCTACATACCCCTTCCACCTTTTAAGGTGCTTTGCTATATTGATTAGGAGGGAGCAGGCAAAGTAATTATATTTTTTGTCATTCACAGTGGGAAGATGGGATAGAGGAGTGACGAAACGGTGGCAGGAGTTTTGAGCTTTACATGGAGGATGCGTGTGTCGAGGCAAAGTCACATTCGGATACTTTTTCTCGATGCCTTCAAAATGATAGTTGATCTAATTCGTTGTGTCAAATCCTTCCAATTCTCCTAGATGAGCGAGCGGCGGCGGGTTCTGAACTCCACTTCCCCCTCTTCGTACTCATCCCCTTTTTTTCACATTTACCTTTACCTTATGTCCCCTAAAACCACTTACGGAAAACCTGTTCAGGCAACCCCGTCACGGCGTTCCACAACATCAGCCCCGTACTCCCACACTCGCCCTCAACGAAAACATGCAATCAAACAACATCGCCACCGTCGCGCTCACGGCGTCGCTCAGCAAGGAGGACTAATCACACTGGACTACCTCATCACTTCATTCGCATCTCATCCATATACCAATCACTCTTCTCTTCCTAGGAATCCCCATGCCAACACCCCAGATCTGCAACTATCCTCACCGCCCTTCTGGTACCACCAAATTCAGCCTCATCATTTCACCCAGGCTATGTGGAGTAGAATGGAGTGGAGGAAGGCCCAGTCGTGCAATCGTCGGAGAATATCCGTTGTCTTGGATCCCGTGCGATTCGGCCTCGTCTGGAAGCGAGGGCTATCTGTCGTCGGCGGTGTAACACGGTCAAAATGGGGGGTGGTAGATGATGTACGTGTATTTGGAGAAGATGGGGAAGCGAGGCGTGACAGTAATCAATCATTGAGAGGGGTCGGATGGGGCGGATGGGTGACGTCGTGTTGCAGAGTGAACGTGCGTTCTGTGGCCTCGTACTTCCTGTAACCGTTCGTAGTTCAGGCGCTTGGAGGCCCTGGCTTGGGATCATCGGTTCAGGCTTGTTTGCTGCTGTGCAGTGTTGCGGAGGAGTGTGAACACGGGTACGATACAGTACTTAAGAGTCAGCGGTTGGATCTGAGGACTGATGAACGCTGGACACGACATATGCAATGCGAAGGCCGCAACTTGGCTCCCATAAAATGCGTCTTGACAACTCCGATTCTTCCGAAGACAGAATCCGGGCACATGCCTTCCCGACCGTCTGCCTGCCGATCTGCTTGCATGCAGCAGTTTCTCGTTTCAAAGTCCATATCTCTCTATCTTGAGGCACAGCCCGAATCTACAGCTCGCTACAGACGAAAGAGCCGAGCTGTGCGACATTCATACGTGGCTCCTTTCAGATATCTTTTAGACCCTGTGGCCCTCACGGTCGGATCATGCGAACAGCACCTCCTTCATATATTCCAGATCCAATACATCTCGTCGAAGGCCGGACACAACACTTCCCAGATGGACGGACGCCAATAATTTTGAGAAGATGGGCGAGGTCCAACACCGACATCGCTCAGGAGTAGCGCAGTTCGGAGCCCAAGTACACGGATGAGCAAGTGATTCGAAGAATGCCAGGTATATGTTGGCATGATTTCGCACGAAGAGCCTCGCTTACGACGGGAGAGGCAGGCTTTGTCACCCCCCACACTAGCATCCAGGTTCCGCTAACGACGTGTCTGATTGCTTCAGGTGTCTATCTGTAGTACTCGGTCAACTGGACGTTGCCCGGTCGTTCGTTGCATTAATCCCTCCCTCATGCAACGTGAGGTCAGAGGCTCACACGCTCTGGTAGGTTCCCAAATAGTGTTGCGGGCACGTGGGATCCCGCGTCGTCAACCAAGATTTGAGGAGAAAGAGATAGCCCAGGGTCTCAGTCTCACCGGAGGAGGGGTGAACAGGTACCAACGTGGGACAACAGGTCAGGGGGTAGAGCGGGTCGATCGGCAGGAAGTTCGAGCCGGGATTGCGGTTGCGAAGAAGCGGGCTGGCGAGGGACTCTGTATCCCGATTGAGGAGTTTGCTTGTTTCGAATGTGTGGGGATGGGAGGAAGCGACGAGAAGGCCAGTCAGAGGGTGCCGAAGTCGGACATTAGGTATTTGGATTTCGATGACGGGTGCTAGTTCAGATTGTCAGGAGGGCTATGCGTACCATGTCCGAGACTTGCTGAGTGGACTCTCCTCTGCGCTTTTCGGCCGTCTGCAATCGCAGAGTTGACCAAGTATTACCACTCTCTTCAACGTTGTGGTTCCCTTCGCTCGAGGTCCTGATCTATAGCTCCACTTCGAAATGGGGTATTGAGACCGGGATTGCAACCCAATAAGTTCGTCGGGTGTCTACCCCACTGCCACAGTTCCTCTCTCCTCTTTTAGATGTAAGTTTCTAACACCAAACTCGTTCCGAATGATTCTTAGCCACCTTTCCTTCCGCTAATATTCAATCTTTTCTCAAGTACAACAGCTTCCTAGCTACAGTTATCCCTATATCTCTTTTAACTCATACGCTGTCCGTCTTCGCTTCTGCCAACCTCCTTGTTCACATTCAATAGCATTTAAATAGTTTCTAGATTGGCGTGCCCAACTAGCAAGATCATGAATCCTCCTCATTTGTACCTTACTGGCAAGACACCCTGCGCAAGCCAGCGACTTCCAGCGTTTTTGGTGTCTACTCCACCGGCCTAGAATCCTTGCTATGGACGCCGTACTCCTATATTGTCTTTTAAACTAGCCGGGTGTTCCTTCCTCAGATATAGTTGCCACAGCTAAAGGATAACAGAACTTACCTCTTTTTATATAGCTTTCTTGTACTATTTGACAAGGCGTAGTAAACAATCCGTGAAATCTTTATTGATTGCCTCTCCTAGAAACCTTGGTTTGCTAGACATCTCTTACTTTTACACCTCAATTCCTCGAGTGTACCTGTTATAGGTCCTAATAGCCTGCCGACATTGCCTAGAATTCTTTGTTTGCCCTCGGGTATAGTCGGAAAACCCGAGATCGCTGTTACCGTCCTCTCTCACGCTGATAGCGAGTCGTAATGCGGTGTTATAGAAAGGTGAGGTTGGTTTTCAAGACAAAGAGTCGGAGGTTTCTGATAGCTCTCAATGTGTCTTTCTATTCCTCTCTCTTTACATTGCTGTCGAGACAGATCACATCCACTCCCTCCCATCCTATCCCATATTTCAGAACAATTCCCCCCCGTCAATATTCTCTCCCCTTCTCCTCGCCAAATAAATCCTCCCACTCTCATACACCCCCAGGTACAACCCGCTCCCCAACATCGTCCAACAGCTTCTTAACGCACCTCCTCTCCACAACCCTCTTACTCCTTTTTCCCTTGCAATCTCCTTTCCGATCTTCCAAGCACTCTGCTTTCCCTTTTCCCCCGGACTCAGCAACGGATTCAACGACCTCACCGCACTCTTCGCCGTATCTTTCGAAGACTGCATCGATTTCCCAAACGCATCGACTAACCCCTCTGATTCACCCTTCTGCACGTTCTTTTGTGCCAACGAAGCTTCTTTAACGGCGTCCTCAGCCGCTGAGAGCATAATCCGTGTCTTAACCACATCTACAGGTGTTGTTATCACCGCCGCTGCAGCGCCAGCTGTCCCCGCACTAATCGCTGTGATGATCCCGCTCTCGAGCAAACTCCCCGTCGACTCCCCTTGCCTATCCCTGTACCCTCTAATCCTCTCCCTCAGTCTCTCAAACATCGGAAACTGCAGTGCTGTGAATGGTAGGTTCCTACCCGCGAGTGCTGTGTAACCTCTCCACAGAGCCAAAGGATTCGACTTGAACTTAGAGAGTGTCTGGATGGTGGCGTTTGTAGTGGAGCTAGCTGACACCATTTGGGCATTCTGCTTGATGACTTCAGCAGGGGTGAGTATGGCGCAGGACACGAGTTCGGCAATGGAGGAAGCTGCTGCGTGGAGAATTGGAGTTGGGATGAGGCCGTTTGGGTGGGTAGATATAGAGGGGTTGAGGTGGACTAAGAAGGATTTTGTACGTTCGTATGTGGTGAAGAATGCTCCTGCTACGCTTCATCAGCACTAATCTAGTCCAATGGCCTCCTACATAGCTTCTAACCTCCCCAATCCGCGTGGAAACCGGGACTCGAGAAGTCGGCATTGCAATGGGGAAAGGCGGGGGGAAGTACATGAAGGTAAAGTCGCTATAATCACACTACCCACACCCTGATACAACCCGCGGAACAACACGGGATTCGGCTTCCCTGTCTTTGCATTGGTATACAGTCCTGCATATTCCGGGGCCTGGAACCGAGTTTTCAGAGTGTCGAGTGGATAGACGAGTAGATCGACTGCGAATGCTGCGATGGCGCCGGCCTATGCAACAAACTGTCAACTCTTTCTTCTCCAATCCATCCACAAGATGGACGTCAGATGACTTACGAGAAGAATGTCGGTATTAGAGTTCCCTGGCATATGTAATTGCTGAATGACGAAGGTGATAGATACATGGTATGGTGTTTCTCAGCGAAACTTTTGATGGAGGAAGCTGCCGTTTACTCACGGTCCGAGGTCGGCAACGGGGAAAGGAGAGCACGACGTCATCGATGGGCGTGCCGGTACACCATCATGTGGGAAGCTTATTCTCCACGCAGGTCTAGATTGCGTTCTGGAGACTTCTCCAATACCCTTTCTTGAGCTAGAATATCCCCCCCTCGTAAGGTGGAAGACGAGAAGTGTTAATTATGTCTTGTTGATAGAACCAATCCATTCAAATTTGAGCCGAGGATCCCTATCCTTTCGAAGATTAGGGCATATGCTCGTATGCGGTGGAATATACCAGGTTTTGGTTTACGGCAGACTCTGGATCCTTATAACGCTCACCTTACCTCCTGTGGCCGACCCGACAGGCATAAGCATCCTTGGAAATGCCCAGTATGGAGGGCCACTATCCCACAAGATCCATCGAAGCCAAGATATGATGGTTGAGAATTAATCAAATTTGAACGAGCTTGATCCAGATCATTGGCGATATCTGGGAAGCAAAAGAAATTCAAGAATATGATAGTATTGGAGGAACAAGCGTTAATTCACCCAATCCTCAACCTCAGGTCTAATTGAGTCAAAGCCCCCTCAATTTAATAAAGCAAAACTCTTAAAAGAACAGAGATCGTATGAATGGGAACAAGGTGCAAAGTCTTATTTCAACAGTAGTTCCACCTAAGAAGTGTAGCGACAACACGCATAACCCTTTTTGGTAACGCACAACCCGTCCCGCTCGCCTATCCACACGAATTATGCAAGGTCTTGTTCCTTCACAAACTGCCAGCTGCCGCTGCCAGGGTCCCCTGCTCTTAGGCCTATCAGACCACGACACTTTCTCCCAGCCTCACGACCGTTGTTCTTCCCCTCACTCTGAGCTGAGGCCCTCTCCCCTCCCCCTCCTCCTCCTCCTCCTCCTTACTTCGTTCTCCCAAGGCCGCCAGGTTTGAAAGCATAGTTAGTTCCCTTTACAATGACAAACCAGGAACGCCCCGGCAGCCCCACTCCCTCAACTTCCACCGCCTACCTCGACACCAAAATCACTCTCGACAACTTCCGAACCCTCCTTGGTCTACCTAGCGATCGAGCCCCGATCCCTCCCACCCATCTCCCGCGGTGGTGGCCTGAGTCCCTGCGTCATCGCCGCCTCCCAGATCCCGAAGAAAACATTGGAATATACTCCAATATTCTTTATCAAGAGCGCATTACTCAGCGACAATATGGGTTATTCAAATCCGTGATATACGGCGGCCTAATAACCCAGCTATTACTCTCTGCCCTGTTGATCTTGCTAGCGTCCGTGCCGTCAAACCATCATGTCGCGATTGCCGTCTTCGGTGCGCTGAATGGGGTGATTACGGGGATATTGGCGTTGGTGGGGGGACAAGGGTTGCCTAATCGGTTGCTGCAGTATTCGGATGGCCTACGTGCGTTGAGAGAGCGTGTCGAGTGGTTGGAGAGAGAATTGGAAGCCGGAATGCGGGAAGTGCGGTATCGGGAAGTCGTTGGTCTGAGAGAGGCGTATGAGGGTCTGAGGGGAGATGAGCAGGTCAATCGCCCAGACTTTTGGGTTAGTTTTGGAGGGAGGGGGAGGGGCGCTGAGTGATGGTGGGGAAATGCTGGAGCAATTAACCATTCGGAAATCTGGAGTTAGGCAACGTTGTCCTGGGTGAAGGCAATACATGATATGGGACATTTAACAATTTGTTGGTTGTCTCGTTGAAAGCTTTATACCACGTCAGCTCTTCTTTTTCTCTCTGTCGCTAGGAATTGTAATGGAAGGTTGCCGATACGCACCTTTTGGGCCGCGAGGTTCGGCGAGATTGGATATATCTTTGGTGAGGAAGAGTTCCCTTGTAATTCCTATCCTCTTTCAAGTTCTATTCCATGACTTACCTCGATTAATCGTATTCCTGGTAGATGTTAGTTTACGAGAAGATATTGGGCAGAAAACTGAGATAACTTACCCGGCAGCTTCATCCTGTGCACACGATAGTGCTGGGCTATAGGAATATCAATCGAGCAAAGAGGAAGCCCCTAGGTGCTCAAAAATGCGCTCAAAAATGCGCTCGATAGGCGACGAAACCAAAGAGCAAAGGTTGATAAGGGGGATGTGAACAGTTGGGATTCATGACTTCATGAAGACCTTATTGGAAACATGACATTCCTCCACAATATCCAACCCCCTCTTCCACTGTTACCAGTCCCTTTCGAGCAGTTCCCACAATGCCTTATTTGGAAAGTATCACTTCTTCTCTTTAGCAAGCTTTGCCCCCTCCTCTTGGAGCTCCTTGATGGTTTCCTTGGATGCCTCGACTTCGCCTCGGTCTGCCTTGACCTAGACTAGATATCAGTATACACGTGAAAACTCTGAAGTAAAGTATCCTCCTTGGAAATAGCGGGAACACGTTGACGTACGATGCTTTCACTATCTGACGCCAATTGCTCTTTCCAGTGGCCCTTTCCTTCCTTATGCTTTTTCAACAGATCGTCCTTCTCCCGTTCGATTTCATCTTTGCGACCTTCATGTCCTTTAATCGAAGTTAGGGTTAGTATCTGACTATCTGGCTAAATAGAGGAAACGGAGTCATGTTGCCGAATAGCATGGAGTAAGAAGCTCCTGAACATGAGGGGAAGAAGAAACACGAAGCATACCAAGCGCAGTCTCCTTTCCCGCATATCTCGTTGCCACCGTTTGATGGATAGCAGCACGCTGTGCAATCGTCAATGAACCAACCTGGCTCCATCCAGCCCCAAGAAGTCGTAAACCGGACATATTATTTCCTCTCGTTGTTTCGTCGAATGCTTAACTTTCGTCGTTGGGCTTCTGTTGAGCGGGGGCTCCAAGTCTTGCACAACTCGAGAGTGTCAGTGCCGGAACAAAGTGTGGTTCCCAAACGCAATTGAAATTATCGTTGATAAAGGAACTGAATCTTGTCCTTGGGGTCGAGGGAGCCTTTCAATAGTTAAAGGGAGCGGAAGACTGGCTTGTTGTTTGAAATTTGAGAAGATCCTCGGCATGATTCTTTTGCTTATGACGTCAACATCACTTGGGTCGCGATTACGTATCCATTGGGTTCATAGGAGGCACCATTCGGGGGCCTTCATTTCAAAGCTGGAGTACATCACTCTGGCCAGTCGGATGAGGCTCTTTGGGAACATCTCGTCGGGTCTCATTCTATAGGAGACCTCATTACGAATCTGGGACCACATCCACGCTACACTAGCGTTTCCAGATGATGGGGCTTGGTGATGTTCGGAGAGCGAAACTGGCTCTCCAAGTTTCTAGCGCTAAGAGGGTCCGAGTGGATATAGTGATATCAAATGATTCAAGTTGCGATTCCATTTCCTAGGATAATAAAACTCACTGCCCTCATGTAGAGGCGTGTATTGTAGAAGAAAGAGATCCCCAAAATAAAGAAGATAGAGCAACCAAAAACATTCCAAGAAGCTTTCAAAGATTGCTCCACCCACCCACCATTGGGTTTTGGTAATCCTCATACAATAAAAAAAATTGACCATGTAGTCTCGTCCCAGCGTACAGTATCAAGCGACAACCCACACCATATGGAGATATGCACCTAAACCCAGTAACCCGACACCGCCGCTTCAATAACTAATCGCGCCATGGTATACCAACCTCCTGAGCCGAACCACACAAAAGAAATCTACCCGTTGTAATGGTCCCGTTCAAGGTGACCGGGTAACAAATAAGTTAGACATCCAGCGCTACAGAACACCTTTATCTGTAAGCAATAGTTTTCTTAAAGTCTTAAACGTTTGACGGAAACCCAATATGCGACCCATAAACACCGATGATTTGCAAACCGCCGTGAATGCGTAACGCTGGAAGACATGAGACCAAGAGCGTTCTATCCGAAATGATGTTTTCGCTACAATTGCAACGCCGTCGCCCGTTCCGAGTGGTATACCCAAGATGTCGAAGGAGATATCGTAGATTTGTACAAGGAGAGTCGAAGGTATAGACGTACGGATCCTCCGGAGGATATCGGGAAGGAACATTAGATCCTGAAGGTAGGGGTAGCCACTAGTCCAGCAACGAGGGACGCCACAATGCAAGTCGAACAAAAACGCTTGGCCTCGGGCCAGCCGGGCTGTTACCAGCGTCGCGACATGAACTGCTGCTGGATCTGTCGGTTGGGAGAGACAGATGGCGGTGGGCTAGCAACAGCGCGTGTTGACGGGTCGACGATTGGAATAGCATTGCGGGTTCGTTGGGCTAGTGGCTGGTGTAGTTTAGTCTGGGAAGAGTTGTTCTGTTGGAAACCGGCCGGCGTATATGGATTAGGAGCAGAAGACAAGACGAAAGAAGGCGTCGGTTGAAGTTGATGCTGGAGTGGAGACTGTTCCGGCGAACCGCTCGACAAAGACGACCGATCAGAGCCGGAGGAGTGAATGGATTGAAGCTGCGCATCGCCTGTTAGCCTTGGTTTATCGCAGTGTTGGTGACGCAGGACGGGTGGCGAATCCCGCGAGATGGCACGGAGACAAAAGTCGCTTACATCATCATCAGTGAGCAGGTGGAAGGGGCAGAATATCTCATCGTCCTCCAAGTCGAAGGACCTTGCGGCCTCGAAGTCCCGCTTGAAGGCGGTGACGTTTGCAGGCTCTACAACAAACTCCTTCGGCGTTCGTACCTGGCGGAACTGCTTGTGGTGTTGAGATGCCGAGAGTCGGGGGGCTCTCCGTGATCGGCCCCCATGGTGGTTATGTGAATGGGTATTCAAATGCGACGGGTGATGCTGTCCACCGAAGCTGTAGAACTGCGACATTTCTTACGGGCGGTTGCGGATGGCGTTGTGGACGAAGAGTGGGTGAGGGGGGGGGGGGGCGTCTCGGGGTTGATGAGGGCTGCGAGGCGGTGGAGTGATCGGAGGGAATGCGAGGCCACAACAGAGGCGAAACAACAAAGGGGTTGATGGGCGGGTATGGCGCAAGTGGTCGTTGAGCAACGCAATGGAGTAGAGGTGAGGGGCGAGATAGCGGAGCGGAGGAGTATTAACTACGATGTTGCGATGCGAGGCGGAGCATATGGTTCAAGAAGGTGGGAGGGAAACAGAGGAGGATGGGCGAGTGATGAAGGCTGGGTCACTGGCGGGTCTCTCTGCTAAAAGGCTGAGCAGGACCCACCCGTCGGCCGCCCATTGGCCGTCCCGCGTTGCCACCGCTCTGCGCGCCCCCCAATCAGCAGCTAGCGCAGGCACTAGTGTTCACTAGCTGGTCCGGGCGACACTAAGTTGAGCATGGCGGGCCAGGGCATGCACGTCTCGAGGCCACCAGAGATCAAAGTCGTCCGCCCTCCGCGCATCCCCAAGGGCAGTGGCCGGCCTCTCAGTGAGCTTTGCTGGCACCTGGCGGCAGCGCTGGTGCCCGAGCGACTTTTGCAGCGACAACGACAACGCTCAATCTCAGTTACCTCACTGCGACAACGTCGTGCCATCGGTCGCTCCCGCTGCGCCCAAGGAGCGCTCCCCATGTTTAGGACCCCAGGAGCTCTGAACCGGAGGCGTAGCATGTCAAACAACTTATGCACTGCACGCTAGAACTTGCCCGCCGCTCACAGGCTCTCAGGCTTACAGCCTCGGGCGTCGTGGGCTGGCATCGTGGGCTGGCATCGTGACCCCAATCTCTTGTTGACCGCTGTTGACCGCTCCTTTTCGCTCCCCTCATGCAGGCGGTTCTGTCGTCGCTGCATTCGTCGCTTGCTCCTCAGCTGTTCTCGCTCTTCCAGCGGCGGCCATGCCAGCAGAATTGATTAATTCCCGATCGCTGGAAGCTTTTCCGCGCTTGCTAGTCTTCGGCTGCAGCGCCTTCACCAAGTCCGGAGCACCGTCTGCGCAGCTGTTCTTCTCTGGGGTAGCTGCAGCACTAAAAGCAGCACACAAGCAGTGCCTCACTCCCCGAATACCCCTTCTGCAAGTGGCTGGAACGGGATTCTGTGAATCGCTGGAGTGAGCGAGTCCTTGACCACTCGCGAAATCATTAGTTGTCGGGTTCTGCAATTTCTGCATCCCCTCTTTGGGGTTTGCGCTGCCCTCCCCCCCCCAACGGACCCTCATTCTAGTGGGTGAGATGCAAAGCGCCGGGTTACCCACGCTTGATCACAGTAACGGTGCATTTTTCGGTCAGCGCCTGATGCTTCCAGACGCTCGCCGTGTCTAACACCCTCCCACCTCTCCGCTCTCGTGGGTCGCTTGTCGCCAGAACGAAGACCCTGAGCTTGTGTGACCTTGCGAAACCTTCCAATCATTAAGCAGGCGATGTCGAGGAATCGAATTGCGTGGCTCCCCAACGGTTTCCCAGGCGCAAGCCATAATTAGCACCCTTGACGCTCGAGGGGGGCCGACAACACTCCACAGTCGCCTGCTCGTGCCTTTGCAGCAGTTTCTCGCTGTCAGGGAGCGTTCCATCTGCTCCTCGAAACCCGCTCTGGCACAGCCAAGCTTACTGCTTGAACCTTGGCGATCGCCTTGTTGCTCTCCAAACATTGTCAGCTCACACTATCTCCACCTGTCGTGTGGGGGAGTTTACAGAAGGTGCTGATGCCGCGCGGAGAGTTAATCAATGTGAATACAGGCGAGAGCGCTCGCGAAGAGTGGTGGTGGGTTGAACATCCTGGGATACTATGTTGCTCACTGCATTAAGTGCTGAGTTTGAGGTCAGCACCTAAATTAACGGCCTCCCCAGCCTGCAGCGTGCTGCGCATCTTGAGAGAGTGGTAGCACAGCCGGCGATAGTCGAAGCTCAGGATATCGCAACGCCATCGATGTCATCATGCCACTTCGGCCGCACTTGAAACAGCCTGCAATGTCCAAGCCCGAAACTTAGTCGATAAGGCATGATTAATAGCTGTCATTTGTCCAATCCTCTCGCCTTTACAAATTTAGCAATCTGATCTTTACATGTCTTATCGGTATAACACTCCCACACCTCATAAAGGGATATAAGCTCCTGGGTACACTCCACGACGGCCTCGATGTCGACACTACTTTCTGCTAGCCAGTCCACCAACTTCTGGACTCGGTTCTGCGTCCCTTGTGCAGCAGCATTCCGAGCATTTCCTAGAGTCTGCAACGCATTGCTGACTCCTGCGGCATGCAGCTGAAGACCACCCTGCGTCGGCTTAAGGACAACGGCAAGAAACATCGCCGTGATTGCAATCACGTGAGGTGCATGGAGAAGAGGAAGATCTGTCAGATAGTGGTCGTTGATGATTGACCATGCTAGTGCATTTTCCTCCTGAGTTAGCTGGAAGTGAGTCTGCAGTTCTGCGAGGCTGCGGTATGGATGGTGGATGATGAGCTGTGAATTCATTTCTGAGATGAGCGTGAACTCGCATTCGCCAATCTTGGAGATGTCATTGAAGGATGTGTCTGTTGTGTGTGTCAGTGAGTGTGAGCAATCTTGGAGAACGAGGACCTTACCCCAGCAGTGACGGGCTTCTGCTAATATCATCCGGATATGCTGGGGACACTCCTCCATCTTGCAAGATAGGTAGAGAGAAGTCGCAAGAACGAGGGCAGGATTGGTGCGGCGAATTTCTACCTTGGTGTAGAATCGCCGTACGTAGACCTGGGCAGTGGCCAAGGCCTGTTGCCGTATTCCGAGGGGCCTTGCCATTTTAGACAGCTCTGAGAGAGATCAGTTGACGTCTGGAAGGAGAGCATTAGCGACCCACGGTGATAGAAATATATGCTTAGATGCCGCCTGTCGGGCAAAGGATATAAGTTCACCAGATTCCTCTCCGACTCTTCAAGCTTCTTGCGTTCAAGTGTCAGTTGCTGCTTTGTGAATGTCCAGTACTTCCGCTGAGTCGATTCCCAGTAGCTTGCCGCCATACTGGAGGATGAAGACCCGCTGATAAGGGAGCCTCGAAGAATATTATTATCAACGATGGACCAACTCGAGTAAGATGAGTGCGAGTGTCACTCCTCGCAACGAGTGAAGGAAGCGACGAGGATGCCGTTTTGGGAAAGGCATGCAAGTTCTGAGCAGGTCACCACATCCTGCAGCCGAAGACACCGGTCGAAGTCTGCCCGTCGTTCACCTCGACAAAAAGGAGAGCAGCTCACTTCCGGAAGAGGCGGGCTGATGTTGAAGTCGATGTGGCGGGGGTGCAGCTCCCGAATGGCGGCGATTCCATGGCTCGGTGCCGCCGTCCCGATGTTTGCCGAGCTAGGCCCATTTAGGACCCCTCTTCAACCTTCAACATTCATCATAACGGCGCCCCGCTACCTTTCATCATTCCGGCGAAACCTATGGGTGCATGCCCTCTCACTACCATTCTGTCATCAATTCACTACGCCACCGTCTACAGACACGCCTTCGCTCGTGCGCCACCCCTCCCAGCCATGATAGACCACAGATAACGCACTCGCGAAGAAGATGGATACAGAAACCGCGAATGCCCAGGATCAGGACGCGCGGGTGGACGCACTCTGGGCTACACTCGATGAGCGTAAGCAGGGCAAGCTGGACATAGCTGCCCTCAAGAAAGGGCTGCGGAAGCTGGATCATCGTATGCCCGCGTACCTAGCCCTTCCCGCGGTAGCTAAGCCATGGCACAGCCCTGAAAAATGCGGATCATCTTCTCGACGAGGTGATGAAGACTGTCGATACCGACGGAGACGGGTGCATTCAGTACAACGGTCAGCGTTCGAGCAAAGTCACAATCATTGCCCTCCGTGGCTGACCCCGCGTTTAAGAATTTCGCACCTTCGTGCACCAGACAGAAAAGGAGCTCCTCGCACTGTTCAGGAGCATTGACTTCAACCATGACGGCAAGCTTTCGAAAGACGAGCTTCAAGCCGCCTTCAAACGAGCTGGCCTCGCTGTGCCTAGTTCTAAACTTGATAACTTCTTCCTCGAAGTTGATGCCAACCATGACGGGGTCATTAGCTTTGAGGAGTGGCGGTAAGTAGCCGTGGTGAAGGTAAATGATTATTCACTGATCAAACGATGAAGCGACTTTTTGCTGTTCATCCCAGCCACCGTGCCGAACCTGAAGGCGGTGCTGTCGTACTTCTCGGCGACAATGAAAGTGAATCTGGAGGGAGATGTACAGATTAGCGACGATTCGATCCAAGGTTTAGGTACTCCACAACAATTTCTTCGTACTCTCTTTGGTTCTTTACTTCTTGTCGCTAGAACGCCACCGCAGTCTTCCTTTCCACCCGATCAATCCAGCAGCTGCGAAATGTCTGAATTCGCTGCCTCCCCCGCGCAATCCCTCCCGCCACGCCCTGACCTTCATGACATTCACCTTCCCATCACGGAAGCGCAGAAAGGCCTCTGGCAGAGTTTCAAATCCATGCTGATTGCTTGCGTTCCCAATCCAGGCTATTTCGTGGCGGGAGGTCTTGCAGGAATTGTATCTCGCACTTCTACCGCCCCCCTCGACCGACTTAAAGTCTACCTTATCGCGCAAACGAGCGTCGCCCAAGAAGCTGTTTCGGCAGCAAAGTCTGGAACTGTCTTCCAAGCTGCCGTGAACGCCTGGAAGCCGATGGCTGTCGCCACGAGGGAGCTATGGCAGGCAGGCGGTATGCGCAGTCTTTACGCAGGTGAGTCGTAGTCGTGCTTTCATCCAGGCCTTGGGCGGGCTGACTCTACTAGGTAATGGCTTAAATGTGGTCAAAGTTATGCCAGAGTCAGCGATAAAGTTTGGCTCCTATGAGGCTGCGAAGCGGGTTTTTGCGAAGCTTGAAGGCCACAACGATCCGAACACGATCCACTCATGGTCCAAATTTGTCGCTGGCGGCGTTGGGGGTTCGTAACTGGCCGGCTCCTTCACCAAGGTGTTCTCACTGATTGTGGCAGGCATGATCTCGCAGTTCGCAGTCTATCCGATTGACACACTCAAATTGTAAGTTGACCAAGCGACCGAACGAGTCTGACCCTCGAATAACTCTGCCCCACAGCCGCATGCAATGCGAAACCGTCTCTGGAGGTTTGCACGGCAACAAGCTCATCATCGCTACCGCGAAGAAGATGTGGCGTAGCGGAGGCATCGTCGCATACTACCGTGGCCTTCCAATGGGCCTCTTCGGCATCTTTCCGTACGCAGCTCTTGATCTCGGCACGTTTGAGTACCTCAAGCGTGCAATTGCAACTCGCAATGCTAAGAAGCGCGGCTGCCATGAAGAGGATGCTGAGCCTGGAGGCTTCATGACCGCAGCAATCGGCGGTTTTTCAGGCGCCTTTGGAGCAAGCGCTGTCTATCCCCTCAATCTCCTCCGAACTCGACTGCAGAGCCAGGGCACCGTTCTACATCCACGAACTTACACTGGCATCGTGGATGTCACCCGCCAGACAATACAGGGCGAAGGAGTCAGGGGGCTCTTCAAAGGTCTTACTCCAAATCTTCTGAAGGTCGTTCCTGCGGTTTCCATCACCTACGTCGTCTATGATAAGTCGAAGAAGATGATAGGTATCCGCTGAAGCATTCGGCCCCATTCTCCATTTCTATAAAGCATGAAACTTTAGGTTCACTTGCAACTTTCTCGCCGTTCCAGCCCTATAACCTGAGAAGCCTACATCCAACCCGCCTCCATTCACCTTAAATGTCACGCGGCACTTTCAGCCTAAGCTGTGACGAGTGTATCACCACTCCGGTTTCCAATTGCACATAGAGATACCCCGTTCCATAAATTCACCTCTGAACAGGAGGCACGACGTTCCGACGACTAGAATTCTACCTCTCCGGCTGTGGCCTGTCTCCTACACTTTGCATCCCTGGGCTTTGGAGCGAGGCGTTTGGATCAAATCTTCCTAGGATAGATCATGACAGATGTTGCATATGTCCCCTGACCGACATATCGGATTGTCTAAGGAGGACGATTATTGGAGGCTGGGCTGGATAGTAGCATGTGTTGTATCGTAGACCAATCAATGAATACAAGCTTCTAATGCTAAAGTGCACGCATACGTTTCTTACAGAAGCTTAAGAGAGCGGAGATTTCTTTTTTTTATTATTCAGACCTCCTCCCTATCTTGCGGTTGTAGCTACATTTAGAGAACTCAATACGCTTTCAAAATCAGATGCCGAGGATGATACCAAGGGAACGCCGGCGGGGGATGCTAGCGTGTCATAAATGGGCTTGTGGTTTGGCGTGAGGTTCGTGGTGTTACAGGTAAGATACAGTGGGAGGTCGGCCAACGTCTAGTTCAGAAGCGAGAATGCGTTTACTCGTTGATCTTGGCCAGGAGTCTGCCATGGTGAGTGCTTGCGAGGACTTAGAGGGACAGGAATAGACGTACTCGTGGTCGCGGAAGAGGGAGTACTCCTCATCGCCGACTTTGATGGGGCTGCCACCGAACTACCGCGCATGTCTCGTCAGCAATCTACACATTCCCATGAACCTCAACATCCATTCTTCTCTCCCTCCTCCCAACCCAACCCAACCCTAACCTATTTTACGAATCAACTCACCTGTGGAATCAAAACCTTGTCTCCCGGCTGCACACTCGGCGCAATCCTCTGCCCATCCTTGTTCATGGCACCGGGACCCACGGCCAATACCTTCGCCTCGTTCAATTCCTTGACGGAGCTCTCGGGCAGGAAGATGCCGCCCGCGGTCTTAGTATCGGCTTTTATGCGCTGGACGAGAATGCGGTCTAGGAGAGGGGCGATGGAGCGGACGGATTTGAGGGCGGTGGACTGAGATAGTTAGTAAATGGCACTGGCTTGGGGGTGGAGTGGGAATTACCATTTTGAGAGGAGGAGATGTGAGGATTTTTGTAGAGGATAGATTTAAAGGGCTGCTGAGGGAAAGGAGCTGCAGGGTCAGGGTATACTGAGGAATTGGTGAGGAGATTCGAATTGGAGATGAAGTTTTCCAGATGATCTCGAACTTTCTGGGTTGGTCTGTGCGCCTGCAGGGATGGTCAAGCTCTGAGCATCAACCTCGGATCAATTAGTTTTGGCCATTTACACGCTCGTTCCTCTCCACACTTTCTTCGTGGACTATTGTGTTTTCTTGCACCAAGGCTTCGGAAGTGTGTCGAGCTTGGTTGCATGCCAGCGCTCCGTATATGCGGGGAAGCAATGTCCTCAGGTTGAGGAGATGTCTCCCCATCCACCGACATCATGTTTCGAGTCCACGGTGGTATAGCGCTTCCGCTGAGCCTATAAGCGATGAGGAGTTCTTAGAGGCGTGTAGGAGTGTGTATCCACGCAGGAAATGGCATCCTTGGCTGAAAATTGGTGTGTGATCGCCAGCTAGATGTAACCATTATGCTGGACGGATAGAACTAACAGAGATGTATTAGGTCTTGCGGTCAGCGGCGGCGTGGATTCTATGGCCCTTGTCACCCTGTATTCAAGAGCATTGCGGTCGAACACGCAGTTACCGAAGTGTCATGGGATAATTATCGATCATAGAGCTCGAGAAGAGAGCTCGGAAGAAGCGGAATGGGTTGCAGATCAATTGAGAACAAAATGTGAATTTTCAGCACTTGATATCCACAGCTTTGACACCGTTGACGTAGATTAGTTGATATTGACTCCTCAATCGTCAAGCTCGAATGGCCCAAAAACATTGATCTAAACGACACAAAGAGATTCGAAACCGAAGCCCGTACTCTTCGTTACCAAGCTTTAGGCCGAGCATGCAAAGACCATGATATAAGCTCTCTCCTGGTAGCACACCACGCTGACGATCAGGCGGAAACCATCCTTATGAGACTCATCAAAGGGAGATGGAGGTCGGGACTTCAGGGTATGCAAAGCGTGCAATCGATACCTGAATGCTATGGTATTTACGGAGTCCACAACAGTGGTGGTATCGAAAACGAAAGGACTAAAGACTTCAACCTGCCGCTCCCGATTGAGAAGGGAAAGATTGAAGTGCTGCGCCCGCTTCTTGGGTTTGAAAAGAGTCGCTTTATCGCAACATGCGAAGAGCACTGTACAAAATGGGTAGAAGACAAGACAAACCAGGACAAAACACTCACCTCCCGCAACGCTATCCGGCACATCCTGCGACATCACAAACTCCCTCAAGCGCTTACCCCTCGATCTCTAGTCTCCCTCGCCAACAACATGCAGTCACGCGTTAAATCGGAGCGCAAATTTGCAGAAACCCTCTTCAACAATGCGCCCATGCAACTCAACCTCCAAACCGGATCCCTCATTGTCCGCTTTCCCCACACGGCCGCCCTCCTTTCCCGTCCCATCATAACCGAGTCCGACAAAAGAGCCGCCCGAAACACGGCTACGCTGCTCCTCCACCGAGTCGCAGAACTCGTAAGCCCCAAAGAGTTCTCCACAATAGGTCAACTCGCCTCTGCCGTCGATAGAATCTGGCCATCTCTCACCATCGACTTTCCCGATAAAGCTAGCAAAAAAACACTGAACATAGAAGCCTTCTCCATGACCGGAATCCACTGGGCAAAATGGAACAAACCTAGCATATTCGGTCTCACGGGGACGCTCCAGGCCCATCATCCGTACGAATGGCATCTGTGGCGACAACCACCGCACGAGTACGAGCTCGAGGAAAAGTCGATCCGCATCCCGTCGTCCACAAAACGACCCGAGGAAGCGTGGAAATGGCATTTTTTTGATGGTCGGTACTGGATCCGTATAAGGAATAGGCTCCTTAGACAGGATCTTACGGTTAGGCATTTCACGGACCGGGATCTTGCGGAATTGGGTCAATCGGTGAACTTTGCAAGCGCAGAGGGAGATGCAGCCGAAAGTCGAGATCGAGATGGAAAACACCCAATGCAAAACGCAACTCGACGCCTCAGCCTAGTCGCCTCAGACTATGCCTTCATAAAAACTGCCCTGGGCCTCATAAAGCCGCACCCCCTGCGCCGCACGCTTCCTGCTATCTTCACTAAGTCTCTCGGCAAGGATGTGCTGATTGGCTTGCCTACCCTTGACTGGGCAATAACCGACGCCGCGTTTGCGGTCCGGTTCTGGGACCGGATTCATGCGCCCTGGGAAGTGAGGTATAAGAATGTTGATATGGGGAAGAAGTCGTTGAAGAAGTCGGTTGCGAGGGGGATACGGAGGAGAGATGTCCTTGATGTTATGAGGGGGGCGCAGCAGGGGTTTATGTGGATGCGGGATGAAGATTTGGAGGGGAAGGGGAAGGTTGGAGGTGGAGGGAAGGAGAGGAAAGATAAGCTAGGTTTTATCAGGTAAAATGACGTCTCCACCAGGAGAAGACTTATAGTTTGAGTGAATACAGCTTCACATGAAGTTTATGTATGCGAAGTATTGAAGAACGGCAGTGCTTGTCGACTTACAGAACATAACCAGAATCTAGAGAGACACAAAGGAAAAGGCGTGGATGAGACTTTCGACAGCAAGCCTCCAGTTAGTGACGCACAGACCTAAATATCGTCCGGCCCAATAGCCAGCCTACATGCTCCCAAAACGCCAACGCCATTTATGCTCCAGTATCATACCTCCCGTAAACTCCCTCCCCATGGATGCCCATACATCCTGTTCACCCGTTTAGTTTCGCAGGTGCTTCCCCCTCCACCATCTCATCCTCGTCCTCATCCATTCATCCCCGCCCACACCCATTCATCCCCGCCCACACCCATTCATCCCCACCCATTCACCCCCATTTATCACCACCATTCATCACCACCGATTCACCACCGGCCATTCATTCCCACACACTCACAGCTCTTATTTTGTAATAACAATCAAAAGCACCAAAATAACAATCAACGCCACAATAATTGTCAAACTCCAATTCTCCCTCGCCTTCCTACCAATCCTGTCCAGCCTCCCCCTCGCGCGCCGAAACTGCGCCGCATGTCGATCAACCCCTTCATCGACCTCATCAAGCAAGAGCACGTGCCCATCTAGCTCGTCGCCAATCTGCATGCTCAACTCGCGCTGCCGTCCAATGCTTTCACCGAGTCGGTCCAGCTGGTCGTCCTGCTCTTGGATGACTTGGCTGTGGTAGATGTGGATTTGCTCATTCGAGAGCGAGGACTGGTCTGGGTGGTCGGCATCGGAGGGGTCGTCGCGGTAGGGGAATAGAGCGGCGCGGTTGGGGTCCTCTGGGGAGTTGGAGCGGGGGGGGGAGGACCCTGATGGGTTGTCGCTGAAACGCACAGATTTGCTGACTTGGCGGGGTTTCTTTTGGGCCGCCGAGGTGAAGTCAGAGATGAGGGAGGGGTTGTTGGGGGTCATGAGGGTGGGAGAGTTGGTACTGGCGGTGGTAGGGTTGCTAGTGAATTGGGACGCCAGGTCGGAGAGTTGGGTGCGCAGACGGGGGAGTTGCGATGATATGGCGCTGGGAGAGGGTTAGCGGAGGGGATTGTGGGGTTGGTGGCTACGGACGGGGGCATCCGTGGGAGCAGGGAGTGGCGGGGATTAGTAGAGAGGGTAGGCATACTCATCCGGCCTGTCCTCGACCTGCGATTCCAGAGCCTCGATGCCAGAGCGCAGTTGGTCGAGCGAACGGGATATCTGGCCGTCTTGGGAGTTTGGGGAGAGACGGAGGGAAATTGCTCGCTGCCGCTCTAAGAGTGAGAGCTTAATGTGGTCTGCTAGGAGGAAGAGCTGGGGGGGGTTCGTTGTCGACATTGCGGCGGAGCTGTTTTCTTCCTGGGGGGAGTCGTCGCTGGAGAGTACCGAGATGGAGGTAGCGGGCGCAGAGGTGGCCAGAGGCGGCAGAGGAGGCAACTGGTCGGGCAGAAAGGGGCAGGCTGCAAGACTGTGCTAGGGTGTTGAGGACAACTCAGTATTAGATGTCTTAGAAGTTTGGTGGTTAGGGTTCCGCTGTTCCTCTCGTCCTCTGGTACCTAGAGGTGCCGCTGACGGCTGATGTCGAAGCCACCCCGGGGCAGATGCATGTCAGTCCCGTGACCGGTGGCTTGGCCCTGCGGCGATCGGAGCGAGGAAGCGCATGCCAATTGATGTCTCGCATTTCTGCATCTGCACGACAACAGCGAGGTCCAGTGCTGGTGCCCGCATGAGTTGTTCCTTTCTTTTTGGGCGCTCGAGGCAACGCGAAACATGCACTCACTCCGTCCACGACTCCCAGCAACCCTCCATTAACGTGTTTAAATACCTGTCCCTCCCCGTCCTCGTTGCTCTTTACCGAGCCTCCACTTCACTCCACCGCTCCTCTCTCCCATGTCGTCGCCGTCACCCATCCCGCCGCCAAATGGCCGGCGGGGCTCGCGGGCCTCCAGCACGGCAGGCCTTGCAGCCCCAAGCAGCAACAGCAACAGCCTGAACGTCGCCTCAGAGCCGTCAGACTTGCTCGTGGTCGGTGGTCCTCCTAGTAGCCCTTCACCGTTGGCTCTCAGAGCATCCAACTCACCCTCGTCGAAGCATCGAAAGACCCGCGTCGCCAAAATATCCCCCGACGTCCACCTGCTCGAGTACGTCTCCCCCTGCGACAGCAACCTCGTCTGCCTCATCTGTCACTCGCCCTTCGACAAGCCCGTTCGCCTCGCCTGCGACCATTACTTCTGCGCCGACTGCCTGCAGCATGCCTGGAACGCCCAGCACGATGGCCACAGGACTTGTCCGACGTGTCGGAGTGGGGTCGACCCCGCCAACGACCCGTTGCCTGTGCCGCGGATATTGGAGACGATGCTGGACGAGCTCGTCGTCAAGTGTCCGAATACCAAGTCAGGATGTAATTGGGTGGATCAGCGTGCCAATGTCCACGACCACGTCCTGCTCTACTGCGAGTACACGCTCGTCGAGTGCCCGTCCCACGATTGTCGTCTGCCCATCTCCCAGAAGGACTTCCACAAGGGCTGTCTGCATTACACTGTCAGCTGCGAGCACTGTCATACCTCGTTGATGAGGAAGGACCTAGAGGTATGTGCCATTGTTTCAGTTTCGGCTTGACCCTATTAAATAGTTGCTTGTACAGGAACACCAGAAGACGACTTGCCCCAATCGGGCCACCTCATGTCCCCACTGCTGCGAGGAACTACTTCGAGTTGACCTCAGGGCCCACGTTAAGGATGTCTGTGCAAAGGCCATCGTTCCATGTCCTGGCACAATCGTTGGCTGTACCTTCACCGCCGAGCGGATCGAGGTCGTGGGGCACGGGCAGAGTTGCCCGATGGCGACAATGGCACCTCATTTCCGAGACCAGCAAGCTCGAATCGAGAGGAACGAAGCTAGGTTGGAGCCCCTGGCCCGGAAAGTAGGAATCCTCGAAGACGGTCTCTCAAACATCACAAATATGCTCTATCCGGCCAACGCCAATGACTCGTCCTTCCCTGTCACCAACCCCCTGGACCCCAACAACTCCGATTCCTTCCCACCTGCACCTCTGGTGCCGACGCCAGACTTCCGCCTCCCGCCAGCTTCATTTCCACCCGTCCCACCATCCGCCACTGACCAATCCCAAACCACCTTCAACAACCCCACTCAGCCTCCCTTCGACTCCCAAGTCCACCACCTCCTGACGTTACACGATTCTCTCCGAGACGAGGTCTCCCGGATCGCCAACGCACTCACCGACCTAGAAGGCCGCACCAACATGATGATCATCAACGAAAACCAACGGGTCAAAGACGAAATGCTGCATACCAATGCCGCTATCAATGGCATGCGCATGCAGTTACACTGGCTGATGAGTGCGACGCTGCAACAGCGCACGGCGAATTCTGCCGGTAGTTCAACGGCTGGAAGAGCGGCTAGTGGTGGAAGTGCCAGCGCGAGTGGAAGCTCCGGCACGCAAGGGACCGGCACCAGGTCAGCCCCTGGTGCTACGCTGCAAGCGCCGATGAGGAGACTAAGCGATTCTATTAGGCAAGTAACCAAGTTGTGAGAGAGGGGGTGATGCAGGGCAAACGACTCTCTCTGTCCTGTGTCGCAATTGCAGACTCTCGACTACTGTGGGTGTCTCAAGGCTTTGTACGACTAACGAATATGAATTGACGAAAAGTGGGGTTTTTTGGGGTTCTGGCGTTTGTAAAGAAGGAAGTGAATGGGTCACATGTGTTTCAGATAATGGGACCTGGAACGATCCTCTTTAGCACAGGCGGGTTTTTTGTTCAAGCGGAGTTTCACGAAAAGCGGTTCTGGCTGTGGGTGTTACGGCAATACCCCCTTCTACTACCATGAGTATGGGAGCGTGCAAAAGTATTTTGTCTCGAGATTACTATTTTTAGGGAGTGGAGTGTGGATGGAATGTGGTGGACAAGCGTAGGAGGAAGAGGTGAAAAGTGTTTTAGACGAAGTAAAAGATATCCAAATAGTTTATCGAAAGTCGAGAGAGCTTCAAGTGTGATGGTGGACTTTGGGAAGAGTTGAGTAGCTGAAGTTAGTATTCATATCATACTATATCACATGTATTTGTGAGCTTTCTTCTGTTCTGGGAGCGGAAAGATTCGTGAGGTTCATTTATATCCTACTCCCACCTATCCATCCATCTGCGCCCCCCTCGGCACGGAAACCCGCCTATCTTAGAGAAAGGAAACACCCCGACAGTTGGAGAAGATTAGAGAAATATCTACCTACCTAATTTACCCCATCCCTCGGACTTCCTTGCACTAGAACATCCAAAACATGGATAGATTCGACTAACATAGAACTAGGCAGAAGCCTGCGTCCTCTCCCAACTCCGCCAAATCCCGGCAACTAGCCCACCCAGCAGTTCAAATACACGTCTTGAATGAAGTATACCAATCACGCTCCAAAAATTACCAACCTGAGCTCCCACCGCCAGATCCCCACGCCCTTCCTGCCCCTTCCTGCTGTTGTCCTTGTCCTTGTCCCTGTCCCTGTCCATACCCTCCATACCCCCCCACTCCAGCATCATAACCCCCAGCCGCTGGCGGTGCGCCAGCTCCGCCAGAGTAATCCTCGTACCCCTGCTGGTAAGCCGTCGGCACCGTATACGCGGGCTCTGCGCCCTGTCCGCCTGAATATTGTCCATGGCCCCAAGCGTCGCCGCTGGGAGCAGGTGCATCGTACGTGTATCCTTCAGTCGATTGACCTTCGGCGTACGAGGATTGGTATGGCTGGAACGAGCCCCAGTTTGAAGCGGGGAGGCCGGGAGAGGGTTGGGGGGAGTATCCTTGGTTTGGATCTTGTGCGTAGGGGTCACCGGATGAAGAGGGCCGACCGAAGTCGTCGCCGACTTCTCGCGGACGGCCGGTGGAGAGGAGGTTGAAGCCTGGACTTAATTTTTGGCCGAGTCCGCCGGGGAGGTTTGATGTTAGGGAACCGAGAAGATTGCCGCCGCCGCCGCCTCCAGATCCAGAGTGAGCATGCCCGCCGCCGCCTCCCGAGTGTCCTCCATGGCCGTGGCTCTGACCTCCGCCATAGGAACCAAAACCCGCGTTTCCATGTCCGCCGTGGCCGTGCGTGTGGTCGTTTTGCCCGCTGTGATTCTTACCCGCGCGGACCGATTCCGAGCTCAGGATATTGTTCAGACTATGTCCATGATCCGGTCGCTTATCAACCCATCTCTTAACAACATCGAACATGTTCCGGTGAATTTCGGACCTTTGATCCCGGATCGCAGGATGGTGGAACACCTGGACGCAATCATTCAAGACTTGGTCAACTGGAACATCAGGATGGTCCCACGCGTACACAACGCGCGGTGCCACGAACTGCAGGATAGCCGTCGCAACTTGACCAGCGGGTTCGTTGAGGATGTTGGAAAAGTGGTCTTTACTGAGCATCGAATGAGTGGGGTTCGTCGAATACACGTCCGTCCAGGGTTCGAATTGATGCTTGCCACTGCTCTCTACTAACGCCGAAGACGAAAGCTTGAGTTGCTGTGACGCAGCTGTAATGATGGGCTGGACGAAAGGCGCGAGCAGGGACAGCACGAAGAGCGTTACACGCTCAGTGATGGTTTCGATGAGTTTTTCGAGTCCGGGAATTTTGGACACGATAGCGGAGATGGACCGCACGACTTTGTCGCGGAATTCGAGGATCGGGTAGATCCTAGGGATCACGGTCGAGGGATCGAGGTTTGTACCTGGGATGTCGGGGCCTGGTGGGCCACCGACGGAGCCCGGAGGGGCGTCGAAGGTCATGGGTTGTTGGTATCCTCCATGTTGCCCATGTTGAGGTGGTCCGGCTCGTGAGCTGCTGTAGGCGTCGTAGCCTCCACCAATGCCGCGTTGAGCATTCGCATTAGCCTGGGCATCGGAAGATGCTTTCAGAGAGAGCGCTTCTTGGATAAGATTACCAGTTCCAGGTACTTTGCTTAAGGCATCGCAAAGCGAACCACAGGGGTCTCCACCTCCACCCCCTTTGGTATTGGTGGTCAGCCCTGCGGCATCAGAGAGCGCAGTATTCACCTCATCAACTTCGGATTGCGTGAAATGATCCGTGGCCTCTCCTAGCACCGAATGGAAGAAATCTACGCCACCAAACGTCCCTGTGACCAATGGAAACACGTGCTTTCCATGCAGGTTGATCTGTGTCTGAATTCCAGTGTGCGGGAATACATTATTGAATCCGAGCTCTCGGAGGGCAAGCTCCGTATAGTTAGTGTGAGCTCCGAAATCTTCAAGACAATGGAGACCCTGTCCCAGACACCGCAATGCCTCAGCAAGATCTTGATCACGCCCACGCTGGCCAGACGGACCGTGAGTGTACATTCTGCCAAAATGAATGGCGCGGGCAAAGGAAAACTTGACGTAGCCACTCGAAGTTGCCCAGCCGCCACGTTCATTTGCGATGTAGTTTTTCATGCCGGTTTGAGGGTCCACGGCCAACTCATCGTTCGTGACAGGGCCACGAAGGCGAGCGTCGAATTTCCGGGCGTCGAGGTTGTCGGCGTAGTCCTTGGGGTTGTCAATGTGCTCTTCTGGTCGGTAGACTCCCAGACGGTCGGCTGTGACTTCGAATTCCCCCGTGGCATAGCCGAAAGACATGAAGGAGAGGATCCAGACTAGGACTCGGATAGTTTCAGCCTGGGCGAAGGGTTAGGACTCGGCTTGATCATAGAACTTGTCGGAATATCAGCAGTATAGCTTTGGTCCGCCAAGCCTCTTCCTAGGAATAGAAAGATGGTTAAAGGGATGTAGACTTCTATCACAAAACAGACTTTGCCAGCTGATATCCCGCGATATGTACCAATATACAATAGAACTCACTTGAACGCTTTTGAGTGTACCAACGTCAACCGCCTATATACGATTAGTAATGAAGCTCTTCAATTATTTGTACCACTGGAAGCTCACCTGACTGTAGTCTCGGAGCCAATTTCCAAAATAGACGCGCTGTTCACGAAGGTCAGCTTCCTAACTAGCTACTGTTCAAAGAGGTCACTGTACCTTAATCATCATAGAGTTCCACTTGTGACCGCGCAGACACGCAACAGTCGCTAGCATATCTTCGATGTCTCCATGGCGCCAGTTTCGACCTTCAATCTTGGAGATAGACGCAATATTACCGGCGCCAAAAGCTTCAGCTTTGCCTGGCAAGAGAACAAGCAAAGCTATCGCAAGCAGCAAGACATACTTCCCCGAGATAGCCATTTCAACAGTAGCGAGAAAAAGCAGATTCAGAAAGTGTAGTGGAGAGAGTTGAAAGAAGCTAAGAGGGAGTAAAGAAGTCGAAGCTGTCGTTGCAAAAGTTGGTCATTCGGGCCAGTCAGCCGTGACGTTAACGCCGCTTCTGTGGCGGTGCGATTTGTGGCTCCACTATGATTCCCGCCGCTTAAGCAAGCTGCATTCGCCCACCAGTTCCTTTCTTGATTGAAGATGATTTCGCTGCATCATGCTATGATTACGGCACGCAGTCAATTACCTTGCAGCGCCACGATACTGGAGCAAGTTCCAATGTACGAGGCTGAGCTTGCACATAGTAAAAGTCGTCTGCGCCACTACCCCTCCTTACCCCGCTAAACCCTACTCAGTCATGATAACACGAGAGTTCAGCTGAGGTCTGCCGTTCGCTGCTTACTTGACTGGTCTCAGGCTGAAGCTTGTCTGGCCAGTGCTGGCCAATAGTGTATAATGCTCCAGCTCTCGTCGATGCAGCAGGGCAACACCGCTTTAGGCGGCCGCCTACTGCTGCCTTCCTCTCACCCACCTTCTTCAAAGTAACTGTCCAGCGTCCTTCCATCACTCTCATCATTTCCATTACTTCCATCATTCTACCGTTATCTCATCTTAAACCCCGTCATATATAACCTCATCCTCGCCCATCCCCGCTCTGATCTTAGCGAGCTTCCTCCAGCACTGAGAGCCGTCGAGAGCTGCTCACGTGCTTCATAGCAACTATGGCTTCCACTAATTCATCTAAAGATATCACCGCTGCAATGGGGAACCTGACTTTTGGAGATTTGAATGAAGATATCAATTCTATCCGAACTGATTTCCGGCTTGGCCAACACTATCCGACAAGGCTGAGTGAAATCGGCGAAGAGGACGATGCGAGCTCCTGTGGGTCATGGCAAGACGTATCGGACTCTGGTGAGAATGTAGTAGCCTTGGAGGAGGAGCAGAGCGACAAGGCTGTAAGCATAGAGTACGAGCAGAGCGGGAAAATCACCGAGCCCTCCACTGATGACTGTAAGGCCTTCTTCAAGGCCGCCATCCACGGGGATATCGACATGCTCCAGGAAAAGCTAGATCGAGGTGTCGACATTGAAGGAGAGACCACAAAAGGCTTTACAGCACTTGTGATAGCCATCATGGAGATCCAAGTCGATGCTGTCAAGTTCCTCCTTCAAAAAGGAGCGGATCCCAGTCACCGCTCCAGAGGGTTGCCTCCCATGGTGCACGCCCTTACAAGAGTCCGACATGCGACCGAGCTCATGCAGGTGCTTCTTGACCATGGTGTTAATCTGAACACGATCTCCGGTCCGGACAACAAGGATGTTTTGCACTGGGCTGCATCGGAGGGCGAACGAAAAGCAGTTGAGTTCCTAATTAGTAGAGGTATGGATTTGGAGAAGAGATGTCGCCGAGGACGCACTCCACTCCTACTTGCCGCCGAATGTGGCCATACGGAGGTTGCAAAGATTTTGTTGCAGCACGGCGCGAATTTGGACGTGCGAAGCGACAATGGCGGTACTCCCCTCATCTGGTCCGCTTCGAATGACCATGCGGAGACGGTCAAGCTATGGTTGGAACATGAGGTGGACATCAATGCCACAGACAACTGCGGACTAAGTACGAATCCTCCTATATTTTCTGCAGTTGGCGCCTACTACGGGACATGAGCATGAAAGATCTGCACTGTCAAATCTCTTACTAGGTTTAGGGAGACAGTTGGCTTCCTGTAGACTCCTGATCTATTCTAAGCGTCCCTCGTTCAGTGGCAGGTGACTATACCCAGTATTTCCTCTAACTAACAGCTCGACTAGGTGCCGTCTTCCTCGCTAGCCACTTTGGGTGTCTTCAGAGTGTCAAGGTTCTACTTGGTAAGGGTGCGGATGCTTCTCTTCTTAGCAAAGAACCTTCCAACTTCTCGCCTATCATGGCAGCAGCCTGTAAAGGCCACTCGGAAGTCATCCAAGTCCTCATTGAGCATGGCTGTAACCTTAATGTTCAAAACAACGCTGGCGAGGATGCGCTCGACCTGGCCATAAGTGACCGAAAGATTGAAGCTGTTCGAGTTCTGCTCGGCGCAATGGGCGGCGCAGACTATCCAAAAGACAGTGTCTCTCTTCAACTAGCTTTGGCAAACAATTACACTACTATGAAGGCGATTACATCGGTGGCGTCAATCATGTACCCCTCTGCTAGGAATGGATGCGAAAATCCCGGGAAATTCGCTTGGATGGTCTGGGCTCTTGAAGAAGGTGGTGCGCTGGTAAAGCAACGAGCTATGCGTAAGATGCTGCACGCTGCTCTTGAAGACCAGGACGTTGAGTGGGTAAAGGCCCTCGCTGAACAGGGCTGCGATATGACTGCGCTTCTCGAGTCTGGCCACACACCATTTACCTTCGCAGTCGGCCATCGTAATACCGAGGTAATTCAAGTGCTTCTGAATTACGACGCAGACCCCAACAAACCGAATGCAGATGGTTTTACGGCGCTCGACTATGCTGTCAATGAGATGAAAGATGGAAACGACGTTGAAATAGTAGACATCCTGCTCAAGAGCTTCCGATGCCGCATCAACATGGGCAACAACCCGGCCGATACAGTTTTCTCATATGTTCTAACCAGGGCGGAAGAATGGGGATCTAAAGCCGATGACCTTGCCATCCGCATGTTGGCGTCTGTGCAAGACATCAACGAGGATAGGGATTCAGTTGGCTGCACTTTGCTCCATGTTGCCACTCTTCGCGAGCGAGAAGATTTCATCGACCTTTTACTCCGGCGCGGAGCTGACCTTGAGACTACCGACGAGTGTGGTGTCACACCACTGATTCTTGCAACCCAGCACAGTCCAAGAATGATACCCCTCCTCATCGAACGCGGAGCAAACGTCAATGCCAAATACAAGGCCAATGCTGGTGTCTTGGCTGCTGCCGCTGCACAAGGGAGCGTAGAGTCTCTGGAGTTTCTTGTCAATTATGGGCTCGACATCGAAGTTAAGACAGAGAAGGGTTATCCTCCACTGGCATGTGCATTAACTTGGGCCCAAGAAGACGCCGCGCTGTTTTTGATAGAGCAAGGGGCTGATGTTCACTGGAAGACAAATAACAAGGAGCAAACTGCGTTGCATTTTGCCGCCAAACAGACGCTTGAACACGTTGTCGAGGAGCTTCTCAAGCGGGATGTGAAAGTCAATGTCACGGATAGTGAAGGCTGGACTCCTTTACACGAGGTTAATATCATTCTCCCTCGGATTTTCTCCAGTTATTAACAACTTCAGGCATGTGCAACTGGCAACCCCAAAATCGTCGGCATGCTTCTCGATGCAGGAGCTGATATTGAAGCGGAGCTTCCTAACAAAGACCGACCCTTACATGTCGCACTCATCAACGAGCGAGAAGAAATTGCCGAACTACTCCTAACGAAGGGCGCGGATACTATTGAACGAGCATCTAAATTACGGAGTCCACTTCATCTCGCCGCTGAGTACGGTCTCCAAAGAGCCGCCCTCCTTCTCTTGGACAAGGGGTGTTCAACCGAAGCCGTCGATGAAGAGTCTTGGACACCCCTCTGCTGTTGTGGCTTCTCAGATGTAGTCCGAGTTCTCATTGACCACGGCGCAAATGTGGATTATGCCGATAAAGATAATTGGACGCCTCTACACCAAGCAGTCTCGAACGAAGATTTCTTGACTGCGCACATGTTATTGCGAGCTGGCGCGAAGATTGATGTTCGGACGACTGACGATGGCCTAAGTATTCTCGAGCGCGCCGAAGATATCGAGAATAGGGAACAGAGCGAGCGATTTGTCTCTTTACTTGAGGAAATGATCGAATTTAGAAAGGCTCAGGATTTGGAAGCGAATAAGGATGATATTGTGGAGGTAGATGAGGTGGTTGATATGGATAAACTCCTCTAAATACGTCCAGGGTCAACATGCTGGTGTTAGGGAATGGTTTGGGGTGTTATGGATGCTTGCCAGCTTTCTCCGTGCATCATGAGGATCTTGAAGTCTACTTAAGGTAAGCGTGTTGCTGGTGATAGGTGTTTATATGGGTTTGGGTATTGTGTTTTGTATTTTGTGACATGAATTAATATCTTTTTGGGACCTGCCTTTTGATTGTTTTCTTATTGTTATTTTACTATACCTCGCAGACAACGGATACAAGCATCACTCGGTATCTCTATGGTTTTAGTCATATATGCTCAGGCCTTGTGCGCCTTCCCGCCCTTCCCCTTTTCGCCTACTACTTTTAGGAGTTTTCGAAAGCACTACTCTGGACTTTCCTGATATGCGGCATGACCTGAGACTGCTCAGATTACCCGCTGACAATTGTCTTTCGACTTTACGTCTTCATTTGCTCTCTATATTCTTTTATCCGCTGCAGCATTTACCAACTTTTCCCCCGATTAACATTCGCTCATCCCCATCGTCAAGATGCCACCGAAATGTCCTCCCAACTCATACCGATCTCAAATCGATGAGCCCCAAAGTTCTGCTCTGCGGCGAAGTGCTGCTCCAGATCAAGCAGAGCCAATATCACCCCACAGCTATCCCTACCACACATTTGACCAACCTTCAACATTAGCTACCTCGGCATCCCAGCGAGAGCTTGAAGCATCCCGAGAACGTAGACTCGAAATGTACCGGCAACGGAAGTCTAGCCGCCAAACCTCTCAACCAGTCAATCCAATATCTCAGCAGGAGAGTGTTGGCATTGGTGAGATCGCGAAAGATGATGAAACGTGCATCTCTTTAAGATGCTACACCCCTCGGCCCGGAGAAGATGGTTACGGTTGGTCAGAAACTGGATTTTGGTTCCGAGAGTATCATCGACAGGACTGCTACTGTGAGCTGTGTCACCCTCGGCGCCAAAAGGCAGCGTTAAGGTCAAAACGGAAGGCATCTACACACCCCCTACCGAATATCTTATCAAACTCACCTTTGGGATATATCAAACATATGCGGAAGCGCCGCGGCGGAGAACGTACTCTCACAGGGTCTTTGCCAAATCTTCCATCACCACCACCTTGGGATTCCTTGTATCAGCCTTTGGCTCGTTCACAAGTGAGCCTTCCAAGTAACGTCCAGACACCTCAAGAACAGACCCTGCATCCAGGGGCTCTGGACTCAGACTCTGAACAGATATTCTCAGGCCTTTATCTGTCCTTCACAAGAAGCTCCCCAATACCATCACCGGGGCTCCAGAGTGATTCTGAGCCGCCATCTATCGGCGACAGACGACAGCCTTCTCAAGAACACATTGAAGGCCTGACGCATAGGGGAAAGGCAAGACTACGGGGAGGCGGGGATGCAGATACTGGATCAGGAAGCTGGCGAGTGAATAGACCCAGGGATCGGCAAGCAAATAGCATCGGGAGCCAAGTAGCAAATGGGATCGGGGATCAAGGCCATGAAGTAAACGGAAGCGAGAAGGAGGAAGCCCCCAGCGCTAGAGAACTACTTGAGATGATAGACGATAGACGGGAGCAATGCCACGGGAACTTGAAGGCCGAGCGTCGACAAAACCCTACCTTGCAGTACATGGCGATGGAGCAAATGACCCGCGGTACGATATTAGAGCCTCACGGAAATAAAGACTTGCCTCCTAATCAGGGGCAACAGAGACGACGGGGAGACGAGATAATTTATCACTTGAGCTCAAATCCTCCCCTTATCGCGAATAGACTTCTCTTAGAAGGAAATCTTGGATCAGACCAATACGATTTTGCTCCAACAAACGGACACTCGCCAGAAGCTTCTGCGAATTTGATCCCTTATTCTAATCCTCTCAAAAGTAGATACTTTCCAGGAGCGCCGTCTTGTGAAAACGCATCTCCCCCTCACGCAAGTGGAGCAATGCCTGTTGATCGAGCGCAACGAACCCAGCCTTGTCCAGGACCATATTCTCGTGGGAGCCCATACGATGTACTTTCGCACAACTTGCAAGCCCGCTATAGCTTGAGACTACCTAAGCTAGGGGAACCAATCGGTAGGAGTCCATTTGCTCGTGACGCATATGAAGCCTTGTCATATACCCCAGCTTTTTTAACCCGGCGCCATCTTCGCGGTGAAGAGAGACGAGAAGTGGTCTTCAAGGTTCTACAAGAAAAACGAGACTATTTTAATTCCTGGATTGGAGGAGAACAGCGAGAGCTGGAAAGTCGCTCCAGAAGCAGTTTTAACAACAGCAATGCTCCCGTGAGCGCCTCCACAAGCAGAGAAAGCGCGGTGAATGGAACTCGAGACGCGACAACTTTACCCCCCCACTCAAGCGACAACACTTCCGAAAGCCCAACGTCGGGATCCAAAGACCAAATGGGTTTATTCCGTCGCTATTTCGGGCCTAGCCGTAGTGAGGATGTGAATTTAAGTCACGAAACTAAGGAGGATGAAGAAATCGCACCCAATCAACCACTTGGAGTGTTAAACAGACATGTGGCAAGTAGAAGCTCCTCGCCTGACAGAAATGCGAGTGGGTGGGCTCGGCATAACGCTTTTTCGCGTATGGTTCCTCCAGGAGGAAGGCTGCGGGAGGCTGAGAGATCCACGTCCGCCCCGTCTCTTGGATTGTCGACCCGGAGTTTGATAAATGTAACCGTTTCTCCTAGAAGAAATTCAACTCGAAGAGCTCAGTGTACCGCTACCATGAATAGCTATCCGCAAGGAGATGGGCCCACCGGAGGCTGAGACAAATGGAGTGGCTTCCCCTAGCAACAAATTCACGTTTGAGAGTCGATTTCTAAATAGCTTGTCGTAAGGCAACCCTGAGGGTGTTTGGTGTTGGTGGTTTAGGATCAGGGGTCATTGTGGAGATGCTTGTCAGGAGAAAAGGGGGTATTATATGACGAGGTTGGGAGACGAGTTTAGGTTTTCGCTGCATACAGAAATGCAGAAGCGCAGTGGAGATTAGACTGAGCAGGTTAACAGATTAAGAAGGGGGGGAGGTGTTGATATAAATTTTGAACCTTCGGGACTGGTTAGCCAGTAAAAATGAATCAATGGTCAGAAACGACTCAAACATGAACAGAAAACCCAGGGCTCATATAGCAAATCAGACTAGGAAGTAACAATGCGAGAACACTCCCATGAATTTGCCCACTCAAGCCATCAATTCCGTACTCAACCATCCTCCCTTAAAATGGATCCGGACCAGGCATCTTCAACCCAAATACCTTCGGTAAATAATAATTCGAAAACCATACATTCCTCCCAATCGCATACCCTCTCGTCACATCACTACTATCCAGCATCCCCCTTATCCAATCTCGATATCTCTCTTCCTTCTCCAGCACTGGCCATGCCATACCGAGTGGAAACAGAAAGAAGAGAGACGACGATCTGTGGGATTGTGGCGACTCCATCTGGTATTCGAAACACCGGCATATTTCAATCGCGATGTCGCGAAGGGAGAGTACGGCGGCAGGAGGCTGGAGGGGGGACGGAGAAGAGGATGCGGGGAGGGGAAAGAGTGTTGAGGCTGTTAATGCAGTTGTGAGAATGGTGCTGGTCGGGACTGTGGGGTCGTGCGGTGAGAGGCGGAAGAGTAAACTCAGGAGCCACATGTGCACAGCGTTATATAAGAGGATCTCGGCGGCTTGTGTGTGTGTTTGGAAATGGAGTTTCTTGGGTACGACGCGAGGTATTGAAGAGGGTGATGGAGGTGTGGTTTCCCAGGCTGCGGAAGGGTTGAAAACGTCCCATTCGTAACGCCAGACGTAGAGCGTATAGAGGCGGGATTTTATATGGTGGAGGAGGGAGGAAATACCGCCAGCATCAGGACATTCTTGGAGTTTGCTGTCCGAGGCTAGGAAACCAGGTATGTGGACTAGAATATCAACAAGGTGGTTTTGCTGGCTCTTTGTAGAAGGATCGAGAGCCCATGGTATTGATTTCCAGGGCTCTTGGTCAAGGAAAAGAGGTTGACGAGCAATCAGGAATGTTGTTACCTAGGTTATCACCAGCATTAGATATTAGAGTAAGATTGTTTAGAGGGTGGAGAAATTACTAGCGTTGCTCGCGCAGATTCAAAAGCGCTTCGAAGAGGTTCTTTCTGGAATTTTTCCGGTCCGCAAACATGCAGCATCATGAGCAGACCTTTGACATGCGCTATGCAAGCCGTTTTATCTTCCTCATATGACTAGCTCCCCCCACAAATCAGTACCCAAGTTTCCATGAAGGATTTATGGAAAAAAAAAAAAAAAGGGGGGGGGGGGGGGGAGGGGAAATCGTGCTTACCGCATGCATCAGCAATACCATTACCGGAATAATCAAGTACTCTAACCCCGGGTTTGAAGGGTTTGCTAACTTGGGTCGGAGTAGCGTCAGCACCTTTCCATACTGCATCGACCCTTTCAATTGGAGCTGTTCTTGATGATGAGAGACTCCAAAGAAGGTCTGCGAAAGCGCGTTGATGGATTGCCGAGTCATAGCATCGATTCTGCCTTCCGCACCGAGGTCCAGCCACCCGCTGCCGTATGTTCTCCACACGAAGTTAGAGAACATGTACGAGACGCAGACATCGGATTGGAAGGCAACAAGACTGAGTTCGGGGGCCACTACGACAGTGCGTATTCTCGGCACGATTTTAATTGACGTCTTACGGTCGTATTGCTTCGCGGGTGTCGTAGTCGTTGATGACCGAGATTCTCGAAACGGCGCCGTTGAGGTGTTGATAAAGTGCAAGCCGGTATCATACCCGGCACAGATATACCCGCTCTTCTCACATCTTTTACACGTTGGCTTGGCCTCATCTACACCACAACTTGTCAGTAATACATCTACTTCTAAAAAAATTACGAGAAGAGGCGTCAAATACCGCACTTTATTCTCCGCCTCCGGCACGTAATGCATCCTTTCGACTTCCCAGGCACGCCAACCATGGCATGAGGTTGATGCACCTCTCAAGATTTTTCTTCTTTGGGAATAGTGCGCGTGCGCGTAGCAGGCATGATGCAGAAGGAAGACACACGGGCGCTGGAGGATTGATCGAGGAAATCACGTGCGGTGAGATTTATCCTTGGAGTGAGACGTTTTCGGGTAGATCTATTGGCTAACTGGATTGGGTTTACCGGCGACAAGGTGTTGAACCTCAGATACGGAACGCCTTTTGAATACCTAAGCGATCACGACTACCACCTTAGCCCCATTAGCTGCGCCCCGTTGGCTGAGGTTGTACCGATCAATATATTTTCTATTCACGGCCCACCATCTACCTGCTTCATCCGTTCAACTATTCCACCATCCTGGCTAGAATGTGCATAGACTCGATCAGGGTAAGTTCGTCAATCCTCCAAGCTACTAGGTCTTAGGAAAGGAGGGTCAAAATTCAACTTACGTCCTAAGCCTGGAACCTTTCAGAAACGGGGTGTATCCTTGCACTTGGTCTTAGTTGTGCGGCATTATCATGGACTCATTGAATAAGAGTAAGATTTTGGAAGCACTCACCCAACCAAGCTGGGAGGTTCCCATCGCTCAGGACGAAACTCTTCAGCATCTTCTCCCCAGATATCTTTCTGGCGCTCCAGAGCCATTACACTAAATGGTCACGATTCTACCCAATTTCACCAGAAATTGGAGATTTCCCGTCTGTGCTTCCACCCACTGCTAATATTGTATCTTGGTATGCCTCTCGGGAGTTGTTTGTAAGGACAGGGGGTAAACGCAATGCTGATGTATCCGTGTCAGCTTCATGGGCCTTCACACAAAACAAGAAGCCAGCTAAAAGACAAGTTTCTCCATCATGATGCCGATTTGTGAGAGCTTAAAAAACTTGGTAGGATTCGAGTTGATCAAAGGTAAGGAGACGGCTTTGCTTTGCTTTGCTTTGCTTTGCTTGTGGGAAATGCACTAACCTTGTAGCGCTTACGGCACCTAGACAACCATTCATACCCGACACGTCAGTATAAGTCCATGAAGCTTCCTTAACCTTCACTTGTCTCAGTGGGAACGACTACAGAAACGCCATATTATTGAATTCTACCGTGGGATCCGAGACAAGCGAGTATATGGTTCCAAAAGACTTTTTCAAATTCGTCAACGTGGCCACCTTCTTGAGTAGTAAACCTCTCCGTTCAAGCACGAACAGAGCTCAAGCGATTCGTTTTTCTCGATGCCGGTGCTAATGTAATGTTGGTCTTGAATACTTTCCTACTGCTGAGCTTACAGTACGCGCACGTCTGCTCATGTGCTATCCGGTAGTTGCGGAAATATTCTACCTTTCCCCTCATCTGAAAGTTGGTGCAAAGACCGTCCGCTGGGGAAGGACCACTTTTTGGATAATGTTGAACCAGAATATACAGCTCTGATTCAAAGGTGGATTCGTTGGCTTTGGTGCTAAAATTGTACAGAATGTCAACTGTTTGGTGACTATCATGTGGTAGCTCCTCGTTTTTCGAGAAACCCTCCCTTTAAGCCAGTGTAATACGCCATCGATGTGTCAGTCCCTTTCGTGAAGTTTTAGTAAGTGCCCCGAAAATCCATCCAAGATTGACCGGTCTTTCTATAACTCTATAATTAGCAAACAAAGCATTTTCTTGCGTAAAATATAAATTAATAGAAAATAGCAAAAAGTCTTAGCTATTTATTTAGTCAGTTCTAGCTCTAAGGCGTCGCTAAAGATAAGCTTAGCGTTAGCTAGAGAAACCCTCTTTGAAGGCACAGGTCTTAAGGATGTCATCAGCCTAGTCCTAATACAGGATATCTTAACATAAGCAACTCTTATAATGCCTACATCATATCAGATGTTGAATATACCCAGACCATCAAGGAGGAGAATGTTCTACAGGTCGCAACAGGCGTACCATCATTCTTCCCAGGTGGTTACGTTGATGGCCATAACGAAAGACATCCTGCGGATGTAATCATAGACGTCCTTCGTTCAGCACTTCCCTACCACTAGAAACAAAGAACGTAACCTCCAAGACTGCTGGGGAAAGATCCAGCTCCATATTTAGGCATTAGAGTTTTTTGATTTCCCAATTGCTTTACATTCCTTAGCCCGCATTCTCTAGTTGTTAATGGTCGTACGATTTCACCAATAGGCAAACATGTGCTCGTTCTAGTTAGACATATATTTCATTATAGAGCACTCACGCTAGCCACCTTGTAAAATAAAAGCGCAAGCGGACTACAGAATCGGACCCCTTGACCTGTACTAGACCAAATATATTTACTTGTGTTGCCCCTCCTCGTCTGCCCAATCTGATTTCATCATGCACGTTTAGAATTTCGTGCAGCAAACTATCTATATAGACGTCTGCCACTCCGGACACAAGAAACACACCACCTCCGGCCGCGTCCCAATACTTTGGCCTGGGGGTGACCTGCAAGTTATGGCGGTTATTCAGGGCTAGGGTTGGGTCATTGACACGATTCTTTTTTGCTGGAAACGGTATCAGTCCTGCGGAATTCGATACTACAAAATCACTTGGCTTACTATTCTATGAAAGGAATTATGGGCCTCCTGTGGCAGGAGGGGAACGGAAGAAGATGCTGATGCAAAGTGAAAGTCAAGTTGTGAGGATGCTGTACACCACGCACCAGCCAATAGTAATTAATTCATCTCTAAGAAACCCCCAGTATCCTCCAACTACGTGGATAGATGAAGTGTAGATGGTGAGGCGTGGGTAGATGAAAGTGGGCTTGCGAAGAGGTGGTTAGTTGGGTTAAGGAGATGGCTCTGGCGGTCAATCCCACAAAAAGAGAGCTAGAGCGGCAGCTTCGAGAATTGTGAGCCATACCTGCGGTCGCGAGATTGTCGGACTCAGTGCCAGTTATCCCATTGTCAGAAGAGCTATATTGGTTTACACAAGATCCGGTGCTTGATTTAGTTGTTCGCTTGGGTGACAGTGACATAGCCATCTGATTCTGACATGAACGTGCTGCTACGAGCAACATTGGCCAACAACCAAAAAAGAGCTAAGGCATCGCTCCTGAAAGTTCACAGTCAAGGCTTGGTCGAGATCTTTCATCGCTCGAACGCACATACGTATCCGTGCAATGTGCCGTTCAAGACAGTAAGCGGTGGACGCCTTGGAGGATTTAACACTTTCAAAGTATTTGGGACATTACTGGGAGTAGTTTTGAGAGCTCCCGAAACCATGACTAGTTTGCTGTAGAGATAAGGAAAGTCTGGGGCGGTTTTAAGGCTTTCCTAATTTACTTTAGAGAATGAAGAGGTATCCAATGCAGCTAGAGACCAAATATTACGTTGCTGAAGAGGTGTCACAATGCTAAAGGTGTTCATGTACACCCCTGAGGTCAATTGCTTGGACTCGGGCATCAAAATCGGTAACCTTACCAACATCCACGTGCCGTGGCTTGCAGTCTCAATCAACTACCAAAAAGGGAGAATGGTGAACCCTGACTCCAGCTCATCAGGGTTAGAAATCTATCTTGGAACCTGTATGCCTGCATCCATCAACGTCGAGATCTTCCCTATCAGCCTACATCTGCGACTAAATCTGCATCTGCGTTCGAAATCTAAGTTTCTCTCGCCCAAAGGCGTGTCCGACAATCTCTAACCTCGCCTCCAAACGGGAATTATCCTATTTCGACCGTTATCCCGATCCCGAAAAGCGTACCGACCGCGTATCTGCCTCGCCCGTCCGTAGCTTGATTCAGTCATGCCTAAAGTTCAGAAGGGCAATAGCAAGCGAGCACCCTTGTCTCTGTCCAACTAGATTAGGGAAACAATCAGATCATTTGACGGGCGGCGCTAGGACATGAATATTGACGTGGAAGTTGTAGGCGTGGATGACACTTGAGCGGAGAGACCTAGCGGTTTAACTTGCGGCGCTTGAAACGAGTAAATTAAGGATATGAACGAGATTTCCGTGCCATGCATTGGTACCGTGGTTCGATCGATGCTGAGAAGGCTCGTGAGGTGGGGACGCTAGGCAGAAGTTCCCATGCACAGGGACGTATCGCTAAGGTGCAACTTCAGCGTCTGTGGACGGAATGAGAATATCGCTGATTGGGTGGAAGGAGAGGTTGGCGCAGTAGAGCAGTGACTGAGGCAGCATCTGAGGCAACAGTACCTGGGTACTGTCTCAACATCCGTTAGGATCAGCGTGTGCTGTGCACATGCTTAACGTACGAGGCCCAGATTTCCCGACCCAGGGGCCCCTCTTCCAGCAAGCTCTCCCTCACCGGCCGCTAAAGCCTTTGGACACCGCCATGCTATGCTTCAAACTCACAACCAGAGCTTCACCGCGACCTGCGTGTTCCTTCGTAGCCGAGAAGCAAGGAATAATATACGGTTGGTGTTTGCCTTTGGCTTGTGGGTTTATGATATCACGCCTCTGCACTCTTCCCCACGAAACCAAGACAGCCCCTGACTCAAAACATATGCAAGCAATGCACCCTTCCTGGCCTCTCGCTTGCCCACCACAATAATTTGTTGTGGCCCCGACACGGCTTGGTTACACAACATCCAAACAGTGTTTGGTTGTCAGCCAAGTTCGTGGATAGCGTGCATTCCTTCCACAAGGCCCTAACAGGGAGAACCCCGGATGCAGATTGAAATGATCGGCCGGAAGCAACCGAGCTCTGGCTGCATGCGACGGAGCAGGGCCAGTGTACTAATGGCCGCGGGGTTGTGAGATGCTGTTCTTCGATGTGGTAGTCTACCGACGCGGACATACCGAGAGGCCAGGACGCTATTGGCGGACTACCAATGAATAAAGGTTTACAGGAAATTCGGTGTTGAGGCGAGAATCAAGTTCGTACGCATAAAGGCGGTGGATTGAGATGGAAATCAGACCGACGGGAGGAGAAGCGCATCCAGATGGTCGGGTATGTTGACTGCCTCCTGTGCGTCACATTCACCGACTGCAAGTTGGTAACCGTTGTCGCACACTATTGCGGTGGAGGCCTGGAGGGTCTCTTCACACCGAGTGCGCTTAAGCAAGTCTTCTACAATGAACTCTCGGAAAGCTGTTACTTTTGGGTTTTTAGGCGAAGTTCGTCACGATCTTGCACAGGGTACTGACCAGACTCCGTTGCGGCTGTCCGCTATAAGATAAGCGCTTGGACCACATTATTCACAACCACCATCCATGATCAGCAAAACAAGCTGCGTTCGACTGGTCCGAATCAATTTTGGGGCTTGAGACAGTGGCCATGCTGGTTACCCGCGGCTGGGATTGGCGCGAGAAATGCGGGCCTCGAATTTCGTGTAACATTACGCCCTCTGCGGGCTTGCCCTTCAACGGTCACTTGTTGGGTGAACGTCCGCAGAAGGTGGGCTGATGGAGGTAATTTACACTGCATCAGAACTTAATCCGGTATGGGCGTGACAGCGATGAGATCGTGGCGCTATCCGGTCATGGCGTTAGAGAGTGATGGCCGTTTTCGACCACCAAAGCTCTAACAACGAGTGATACTTTGGACATGGGAACGGCGGTCAGTCCAACAGCAGTATAGGCTCTGATCTCGTTCGCACACTTTCTCGCCGTCTAGAGTGTTTCATTTCCAAAAGCAGTGCCCGTATACATATGTGGCATGCTCTGGAGCTCATCACGGATCCGGTATTCTTTGTCCGTCTTCAGCGACGAGGTGGTCTGCAGTCTATGTGAGCAGTCAACCTCGAGAGCTATTAGTTGTTATAAATACCAATTAGAGACTCAAATTACCAGACAAAGAAGTGCTGCTGGCCAATTTGACTCCTCACGTTTGCCTAAGCGGCCCTTTTCCGACAAAGAACGCGCCGGACCACCCAATCGAAGATACACCACGGTCCGTCTGCGTTGAGCGCCTGTGCCTACATCACGTTCGAATTGATTGCCCTAGAGTTAGAGAAGTCGCCGGTGAGAAGCGGGTATCTGCAACAGGTTCGTCCCTGAGCTCTTTGAGATCTATCATGCATCATCGCGGCGGGAGCAAACCCCGTGTATACAGCAGTTCAGTATTCTTACTACTGACACCCACGCGCAGGTACAACCGTCTGAATCGGAAAACGTCTGCTCTAAAGGGCCTTCTAGAAGTGCGAGAGAAGGTCATTTCCCGCATTCTTACAGCATTCGGTGTTCTGCACATACCGTCTTCCGTCCCACAGAACTACTCGCCACAGCTCGACAGGAGGTCAGTCTCGGTCGCGGGTTGCTGCAGTTGCTCCTCGTGGATAGATCATCCAGGCCAGGGTTCGTTTCGTAGTGAGCTGGTGAAGATTCAGGTTCAGATCGAATTCTCAACCAAAACAATTTTGCGCCGTAAACCCGACAGCCTGCGACAACATCTTGCCTTCGTACGTAGTAGCATTTCGCCGCCATGAAGAGTGAGGCCCTTTTTCAGCAACACCCCCCAACGCCCCCCAGTACCAGTACAGAGCTGCAGTCCGGACTTTTTCAGGTTGCGCAGTACAATGCAGAGCAGAGTTATCCATATGATGAGCCTCATCGCCACAGTTCAGCCTATGGCTCTCCAAGGCCCATAATACATGAGGGGCGACTTCAGTACGCCGCTCAGCCTACCCAGCTTTCGCAAGGTGAAGGAGGCCATTACACAGATCATCATTGTCAAAGTTTTGGACTGGGAACCCAATATGTAAGTCGTCCTTCCACAGTTCGAGGAGAAAAGACATGCCGACAGCACCTTAGAAGGGATATGATCGGGGCCCGAAATACTACCCCCAAGAAGGACAGTACCCTGAGCTACTAGTAAGTCGGTTCTCTGAAGTTGGGAAGGAAGAGGGCATAAGGTCTGACGCCAAATAGCATGATCCGAGTATGTTCTCAGGTTCGCCTCCCACCCCAGCATCTGCTACGGAGAACGAATATGCCAGCAGGCGAACACGAAGCGGTCGTGCTATTGCATACTCCAAGTCGCCTAGCGTTAATGACAAACTGAAACCAAAGCTGACATCTAAGCCCAAGAAAGCGAAGGCGGGGAAAAGTGACAAACCAAAGACCCCGAAGTTGACTGCGCCATTGAGCGTCTTGACAAAGGACATGGCTTCTGTCCCGGTTCGTAACATGGAGGAGTGGGTGAACCGATCTGTCGAAGTGCGGCACAAGGAGGTTGAAAAAAGAAACGGATACGTCACTAGACCCATGAACTCTTTTATGCTGTACCGATCTGCATACGCTGAAAGAACGAAGCAGTGGTGCTTGCAGAATAACCACCAAATAGTGTCATCGGTCTCCGGTGAAAGCTGGCCTTTGGAGCCGCCCGAAATTCGCGAACTGTACAACGAGTACGCCAAGATTGAAAGGATGAATCACCAGCATGCACATCCAACGTACAAATTCTCTCCGAGCAAGACTGCCCCTATAACACGGAAGCGGAAAGGGGAATGTTCTGATAACGAAGAACCCAGCGATCTCGACGACAGAGAATGGGGACCAGGAAATCGCAAATCTAAAGTGAGAGTGTCGCCTCGACCGGAGAGAGACCTCTCATATGCCCCAGACGGGATGGGTCCAGAGTTCTTCGATCAATTTGATCCGAACGGAAATGGCATAAACAAATCGATTTGGGACATGTCAAACGAGGGAAGACTAATGCCCATGCCTGTGGCCCAAAGTGACCTATACAGTCAATATTACCAAACGCCTGTTCATCCAAGCATGGCCATGGCGCCAGGGGTTATGGAACATCTTAGAATGCGGAGAATCGATACTACCGACACATCAATGCATTTTGCGTCCGGCCATGCTCTATTAGGTTTGCCCGGAGGTTATGCTGCCGATGGAATGGAGCAATTTCACTCCTCGACTGATACACATCTTGGGGAGCCACAAGTTGATCCAATGCTTTTGGCCTTTGATGGGGGACACTACTGCCATGATGTCGACTCAGCAATGGCGCAACACCTGCATCCCGAATTTCGCAATGGACATATCGGCATGATGGAAAGGGAGCTCAACCAGGACAGCGTTCACAGTCTTCTCGGTGGAGGCCCGAACCAAGATGATTTCCACTCTGAGCCATGGCATCCGGATCCGACAATGGCGCCAATGGAGCAAGGGTCAGAATTTGAGAAGTGGATGGATGATGACCGTGATGCAGGCTAGGAACGAGGGAAGTGAGCACGGGGTGTTTACCGACCTGGAGGCGGATAGATTGCAGGCAAACTTACGCTTGTGAGGCCAGCAGGCCTTATGGTTGTATCATATGTACAGAGTGAAGCAGATGCTCTCTCGTCTCGTGATAACAAGGCGTTGGCGGTGTATTGGTAAAGGGAAATACCCACGTCCTGCCGTGAGTTTGGAGGCAGTTTGACAAGCTTTTCTTTCCTTATTTTGCGCGAGAAACCGCTTTCTCAAGTATACAGTCTCTTTATTAAAGTGGAAGAACATGCCGCAAACACCGCGAACCCCTGGTGGAAAGACTCATCCGTTCCTATCAGATCCGAAGCGTGGATGAGCAATCCCATTGCTTCGCTCTAGAATGTGGTGGTTTGTTAAGGAACATGCTAAATATATTCACAGCAGAATGAAGCCCAACACTGACAAGCAGATGGTGCATCCGAAGAAGACGATGGGGAACATCACGAGTGACAATTGAAGAGCGACTGCGATAAGAAGCGAGGAAAGCACGGGCCACAACCCATTCAATTTCGGGCTAGCTCGCTTCAGTCACAATCCGTGATGTGGTTGTCGACGCGATCCCGGCACGCGGCTACCCACCAACACCTTCTGCATTCTCGACGGTTCCAACAGCGACACATAGATAATTTCTTTCGCTTCTTTCTAGTTTTAAAGGCGTTGTTTTATTACAGGAATCTCCTGGGTTTGCAATCATGTATGGCGAGATAGGAAACAAGCTGGTCCAACATGCCAAACGTACCCAGTCGCTTGCCCACCTCCCGCCATATCAGACGGAAATGGTCCGCGCCGTCACACGAGAGGTCAGGGACCTTGATAAGGATGTCGCCGCCATTCTTGAGCCCTTTGCTGGGTCTTTCGACCCCTCAACCGAACCTGCTACCGCCTGCGCGCTCCTGGTGAACCACCTGTGCATGAGGCGGAACAAACGGTGTCTGTTAGCGTATCATCGAGTCCGATCCGACAAGCTGGAAGAGATGTGCTGGAGCGGCATCGATGTACTCGAGAGGCAGCAACAGAATCCCAACAGAACTGGGGGTGAGGGAAGTAACACTATGGGGGTCGATGGCAACTCAAGTAGCTTGAGTCCCGAGGAGGAAGAATACGTCCGGCAGTACAGTGACCTGCTTGCGGCATACAAAGGGCAGTGGACCGACATTGACCTCACTGGTAGCCTCGACCCACCAAAGGACCTATTCATTGACGTCCGGGTGCTCAAAGATGCGGGGGAGATCCAAACAGAATACGGGTGAGTATGCTATTGTGCCCCAAAGCAATGGTGGAGGCTAAGTGTAACAGGGCAATCACCTTGACCAAGAATAGCCAGTTCTATGTCCGACAAGGCGATGTAGAACGACTCATCGCGCAAGGGTATCTTCAGCGACTGAGCTGATATCATCTTCTACTACACTCGTTGTGTTGGGAATTTGCGTGGGGGTTTTGAGGTCCGAGGATCGCAGGGATCAGATCACGCGAATGCGAAAATCTGATGCCACAGTGCAGAACGGCATCGGTTGTTTCAATTCGATATTGACTACATCTTACGACCAGAAAAGGCATTCCCGCTCAAAGTGCGGAGAAGGGGACCGACGCGCTCGGCGGGAGGCTGTTGGGGAGGGATTTTAACTGGGTGGCTGGCTCCAAGTGAGGAGCCGAGAAGAAAGTGGAGTGAAAATGCAAGAAGGTCTTGTCGGCGGCAGCGGCTTCGGGTGATGCACCCACACCTCGTCTTCTCAGGAATGTTTCTAAAGTGCAATGCCGTTGGGGAGGGAGCGCAGAAGAGAGATGTTGGTTCAGAAGGAGTTTGAGGCGCTAGAAGCAGCAATATCTGCGCCGAAGAACGCTTGCAGAGTGCCACACTCTCGCCTGCCCTGCGGTGCCACCTCTCATCGCACGAACCACGCGTGGACGTTCTCCGGTGGTGATTTGCTGGGGAGCCTTGGCGGCGCTGTCGCTCATGCTCTCAACGGCGGGCTGGGGTTTGCAGGGGATGTGGGACCGTGCGTGCTCACATGTTGTGGGCAATTTGGTGCAACATTGGTCGTCATTGGGAGCCAGTGTGGTGTGATGGCTCTCAATTTCGGGTACTTATCATCCAACTTCGAGGTCGTCAAGGCCGTGAATGCAGTACGTGGTGAATGTCCTGTGTGGTGAAGTCGATTGGGCGTTGGGGAGGCGCTTGAAGGGCTGAAATGCGGCGCCTTGGCAAATTGGCCAGGCCATGACGTTGCGGGCCGGCTGAAAGTGGTCGAGAAAGCTTCAGCAAAGTTTTCAGGCCATGTCTTCACTACTACAAGGTATCATGCCGGATCCAGTGGCTGCTGCATCCATATCTAGCCCAGGTCCGTCGCCACTAGACACCAATTGGTCCAAGTCGATCTGATCAACCAGACCCGCCATAACAGAATTTCACGGTTCTTCAACCAGAGCAACCCGCTCCTTCGCATTGCTATAGTGGACATGCCCCCGAACATTTATTAGGGCTTCCATTATCTCGTAGTAGGTTATCAGGATGACGTCGTGCCTGTTAAGGCGCCAGGGAGACTCGAATTCGGTCGAGCAGCAGCTTCCCTTCACTGGCGATACTGTGAGCGACCTCGACTTCTCCAGAGAGCAGCAGACCAACCAGTCCGATGCTGGGTCGAACATCGTCCCCAGATCACGTCCAATAAGAGCCCCGTCTTCCACATCGGCATCGATACTGTCTGGGTCGTATACGCAGAGGACTCCCGCACGGTCATTCGCGCATCATGCTTCTCATGCCGCCATAGGTAGAGCTTTTATATCCACGCCTAATGCAACCTCAGCAACTAATGCGCCTCACAGACAACCTGCAATACTCATCCCATGGTGTGCGTGAGAGGACCCAGGAGCTCGCCTCCTACGCACTGGACTTGGACGCTTTCCAGAGCCGCCCTCGGAGACCCAGCTACCCGGAATCGGACACGGTATCAACTCGGCGAGCAGGCTTCTTCTCGCAGGACACTGATGTCGGCGAGGGGAGGGTATCGTCTGAATCATTCAGGACTGAAGTCATTGGGGGGGACGATGGGGTGGAATCGCCAGAGACGGTGGTTGATGAATCTCGGCAAGGCGGCAGGAACTTCTTCAGCCCAACGCCGTACACAGAAGTTGATCCCCAAAGTCAGGGAGGAGGAAGTTCTGGAGCAGTTCAGGGAATATCGGTCCGCACAGGCCTCCCCAACGTTGTAGTCCAAGATACCGAAGCAACCCCACTTCTACCCAAGCCCAGGCTATCTCGGACGGATGCTCCAGCACAGTACAAGTCAATAAAGCCTGCTTCTTCAGACCACTCAAGCACGGCGAGCTTCAGGATACGGGTTGGGGAGCACTTCACCGCCAGTCGAGAGCATCTAGTTGGGGCCGGACGCTCGGTGCTGAATCCGAAGAACTACACCAAAGACGCAGCTATCTCAGGAGCTATCACAAGCTTACAGACGCTCTCAGCCGTCTTTCTAGGGTTGCTTCTGAATGTCCTGGATGCGCTCTCCTACGGATATATCCTTTTCCCCCTGGGATCCCCGGTTTTCAGCTCGACTGGTCCAGATGGCATCTCTATCTTCTTCGTTAGCTGCATTGTATCACAACTCTGCTACTCCCTGGGACTATCCGTTTTCAAAGGCGGCGTTGGATCTGAAATGATTGAAGTGGTGCCTTTCTTCCACAAGATGGCCTACTCAATTATGAAACGCATGAAGGGCCAAAGCGACGAGGCAATCATTGCTACAGTCATAGTATCTTACTGCCTGAGCTCGATTGTAACTGGCCTAATCTTCCTCACTCTCGGGGGGTTTAAATTGGGCAGTTTGGTTAGCTTCTTTCCTCGGCACATCTTGATTGGATGTATTGGAGGTGTCGGATTCTTCCTTGTGGTGACCGGTATTGAGGTTTCTGCGCGTCTTGAAGGTAACTTAAACTATGACTTCAACACGCTGCACAAGCTCTTCTCCCATGACACGGTCTATCTCTGGTTGCTTCCACTTGTCCTTGCGGTCATCGTCTTGGTTATGCGACGGCTGATAAAGAGCCCATTTGTTCTGCCCATTTTCTTCATTATTGCATTCGCCATCTTTTACCTCATCATCAAAGGCATCCTCGGACTTGACTTGGAGACCGTTCGTAATTCCGGTTGGATCTTCGAGATGCCGGAAGCAGGCGTGCCGTTCTACAGATTCTATTCTTATTTTAGTAAGTGGACCACCCGCAGATTCTTCCTCGACCGAGGTCTGACGATATTTAGAATTTGGCAGCATTGACGGGGGGGCACTAATTAGTACTATTCCGACTATGTTTGCGTTGTCGTTCTTTGGTATTATCCACGTCCCAATCAATGTCCCAGCTCTCGGTGCGGCTGTAAAAGAAGACAATGTCAATGTCAATCGGGAACTCATCGCTCATGGTATATCGAATACGCTGTCTGGACTAGTCGGGAGCATTCAAGTAAGTATCCTTAATTGTGACTAGAGCTTGAGCTGATATGTATAACAGAACTATCTCGTCTACGCAAACAGCATTCTCTTCATTGAGAATGGTGGCGACAGCCGCGCAGCGGGCGTTTTGCTCGCTGTTGCGACCACTGCCGTGTGGATGTCTGGTCCAGCCATGATAGGATTTATTCCTATTTGTCTAGTCGGCGCCTTAATCTTTCTGCTTGGCATTGAATTACTGGAGGAGGCCGTATGGGATACCTTCGGTAAATGCCACAAGCTAGAATACCTTACCATCATCGCCATCGTCCTCATCATGGGCGTCTACGATTTCGTCGTCGGCATCTTCGCAGGCATCGTCCTTGCTTGCCTCAGCTACGTTGTCCAGAGCTCTCGCACGCCAGCTATCCGCGCCTCATATAGCGGAGATGTCGCTGAATCAACAGTGCGTCGCCCGCGCGCCGACCGCCGCTATCTCAGCCGCGTCCGCGGTCAAATGCGCGTCATCAAGCTCAGCGGCTTTCTCTTCTTCGGGACCATTGTCTCGGTAGAGGAGTATATGCGGTCCTTGATCGAAGAAGATAACTTCCAGAAGCAGCCTGTAAGTTTCATTATCGTGGACTTCTCGCACGTCACAGATGCGGATTTTTCCAGCTCCGAGGGGTTTCAGCGCATCAACCGCATACTTAGCCGCAAGCACGTTAAGATGATTGTTTCCGGTATTTCGTTTGCGAGTAAAGTAGGCCAAGCGCTCCAGAATGTCGGGCTCCTTGACGCAGAGAAAGCTGGCGATGAGTGCCCCCCGCCAAGTGTCTTTGAAGACCTCAACACGGCCCTCGAGGCCTGTGAGAACGAACTTCTGGAAGCTTTCTACAAGCACTGTAGCTCTTCTACCAATCGACGACAGAGAACTCCACCGATATCCATCACGCCAGAGGGCCTCGCGCAGCATACTCCTAACTCTCCAGGCTTTCGGAACTCAACAACTTCCGGCTCGCTGATTTCCTCCCTTCGCACTAACCCTCTCGATCCAGAATGGCAGTCTCCACGCCGCGGAGCCCAACTCCTAGCCGCAGCAACCACGATGCGCGAACAAGGCGCTGAACCCAACTCCGCCGAAGCCGACACACCCTCCGCACCCTTCCCCTCAAAATGGAAGAGCTTCGCGCAACCCATCAAAATTCTGCTCCAAACCTTCGAAGACGTGTCCGCCAAAAATGAAGACTTCTGGCAAATCGCCGCGCCATACTTCCAGCGCAAAGAGTACCCGGCCGGCACCGTGCTCTACACGCGTGGCGACGAACCCGACGGCTTTTACATTCTCGAGAAGGGCCGATTTCGCGCAGAGTATGAGCTCGATCAAGGGCATTTTTATGAGGTTATTTTGCCTGGGACGACGTGTGGCGAGTTGCCTTTTTTCTCGCAGACGGATCGGACCGGGACGGTGGTGGCGGAGAATGATTCTACGGCGTGGTTGCTTACAAGGGAGAAGTATAATGAGTTGGAGGAGAGGAATAGGGATGTGGCGAGTGAGTTGTTGAAGGTGGGGCTGAAGTTGACGAAGGAGAGGATGGATGCTATTACTTCGTATGTCCTTCTGTCCTATCCGCTTGATGGGAGTGGGAATATTTTAAGCTGACTGAGCGTAGATATGTGCTTGTTACCGCGTCGTAGGATGAATGGATATAATACGCGCTTGTCAACAACCACAAGACGGACGAACAAGTGGAGGAAGAGATGTAAAAGGCGTACAAGGTGATGTGTTAGGTCTATGGTATGGTGAGTACCTTGTATTATATGAATGCTTTGCCTATGAGATTGTGACGCGACTATATTTTGGATCTTGTAAGTACGGCTTCATGTGCGAAAGGGTTGGATGGTGTGCGTGGGATTTTGCTTTGAGATTCGTGGGATTGAGGTACAGGATGGGTAATTGTGCAGCTTTGGAAATGTGGTCACCATTAGCATGTGTGTAAATTCCGATCCGCTGAATTTTCTGGAATGATTCGACTGGTGGGTTGCTAGAAACCTGCGCTCTGAAATGAGGATAATAAGGATGTGTCGTGGACGTGCCCGTGCCCGTGCCGGATAGCTGATCGAGATTGATGAACTTAAGGGTATTGGCTTCGATCGATCTGGGTTCTTATCACTATCCTGTCTCCTTAATTATCTGTGGTTATCGTGACGACGTGCCCATGGATTTCCGAAAGCGGATATCCTGGAGTTCGCGCAGGGATAAGCCTAACGGAAAAGTATTTGCCTGTCCTCGTCGAGGACGTTGAAACATGTCAAAAACGCCGTGAGGCCTGACGTGGAAGGAATATCCTTGGATTTTTGGGGGTTGGAATGGAAAAAGCAAAAGCCAAATTGTCTAGATTAGGTGCATATAGCGGGTTAGCAGGTTGGATTTGCTGGCAAGGTATTGGGGGCTGAGAGGAGAGTTGAAGCAGACGGTTGTGGATTTGAACTTGGTGCAATATGAATCTATTTCATAAATGAGAGATGAAAGGAAATGAAATATAGTTTTACTTATTGGAGTTGCGTATGTTGTGGGATTTAGCTTTAGCATTTGATAATATAGACTAACTGGTGCTCACATAGTCAAGTACTGAGTCGAGCGCCGAGAATTGTGTTGTAGAATGCATGTGAGAAAGAGAGTTGTCGCGTCCTTCGGAGCCAATTACAATTCTTCTTAGAGCGGCTGTGAGTGCGGCCAACGATGAAGCGACAGATTTGCCGAATTTCTTCCTCTCTTCTGCCAATTAGAGTTGCCCTCGAAGTCAAGTTCCAAGAGAAGAAAAAGCATTTCCGTACGACTTGAACACTAGTTCGGGCAGCATGTGATATCCTCGATATCCTAGCCGGAAGCAGAAACCATAGGTTCCCATTTCTGTTACCCCAGTTTTTAGTGGATTTGTGTGCATATCCGAGAATTTACAAAGTTAGCATGAAAAGCGCCATGATCAATGCTCCTCGCTATTGTTTCCACATTGTGGATCTGGATCCTGAACGTCGAAATGTTGCTGATCGATAGAGGCGTTGAATAGTTTTGCTGACAGGGAACTAGATGCAGTCGGGCTGTGGGTCGTGTGGCTTGCTAACGACAAATTGCAACGGCTCGGCACGAGGTTTGCTGGGTTCAAGGGATTCCCAAGGACTAATTTCCTCAGCCTTCATTTTCACGGTGTGTCTCGGAGGTGATCGATTGACGGAACTTGTGCGATGCAATGGAGCCGCAGCTTGTGAGAGGTAGATTGGTGCGGCTGCGTTTGAAGACATGGATTTTATGAAAGCAGGACCATGAGATTAATGAAACAAAGTTAAGCGTGCGTAATTCTCCAGGCGGTTCGACATGCAAAGCATAATTTCAAACACAAGACCGTTCGCGCCGTCCGTGCAGGATGCTTGGTCAATTTTGCGGCGGTGAGAACGTGCAGGGGATTGGCTGGCGGGACTAGGGGGATCTTCAACGGATGTTATCGCGCTTGTGCAAACGGTGTGCAAAACTGACCGCGAGTAAATTGGAGGGAGAGTGAGGGCTGGTTTTATGTGTGTTGGGCGATTGTCGGGTCTGTGGACTTGTTGATGCGTGGGGGAAGATAGGATGCATGGGCGAATAGACTGTGATACGTAGCAGTGTTTTTGCTGAGAGGATGAAGCAGGATGGCCCACGGTTTTGGAATTTTTGCGTTGGACAGAACGCTTCAAGGACCCCTTTTCACGTGAGAAGAGTTAGGTGGCCTGTCTTGGGCAGCAGCCGACAAGAGCCGTGAGCATTGAGCACGCGTCTCTGGCGGCCAACTTGATCTCAGATCAGCCGGCGAACTCGGCATGATGGGGCAGTCGATTTTTCCAATTTGCATCAATAAGAATCAAAGCCCACACCTCCACAACGCTTGATTCGGAATAGCCCCTCATGATCGGACTGTGATATCAATTTATCGGGTAGTTCTTTTCGGAATTGTGCATGTTTGTGCTGCCTGCGTCGCCAACCCTTCCAAGGTACGGAATACACTCCAGGGTGCACAGCTTGACAGCAGGGCGAGTGGTTGCTCACCGTCGAGACCCGTTAGTCAGAGTTTGTTTCAAAGACTATGTCTGAGAAGGGCGGCATGAGAGTTGAGAGGGTCCGAAGCTCGGTAATGAGTCCGCAGTGGAGGCGGCCACTTGGAGGTCGGCTTGTCGCTCTCTCACTTGTTTGTTCGGCTGAGATTCGCCAGAGAATCTCCCAATTTCATCAGCGAGCAGCACGACAGGCGCAAGGGTCCGGTGGTTTAAACGGGGATCAGCGGCCAAGGTGTGCAGCGTGCGCGATTCGCTGAGGCGCTAGTGCCTACACGTCTAGCCTCGCGAGCTTGGGCCGCTGCTTGGCGAGATGATGTGCCCACAGCACAGTAGGCAAGAAGCTGGAGTTGTGCAGAGGCAGGGCTGTGAGAGAGGGGATAAATGAAATGAGGGAGCTGGCGTTGTGCAAGACAGATGCACAAACGCCAGCGGAGTGTCGTGCAGGAGAAAGGACTGTGTGGAGAGGGTGGTGTCTACAAACGGAAAAGAAGGCACAAGGGAGTCCCGAGGTCATCGCGGAAGGAGGCGCCGTGCTGCAAGATACACCAGGCAGACATGCACATACCACGGGCATCTTCACGCTCTCGTCGCGGCATGGTCATGGCCGACAGTCATAAAAACTCAGAGAGAGTGGTGGCCCTCGAGAATCCTCTCTATCTCTCTCGCGGACCCAGAGCAGCGGGAATCAGCAGAGGCCGCCCGTCTCGTGAGATGTCCAGCTTGTATGTACGTTGGACGATCGAGGTCGCTGAGCAGAGGGCGCATGACCTGAGATATCCGGGCAGGCATCATATCAGAGCAGCGCCCGCAGAGTGACGCCGCGAGAAGCTGCCGCCACAGCCCCAGTTCCCTTCCAGCGCCAAAGCTGCTACCAGAAGATGCTTTTCGATTCTGCTGTGAATGTGCCGTCGGGGGCAGCTTCGTTGTTTCAGACCGGACGCGTGCATAACATTGACTGTCCTCGCCGTGTGATTCGCAACCGGCTCCCAGCCAGACAATCAGCCAGTCCAGCAGCCCAGGCCTGACACACAAGCGGCGACCAAGCGGGGACGGCGCGACTGAGTTAGCGCGCTGTCCAGAGCCAATTTCGCATGCATCCCTGCTCCTGCTCCCTAGCAACCACAAAAAGGTAGAGCCCCCTTGGCCGCCGCCGACTCTCTTGTTCCCTTCTCTCTCACACCACTGCCCTCTGCTCTCTTGCACAAAAGATCGAGCTGCCCTTCGCACCCGCTATCACCTGCAGGCACAGAGCCTTCTTACCTTCGTACGTCTTTATAATATCACGCCTTGCGAGCTTGCCTCCCGCAGCCCTTATCTTCGTCCACCCGCACCAGCCCTGCCCCCCCCACCTGTCTCGCTCTTTAACTGCCCCCAACACTCCCTTTCACCCAGCACACACAACATACAGCAGAAATGGCCGAAGAACAGAAGCCCACCGTTGCCACCGAGGCAGGCGTAGTTGAACCCACCCCGGCCCCCGCCGAGGCCCTGACCAGCGACAAGCCTGCCGAGGCAGTCGAGACCAAGACGGAAGAGCCCGCAAAGACCGAGGGTGAGCCGGTTGTCGCCGCCGAAGAGAAGAAAGAGGAGAAGCCCGTCGAGCCCATCTACAGCGGTGTCTTAGGTTATAAGGCTCCCGGGCTCAAGAAGTGAGTTTGAGATTAACTTGGCAGCGATCATACCACTAGATATTTATTCTAATTGTGTTGTAGCGCTTTCCGCTTCTCCAAGAAGTACTTCTGGTTTGGCGAGGAGGCTGTTTCCACTCAGAGCCTTAGCCACTATCTTCGGGGCGAGAAGGCCGAAGTCGCCCACCCAACTGCTGCCTGGTCGAGCCAAACTGGAAAGGGTCTTCTCTACTTTGTCAAGCATGCCGATCAGAAGGAGACCCCTGCCGGTGTTCTGAACCTTGTACGCATCAACGAGGAAGTTTTATGACCAGCAAAGCTAATAAACACGACAGTCTGATGCCACTGACGTGACCAAGGATGGTACTGTCGCATTCTTTTTCAAACTTCACGGACACAAGCACACATTCGAGGCCCAGACATCGCCCGAACGCAATGGTTGGTTCGTCGCCGTTGAGAAGGCCGTCGAGGAGGCCAAGGCCGCCAAAGAGGGCATTGTTACTAGCGAGGGTTACAAGGAGCAGCTCGACAAGCTAGGTGAGTAAATTCCTCCGCATGTGTTGCATTGCAATCATGAAAATTAATTGATGCATTCGCGTTGCATTCGCTTGTTCCCGCTGCAGGATTGCTGACACGAAGCGAAGGCAAGCCCGCCACGCTAGTTGCAACTGCCGCTAAGGAGGGCGCCACCCCAAAGAAGAGCACCGACGCTAAGACAGCGGAAACTGAAACTGCAGCTCCAGCTGAGAGTGCCGCCGCTCCGGCCCGCACTGGATCGTCTTCAAGCAGCTCTGCTGACGAGGAAAAGAAGAAGAAGAAGGCGAAGAGCAAGAGCCGATCCGTTTCTCGAGGCAAGCGTGCCTCCATCTTCGGCGGCTTCCTTGGAAAGAAGGAAAAGGTAGAGGAGAAGAAGGAAGAAAAGAAGGAAGAGGAAGAGGCTAAAAAGGAGGGCGAGGAGGCTGCTGCCCCCGCTACTGAAGGTACGTTATGACCCTTCCCACGAGGAATTGATCCCATTGCTTACATGACTAGCTTCCACTACTGCTCCCGCCCTCACCGAGGAGGCTTCCAAGCCTGTTGAAGAGGCCAAGACGGAGGAAACTCCCGCCCCAGCTGGAGAGGCTGCCGTCGAGGAAAAGAAGGTGGAAGAGAAGAAGCCCAAGCCTCAAAAGCGGGGCTCCATCTTTGGCAACTTTGTCGAGAAGCTTAAGAGCCCAACAACCGAGAAGAAGGAGTCAGAGGTTGTCCCAGCCCCCCCAGCGAAGGAGCCGGAGACCGTCGCTGCTCCTGAGGCTCCTGAGGCTCCTAAGACCGAAGAGACTCCAGTGGCTCCAGTCACTGATGCTGTTACAGCCGAGACGCCGAAGGAGGAGGCCAAGCCTACAATCACTACTCCTCCCAAGGAGAATTCACACTTCTCTTTCGGCAAGTTCTTGGGTGGCCACAAGGAGAAGGCTAAGTCCCCAACCACTGAGGCTGCGCCCAAGCTCGAGGAGCCAGCGAAGACCGAAGAGACTCCTGCTCCAGCTGCGACCGAGCCGGTCACAGAGGCTCCCAAGGAGGAGGAGAAGAAGGAGGAGGGTGTCACCAGCACCGTCTCCGCTAATCCCGTTACCAAGAAGCGGGGCTCGATCTTTGGCAACATTGGCTCCAAGAAGGAGGGTGAGGCCTCCGACAAGCCCAAAGGTCTGACTGGCCTTTTCCGCAATGCCAGCAAATCCATCAAACCCAAGAAGAAGGAGGAGGCCCCCGCTGCCCCAGCCAAGGTTGAGGAGACTGCTGAGCCAAAGGAAGAGTCTCCCGCTGTCCCAGCCAAAGAGGAGAAGAAAGAAGAGGCCGCCGCTCCAGTTGCTGCTGCTGAGCCTAACTCAATTGGCGACGTTGTCCCGGAGGCCGTTACAGTAGGGCAGGCTACAAAAAGCACGCCCGAAGTCTCTGCCACTGCATAAAGTATGGTGGGAAGATCCCACGCTCAATGACAGCCACGACGAGATGACGGAAAAGCAAAGATACCGCTCCTCCCTTGTTTGATCGCACGGCCCAACACGACAATATACCCCCGAAGTCTTTTGCTTTGGATCTTTCCATGGATTCAGGCACCAGTTTTGGATTACCCCACGCCCACACACGCATCCCCTCTCATGCACCCTACCCAGTTTCGCTACTCGGTAAAGTTCGACCAACTCCTCGTCACTCGCTCTCGTGGGTTTAAATGTTCTGCGGCATTGACATGTTTGGCGGTGTCTATTTTGGTTCTCAGTGTTTATGCCCACGTTTTCTGTCTAGATTGATACCACTCTGCACTTGTTTCTCTCATTTTGATACCAATGTCTTGGTTCCGGCTGTCGTTTATTTGTTTTCACTGCGAAATACCCCCTGATACCCTGCGTACTGCCTTATTAGGAAATGTACAAGCGGCCAACTATAGGGCACACACCCCAGCTAATACGTAATACAAAATGTGGTTTTCTTGCGCAATGAACAGTTTCAAGTGATATTTTCAGACTCGAGGACATTGAAAATGGATAACAGGACAACTCAAAGCAGTAACCATGCAGGTGTTTAGCACCTGCAATCCGTTGGAGACATGAGGCGCATTGTTGCATTGAACAAGTTTGAAGACGATAGTGGTCGTGAATGGCCTGGGGAGCGTTCCTCATAAGGCCTGGTTAATCTAGCGGAAAGTTACGGAATCTCGAATAATAGTGAGATCACTAGGGGTGATGTCCTGCCGCTGGATGCCCAGGTGCGCGGTACAAATGTGAGGTCGCAAACCGACGGCAGCCTCGTGGGGGGGAAGGGGGAGCTGCAGCACCTCCACCTCAGCTTTCGCCGCCAATGCCCAGAAGACGGCACACCACCCACATCCCTTCCCAACGACTCGTTTTGTTTACCGTGTTTCGTTCTTAATGTGCATATTCTTGCCTGAGCTGGGCTGTCGTTCGCTCGATTGACAGGGTTGCGGTTATCTTAGTGGGAGTCTGAGTGCGCTACCCATCATGGTATGTCGTGCGACAACTACCTCCCTCACTCGCCGACGGCCTTGGGCCGGGAGTGGGTTGATAGCCCCAAATCCAAGAGTCCATGGCAAAGTCTCATAAGCGAGCTTCTTTCCTCCCGCATAACTAATTACGAGGATTTAGGGTTGCTGTTTCTCTCATGAAGAAGACAACGGCGCAAACCATCCATACCCACCCGTCGCCAATGCACCAGGCCCAGACTCCTCCTCCCGCAACATCACCGCCGGTTCTCCCACACGTACTGGCTCAATTGTCTCTCCGCGGGGTTCTCGTGTTTCGCACCATCACGCCCCACAGGCACAATCACGTCCAAATTCCAAGTCCATAGCCCCAAACACACCTCTCAAGCCCCTCGACCCGAATCGCAGATCCGCGCTACCAACAACGCTCTCCTCCTCTGTAACTGCGACAAGTCCAAGAAACAGGACACATATAACGCCGCTGTCCAACCCGAATGATGCCCAATGGACGCGCAGCCGGCTAGCGAAAGAACGGAGGGACTGGTGGGACACAAGGGTAACAGGCTCGCAGGAAATATGGGCCGCAATTCAACTCTGCGTCGAATACCTTCAGGCCGACGACGTGGCAGAGGCGCAAGCAATCCTCGACGCAAGCGGATGCACCTGTCCGAACGGCGAGATCTGGAGGGGCGTGTTTGGAGAGACAGGAGAGTGGTATAAAGTTCCTGAGTGGCTTATCAATGAACCAGCGGGGTTAGTGGAGGATCCAGAACATGTCGCAGAAGAGGGGGATGATGAGAACAAGAGCGATGATGGAGACAGTGATCATCTAAATCTGAGCCGAGAGAAAGGGAAGGGGAAAGCAAGCATGCAGGAAGTCCAAGCGCAGGAAACATTGCCACTGCATGTCAAATGCCGCATTGGCGATACGGCAGAAGATTTTATGTTGCAGTTGGGGAAGCAGGAGAAGGTTAGAGTGTTGGTGCAGAGGTTGAGGGCAGAGACCGGGGTAAGCCTATACCTTTTTCTAGCTGCACCCTACACCCTGGTTAATGGTTGGTATGGAATAGTTCAGGATACTTACTAACACCGGCATCAGATATTCAACAGCCGCATTAGACTTCTCTATGCTGGCAAAATCCTGGACGAACACAAGACTCTGCTATCCCAATGCCCCAGCTTCGCAGACGGACACGTATGCGTCGTCTATGTTTCCCGAAAGGATCGATCGTAGCACCCTTTCTTCTAACTATCCTTCTCGCCAGCTTTCTGGTGTCACTTGATTCTATTGGATTCAATTTCACCCTTCCGTCCACACATTTTACACTCATATTCATTCGAATCATCTCCGGACCTACTCTCTTATATCCCAATTCGATCCAGTCGTACATTATTTTAATCACCCATGTCACGTCATGTCATCGAGATACCCCATTCCATTCCACTTTCTCTCTCGTCTTCATTTGTTCTCCTCCATCATTGGGTTCTCATCTTACGGCGCGGGGAATTTCCGGGAAAGCATCAAGGCATCGATTGTCTAGGAATCGGCCAAGGATAACAACATTATTATTATTAATGAGAGTGTTTTACGTACAGAAGCAGGTAGTTGGCAGCATAGCGAGCCATTGATAGGTTCATGTTCAGCGTAGTTATGAATGAATAGATCTTGCCTCTCTAATCTGCTCCCGAATACTTTAACTTCTAGTTATGTGTCCGGACTTGCTATTGTCATACTACCCAAAGGCGTTACTATTGGAGACCGTGACGAGGGAGAAGTATGTGTCGCATTGATACTTGAAGGAAAGACGTTGTCGGCTTCAGGCCAAGAAATCGACCAGCCAGCTCCAGCCGGCCTCCACCCTTCTATCTTGCATCTCGCCTGCAAATGCAAAAGCTCGCTAAAAGAGATCACGCGCAAAATACAGCGACTGCCGATTGGCTACACGCACCAAGAAGTCAAGCAGAACGAAGTGAACTGCGAAGGAGAGAGGTTGACAGCTCAATCGGGCGATAGCGGCGATCTTGACTGACCACGTCGAACTCCGATACTAGGTGTTTAATTACCCACGTGCTATCGACCCCTCTTCAACGCCGATCATACGACGCGACCACTCGAGGACTTCAGCGGACTCTATTCGACCAGCCTCTGCCTACATGGCAGGTTCAGGGCCATAGAAGACGGCTTTCTTTCGCCGACCGCGATCTCTTATCCATCGTGCCATCGTCTAAGCCACCAGTCTTGCGACGAACGACGCCGTTTCTCCCCCAGTAGCCTCTCCCTCGCCCCCTCCCTGTCAGCTATCAAATGTATTCCAGTCCAGATATATTCGTCATTTTCATCTTGTAATTGCCATTATTGGGGCAAGCAAAACATCCTTTCGGACCACCAGGGCAATCCAACGAGGCGCCAAAGGGATCGCACGAGGAGTTATCATGAAAGTAGCGCATGGAGGCCTCCTATTAGTTTGACATGCGACCTGGTGAAAGTCTATTCTTGCTCTACTGTCCTCTTTATTGTTCTTTGTGCGCAATACGATCTCGCCGCCATCATCGAGCCAACAATAGCATCCACACGCCATGGACAAAGAATCTAATCTTTTCCTTTGTTCTCACCGCGTCGTCCCCATACTGAGTTATTTGGAGGGTTTCTGTCAGTAGCCATAGCAGTAAGAATTTCTCCTTTTAAAGCCTTTCCTCGTAAACGTAACGCTGCATTCTGTCTCCTGGTCATCTTATTCATATATGTTTGCTTTTTCTATCCCCATTTCTTTGTATATCACATTTCTTTCGATCAAGTCTGACTGGATGACAGCAACCATGAGTAGCCCGTTCGGGAATAGCAGAAACCCTTTCTCCCGGCGCCAACATTCAACCACCCCAAGCCATTTTGAATCCCTTCAGGATGGATCACCCGGCCATGATGACGACTATTCGCTTCCTAGCTATGACTATACCGAGGATAGCTCCCAACCTAACAGACCCGAATCTACGCCCGGCTATCGCAAGCCTACCGAAGCTTCTAAAAAGAAACGCAGATCTGATATCGTTCCCCGAAGCGGCAGAGGCGGGGAACCAATGTTTCATTCTACACCCGATTCTATTAGCCCCAAGGGCCCATGGAAACCTGCTGGCAAGGCAGCACCTCACAGTGACCTCCACAACCCCTTGGGCTTTCGGAGGTCTTCAACGTCCGTTAGTTCACTTGCAGGAAAACCTAACGCCGGATTTCGTACCCCGACTACCAGTAGTTACGGCTCGCTAACACCATCTTCAACACCCACACGAAAGCGGTCTTTTAACTTGCCGCTCATGGCAGTGCTGCCAAGGATAGAGCGGCGACGGAGCGGGTTGAATCAGAGTCCCCTTGCAGCATCAGCTGACGACGTCACTAACATCGATCGGTCTAAATTAGGACGGCTTTCGGCTGAAATGTCTGGGATCCGTTTGAAACGTCCGGATCGTAGGTTATCTATGTCCGTGGATTCTGAGACTATGCGCGAGACATTGAAATGGAGAGAGAGTCAACGCAGCTATCATGGTATGAATAGCCCGCCTCCAGAACTCGCGGATGTGATGAATGGGAATGGTTATGGGAGTCCGTCGAATGAAGTGGAGGGATATGGATACTATGATGTACAGCATAAGAGGTTATCACAACCAACTTATCAGCTGAACGACACCAACGCCGACTCAGAAGAAGAAGGAGATGAACGCAATCCCCCACAAACCGTTCATATGAATCACCAGTCTGCTTCCGATAGTCCATCCTCCAACAACGCTGTCGCCTCGCCTACCCTCTTCCCATCCGCCTTACCCTCAACTCCTGACATCATCCTCCCCCGCCTGTCCTTCGAACACCGACGCACGCACTCCCTGCGCGAAAACCCATACGTGCAAAAGCTCTCCGAAGAAGTCTCATCCCTAAAAGCCACCCTCGCGAGCAAATCCCAAGCGCTCTTTGACCAAGAAGCAAAGCACCAAGAAGAAATCGCCATTCTCTCCTCCAAACTCTCTCCCTCTCCCTCCCCCAACCCACTCACAGCCTCCGAAACCGCTCCCAGCTGGCAAACCCTCTACCACCAAAAATGTCTTGACAACGCTAAACTCGTCTCTGATATGAAAGATCTGCGCATCGAACTAGAGAAAAACTACCGGCCTAAGCTAAAACGCGAGAACGAGCGACTGCAAAAAGATATCTGGGATGCGCGAGACTTCGCCTCCTTACTCGAACAAACCGTGCAAACATTCCAATCACAAGCGCAGACTTGGGAAGCTGAATATAAAGCCCTTGAATCCCGCTCTAAAATTTCGTCTGCGCAAAAAGACTCTCGGATTGCGGAGCTGGAAGCCGAAATGAGTGGTGTTATCGCTGAGTATTACAGGAACGTGGGGCATGAGCAGAAGGACGAGGTTTTGTATTTGAGGACGAAGATTCAGGGGTTAGGACATACGCTTGATGGACTGCTGAGGGAGAATAAGAAGGTGGCTACGGAGAGAGATGAATGGGGTAAGGCTGTGAAAGCAATGATGGAAAGGGGGGAAAGGCTTCCTTCTGGCTACACTGCACCACGTCCGTTCTCCTTTACTACCCGCAAGCCGAATTTCGAAAGCGAAGCAGAAATTGCAGAGCGCAACGAATACCTTGCGCAGGTGAGAGAAACGCAGGAGGCGAAGAGGGAGCGGGAAGACGCGTTGTGCGACTTACTAGAGAAAGCGAGGAGGTTTAAGATGGGCGATAGGTATCCTCCTATTTGGAAGGGGTTTGAGGAAGTGAGGAGGATGGAGGAGTGGGAGAGGTGGGAGGTAGAGCGGTATTTGGAGGTTGCGCCTATGGAAGATAGGCTAGCGGCGGAGAGTGTGAGTAAGGAGTTTAGAGAGAGGAATAGGGTTTCGGAGTAAGGCTGGTAATTCTCTAGGCGATGGGAATTAATAAGAGGGAATGGATGCGTTGAGGGTCTGTGTTGGGGAGGTTTTCTCTAGGTTGTCAAGATTTGGTTATGATACCCTGGGCTAGCACTTTTAGTCGTTTTTCTGGAAACTGTTGTTTTCATTTCTATTAGCTATAGCTTACATGCGTTTCATGAGAGCATTAGCATTGCATACGTAGTAGTTTCAACTAAGCTTTACAAGTCCTTTATAGCATATTACTTAATGCGTCAGCAGTGATAAGGCAGGGAAATGAGTTTAGAAATGTAAACTAATATTCCTTGGCAGATTTTGTTCTATTGCTAGAAGGCTAATATTATCTACATTAGTTTAGGGAAGGTGAATGCTGCCCATGTACTCAACGACGTCGAATCCCTATCCCTCAACGAACAGAAGAACTTTTACTCCTCCTCCTCCTCAACACTCCCACTACTATAGATCCTAAGCCCTTCACTCCTGCTTCTTATGAATCTTCGGCAACCCCAACCATAACGCCAAAATCACACCCAACAATACCAAAATAATCGGTTGAAGGACCTGAACGCCCTTCGCCTGAGCAATAGCACCATCCGCGAAAGGGAAAATGGCAGCGCCACTACCGCCAAATGCTGCAGCAAAGCCGATAGCGCTGACGTGCAGATGGCGCGGGAGCAGCTTTGTCGCTGCTACTATGGCGGCGGGGAATATAGGGCCTAGGAAGAAGCCTTGCATTGCAATGACGACAGCGGAGACGTAAAATTGAGGCACCAGCCAGAAGATTAGCTGGAAGACCATGGTTATGGGGAGGTAGATCTGGGAGAGAGGTATAAGTTAGCTTGTATAATTATTTTAATCTGATAAGTGAAACCGTTTGTAAGAGTGAGTGACAGGATATCGAAATATGCAAGCTCACTTACAGCAATTGCTAACTTCTCCCCAACCTTTGGTGTAACAAAGCCCAACACAATCCTCCCAATTGTAAGTCCCATCCAGAACCCAGTCGCCGTCATACCACTAGCGAACTCCGCCCCGTCTCTTACTTCAAGCATGAATTTGACAATCCAGCCTCCAAGCGCGACTTCAACGCCGACATAGCCCAATAGGAACATAGCGCAGATCCAAGTCACACGGGCGAATGGCAAGCGGATGAGGGCCTCTTTCATCCGGTTGTCTTTGGTGTTGGTGGTGCGAGGATTATTGGCCCGGAAGATGGCACCACTGGCGCCCCAGAAGGCCCAGACGGAGGAGGTGAGTTCGAGGAATGCGACGGCGATCTGGTAGTTTGTTAATAGGTGTGAGATATAGATATACGATAACTAGATGTGCGTGGATGGGAAGCCGAGAGCCAACCTTACCATAACGTAGTAGAAATAATACCACGGTAAGCGGCTCCCCTTCGTAATCATAGTAGTAGCAATCAGCGGAGAAAGGGTAGCTCCGAGTCCATAGAAAGCATGAAGAAAGCCAAGGACCTCGTTCGGATTAGCCATGTTTCCGATCCAAGCGTTCCAGGCTGCATCAGCTAGGCCGTTGCCAAATCCTGCAATCATGAAAATGACGACGAGGACCGGGTATGGAGGGTGCAGTGCGATGATAATATAGGCGATGAGATGGCATCCTGGTGAGATGAAGGCTACACCTCGCTGCCCGAATTTGAGATGGATTGTGTTGTTTAGTAGCGCGGAAATGGTATAGCCGGCTAGTGGGGATAGGAAGACTAGGGAGACTACAGTATAGGTGAGGTTGTAGTAGGTTTGCAGCTGTTGGAGGAGTTAGCCTTGGCTCACGGGGTCTTTCAATTAGGGTGTTTACATATGGAATCAAAGCCTATAGCACACTAATCAATATCTAGTCCGCGAATACAGCATCAGGTAAACTCACCCCATACGCAGCGTCATTAGCTCCTAGAACCACAAAACTCCCAAATGCAGCCAACGTTCGCCAAAGATTCATTCGAGGATGGTTCCATCTCTCAAGCCTTTCTGAAGCCGTGGTCGGAGAGGGAAGATTCTCAACTGGATCGTTGTTTTCCGATGTATTCTCTAAGCTCCGAGCTGCTTCAATGTTGGGGCTTGCTCGGGATACATGCGGCTGATATGATTTGCTCGGCTGTTCAAGATAGCGGGAGACATCTTGAAGCTCCACCCTGTCGGGTTCGATAACGTGAGTCGATGATCCGCCGTTTTGATGGATGTTCATCGTGGTGATAATGCTTAAAGATAAGCTCTATTGAAGGAGGCCCCAAATTCACTAGCAGAGGAGTCAGAAATGCTGTGAAATGAAGAAAATGGGATCGGATCTGGAAAGCAATGCACAGAAGGGATGCTAGAGGACCGGAATATAAAGCCACAAACGAAGGCCTTGTAAAGGATCTTGAGTCACCAGTAAACGTGAAAGCAGAACGTAGTAAAAAAAGCCTGAAATCGATCTGCCATCCTTCTTAGCACCTGGGCAGCTGACGGACTTACCGTTTAGAGCAAGAACAAGCACTGAACGGCGGGCAGTTCGACGCCGCCGGAACTAAGGTCCGAGAAACCGCCCACAGGGCGAATGATGAGAGGTTGTACGAACCAACTAGCTATCTGACGGCGTTGAGTCTCCTTACAATCGTGTTATCCCTCTAGCAGTTGTAGTCGGAAAGGGCTTCTTACCGCCTAGTATTCCAAGAGAACAGGTTATATTGAATTATTAGTGTTCCGGAAAACGAATGCGAGGGCGCTACCACGTGACCTCGCAAGGTATTCCTCATTGGGTCAGCATGAACAAGCTATTGCTTGGAAATCGGACCTCACTTCTCTAGGAACCCGGAGTTGAGCAAGTATGAGAAATTATAAGTCTTTGAATCTACTGCTACCCTTGATTTCAGGCCCGTTCAACGGTGAACCATTAACCACCGTTCAGGACTCCCGAACAAATTCAGCTCAAAAAAACTACAACTTTCCTTCCTCGCATAAAAATTGGGGGGTATTCCGCAGGCTTGCTAAATCCACAGGCCTCATACATACGTTGTTTTCTCCATCTAGACAAAATAGGTCCCAACAAATAGAAAATAAAAAGTTCTTGAGATCAACGCTTGTATTTCAACGACTGTAATGAAGGTAAATCTCTTGTGTCGTACACGCTCATATGCGAGGACCTCTAACGCTCAGAATGTCATGAAACTCGAAACAATAAAGACGGCGGCTGACCATGATATTCATCCATCTGCGACTATGAAGGCTGGATCACAGACGGGCCAGCAAGGACCTCGGCATCGGCGACCGACTTGGACTTGGTGAGCATCATGTATACTTCACCCGAAAGATTCTGCGGCACAACACAGTTGCCATTGGTGAGAGGCTCGAATTGATTGCCACCACTAGAGATGTTAGTAAGAAGCGTACGTCGTATGGGTGTAGGTCAACTTACGGAGCAACAAAGGCACAGAATTGAGCACCAGCAGGCTGAGAAGCGTCCGCCAAAGCCAAGTTTTGTCCAACGGTCGCCTTCTCAGGGTTCTGAAGAGCGATGGCGGGAAACGGCTGAATGTTGAGGTTGGAACCCTCGGGGCAGGACTGGATGAACTGAGCGGCAAGTGTGAAGACGGCGCGGGGCCCAAGAGCAGTGTCAAAAGCGGCGGGTACAGGCTCAGCTCCAGAAGCTACACGGATGAAGCTCTGATGGCGAGATTCGACGGTCGCAATAGAAGCAGCGGCAGACAGAATGTCGGAGGAGTTGATCAATGGAGCGGCTCCGAGATAGGCAGAGACGCCAACAGCCTCAAGAACACGGGCAGTGGCAACCATTGCCTTCGCATCAGTGAAAGCGAAGTTGTACTGGCAAGGCTGGACTGGCTGGGTACCAGCTCCGGATATGACGCTGAGAAGAGTCGACACGTGAGTAGCCTCGGTCTGTGCAACTTGCTGGAGAGACTTGATATTTGTGTCACTGAGGCCAAGAGCCTGGAAATCGCTCATGGGGAACTTGGCGAAACCTTGCTGATAAAAGGCAGACTCGAGATGTTCTGCGGTCAGAGCACTGAGGACTGGTAAGCTTTTGCTGCTTCCTGGTCGACGCTGTGTAACTTACAATTGCAGGATGTCGATGTCAGTCAATCCACCTCCTGGAGCCGGTGCCGCTGCTGGAGGTGCAGAAGCAGCAGGTGCTGCGGAACTTGACGACGCAGAAGGAGCCGCTTCCTGGCGGGCTACTATCCTTGGGGTCAAGACATTCCGTTGAGCTGGAAGGGCAAGCGTCACGGCCGGTGCGGCGACCAAGAGCCACTGGAGAGCTGTTCGTAGGCTAGGCATTTTTGCTGGATTAAGTTGTGCTTGTACTTGTAAAGGGACGGTCCGAGAATGATTGACAGCCAGCAAAGACTTGCTTTGAAGAATTATAAATTTCCTTAAGGTCCAACCAGGGACGGAGAGAAGAAGTGAAGGGAAAGGAATGTGAAGGATATTAGGTAGAGAAACTGGTGGAAGGTACTCTGCTAGCTGATATCCAACAGAAAACGCTCGGTGGAAACGAAGGTGGGTGGCCAATGGACCTTATAGCCCGCGTTGCGACTCGAGGGCTGCATCTGAGACGCCATCTCAAATTCGGAGGACGGATACAGGGCCCGTGGCAGGACAGCGGACGCAGCGATCCCGCCCACGCTTCGTTCACTTACCGAATCTGTAGCCAGTCAAGCTTTTCTTCTTGGCCGGACGAGCCTTTGATCAGCCAGAATGTGGCCGGGATGGCCGTGGGAACCGCCGGGCTACTTCGCAGCGCCGTGCTATCGAGGAGGTTGAGTTGTGAGGTGTAGCAAGACCGGGGTGCTGCGACGCTTAGGCCAAGCCATGAAACCCTCCGAGTCCCACCCTCACACATTGCGCTGCACGGGAAAGCGAAGAGCCGCCCAAAATGCTGATGTACTTCGCGCACGTTACTACATTGCATGGCTTTTAAGTGACGGAGTGCTGTTCTTCCGAAGGGCAGCTGCGTGGCTGCAGTGTACGTTCTCCCCTGTTCTTCGGCAAAGCGGTCTTCATGCTCGCCGGATGCTGCTTTGGAGTGAAGTTTCCGTGAAACAAATTTCACATTCTCTTCACGGAGACAGCGGGTATCTCGTGAGATACAAAAATGCAGAAGAAAGCTCTAGAGTAGAAGAGGTGTGTGCTGAGTGCGAATGTTCGCTGGCCCCTTTCGCGACCGGTGCCTGAGAAGAGGGCTGAGGGCCTGGCGTCGAGTCCCCAAACACCACAGGGCAAGCCAAGGAATTCTGACTTGCAGATCACAACCTTTAATTCCAGCAGCCTCAGGCAGGTCTTGGCCCTTGCGGAATGCATGGTGCTGACAGGGGTAAAGGGACAGGGGGTGAATGGTTCATGAAGGGTCACAGATCTGCGCCATCAATCAAGCATTTCTCTAGCCTGTTCGGATTTCGGCAGAACCACGTTCCAGAGTTCAAGCGGGTAATAAACATGGCTTGCACCTCGGAAGTAAACAATCTCTTGCACCATGCAAAAGAGCTGGGAGTGCTCGATTCATCAAACTGGAACTAATCGCATAATGACAATATTGACTCTACCTAAGGGGGTGCATCAACCACAACACATTACTATAATACTTTCTTGAACCCATTGATAAAGTTACTGTCGATATCCCAGTCCTTCGCTTTTGGAATCTTCACATCAACGATACAAATATCTCTCCTCTCGCCAGCCCTCCTCTAGCTAAAATATGTTCGTGCCTTGCAATTTCTCTTTACTACGCAAATCCACTTAGGAAACGGAACAGCTACCGCAATTGATCAATGGAGGTAAGGAATGTCTGAGTGAGTGTCTTTGTCGGCAATCGCGGACGTAGCTGCTCGAGTTCGAGGGACGCGGCGGCTTTTCAAAATACGTAGTGACCGCGGAGTCTTAGTGACCAAAATCAGGCCCTGAAGCGATGCCAATTTTGACTTTCATTACTCCTTGGAATACGGGGAATATGTCGCGCAGTCTAACCGATCGATTCTCAGAGTGCATAGGGGTTCAGAGAACGGATTGTGAGGCAACTAAATAGAAAGGTCAGTAAATTTCATGCTGTGAGGAGCTTGCTCTCCACTTACGGTGGGCTCTTTGTGAGGTCCGTCTTCAGAATCACCGGAACGCGGGTCATCTCCCTCACGTCTTGGATGTAGTCACCCTTCTCCTCTCTCAATGAGAACCATTTAAGGTACTTCTCCTTGTTAGTAAGCTTGGCTTCTGGGACTTCGCTAGCGCTCTGTGCTAGTTTCGAGTCTGATTTGACACGATGAGGAGTCTGGCCAGACGAAAGGCCATTCCTAGTAGGAGATGGTGGCATGCTCTGAGTTGGACGGTCGGCTCCTGCTGGGTTGAGAGAGACCCCAGCCATGGTTCCAGCCAAATCCGTGGAGTCATCGTCCTCGTCGTCAAATAAAGCGTCAACATCATCGGTAGACATAGTTCCAGTATCCATGGCTCTTCGCTGAGCTTCCTCATGTTCCTTGGCACGCTGTTTAGCAGCCTCCGCGTCACGTGCTGCCGCTGCAGCATTAGCAGCGCGGACTGAACCGTGCTTCGGTCGCTCATCCTCAGGAATGTAGGCTGAGGATGGAACACCCTTCTCCCAGTAAAGCTCAAGAAGTCGCTTGTTCTTATCGAACTCGGCTTTCTTCAATGGCAGTTGGTCACAATGGACACGCTTCTCGAAACCAAACTCAGGAATCAGGACATCGAACGCCGACTCATATACGCAGAGGACAATGCCTTCACTGATGAGATCTCCTCCTAAGTCTTGTCTCATCTTGTCCATCTTACGACAGGACTCGATATGTACGCTTTGCTCTTGGGCGCTGTGCGCAGAATCCTTCTTGGTGTTACACATCTCGGCGGTCTTGGCTAGCACCTCAATGTCTTCAGTGAACTCGACTGCTCCATTGGACAAGGCTGCTTCAAGCTGACGATGAACGATGATATCAGCGTACCGTCGCGATGGGTTTGTGAAATGAGTGTAAAGTGGAAGGTTGAGGGCGTAGTGAGGATATTGATCTTCCGTTATCTTGCCGGCAACGGAATACTTGGCGCGATTCATCGACTTAATGACAAGTGTCTCAATACCCTTGCGAATATCATCGTCGTCCACTTGGAAGAGACTGTTTTGCATAGTCCCACTGCTCGTCGTATCAATTGAATAGCCGATTGCATTCATCCTGTCGGCAATCGTTTCCAAGCGGCGTGGGTTGGGCGACGCTTGTCGTCGGAGAAGAGCCTTCTCCGGGAGATGGGCAATGATCTTCTTAGCGACGAAGGCGTTCGTTTTGTGACTCAATTCCTCAATAACCTCATGAGCCGGTGAAGAGTCGAAGATGTTCTCTTCAACAGGAACATTCTCGTCATCAAGTTGGTACATGAGCCGAAGCGGAGCAATCTCGGTGGTGCGGTCACCGAAGCGGGCTTGGCGGAACCTTTGCGTGATATGGTGGAGCATATTGATGTCCTTTGCTCTCGCAGCGTTGACTTCACTGTCACGTCCGCTGATGACCGAATCCACCTCATCATATGAGAGTTTGCCGGAGCTCTTGATAACCGCCTTGCCAATCCAGGTCTCGTCTTCAAAGACATGACCAGACGCTGGGTCGACTTTAAACACGACACTCACAGTATAGCGATCCTCACCAGGGTTCAAGCAGCATATGTCCGAAGACAGGCGCGGCGGAAGCATGTTGACGGTTCGAGTCATGAGATAGACCGCAGTGCCACGCTTTTTGGCCTCGCGATCAACGAGCGAGTTCGGCTTAATGAAATGAGCCACATCAGCAACGTGAACGCCAATCTCAACACGACCATCATCCAAGTATTTGAAGTGGATCGCATCATCAAGTTCTTTGGTTCCGTTGGGGTCGATTGTGAAAGTTTCTTCGCCGCGGAAGTCGCGTCGTTTCTCTAAAGCGGCTTCGCCATCATTAGCGACTGACCAGTCCTCAAACCCGACATTTTTGAGAACGGCGTCAGAGAAGTCATCGGGCCCAAAGTTATTGTCTCGCAAAAGAGCATCCGTCTCAACCTTGAGATCACCCATCTCGCCCAGTTGTTCCACGAGAGTGCCGAACGGATGAAGTGAGGTAATAGGCCATCGCTTGATGCAGGCAACAAAGATGCGATTGGCATATTCCTGGTGCTTCTCGACAAAATCCCTTGGTGCTTGCTCAGTCGGAATAGCGATCAAAGGAACACGCTTATCAGTGGGCTTGAACCACACGATCTTGGGCTTATCCTGTTGACGGTCTGGCTGTGGTCGACCTGAGTGGCCTTCACGAGCTTGTCGCTCAGCTTCTTGCTTCTCCTTCGTCGCTTGGCTACTCGGTCGAAGAAGACCTAAGGTTCTGTTTTCGATTAGCCTCCGTCGTCTTCGAGTTTCAGCTTAGATACTTACCCAGAGAACATCTGGCCAGCCACCCGCTCAATGACGGCAACTATGTGGCCTGCGTATAGGGGTTTCTGCTCATCATTGATCTCCTCCTCCTCCATTAGAAGCAAGCTCTGACCTTCAACCTCCACATCATCGTTCTTCTTCTGGGTGGGTCGCTGGCGCAAACTTCCTCGTCGGCGGATGCCACCTTCTCCTGATTGGCTCGTCTCTGGTTGAGTCGTAGCATCATTGACGGCAATGCTGCCACCACGAGGATCAGCGTTGTCCTTCCTCTTCTTCTTCTCTTCTTTTTCGCGCTTCTGGCCCCAGACTTCATCAACATCGAGAAGCTCAACAGCCACCAAGTCGCCCTCAAGGGCACGGTTCCTATCTTTGCTTCCACAAATGAAGATGTCCGCATCTAGGTCAGTGGTGGTGACGTATGCATCGCTTCGATTCTTCTTGTTGACGCGGAGGATACCAGCGACCAACTGCCCGTCACTGAGGAGGGCTGGCAGGGTAGCCTGTGGTAGATAGGGTGTAAAGAGTGTTTTGCGCTGTTGCTGCTGTTGTTGCATTGACATTTGTGGCTGCGCGTGCTGGCTTGCTTGAAGGCCTCCTATGCCTTGGCCGTTCATTTGGGCGGCCTGCAGGGCTTGCAAATGGGCGATCTGTAGAGGATTGAGGCCTTGTGCACCAAACATCTGCGGCTGCACAAGCACCTGTCCTTGCGGAAGTTGGACAAGCTGAGGCTGTCCTGGATATTGGAAGTTGCCAAGAGAACCAATAGACTGGTTCATTGAGGCTCGGGCACGATGGCCAGGTTGGAAAGGAGCGGCATTTGCGGTCTGGTTCATGTTGAAGTTACCCATGTTTTGGGCTTGGTTTTCCTGTGTGGGCTGCTGCTGATTGTTAGGCTGTCTCCAATTGCCTTCAAAATTTCGAGATTGGCTTCTGCCGTGGCCTTGGCTACCACGACGCTGGAAGTCCGATTGGCCTCCCTGATTCCCATTATTGGCCTCGTTTGAGGCCTGGGGTCCTGGAAATTGGAAGTTGCCTCCACCACGGCCAGTATGACCGCCACCGCGACCGACAGCCATGCTTTGGCTGCGACCGTGAGCTGAGCCACGACCACCGCGTCCAGATGGGGGCTGATCGTTAGACTGGGCCCCGCCGTTTCCGCTCGGGCTAGAGTCGCGGTTGGCGCTCGAACCAGTGGCAGTCGGGAGAGGGAACTGGAATCCAGAGGTCTTTCGCTTTTGTTCTGCCAATTCAGCCGCCTTCTTGGCCTCCGGCAGGGCTAGAGAATGACGGCGGGCATGCCCTGAACCTGCGGCACCACCGCCTCGACCACGTGGGTTAATGTTCTCTCTGCCTTGGTTGCCTGGTTGTCCACCATACTCACCGAAACCAGAAGCGCCTGATGAAGGGGCAGGGGGGGGACCCATGCCTACGTTCGGGAGGGCAGACTGATTGCGGCGGTGGGAGGACGGCTGGGAAGGAGCGTTCATGGGTACCGCGAGATGCTGCTGGGGCATCTGTTGCGGGAACTGGAAGTTGTTTGTGTGGGGTGATACGTTGGACATTTGCCCTTGCATCTGAAAGTTGGCACCAGGAAGGTGCTGTTGGGGCTGAATCATGCCCATGTTAACATATTGTTGGTGAGTTGCAGCGATCTGCTGCTGTTGCTGCTGTAGCACTTCGATTTGCTGGGCGATAGCAAGTTGTTCCACTATAAGGGGGGTCAGTCAGCAATTTCTCAGCCCGGAAGGGAAGGGAGTCAACATACTCATAAGCGGCGTCAGCTCAGACGGGCTTCGTCGATGAGCAATGTGCAGACGCCGGCCCGTTGGACCCATAGGATTAGGTTGCCCTTGCTGATCCATGCTTGAAGCTGTGGTGGGTTAGGACCAAAGAGTGCAAATGTATGTACCCGGGTAGAGGATGGAAGGCGAAGTCGAGGCAAGGACGGACACAAATTAATCGAAAAGGTACTCGATGGGCAATCTGGAGAGGGTTAGTAATGCTCATGTTACAGACAGGTGGGCGGCGGATGATGTAACAGGCAGAGGAGGAGAGGAGCAGAGAGAGCGGGGATGCCGTGGTTGGATGCAAGCTCCTGTACGACGGCAGCGGGCAGCCTAGGGGTGGTACGTACGCTTTCAAAGGGTGCTGCACAGAGGCAAAATGCGCCGGGAGAGCAGATATTGTCGAGAATCGATGATGTGGGGAGGGTATAGCTCTGCAAAGTGACTGAACTGAGGCAGCTGTTGTGGCCGAAGTCTGATGTCTAGTGTGATAAGGATCGGGGATGCAGGGGCGTGGCCCGAATTCAAGGAGGGACGGGGAGCAGTTTCCTCAGCCGGCGGGCAGGACGCAGTGCGCTGAGCGCAAAACAAAACGAGGATGGAGAGAATGCACGAAGGAGGGAGGGAGCGATGAAGCGATCGGGCGCAGAGAGAGAATGGGGGGGGGGGGAAGGAGGGTGAGGTGGAGGTGGCAGTAGCAGTAGCAGTAGCCGTATTGTGGGCGTGGGCGTGGGTGCAGGTGGAAGAGGGAAAGCTTGGGGCAGCCAGGCCGACTAGCGATTCGATCAGCGGCCAGAGAGCCCGCAACCGCAAACGTACGTCACCTAGGCAGACCACCGTAGCAATGGGTAACTCTCACTTCACGCTACAAAAGAACAGGGGTCAATGGCTGAGGCCGCGCAGGCGACGACGAGATGAGCCTCGGAAATATATGCTCCTCAGATCCTCAGGAGGAGGGCGCATCACACGGCGCACGAGGCGGGCTGCTGCAGGCGTGCGGAAACAAAAGACAGGTCTCACTACGGCAACTTGAAGCATCAGTTTTGCAGCTTTGGGCGTCGCGTTTCAAGTGCATCAAGTCTACCTAGGTAGTTTCCGAGCACCCAGGCCGGTAGGAGCGAGCACAATAAGTCCGGGGAAGTGGGCGCAGGGAAACATTGCACTTGTGTCATTATGCTCTGGGAGCCTTCGTGGACGCTTCCGCCCCCCGAAGAATAGGTATAGAATGCCCCTGTTGCTAGCGAGCGACACGGAGCCTTCCGCCGAGTGGGGGACTCCTGGCATGTTTACGCTGAGTACGGAAGGGAGGCTGAGAATAAAGGAGAACATGGAGCTGGAAAAGGAGTAGAAAGTGAGAGACGTGAGCCAGCAGAGGTCCAGTTCGTACCCAGGTGGCGCTCATCGGCGGACTCTCTCACGTGTGATGAGCACGGGCCCCGTGTGCTAAATTGGTGAATCGAGTCCGCTTTGAAACCTGCAAAACGACGCTCCTGGATGGCGCTGTTAAACGGCACGCACATTGTTTGAGAAGACGTGCAATTGGCCCTGAATGACTAAGGGCGCATTTCTAAAGACAGAGAACTAGATTGGCGGTTTGGGTGCTTGAAGGTGTTCCCATCAGTGCCACTCTTCCTGCAGCAAAGCATCGGCAAGCATCCTTTCGAGAAGCTCCTGCGGGAGTGCTGAAGCCGATGTCCTTCCGACTGAGACCACGTGCACAGACATTCACGTCTGGACTCTTCTTTTCGTCCAATGTGTCTGTGCAATTCAACATGTCCGTGCAAACAGGGCCCAGGAGAACTTCGCATAAGAAAGCCTCTCAGCCAAACAATTCGCTCAATTCCTACGCGGAGACCTACAACTCAACCAACAATTACAACATGAAGACCGCGCATGGGGATGCCGGTGGTGGGACGGAACCCCAAGCACCAGGTAATGTGAAAGTGCCGCCGGTGCACGGACTACCCAACCACCTTTTCGGCAAAACGTTTTTCCTCCTCCTCGACCTTTGAATCTCCTCTGCCAGTGATTCTCCACCACATACCACTCCCACACTCTACCCACCCGCCGCCGTTATGGCGGTCTTTCTCGAACTCAGCCAGATGCTTGTAACATCCGACCGTGACTCCAAGAATCGCCTTGACATTGCTACTGCCACCCACGCAGGCGATCATCACGAACAATTGGCAAAGGCCGCGCAGGAGCATGACAGAATTCGCGAAGGCGCAGAACGGGAGCTAGAGCGCTTAACACTCGAATCCTTACAGCTAGAGAAAGCTATACAAGAAGCAGAGCTACAACAACTTCGACAAGCCGAACAACGACGACGCGAAATCGCACAATTACAACTAGATAATGTCAGGCGAGAAGCGGAGCTACAACGTTTAAGACAGGCCCAAGAACAACAATTCGAAATTGAGCGAGTGCAGCTAGAGAATGTGAAGCGGGAGATCCAGCTGGAGAATATCAGACGAGAGGCAGAGGCGAAACAGCGCGCAATCGAACAGAAGAAGATCGAGCACGCACTCCCGCAACCAACTCCAGCCCCCCCTCTTGTGCAACCGCAGCATCAGGTTGCCAATGTACCCAGCAATCGTCCAGAACTCCAGCCAAGTCAGTCACACCTCCCATCCAAACCAGCCGTCACAAATACCTCGGCCGGCACGGACATTGAAGAGCTCCACACAAAATACCTTCAGCTGCACGAGCGCATGAAACGGTTTCGGAAGGCTTTTCCGAAGGAATATCCGGCCAAGCACCCAATGAGGGATCTCATTGGCAACACAAGGAGAGATATGAGGCTACGAATGGGTCAGATCACCACCGAGAGAAACGCTAGTAAAGCTGCCATCGGCAGGATGCGAGAAATCCTGAATAAGGCTCAAAGCAGCAATGGGCCAACCGTAGATATCCGTCCGTACATAGTGTCTCAACCACTCCCTGCAATTTCGAACGAAGCAGAGGCCCAATATCCTGCTGTCCTCCTATATGCATGGATTTGCTTCGAAAAGTCTCTTATCAAACAATTTGAACAAGAGGCTGCCAACGAGGATGGAAGAATCATTCAAGAGCTTGGATTGATTGCTGCCAGTCTTATTTGCGATCCAAAGTACACATGGAAAGGCCTCTGTATGAAAGACATATTGTTAGCCAAGTATCACAAGGCTGCTCCAATGTTGTTCGGGATCACCGGACGGATGGACACTCGAGAAGGACAAGCGCGCTTGGGATGGGTAACGATCAGTGGTAATGATCCTGAGACCAATGTGTACAACCAACGCATGATTGGACTTGGGGCAGGTTATGCGGCCTTGTCGCTGAGGTCTTTTAGCGGCAAGCTGCCTGCCTTCCCTATATCAGACTACTGGCGGGCCATCTCGTCAATTTGCAACACCCCGGTGGAGACCCTCTACGACGGTCATTTCATGTTGCTGAAAGGCTTGATGCGGGATTATGCCTCAAAATTTCTTCATTTTTATGGAAATCAGGCGAAGGGAGTGTTGCGTAGGGCAGCTATCGACCTACCGAATCAAGCCCCGGCTCGTGCTAAAGACGCGGCGAACTTGGTCAAGGTTTTGCCGGATGTGTGGAAAACCCACCGGATTTCGTTAGAGTAGAGAAACGAAAAGTTGTGACACATATGGCATTGCATTGGGCGGAGTTTGGGTAGTGCGGCGAAAGGGTGATCTTTTGGTTGTTATATGCATGCATGGGATGGAATTCTCGATAGTGCATCGTGAGCGGAATCATAATCGAAATAGTAAATGACATTGCAATTTTCATTGACAGTTGGAACGTTTGTGAATCAAGACATGGATTCATAGCTTTCTCTCTGCCAAAGGGTTCCATTCCTTGATCGGTCGATCAGTTGGCACGAGAACTACCCTACCTCCTGTCCAGCCAGCTAATTCCCCCTCTCCATCCAGACCAACCCCAGAGTCTCGGACCAGCTGTTCAATCTTCGCAACGCTATCTTCCGCGATCTTCGGGCAGTCATGGCTCCCACTCTTAGCGCTGAGGGTGCGTCTAACGACTGGAAAACTTACTACAAAAGACTCAGGTGTGGCCCATACTTTTCATTCGCCCACCTCTGAGCCCCCTCATCCTCATTGAAACCTGCAACAACAGTCCGTGCCAATTTTGCAATCTCGACAACTCCTTGCTTCTCGACTTTGCTATACAACTTCCTAACGAAGACGTCCTCGCTTTGTAGCCTCCCCATCTTGACCCTTACATCTTTACCAGCTGGCAACTTTAGGTGATCAAGCCATGCTTGCGGATCTGGTAAGTATGTGGACGGCGATATTTCTGAAGTCAAAGTTATATGTGGGATGAAGAGTTGGGGTGAGTTGAAATGTGAGGAGGTTTCCTGAATGAGGGAGGAGAGAATGGAGTTCAGCGGATGATCAGCAGGTGGGAGGAGCCAAAGAGAGGAGCCAGGCATTCTCAAAGGAATATAGAGTCGAGGCGTCTAGGATGAAGCATAAATCGATGATCACCTCCATGCATGATCGATCCGGCGGTGGCACATGCTGTGGCTCGTGTCTCAGCCACTCCCGCATTCCCGCATTCCAAGGTCCTTCCTTCATTCCTGACATGTGAAAGCTTTCACTCTGGCTCAACGCGGCATTGTGCTCCTCATCCCAACATATCTCCGACGTACCCAGCAAATGACGATGCGACATCTCACACCTGGCGTACGGCTCATCTCGCCATGTCAACCGGGTGGAACATTGCCGGCATCCTGAAGTCGGTATTTAGCTGCTTGTTCGAGGTCGCCTTTTTCTGGCACCTGGTGCGTCGCTTCCCCACGCCCCTCCATGCACCCGAAGAGACTTCGCGCGTCATACCGCTTTTTGGCTGTGGGATACTGATGTTGTGGCCATGTTGCAGAGATTGTACGCTTGGTGGATGAAGAAGAGCGACAGAGATATGCTGCTAGAGGCCATTGCCGATGCCAGGCTATTCGAGGAGTGGGAGGCTTCGGCCTTCCAGCTGGATGAAGTGCTAGGTTATGATCTCTGGTATTACCTTCCCATGAGCCTCTGTGACAGCTGCTGACAGTAGGTGCAGGCGCCAGAACCCCACGAGCAAGTTCTACGATTACCGTCTCATCTACGAACGGCTCCAAGCCATCATCGAAGCCCGAGAGGACGACGATATTCTGGGACTAGTCAGTCTCTTGCGATCAGGACTTGTCCGCAATCTGGGGAACATTACAGCACCACGTCTCTTCAATCGCGCTTATGCTGGAACCAAGCTCCTGATTGAAGACTACGTGACCCAGGTTGCGTTGGCTATCGACTATGTGACATCCTATCCCACAACGGCGAACTCCGACACCGGCTTGACGAACCAGGCCAAGCTCGATGTCCTACATGACACTCGGCAAGCCTTCGGAAGGTCGGTGTTAGTTCTACAGGGCGGAGCCATCTTCGGTCTCTGCCACCTCGGTGTGGTGAAAGCTTTACACCTTCGAGGACTTCTTCCTCGTATCATAGCAGGTACGGCTACTGGGGCCCTGATTGCGGCACTGGTGGGAGTTCATACCGAAGATGAGCTTCTCGACTTCCTGGCAGGATCAAATATTGACCTGACCGCGTTCGCGAAGCACTCTACTGCTGGGAAAGAAGGCTATGTCGGTGGAGAGAGTGGCTGGCTAGCGACGCTTATGAGGCGCATGAAGCGCTTTGTCCGGGAAGGGTACTTCCTCGATGTTGGCGTCCTTGAGCAAGTCGTTCGTGCGAACGTAGAAGACTTGACCTTTGAAGAAGCATACATGAAAACTAAAAGGGTATTGAACATCACGGTTTCCACGACGGGCGGTGGAGGAGTGCCAAACCTACTCAATTACCTTACGGCTCCCAATGTGGTAAGTTTACCTTTGACTTCGGGCGTGATACCCATGCTCATATATATATATATATCACAGCTCATCTGGTCTGCTGCCCTCGCTTCAAACGCTTCATCTTCAACCTTCTACAAACCCGTAATACTCATGTGTAAGGACGAGTCTGGAAAAATTGTCCCATGGGCAGGCGCCGAAGAGACTACTTTCCGACCATGGACGCATGCCAGTTACAATGACCGCGAATCTCCACTCCACCGCATCGCCGAGCTCTTCAACGTAAATCATTTCATCGTCTCCCAAGCTCGTCCTTACCTGGCACCTTTCCTTCGATCCGACTTACATCACCCAAACCCTCGTCAGGATGGTCGATGGCGGCTTTCCATGCCGATACTACGACTCATCGTCATGGAAGTCCAGCATCGTCTCCACCAGCTTGATGAAGTGGGCTTTCTCCCATCCTCAATCCGACGCTTTCTCCTCGACGAAAACGTTCCCGGTGCAAGCCTCACTCTTGTCCCAGAACTCACGCCTGGCGACTTCATCAAGCTACTCGAGAACCCGACGAAAGACGGCCTGGAGTATTGGATACTACGCGGCGAGCGTAGTGTCTGGCCTGCTGTCGGCGCCTTGAAAGTTAGATGTGCGATAGAAGTAGAGTTAGATCGAGGGTATCAATTAGTTAGGAGAAGGAAGCCATTCGATCCTGTGCACGGCCCGGGGTTAAAGAAGAGCTCAAGTAGTGCTGGTATGAAGAGGAGAGCTAGAGCGGCGAGCTTTGGCGGGGATATGATGCGATGATTCATGAGAGGCTATGGAATATCTCTATAGTACCAACTCCAAAAGCTCGAACTAAATGCTTGGATGCTGCCCAAAGCCCAAAATTTGGATCAGTGAACACCCCTGCATTTGTGCCACTCTTCTAACCTGCAGCAAAATCAGATGCTGCACATCACGCAAGCCTTGGCCTGGATCGTGGACATTCGATAATGTAATCCCCAGCGGAGCGTTCCCCCAAATATCAAAGACCCTCAGATTTTACCCGGGATATGAACAAGCTTCGCAGCCGAATCCTGGTCACCCCGCTGATCGGCCTGTTCCCCTTCTGGGCAACGGCTGCGGCGTTTTAGAGGCATCTTCCCCACCCCCGTCATTACGTACCTGGGACTTAATTTCTCCGAGCTACGGGAGTGGTGGAATGTAACTTTGAACCTCTGTCGTACCTGCGATCAACATCATCTCCTGCCAGGCACCCCGCCCTTAATTGCTGGCCATGGGGCAAAAGACGTCTCTCGGCCCATATTGTCACGAGAGAAAGACGAATTATTCCTGGGACCGGCGCGATGCACGCAATGCAGTCATAGAGGAACTAGGATACTTTCCTTGGTGGTGAGAGCTTTGGGTATTTACTTACTCCCCTGCCCCAAAGCTTCTCAAATTCGCTGTCGCCTCTTTTTTCTGATTTTTTACGCTTATGCTGAGCAGGATGAGACGTCTTTTTAATCTTGTCGGTGCGATAGCACTGTCTTGCCTTGCGATTGAGTCAGCTGCAAGGACGGTGGGTTATTCACCAAAGGAATGGATCAAGCCATATCCAAGAGCACCACTTCAGGATATTGTGAGTTCACCACTAAGGAGCTAAGTACTGGCAATTGAACTCTTTTTAACGAGGTCGTAGGTTACTTGGGATGAGAACTCGTTGTTTGTGCATGGAGAGCGAATATTCTTCTACAGTGGTGAATTCCATCCTTACAGGCAAGCCTTTTCAGCAAGTGATGGAGGAATGTGCTTGATAACGAGAATTGCAGACTTCCAGTTCCAGACCTGTGGCTTGATGTCTTTCAGAAGATCAAAGCCTTGGGCTACAATGGCGTCTCGTTCTACATTGACTGGGCGTTGCTTGAGGGTAAGCCAGGGGTGTATCGTGCTGAGGGAGTGTTCGCTCTTGAACCCTTCTTTGAGGCTGCTAGTAAAGCTGGGATTTACCTCATTGCTGTGGGCCTCGCCTCTCATTTTCTAAAAGAAGTAAAACTGATTCGTTGGGTAGCGGCCCGGACCATACATCAACGCTGAAGCCTCTGGGGGGGGATTTCCTGGGTGGCTCCAGAGGATTAACGGTACCCTGAGGACGCGAGCTCCTGACTATCTCAAAGCTACCGATCTGTATATTAACCCACAGTCCTCTTCCAATCCATCGATCTAACATGAGCAAACAGTTACGCAGCTTCCGTCGGAAAGGCCATTGCAGCTGCACAAATCACCAACGGCGGTCCTGTAATTCTCGTCCAACCCGAAAACGAGTACTCTGGTGCTACGTCCAATGTCCCAGAATTTCCGGATGCGGTCTATATGCAATACGTTGAGGACCAACTGCGCAACGCCGGTATCATTGTTCCGCTCATTTCCAATGACGCCTCACCCCACGGCTACAATGCGCCGGGTAAGCCTGCACCGGTCGACATTTACGGTCATGATGGATACCCGCTGGGATTTGACTGCGCGAATCCAACGACGTGGCCCGATGGCAAATTACCAACAAACTGGAGGCAATTGCATTTACAACAAAGCCCGAACAATGCATTTTCGATCGTTGAGTTCCAGGGCGGAAGTTTTGATCCTTGGGGTGGACCCGGATGGGATAAGTGCTCCACCCTCGTGAATGAGGAATTCGAAAGAGTGTTTTACAAGAATAACTATGCGTTTGGCGTCACGATTTTCAACATCTATATGACATATGGTGGAACGAATTGGGGCAATCTTGGCCATCCAGGGGGATACACGAGTTACGACTACGCCGCCGCCATCCGCGAAGACCGACGCGTGGATCGGGAGAAATACTCAGAGCAAAAGCTTCAGGCGAACTTCTTCAAGGTTTCTCCGGCTTATCTGACCGCAACCCGTGGTAGTGCTTCCACGACGGCGTGGACGACAACTTCGGCACTCACGGTTACCCCTGCGTTTGGAAACGGTACCGGCACAAAATTTTACTTCTTACGGCATTCGACGTATAACTCGAGGGAGTCGACGAGCTATAAGTTGAAGATTCCAACGTCGGCTTTTGGCAACATCACGGTGCCACAGTTGAACGATACGAGTTTGACCTTGAATGGACGAGATTCGAAGGTACATGTTAGCGATTATGATATTGGCGGTACAACGCTGGTCTATTCGACTGCCGAAGTTTATACATGGTCTGTTTTCCTGTGCTATTTCTTCCAGGATGATAGTAATATTTTTCAGGCACAAGTATGCGAACAAGACCATCCTCATCGTCTATGGCGGCCCAGGGGAGATCCATGAGCTCACAGTCGCGGCAACAGGGTTAACGGTATTAGAAGGGAGTGTCAGGAGTATCAGCACAAGAGGTTATACCTTGATCAACTACCAGGCTACGAGTGAGAGGAAGTTAGTCAAGGTTGGTGTGAATGAGAATATCTACATCTACCTTCTAGGCAAGCCATCCTACATTCTTAACAATGTCAATGAAAGAGCGCTCGCTAATATCACACAGATCGCAACTCTGCCTACAACTACTGGTCCGTTGATCAAGGGCCCCACGACTCCTCGAATCCTATCATCTTGCAAGCAGGCTATCTTATGCGCAGTGCAAAGGTTCACGGAACCACACTAGCCTTGACCGGAGACATGAACGCCACCACGCCCATTGAGATTCTCGGTGGCGTTCCTTCCGGTATATCAAGCTTGACTTTCAATGGCGAAGATTTCTCGTTCAAGACTGACAAGAATGGTGTCGTTACGGCCAATATCGACTACCCAAAACCTAAACTTGCTATCCCCAAACTCAATTCTTTGAAATGGAAGTACTTAGACTCACTCCCAGAAGTAAAATCCTCTTACGACGACAGCAAATGGACAAACGCGGATTTAAAGAAGACCTACAACAGTCTCCGAAAACTTACCACTCCAACTTCGTTGTATTCTTCGGATTACGGGTACCATACCGGCACGCTACTATACAGAGGCTCATTCATCGCTACTGGATCAGAGAAGACATTGTATCTCCAAACACAGGGCGGCTCTGCATTCGGCATGTCCGCCTACCTCAACAGCAGTTTCCTCGGTTCATGGCGTGGCTACGATGCCGCCACAAATGGCAACAATACCTTCACCCTCCCTAATCTCTCCTCCGGCAAGAAATACATCATCACCGTCGTCATCGACAATATGGGCCTGGACGAAGACTGGACTATCGGCACCGAAACAATGAAAAACCCACGCGGCATCCTGGACTACTCCCTCTCCGGCCACAATCAATCCTCCATCTCGTGGAAACTCACCGGTAATCTGGGGGGCGAAGATTACCTTGATCTTTCTCGTGGCCCGCTAAATGAAGGCGGTATGTACGTCGAACGCCAGGGTTTGCACCTCCCAGGTGCGCTCTCGGCCGCTGTGGGCTGGAAAGACAGTGCAGGTCCTGTTGCCGATGGTATTGCTGGACCAGGCATCGGATTCTTTGCTACGGAGTTCGATCTTGGGCTTCCGGGCGGCTACGACATTCCCATGTCGTTCACGTTCTCTAATTCGAGTGCGAATGCCACGGGCGCATATCGAGCGCAGATTTTCGTTAATGGGTGGCAGTTTGGGAAGTATGTTAGTACTGTCGGACCACAGACGACGTTCCCTGTACCCGAGGGGATATTTAACTATCATGGGAAGAATTATCTTGGTGTTACAGTGTGGGGTTTGGATGGGGGACCTATGAAAGTTCCGGGGTTGGAGTTGGGGATTGATGGAATTGTGTGGAGTGGGTTTGGGGATGTGGGGGCTGTGAAGGGGCAAGTGTATGAGAAGAGGCCGGGTGCATATTAAAGTAGAATAGTCGTCAATTGATGAGTCGGATAAAATAAGAGAATTCTCAAGCAATTGAAAGTAGTTTTGGCAAGAATTTGCAGGTGTACATCTTTGAGCTTCTTGTGCTGCAGGGCAGACGGTAGTTGTAACATCCCGTCGGATAATAATTGGCAGTCACTTAGATTCGCGGGACGTGATAATTCCTATCATGTTCTGTCCAACATACGATCATAACCCTTTCCCACTCTTTCTCCACGGCCATCCTTCCCTCCACACTCTCATAACGCACCTCTATCTCATTCATTCATTCATTCACTACTAACCCATTCAACAACACAAAAACTCTCTCCAACCTTCCTGAAACTCTCCCAAATCCCTATATATATATATATATATATCTAACAATCTCTCACCCCCCCCTCAATATAACAGTGTAGTCAGTCCTAGCAGCAAACTTACAATTTGCGCAGATTGTCTGCTAGACAGTGGCCTAGGCTTAAGGTAGGCCCTGAGGAGGAGTTGTAGAGCGCGAGATGACAAGAGCAAAAACCCGAAGATGAGAGTTCTCCGGCGTTAGGGACTGTGATTCTAGGGAAAGGTTTCTTTTCCTGCTTTGTGGTGTGGGGCGAGGGGATATTTTTTCGGGTCGAAGGCACGTGGTTGGAGGAGGTTGGGGGACTTGAAGGGAATGACGAAGTGGGCATGAGAAGTAGTGTGAACTCAAAATCCTTTGAGGTATGAAATGAATTTCCATCCGTATTTTAAATTATACACAAATTAACAGCTAAACATTGAACTTTGCAGCGATGATGCGAACCTGTGTATATATTTTCCGTCAGTAGCATTCATATTCCTATCAATCCATAAAACCTTTTTTCTATCTCCGTCCCCGTCCTTGAGTGGATTCAGCCTAGACACCATTGGGGGCTTCGACATCGCGGTCCCTGGCTGCCCAAGATTGCTGCCAGCAGGGGAATCATTATTGGTCAATATATTCTGCTGCAATGCTGGGTTAGTGTAGCCTCCAACATCACGGCCGCCCATCCCGAAACCACCTCCGGTATTAGCGTTGGCGGTGTGGTGGCTATGCTTGCCGTCAAGAAGGTCCAAGTCCCCATGTCGGGTATTGGAAGGAACACCACGGGCTTCAGTTTGGTGTGAATCTCGCTTGGATGTCGATTTTAGACCTAACAGTGCACCGCCGATATTCTTGGGTTCGCCTTCGAAGCCATCATAGCGCTCCTCCCGTCCGCCAAGGGCGCCGCCCTTGGACTTGAACTCAGACATGCTTACCGGAGGGAGAAACGGCTTCGTAGATCGTCGTGTCGTGGTGACCGCTCTTGGACGTAAAGTCGCTAATAACTGCTTTGGCTTTGTCCATTGTGAAAAGTGTTTTGGAAACGGGAAATTGTAGAAAATGGATACAGGGTCTGGAGATGAGACAGGAATTTTCGGTAGTGAGCGAGTACTTCTGTTAGAAGAAGACTTTCATATCGAAGTGCGGGATGCCGTTAACGCAGAACGACGTAATGACCTCCAAGCCGAAAGTAGATAAATCAGTCCCAAGCTCCAGTCTAGCCTATAATCCGACCTCTGAAATTGAAACATACGGTGACATGCTATGCCCAGCCTTGGGCTTGGAGTATCATTTCCTTCATTGGTCTTCGGTGAGCGCGAACTTGTGGGCGGGCGCTTCGAAGTATTCAAACGAGACGACTTCCATTGGGGTCCCGTGTATGGGGTTCTCTAATGCGATAGTGATGTACGTCAGGGCCCTAGCATCGCATCGCCATGGCCCCATTTTTGCGTCTAGGCGGAAGTCGTAGTACTATTCCAATGTGGACCTTGGTTTTACCTCTTCATCAACACAAGGTAGTCAAAATCTTTTGTAATCGTGGTGAGGAGTTAAGCACGCTTCCCATATGACATTCGCATGAGAACGCAACCCCAAGATTCCAGTAACGAGACGAGATGAAGTGAAAATGAAAAAGAGATCAGCTCCGGGATGTCGCCATGGATCGAGAAAGTGATCTAGTCCGTGCACTTACCAAGATATCTAATCGTCAACAAGTTTCCCCCTTTGGCCTTTGATTTCTTCCCACTTCGACAGCGAATCGTGCTAAATGGCCCTCTCCATTGCGGGACATCTAGTGATACAGATCTCTGGATTGAAGTCCGTCATTAACACTTGTGCATGTTGGATCGCCGGTCCGCAAGGGAGGTCTCGATCAGCTTCGTCATCCCACTTCACATTCTCCACTTCCAGCTTTCAAATGCCTCTCTTATGACAGTTCTTTGAATACTCGCTAGAACATTAGGATCTGGCTACAAGAGGCAGCAGACCATGCCATTTGCTTCACGCACGCGTTGAAACGCGCGCCAAGAAGCTCGCAACGTCATTCAATAGCCTGTAGCTTCCTGGACATTGGATACAGATTACTATTCGTAATGGGAGTGTGGAACTTGAGATCTAGACAGTTCAGTAAGTACGCCAGCCCTCGCCACCAGGAAGGACTTCCCAATTCCGTATAAGGAATGGCACATGGCAATGGCGAGCATGTGCTAGTGTGTTGGAAATGCAAAACTGACATGGGGAAGCGGTCTCTTCTACCCCGAAGCATCATAATTGCCATTACATCTTCCTCGTAAGGCTGGTCGATAGCACTCTTTCCATATTCCTGTTTTTGCGCTTCTGTAGACGGCAACGAAATCCGAGATGGGTTTTCTAGATCGATGCCCCCTCCTGACCTTCGTATTGTGTAGTTAACCACACGAGTTTCTACGACTAGGATCCGGAGATCTGTATTTTTCTCGCGACTCCCACTCTACAGACTACCATTATCCCACCTTATTCTCTCTGCTCCCACCCACGTGGCGTGAGCATCCTATCCCCAAACTTGCGCCATCACGCTGATGATGCGCAAATTGAGAAATCTTTTCTGAAGACTAAGCGCCGGTGTCAAGAGCCTCTGTTCTACTCTGCGTGCTATTAGGACACTGAATCGAATTCTGTGCAGCCCCCTATCAAGCGCAGTTCAACTTTGCTAGAAAGACAACAATTCAGGCGCGCGAGGCATACTCGGGCAAACGGCGGGGATAGTGGTGCAAATCCTTCCATGGCTTACAACAACCGTCTCGAAAGCAAGAGTACGGAGGATTCGATTGCAGGAGACTGTATGGCCTGTCAACCTGCCTTTAAACTCCACAGGCTTTCGAAAGATACTCAGTACATGACTGTCGGTGGCGGCACACGTTTGATGATAGATTTGGCAGCAGAAATGCATAACGAAGATATCGCTGATAGAAACATTGAGCGGTATGGTAGTTCTTGCACCTCTCGGCATCAATCTGTAGGCACCGAGAGCGGCAAGCTCACCGTTCGAGACTCCTTAGAAAGGACTCTTTGGGCGGTGTTGGTGAGGGCCGTGAGACGCTCCATGGGTTTTCAACTAAGAGCAGTGACTTTCCAGGTCGTGTGGTGGATCGACGAGATTGGCCAGTCCGAGTCTCACGAAGCGTACTTCATTCAGATTGGCACAAACGTTGCCAAAGTACTTCCCCGACTTCTGATAGGCATTCGCTGCAACTAAGCCCTGCCGATCCTCCGCAATTTCGTATCTCGAGTGTCAGCGCGACGGCCATTGATCGGAGTGATAGAACAGAGTTGAAGTTCGGATACCAACATGATTCTAGTGGTCCCAATCTCTCGGCGACATTGTGAATCTCAGCGACACCGAATATGTGGATAGGTTGACGCACTAAGCTCCAGGTAATCTTCTGAGGCAAATTTCACTTAAACCAGTGCTAACAGACTGCAACAAGCTGTAACCCATGAGGTCGTAAAACCGACGGCGCGCCATACCAGAGAGGAACGAATCCAGAGAGAAATTCACAACCATGAAGTATACGAGCGGATCCAGCCTGTATACGATATAGAAGTTCTACCGCCTCGCCACTTTGTTCCCGACTCGAACGGAGAAGGTCTCATCGAGGTATTAGAGATCAACTCCCGAGCTGCACCGGGAAGAGCTAAAGGTGGTTAATTGGCGAGAAAGAGCAAGAGAAGAGCCGAGCTCCATATTTTCGTCTAGGGCCGACAACTACCAAAGATGCTAGGTGAAAAGCAGTGCATATCCCCGGAAGACTTTGAGCGAACGGAAACTACAACCATTGACCCAACTACGCCTGAAAATCTCACTAAATATTCCGGAGCAGTGTTGCATATATATTTTAATAAGCATAGTCGATGCGAGGAAATGTTAAGGTCGAACGAGTCGCTGGATCCTTTTCCTGACATTGAAGGAGACTACCGAAAATCTACACACTTCCAGCCTACCACCTAGAAAGTTCATTCCGCTACGCAACGCACCTCTTCTGCATGGGATGAAGTTGAAGTTACATAAAGAAAGCGAGTAGTTAATTAAATTTCTTGTTCAATCTCCCTACTTCAAACTACATCGTTCATCTCCGTAATGCCCTCCCCCCCGCTTTATATGAGCATCTGGCACCATCCACGACCCCACCCTACAACACAACCTCCAGAACAGAAGTCTCTACTTTATGACTGGCCCTACTTACATTGGCTTTCCCGGATCATACCTTGTGTCCTGCCCGCTGAACTGGTGTCCAACCCCCTCAACTCGAAATCGTTCTCTTGGACCGAAATCCGGTGACTGAGCAGGGGATCGCATTGGCTCTCCAGCAGTCATGTGAAGCTCCTGCTGTGGCTTCAGCGTGTCATCTTTGTCCAACGCCTCCATCGATGTCATCATGACGCTCCTCTCATCTTCTTGCATGTTCCCTTTCCTTGATCTCAACATGCCTGCAAGCATCCCCAACTTCTTCTTCCGACTGCTTTTCGTGGGTGGATACATTCCAATAGTGTGAGCGCCAACAGTGGTGTACTTCCCCATATTCTTTATACGTTTCCAAGCAACAATGTCAAGTACGACAACTAGGACTGAGCTGGCAGCGCAAGTAACGGAGAAACCGAATAAGGCTTTGAAGAGATTGCAAACTAAAGCCAGGTCGTGCCCAAACGTATCTTGCGATGGACAGCTATTGGATAGATGATCCCCGAGCTCTTCCCCAAGTAGCGCAACTGTAACAACCCAAAGGATGGCGACGGGTATATGGAATGTGAGCGCCAAAATTGGTGATCTGGGAAGACACACTCGGATAACGGAGGATACGAAGACACTGATGATGTTCAAGCAAGATGCTGACATTACCTTGAATTGATCAACATATGTAATACTAAGAGAATCTCGAAAGGCCTGGATGTTGTCAACTTACCAGCAAGATTGGCCATGGAACTGACATTGCTTCACGTCGGAGTGCATCGACGAAGAAACTTAATATTCCCGTGATGATAGCAGATGCGAGGAAAGAGTACCAACCCACTATGTGAGCAGAGAGACCTGGATGATAAGAAGGTTGTGCGCGAAGTTTGGACCCCATGGAGGAAAAGAAGTCACAAGTTTGTGGAGAGTGGTGTAATGGTTGGGATTCGATGGTAACGAACTACAAGTATTAATGCTTCAAGAGAAATTTGGAATAATTTTTAGACAACAGAATGAAAAGGAGAACCCAGGACATCTTCGCGACAATCTCACGAGATACACGAAGATTTCCAGCCTCATCTTACATGTTGATTTACTTGGTATCGCCAGACGAAGTTCCGAGTTTGGAATCAAGATAGACTTGTTGCGTACACGATTTCAGCTCCGGATATCTGAAGACATTCCTCAATTGGGCCTATAGGGCGATGAAATCTCTTTTCTAGGAAACGAGGCTAGATGTGTTTTATGCATGTCGTGTCTTGGCCCCTCGTTTGGGACTAGCGCACTGCTTCAGCCCCCTCTTCAGCTTCATCGAAGAACGCTCGGAACAACTCCCTCGCACGACACCATCCGTCTTATCATTCGCACGGTCCTCGTCTGCCATGTGCAACAAGTCCAATCCTATTCGTGTGTACCAGAGTTGTAGTCGTAGCTTTCAGCCCCATTCACCCCAACGTTCCAAATAAATTCCCTGCACGTTGACCACATATGCGCCTCCCCCCGGGATTCCCAGAGACCGTTTCTCAGCCCGACAAGAGTCACCATCTCGCGTCTTGCTGACGCTTTGGGAAAGTGTTTACAGCTCCTGGTGCCTTCGTTCCCTCTGGTAGGTCTCGAGTACTCAAGACGCTCTCCAAGGTTACGCATTTGTCATGCTCTTAGATCCAGGATGGAAATTTATGGCTCTTCTATACAACCCAATTGGTTCGTTGTATGATTAGCGTTCTCTTCTTAGATATGCCCATTTGCTTGGGATCGCGGGGTTGGGGTGCATGGCTCGCGAGATGCTTCTCGAAATCTCCTTAGTTGCAGTCCGTCGATTCAGGAACGACTTCTCAAGGCTGAGAAGCATCGCGGCAGGTCGTATTTTGAGATTCACGGGGCTTGCGGGTTGTGGATATCGATGGGGTCGGTGATGAAGAATCTCGTTCCTGAGCGGAACCGCTTTGTATAAAGAGTTGGAGACACCTCCACCAACGTACCATCATCGGCAGACAACCTTTCCATTTCATCTCATCGTCCCTTTAATCTTCCATTCAATCGTAATCCCCCCTCCCCTCTCCAAAATAAATAAATAAATCACTCTTTAGAATACCTGTGACGAAGTTGCATATTCGTAATTATGCTTCCTATGAAGACCAACCTCCCAATGGCTATGGCCATCACCTGCATGTTGAAGACGGCCACTATGACGGCATGTTATCAGCCTAGTACAGCAGTGAATGGGTCGTATGGTAGCTACTTCAACACTCTGTGTGTACCTCCCTCTCCTCCTCCCACAGGTGCTATTCCTAACACTTCGGCAGGACTCAGACATACTACCCTCCGAACGGCGATTGCCAAGACTTCATGGTGCCTATCAGCATCGACTACGAGGCTGCAGAGTTCAATGGCACGCAGTGGAAAAATGGATACGACCTCGAAGACTTCCTCACTAGCCTCACCACTCGCCCCGGAACCACGGGTCCCCCTCCTCTTGGAAACAAGAAGCGCTTCAAAGGTAGCTACGAGATTGCAGCTAGCTTCTGTGTGCCGAAGAAAAAGAATGGGAAGGAGAAAACTGTGATTGGTAGATAACCTAGTGATGGATGGGAACCTTATGAAGCTAATTGATTTGATAGTGGCTACTCATGGCATCGGCCCTGCTCGGACACATTGGAATTCCCCGTTCCGGCCCCAAGACTTCAACTTCGTACAACACGCCATGGATAAAGGTTATTCAGTCTTCTTCTATGATCGTCTAGGCTGTGGTGCCTCAACGAAGATCGATGGTTTTGAGGCCCAGCTTGAGACAGCCAAAGCCGTACTACAAGCGCTAGCGAAGATGGTGAAGGAAGGCAAATATACCGGTTCAATCAAGGCTAACAAAGTTGTTGTCATGGGTTTCTCTTTTGGTTCTTACACGACCCATGCGGCCATCGCCGACAAGCCTGAGATCGCCGATGCCGTAGTCCTCACTGGGATTGGCTTCAACTCTTCCGGTCTCAACCTCAATGGCTTAGTCCGCTCTTTCATCCCCAGAATCGCCAATGTTGAGAACCCAGCTCTCTACGGCAACCGCAACATCGGCTACCTTACCTGGCCTGACGTCTATGGCCTGATTCACAAGTAAGTGTTACCAAGATCATTGCTGTTCAACCGCATCTAACATGAGAACCTAGCTACTTCAAAGCCCCCGCCTACGACTTCGAAACCGCCCTCTTCACGGAGTCCGCCAAGGAGCCCTTCTCTGCCGGCGAATTGCTCACGTTCGCCAACACTATTAGCGCCGAAAAATGGGACAAGCCTGCTCTCCACATCACCGGTGAGAAGGACTACATTGTTTGCGACGGCTACTGCCCTGGAATCTATGACGAGCCTGCTAAGACTCTCTATAAGAATGCGAAGCCCCTCCAGCAAAGCATCACAAAGGGCGCTAGCCATCATCTCAATTTCCATAACAATGCGAAGGATACCTTCAACGTTATTACGGATTTCTTGAGCAAGAACGGGTTTTAGAGTGAGAGTTTAGATGTGGGGAAATTGTTGGCCTGTTCGTTGATGTAATCACGAGACTTTGTGTCGAAATTTTTGTGGCATTTTTTTGCATTTGCACTTGATTTTACGCGTCTTCACTTCATCCACTCCTTTATTCTAGACTTAAGCGATAATTCAATCTTGAGTTCTGCCGATTAGTTCCTGCTCTATGGATTCCCGTACTTTCTCTGCAATGTCTAGTTTCTATCCTTTCCATATACCTGCTAGCAAAATCTTTTGCGGGTACGATATAGAATCATCAACGCGACACTCATACACAAGCATCTGATGTGTGCAGAGGCAAATCCCCTAGAATATTTAGACATGTCTCACTCTTAACTGAGTGGAGTGTACCTGTTTTTTTCGACCTACTCTCATTGTTTCCCTCCACCGCCTTGCTATTCGCACCGTGTCATCCGACGTCCACATGCCTAGGTATCTAGGCTCACAGACCAGCACGTACATTCAGCAGCTTTTAAGTTGATTACCCTCTAATGTCTACCCTCAAATTATGGCCATCAAGGCAGAGACCTGACAGTCCAGTGACTTTTACCGATGCGGAAAAGCATCCGCAATCCAATAAAACTGTGTCCGGACATCGTATTCCTCTCCCGATTCTCCTAATTTATTCTCCGCGTGTTAATACACGCAAGGCACATTCTAGTATTCGATTTATGCATACTTCCCCGTTACTATGTACGCTATTGGGAGGTCTGTGGGCACCTGAGTAGAAGGGAAGTAGAGGTAATATACGGAGCTTTCCACAGATCATGCCTTCTCTCGCAATGCCTCATGTATTCCTGGTAAGGCTCTTTAGCTATCTACTTGCTGATTCATGGTGGCATCTGGGACAGGCCCAGGTGCGGAGAGAATCGATATCCATAAGTTACGAAATTTCTCTATGTTCCTAGCTGAGTTAATTGTATGAAGATTGTATTCCCAAACTTGGCGGAAATGAAACTCTTAACAGTCAATCTTCTCGTCTTCCTACAAGGAAGGAGCACTTTCGTCAAAGCACACTGTATGTTTCATATCCTCGCCCGCAGCTATGCTTTTCCTGTTTTGGTATCGCAACTGTAGCTTCATGGCCATTTCATTTCCACCAAGTTGATCAATTTGCCAATTCAGCCCAAATGCACTCTCTGCAAAACATATCGGAAGCCACAATGAGGCTTCCGACTTCTTATGCATGCTTCGTATTACCTTAGCCTTCTCTCGAACGTATTTCAAGGATCATATCAAACATGCAGCCTTTCAACCCACTTTTTCCTGGTATATTCTACAGCCTGAACATAGCTCACACATCGTATATGCTCCCAATGAATATCCTTTCGATTGCCCGACTGAGCCGGACCGAAATGCCTAACCCATGTTCCCTTAACATCGTGAATTTAGTGTTTAGACTCGCTCATGGTGTTTCTACCTGATCACACTGAAGAAAGGGATCGAAATTTGTTCGGATAGCAGATAGAACAGTAGCGTAAAGAGAGAACTTTACATTCCTATGAAAGAAATGCGTAATAAGTTTATCGGTAAACTCTCCTTGCCTTTCACTTTGATTTGCTCACATTACAGGACATCTATTCCCGCCCAAGCTTACCATGTTTCATTAAACGGTAGAAGGGTCATTCCAACTAGTGGCACTCATAGCAAGACACTCGCTGAGATTGGAATTGAAAACAGTGCTTAGCACTACTCCAAACACACTAAGTCTCGAACCCCCCCCCAAATTCAGTATTTACACACGTTGTCCATCATTTTCCTCTTCACTGTTTAAGGGATACTCAGAACTGAAGACTAAATCTTCCAAGTTCCAAGTGCGTGGATGAAAGTTCAACCCGAAGACCCCTTGTTGAGGCAGTCCAACAAAAACAAAGACTTGAGGCAAACACACAACCCTTGTTACTCACTAGGCGCACACATTCTCACGCACAAAGTCAAGTAGCTAGAATTTCCGCAATTTGAAGTAAGCCGACAGCAGCCCTGCATTTCGCAGAATCAGATTCCGTATTCGCCATGCCTGCTCAGAGTACTTGTATATCTACTGACAAAGGGCCGACTCCATTGTCCTTCCAAATACTCCACTCTGCCTGACTCGCTGCAACCGAAAAAATTCCAACTAAAACATACATTACCCAAGATCCTTGGATATTTCTTTTCCTTGTAAACAGAAGCACGAATACCGAACCGAGGAAGGAAATTTTTCATGTCCGTCGAATTGCAGGATGTCTCTCCGCCGCCCGAGACCGTAAGAAGGAAAGTAGGCGCATGTTGTCGTGTCGTTCTTTGCAGAACCGCACCCATGAGAAAGATGAAACAAGCTGAGACAAAAAACCGCCCGAGACTGCAATCGTGTCATACTCGTACACCTCCGAAAGAAGTAACCCTAAACTTGAAGTCTAAGTCTGTGTGAGGACATATAAATGTTAACTAGCTCCCCAGACTGTGCTCAACCATCCATCTGATCCCTTCGAAGCTGCCCAGTCCTGCCAGTCGTTGCCAGCTGTGAATGCAGCCCAATCATCGCCTCCGAAGCGCGTGTCAAGGCTGTTAAGCCATGTCTCTTTGGTTGCGGGCGACCAGGTGGCTTGTTGTTGAGATACAGACACGGGCGCACCTCCCGATCCTTGGTGTTGAAGTTGTTGCTGAAGACTCAGTGACGCTCGCTGTGCCGATTCGGCAGGATTTGGGGGGTACGACTGCGCATGCAAATGCTGCTGATGAATCGCCTGGGGTGAACCATAACCAGGCCTAAAGCCTTCCTGCGGTGGCGCGGAGCTTGGGTGCGTGGTTGGGCTTAGGATTTGCTGTCCATAGTGATTTTGGAAGCCGTTCGGCACAGCAGGCGTTCCACTGCCTGAATCTGTTCTTGCAGCCGCGGCAACGCTGTTGATCGCATTCCATCGTTCGTGTCGTATCGACGCTGAGTCTGGAGTGCCGTCTACTAAGTCCATGTTCTCACTCTTTATCGCTGCACTGCCAGACTCGCTTCCCTCATCAAGAACCTGGCCTAGCCGTGAAGTAGAAATGTCAGCATCAGCATCCGGCATTTCGAGATCCTCGTCCTCTAGACTGCCGAACTCCTTGAGAATCTTCTCTAAGAGCTTGTATTCTTCTAGTCCGCCGCCAATTCCACCTTCGCGTAAACTGAGATGCCTGTAAGATTCCGTGGAACTGCCGCCGCTTTCCGAAGAGGCCTCCAGTGCACGGGTGTTGCGAGCAAAGTCCTTTTTCATTCTGCTGAAGTACACATGAACACGTCGGATTGTCTTGAACCAACCGCTGGCCATGCTGAGTCGTTTGCGCATTTGTCCGACAAGTTCAAGCGCTTTCCGTGCAGCTTCCGCGCCGCTGGTGTCTGATAGTGGCGCGTAGCCTGCGTTGGCAGATTCAGGCTGACGTTTGCACATATAACCGTTCGGATCCATCCAGGGGAAGTTAATGCAGTATACGCCTGCATATGGTCAACATCTCGAAGTAAGAGGAACAAGAAATTTGATTGATGGCTTACCAACAAACGCGACCGTGTAAGTAGCAAAACCCACTAGTGGTGTCTCGACTAGTACTTGCCATTCTTGACACGTTCGTAGCAAATCAATTAGGTCTCTAGCAGCTTTGAAACATTCGCGTGCGCTATCATCCCAGAAGCCGGGAGGAATTTGGTAATCTTCTGGCGGAAAGAGGGGAGGATCAAGTGGGCCTTGTGGTTTCGAACACCGCAGCGGAATGAAGGGAACGTATTCTCGATGGAGCATGATGCTGCAAAGAAGATGGATGGTATGCATGAGGGTGTAAGGAGTTGAGGTCCTGGAGGCGATATGCGCATTGATGTTCGAAGCACTTAGAGTGAGGTCGCGAGGCAGCGCATCTTTGAAAGCGGCGAGTTTGTGTTGGAGTTCGTAAAACGAAGACCTCGAATCCCAAGGGGGGTATCTTTCTTGTCTGGAAATGCATGAGTAACTGGAGGGGCTCTGCGCGTCAAACCAAATCGACTTACCGTCTGCCACCCCCACAGGACCACTTCACAATGCGTCCATAGAGGTCCAGGGCCTTAATGAAACGGCTCAGCGCTCCCTCGTCAGGACCTATCTCCCATCTCGCGTTGTCGTCAGTGTCACGCAGTTGATGGTCATGGCTACCATATGTTCCATTCCCGTTCTCCTGACTTCGCTCTCGGTCGCCATTCCGGGCGCCTAGCATAACTGAAGCTTTGCGCTGACTCTGGACTTCAGCTCGGCGAGCAACTCCTTCTGCGTCTTCTCCTAGTAACTGGGTCTTCACCTTCTCCCCAAACATGAAAGCACGGTCACTGCTAGGAAGCTGAATGCGCAGGTCTTGCGTATTCAGCATGGATGGGCGATACTTGCCACTGCTGAGATATCGGTCCATAATGAAGCAGCTCCAGAATGTCCTGCGTCGAATTTCTTGCTCGATGAATTCATCGCCCTTGGACAACATAGCATTGCGCCCTAGACGGTCAGGGCTGACTCCCATGTGATGAACTTCATTATTGAGTGCGAGTGAGCGCGCTAGAGGCATGTCATCTAGCTCCTGCTCGAATTGAAGGCCAAGGATTTGGGCTGAACGAATCGCTACACCGATCGAGATCCACGCTTTGACACCCTGGCACATCCCCCAATCATGAAGCCCCATCATAAGCAACGCCTGCGTTCGCTCGAGCGTCGGGATACCGAGCGAGTCGCCCATCGACCCTGCCAGACGCGAGCGCGCAGCTGCTGCATAGTACTCTGAAGCAACGATGGGGTTGCTTGGACGTGAAGAAGTTGGCGGGGAGTGATGCGCTACCAGTGCCGGGTGGAAGCGGGCGGTTAGTGCAAGGAATGCAAGTAGCAATAGGGATGACGCTGGAGGTAGAGTCGCAGATGGGGAGTGGGTTGAGGATGAGTCTACGGGAGGGGAGTGTAGATTCGATTGTCGCAGTGGTTTGAGGAATGTTGGAGGATGCAAGAATGGCAAATCAGTGGAAAAATGCTGCTGGAAGATCTCGAACTGTGAATGTGAGCATACATTCCTGTGACTATGAACTTGGAGACGCTTACCAGTTCTGTCCAGACCTTAGGAGTCAGCAGAAGCGGATCGAATGCATCCAAGAGCGGCCGGGGACTTTCCTTGTTCGAGTTCGAGATACTCGAGGTGGGGGCGATTGTTTTTTTTGGGCGCGGTCGTTTAGGAGTCTGCTCAAGTCAGTCTATGTTGCGATCTGTAATGAAGAGATAGAGAAACGCGTCCTGCTGTTTTCTTGGTGTCATGGCAAGACTTCTCAGATAAATTTAGCACTCGAGGGGTTCATGCCGGTGATGTGATGGAATAGACGCGCCGGTGCGCGTTCTACCATCTGGCAACAGAACAGCACAGCCTTGAAAAATACACAATCCCACGATCCCACACTTTGAGGAGTCTTCTTCAACTCACCTCTCCTTGGGGATTTGGCCCCTCCCCAGACACATGACTAGCGATGATGCTCTCCCTCCGTGTGATACTCCCCGCACCGCCAGCTGCAGGTGCAGGATAGGTACACTCTCTCCCTGAGGTCTCGCAGGCGCGGCAGGTCGTGTTCACGCCATTGTTGATGCACTTGACTTTGCTGCGCCGACAGCGCGCGCATGCGATGGAGGACCGCATGCGAGGCTGCTCCGGGCGCCGCGCACCCCCCTCTGCCGGCTGGCCCTCAACGTGGGCGGGAATGAGAGGCCGTGGTGCAGTCAGAGGGGAAGTCTGCGCGGGGGGCGACTGCAGGCCGTGAGGGTGCAATGTCGGCAGGCGCGAAGCCGTGTACGGGCTCTCTGCCGGCGGAGGGATGCTGCTCGCCGGGCCCGAGGAGCTTGTGGGCGCTGAGGAATTAATTTTGGCGGTATTGACGGGCTCTTCAATCGGGGCTTAAGGGACGCGGAGGAGAAGGGCACTTGTCGGCGAGCGTGCTGCTTCTCCTCGTAGTAGTCGCGGATGTTGCGCAGTCGGAGGTGAAGCTTGAGGTGGCGGTAGGGAAGACGGACACGGCCAATTGGGCGGCGCGGACTTTGGAGCTGCCCCGGACGAAGCTGTGGGCAAGGCGGAGGGCTGACCGAATCCGCAGAACCGCAACGCCCAGCTGCCGTGGACTGCCAGATCGTGAGAGAGATGTCGTGGTTACAGGGCGAGGGCGCGCAGGGTGTAGACGTGGACTGAAGGGGACGGTGGCAGCTGGCAGCTTCTTCGGCAACAAAACGCGACTGCGGGTGCGTTCAAATGACCGGAAGGGCTGACGAGCAGCCCGAATAATAGCCCGGATGTAACGGCTCTGATCGACGAGTGCTGTCGAAGCTCCCGCGACGCCCAGCCTTCCAGGGCTCCCGTGCGCCAGCTTCGCAACTCGCTAATAGTTGGTTATCAGATGATCAGGCATTCGAGATTCTCCAAGCTCTCTCATCTTCCCTCTCGTTGCACATCTCGTGAATCTGAAATGGCATCCTCAGTAGCACAAGGCTACTTTCCTTTGCTGCGTCCTAGCCACCCCCGACCGGAGTCCGCCTTCCTGACTCAACGCGGCCAGCCGGTGATGCCGCTCTGATGGCCGCTTCTCGCCGAATGGCTCCCCCAGAGTGGCAACCTCACCAAGCACTGTACTGTGCAGGCGAGAGAACTGGCGGTCCGTTCAATTCGGTGCCCGGCCCGACACACATGACAAAAGGGCTTCGACCGGCTCGGACTTCAGTCCTGTCCGATCCGGCGGCCTCGCGGAGCTTTTCTCGTCATCATCTGCTCTATATTATGTCTTCGCATGATGGTCCATCTTTGGTCCCATGGCTAGATCCGCATTGTATCATGCTACCCAGCCGAGAGAGTTCGAATGGCTGTCATTCGTCAGCCCCTTTGCTCTCTTTATCGACCTGCAGCGGCACCGCTTCGCAGCAGTATCCGAGGGTTGAATCTTCTGGCCTGCTCGGCCCTGCGCCTGGCAGTGAATCTGCAATGCCGTCCTAACCGGATCGACAACCCTGCCAAGTATCTCACCACCAAGAGTTCCCCACATAGTCTTTTCTCCGCGTGTTACGCAGGGTTTGTCTTCACAAGACCAAAATGGATCCGATCAGCCTCACAAGGCCAGGCTCCAGCCACATGTACAAGTCTGCTCTTTGCAGCACTGCATGCTGCGTGAAAGTTGTTTTCAGCGATAGCATTTTGACTGTCAAATACGAGCTCGCGTGCCGATGTGGGACGCCTTACCTTCCTCTCCATTCGAGAGACAGCGCAGAGACGTCAAGCGCGCCAGCCATCTACTGCCTGACATCATTGTGGGCTGATGTCGATGCGTCTGGTGAATTCAGCACAGGTGGTGGCCCGAATCGGCCAATGGAAAGCCTACTTGTGCCGGCGCCGGGTGAAAAGTTTCGGGGAATAAGATACGGACTGCCATTCAAGGGATCCATTTCGTTGCCGTGAGCTCAGGGTTCTGGGCGGAGTTTCGGGCCTGCCCGGACATTCCTTTCCAACAGAAAGAGAGAAGGGCTTGGTTGGGAGGGAAGAGTGGTCAAGTCTGGTTTCCCCACTCGTGCAAATTCCTTCTTTTGACTAAGTACACATTCGACATATTTGGGTAGCTTCTACGCAGTTACGCTCATTTAGAAAAAAAAAACCCTTTCATCGTCCTAACCCTTTGCTTAATTCGCGTAAGCGGTCAAAAGAATAGGATTGTGTGTACGATATCTGTTCACGCTCTTCCTTTTGTGAGCTCTCTCGACTATATCCAGGTTTTTTGCGTCGTAAGGACCTAACCTATCGTAGTGGGACACAATCTTTGACCATTCGAGGATGAGTTGAAGTCAAAGCAGAGTGTTCTGTGTGGCTTCCGTGCAGCAAATCGCTGTTTGTCAGCATCGTGGCAAAAGTTTAAATTCTGCTCCCAGGGACAAGTAGAAAGCCTCCTTCCTGTTACGGAACCACGTCACGATATTACCACTAGAAAGTAGCCGCAACCTCGCCGAAGATCCTCCACAAAAGAAATTATTCCACGCTTGACCGATGAAACTATCTTGAAACAGAGGCAAGCTTTGAGTTCCATGTCCTGCATCCGGTGCCAGAAATAACTATGTCACAAGGAATGGATCTCATTCTCCATATTGGCACGTGACATAAACGACATGATTTGATTTAGGACCGAGATTTATATGCCCTTAACAAACTCTACTTAAATACAGAAAAATGACAAGATACCGAACATCATCAATCACATTTCGTGGTAACCCCGCCGAGTTTAATAGATATATCTTAACAGTCGGATTCTGGGCATCCTATGTAACGAAACTCACTCAGAAAATTCTGTCTGGATCGAGATTTTATGAGATGACGGCACTACCACTCACTTCAACATGCAAAGAAACTGTATTTCTGAGTAATGAGCAATAGGCAACAGATACGTTTCTTGCGTTCCGTCTCCATTTCCTTCAGGAACCAATTGCACGAATATTCTTCAGCTTACGAAAACTACACATGAGGAGTAGCTCGTCTCCAAACCGAACTCGACGCCATGTAATGTACCGGAAAATATACCTGGAATGCGAGCTTAGAAAGACAATGAATTAAGTCTCGGGAAGGAAATCACGCACCTCCAATTGTCTCCTTTTCGTTTTTGCATTCCAAGAGAAAGAATCAATGCATACTTCGTTACTTCGCGTTACCGTCATTCTTACAAGGCTCTAGGGCGTGCAAAGCCGGAAACACCAATCACACCACGGAGCTTCCGAAGAGAATAGGTAAGCTACGAGACTTTGACCTGTATTGTTTATATATCAGCGAAATGTCGGGCAACCGTGATGACGAGTGCCATACAGGAGCTGTAGGCGAATCAATGAGAAGGAAAGGGTGTGGTCCATTGCCATGCTGTGTAAGTCAGGGTTTCAAGAGTGTGATGCGGGCGCAAAAGCGACGAGACAACAGCCTGAGACCGCAAATAAGCATTGCAAGTGGATCGGATCATGTTCCACAAGTGAGATGGTGTTGCGCACACGCGATCGATCACTTCGTATGCTAGCTAGAGCTGAGCGACGACCGTGATGACGCCCGCAAGTTGATGATGGAATCAGAGCAAGATTAATCATTCATGCCGACGAGCGTGAGCTATGGCAAACTGTAGACTGCGAGGTTAATTATGAGAACGCCACAAAGTGGCTGAGGAGTGTTTGGGATGTCCCCCGCTGCCTTCGCCAGGACAAACACGGGATTTCTTGGAACACACCCCACCTCTCCCTCCGCCGAACTCTGCGCTCCGTCATATCGTCTGCGCACCACGCCTATTCCTCCTCTTCTCGCACACCTTTCAGCTCACACATACGCACGCCTCTAGCCTTGTTGGCCACCCTCTGCTGCAGGAAAAAGGAGGGTGCGGGCGATCAATAAAGCTTTGGGCACGAGGTGTGGCTGAGACGCAGCTCAAGTACGAGCCTCAACGACCACTTTTGACATCACGCCTGTGGCCTACCCCAGAGGATCCTCCACCGACACCCGTCATTGCTAGCGACCCAGCGCCTCCCAAGAGAGTGTTATATTCTTCTTCCTCCCCGCGACGACAGCGTCTTCGCCGAACCTCTCGCGGCCCGACTTGGGCGTCGACTCTATCCTCCGCCACGCAGCCTGTGACTGCAAGGCACACCACCTCGCCGCCCTGCTTCGGCGAAGAGACTCTTTGGACGCTTTCTTCGCCAGATATCCCTAGACCACCGCCACCATGAATGTCGATGAGACCATCACTAATGTCCAGCGCAAGATCAAGCGGGAGGAGGCGCTGCTCAACGCGGCCAACGCGATGCGCCAGTCAACAAACAACCCCGCCGTGCTCTCACGCTTAGACGGACAGATTAGAGACGGCCGGCGGAATATTGAATACTTCGAGGGAACATTGCGGGATCTGGAGATGCGCAGGGGCATGGAAGGCATGAATCTGCAGCCAGGTGGGCCTGCATCTTCAACAAGAAAGGCCGGAAACCCGCTGACTCCCCCCCCCAAAGATGGCTGGAATGGCCACGCGGGCCCAGATCAGGGTGGCTATGGGGACCCGCAAGGCGGATACGGCAACCTCAGCGGCGGCCACGGACTGATGCCGCCACGTGCCCCATATGCCCCCTCTGCACCCGGTGCACAGCAGCCGAAGCGCGCCAATTACAGTAAACTGGGTATGCAGTCCACTATGCTGAGGCCTGCCATATCTAGCTGACCGTTTCTTTAGACTTGATCAAATATGATACCCCGCACCTCGGTCCCCGCATCCAACTTATGCTGTCCCAGCTCGAGTTCAAGCTGAGCGTCGAGAAACAGTACAAAGATGGAATCGAGAAGATGGTGCGGTTGTATCAGCTTGAAGGCGACCGGAAGAGCAAGGCGGATGCGGAAGCCCGGAGGATCGAGAGTAACCAAAAGATCCAGCTCCTGAAGCAATCCCTGAAGAGATACGAAGATCTCCACGTTGATGTGGAGGGCGGAGATGGCGCGGATGGTACGTCGCGCCTTGTCCGTACACGAACCGTTATGCGCTGACAAAATATGTAGACGACAGCCTCAATGTGCCTAGTCAGCGCAAACCTCTGACAGGTCATTTATCTCTGCGTATTCATGCTGTTGCCGATGTTGACCATGCTGCTACTGGCCGTTTTAGTAGGGGCCCGGAGACCTTTGTTATCATCAAAGTTGAAGATAATTTTAAGGGTCGTACCAAGGCCACCAGGAGCGATCGGTGGCAGGACGAATTGCACGAGTTCGATATTGAGAAAGCGAACGAAATTGAGCTCACTGTGTACGATAAGACGGGAGATCATCCTCTACCTATTGGCATGCTCTGGGTTCGAATATCAGATATCGCTGAGGAAATGCGCCGCAAGAAAATAGAAGCAGAACTTCAAAACTCCGGCTGGGTATCTGCGGACAAGATGGGTAACGATTCCGGGCCCCGGCCCGACTTACAATTCCAGCCACCCCCAGGACAGAGTTACGCCGGAGCTGGTGGACCCGGACCTGGCGGCATGCGACCTGGGGGACCTGCAGGTGCTGGAGGTGCTGGAGGACCGCACCCTCAGACCGGGCCCACTTACATCGACGCTTGGTTCTCTTTGGAGCCTGTGGGACGCATCCAGCTTACTATGGCATTTGGTGAGCTTGATTCCTTCTCCTTACATGATACCCTCCGACTAGGCTGACAATATGAAGTTAAACATGCAAAGAACAAGCAGCCGTTCGATGTCGGCCTTGGGCGAAAAGGAGCCATTCGTCAAAGAAAAGAAGAAATCCACGAGCAATATGGGCACAAGTTCGTCCAGCAGCAATTTTACAACATCATGCGCTGTGCTCTCTGCGGAGAGTTTCTCAAGTATGCTGCAGGCATGCAGTGTTCGGACTGCAAGTATACCTGTCATAAGAAGTGTTACCCAAAGGTGGTGACAAAATGTATTACGCAGTCAAATGCAGAGACAGATCCCGACGAAGCGAAGCTCAATCACCGCATTCCTCATCGATTCGAGAACTTTTCAAATATGGGCGCCAACTGGTGCTGTCACTGCGGTTACATACTGCCTTTGGGTAGAAAGCAAAGCAAGAAGTGCAATGGTAAGTTCTCTGCTCCGAAAAGAGCGTATGCAGCTAATATATTCCCAGAATGTGGTCTTACCTGTCATGCAAATTGCGTTCATTTTGTTCCAGACTTTTGCGGCATGTCAATGGAAGTTGCCAATCAAATCCTGATGGAGATTAAGCGAACGAGAAGGGGTCAGTCAGCATCAGGATCGACCATGAGCCAACGAGTGCTTCGGCCTCAGCAACCACAGAAGCCAACACCTCCACCCCCATCTCAATCTCAGTACCCTCCCCCGGGACAAGAACAGCAGGGGCAACCAGACCGATATTCCTACGGCAAAGATCAGCAATATGGTGGCCCGCCACGACAACCGTCGTACCCACCATCAGCGACTTCAGTTGATGCAGCACGTGCTTCGTACTCGACTGCGAGCTCCACCCCAACCCCAACATCTCCAACTTCACAGAGACCCCAATCGACTCGTCAGCAATCTCAACCAGCACCAGTGGCTGCTGCTGCTGCTGCTATGGGGGGAAAGACCGCTGCTCCAGGATATCAGCGAACGCAATCAGACGTTTATCCTCCGCCTGGAGCTAGGACTTCGGGTGGTGGCTATGCCCAGGACCAGAGGATTCCCCAGCAACAGGCCCCTCAACAAGTTGGATACAATCCCCAAGACTACGCAAACATTCCTAGCTACCCTTCATCACATCCCCAACCTAGTCCAATGCAGTACCAACAACAGCAGAAGAATTCATTCGCACTTCCGCAACCTCCACAGCAGGCTCAACCACACCAGCATCAACCACAGCCGCCAGCGCATCAGCCGGAGATGCAATCCACCCAGCAACAGTCTCAGCCAATTTCAGCTATGACTGAGGCTCCGAAGAATAAGGTCACTCCCTCTGCAAATACCCAGGGTACTGGAAGAAGGATTGGTTTGGATCACTTTAATTTCCTGGCAGTTTTGGGTAAGGGTAACTTTGGTAAAGTCATGCTGGCCGAGACCAAGAGTACGAAGCAGCTGTATGCTATCAAGGTGCTAAAGAAGGAGTTCATTATTGAGAACGACGAGGTAGAAAGCACAAGATCGGAGAAGAGGGTGTTCTTGATTGCCAACAAGGAGCGGCATCCATTCCTGCTGAGCCTACACGCTTGCTTCCAGACAGAGACAAGAGTCTACTTCGTCATGGAATACATCAGCGGCGGAGATTTGATGTTGCATATCCAGCGGGGTCAATTTGGCACGAAACGTGCTCAGTAAGTGCATGCATAATTCTCTTTCAAAAAGCTAACACTCACAAGATTCTACGCCGCTGAGGTCTGTCTTGCGTTGAAGTATTTCCATGAGAATGGCGTCATCTACCGAGACTTGAAGTTGGATAACATTCTCCTCACTCTCGACGGACATATTAAGATTGGCGATTACGGCCTGTGTAAGGAAGAGATGTGGTATGGATCCACTACGAGCACATTCTGTGGTACTCCCGAATTCATGGCACCTGAGGTATATTTATTTTCCGATACTAGAGCGTGACGGCCACTAACAATATATCCAGATTCTGCTTGACAAGAAGTATGGCCGCGCAGTCGACTGGTGGGCATTTGGTGTCCTCATCTACCAAATGCTCCTTCAACAATCTCCTTTCCGTGGCGAGGATGAAGATGAAATCTACGACGCGATTCTTGCCGACGAGCCTCTTTACCCGATCCACATGCCTCGTGACTCGGTCTCCATCCTCCAGAAGCTTCTCACCCGTGAGCCAGATCTGAGGCTTGGTTCTGGACCAACAGATGCGCAAGAGATAATGAGTCATGCGTTCTTCCGGAACATCAACTGGGACGATGTGTACCACAAAAGGATTCCAGCGCCGTTTATTCCGCAAATCACGAGCGCGACGGATACGAGCAATTTCGACACCGAGTTCACAAGTGTGACTCCAGTCCTAACGCCTGTCCAGTCTGGTAAGTTTGTCCATTTGTGCCATCTTGAAATTAGAATTGAAATTGACCAACTCTTTCCTAGTTCTTTCACAAGCCATGCAAGAAGAATTCCGAGGCTTCTCCTACTCAGCCGACTTCAACTAAAAACTAACAATCAACTCAAACCGGATTTGCTTTCATTTCGAATACCCTGGGTTTTTCAGCTTTCGATTTTGGGACGACTTCTTGTGAATGCAATGCATGCAAAGCATAGGGGTAATTCGACTGGCTGACTGCATATGGCATCGACCGCTGCCCTCCCCTCCCTCTTCTTGACAAATAGCTAGAGTTGATGGAGGTGTTGGTGTTAGTGTTGGTGTTGGCGGCGTTGCAAAATGAGATCGAATCTGTATCGCCGTCGTTCTGACTTGTTTTTATCCCCTTATTCTTTTGGCTTTGAGAGAAAACACACACACACACACACACACACACACACTTTGTAATTGCAGCTTGAGATGTGTGTGGTGGGTGTCCTCAAGTCTTGTGAAGATTCTGGTGACATGGTAGGGTCAGGTCTGGCTGGCTAGTGAAGGAGAGGGGAGGATGGATCTTGGGAGACTTTCTTCTTTGGTCGGGACTTGTTGTAACGGACGGGCGAGCAGGCGGAAGGGCGGGCGACTCTTGGGCTTTATGGATAGACGAAACAATTGTCAACGTCAATTTTCTTGCGGTGAGGGGTTTTGTTTAGGATAGGAGTATCAGATGTGTTCCTGTGATGCTTCCCCCTTCGCAATGGCAACCGGTTTGCTACATAAATATTCTTCGTTAGAATTACGTGCTTCGAACCGTTCTTCACTACTGTTGAAGCCCCCGATTTTAGAGCGATTTCTTTGAAGACAGGCATACAACCCCTTCTCCCAGTGTGTCCAACCGTTAGTTACGGAGCCTTTTGGAGGCTGTATAGTACAGTTACGGAAGAGGAGGCTGTTACTAACTAACTGTACGGAGGAGATGACGTCAGTGTACGGTTAGGATACAGTAACTGAAGTATATTGAAGTATTATGAAGTAATTGCGCTGAAGCTAAAGACTATACCCAATTAGGAAGTTGTGATACCCCTTGTGAGATCTACTGTTGTTGATCTCACTGTTTTAATGTACTCTGTAAGCTCAGTCAGCTCACTAGTAACAGCGTTGTTACGTAACTAATTCTTCTGCAGTTGAAGAGCCTCTATTGTCGACCGCGTCGTTGATTGGGATAGGAATTGGGACATCATAATGGGCAAAAGAATAACGTAGATGGCATAGTTGCTGAATTTGTTAGAAGATTGCTAACAAAACAGGCAATAACAGCATTCTCCGCATTAATCTCCGAACACGAGCCCCCTGGCCCTCAGCAACCTGCCTTCAACCGCCCAAAACCACCAAAAATCCTATATAACTACCGTAAACGGTTAGTACAGCAGCCTCATGTATAGTACAGTATACTGAGTAGATGCCCTGTACGTACGTACGTGACCAAAATCAGTGTACTGCAGTACTGTACTATTAGGTGTACTAACGGTTGGACACACTGCCTTCTCCTTTTCGGCATCCACCTGAGTAGTGGAGAGATCATTTGCATGTGCTTTCCGTCTGAGAAACGTCTATATAAAGCCCCCACCCTACCGCCTTTGATCTCCAGAGCACCATCACTTTGTCTTTAGGTTCCAAATATTTGAAGTCCCACCCCCATGTACTCTTTAGGGGCACCTTTGCTGTAGAAATAAGATTATCTTCGACATTGCCAATGTTTTAATACCGAAGGGTCTGAATGCTATAGTTGCTATTCAACTTCGTGTTTCTCTCGTTTCATAGAGAGAGACTAGGCAAGAAAAATAGCACCGAGGTCTAACACCTCTGGAGGAGGCATACAGTGAGTGAAGATATGTTGAAATGTTTTGCTCTACGTGCAGAGCGGAGTTCTTATTGTATGGACGCTATGCTAGTTAGTAACGTTCGTTGATGTGATTTTGAATGACCATCTCCACTATCGAAGTTCTCGAACGAGACTCAATTCTATAATTACTGTTTTAGTTATGTTAACGCTTACTCTTGCCGGCCGGGACTTCTAATTCTCACTTGACGTGGGACATAATCATGTAGATTCCGTTTGTTAAATCTCTCGCTAGAATCGCAGCGAGTGTGAACAAAACGCCGATTTTTCAATCCTAAATTATCCCTCTCATATCCCACGTTAGGTGGTAAAATGCAGTACATACATCTCCCTCTCCTCTTTCAATTTTCACAGCAGTCCGCAGCAGCTAGCCAGGAATGTCCAGTGAAGAAAATCTTTGGCACCTTGTACTAACGGGCGCACCAAAAAGTTCCTTGCTTGCTCAAAATTTTGCGATATACATGATTCCTGACCAACCCTGGAATAGGGTTTCAGTGTCTCGATGGCTAACTTTGTGGCACACGATAAAGCTGACTCCTGCACAGTGGAGGCGACTGAGGTACATAAACCCGCTTCCGTCGGGTCTGTCCTCACATATCACAACAACATCCCGGAACACCAGAAATAACCTGCCGCAGTGACCTTGATGCTTCGCCAGTCTTGGGCTAAAATTCTCGACCCACTTCCTGCACCGCTCGACCAAAGTTCTCACCCCATGTTGTGGATGTCTACTTACAAATGTGCCCCATGGGCATTTCTGGAGAAATGCGCTGCAATTTTGTGGCATGGTGGGCTTAATGCTCCCGCCGGCGATGACCATGTACTGTGCTTAAAAATTCGACATTGTCGAAAAGCACGGAACTTCTGGAAAGGGGGGAGCGCTTGGAAAGCTAAAAGCAATGCAGCGTAGAGGGAAAGAAAATATGGCACAATCCAAGAACGGAGGGCGGTTTCCACGGTGTCGATGAGCTATTTTCGACAAAGACAATACACAAACGAATCAAACACCATAGTTTGGTCATGATGATGATCATCATCATCAACCTCAAATGTTGAATAGGATTTCGTGACGAAGCATTAAATGAGATCTATACAATGCATGCATGGATTCTTTTCCAACCATCCATCCACGGCAGGAAGCTAACTCAGACCACATTCCCAAACGCCTCTGTCACCCATCATCTGTCCAAAAATTGGGTTATTTTCCGGCTCTCTCTACAGCCTGTAATTCTGCCTCTACCTCCGCAACAACCACCCTCCTCACACCTTCCCACCCCTCGGACTTCTTGACATTGCTGACCCTCCGCGGTTTGTCTTCAAGCCCGACAAACTCTGATGGTAGTACTACATCCCAAGAATAACCTCTTTGACCATTGAGTGCCATATCAACCGCGCTGCTGAACTTGGCGGGGTGTGCTGTTGCTAGCGAAATGTGATGTGTGCTAGGTGGTGTGGCTCGTTCCGCAGAACGAAGGGCGCCCGTGATGCCAATAGCCGAATGTGGATCTAGGATGTATCCTTGTGAAGAAGGCGAGCTGAAGATCTCAGTGATGGTCTGGAGAGTCTGCCTGTCGGACACCCGCTCTGACTCAAAGTCCTTCTTAGCCGCAGCTAGAATCTGTTGGTCAACGTTGAATCCTCCCTCCGCCTTCAACGCATCTAACCACAATCGGACATGCTCGCCTGCTTGGCTCCGCCGCTGGGCAACAGCATCGGATGATGTGGTGTATACTTCGTAAGCTAGGAACCAGAGGAGTCGTTCGAAATTTGACGAGACGAGGATGTCCATTGCCGGACTTAGCGTTTCCTTCACGCCGTCTTCATGGACCTTGACGCCGTCTTGAGGAATACCGCCCTCGGCTTCTTTCCCGTGAACTGGTTTCTTTTCGTACTTGCCGGTTTGCCAGAATCGGTGAAGGATGTCATTCTCATTTGTGGCAATGACGAGCTTTTCTGCGGGTAGACCCATGCGCTTGGCGAAGTAACCAGCGAGGATGTCGCCGAAGTTGCCGGTCGGCACAACAAACCGGATGGTAGAAGCGGGAAGGAAGGAGGGTTTGCGGATGAGGTTAAAGTAGGCGTAGAAGTAGTACGTTATTTGCGCGAGGATGCGAGCCCAGTTGATAGAGTTCACGGCAGCGAGGCGGTGGGTCTTGTTGATTTCGGGGTCGGCGAAGAGAGCTTTCACGAAGTCCTGGACTGCTGTTAGAGGAATGCGCATTTGATAGGGTGTAGCGGAAACGTACCTGACAGTCATCGAAGGTGCCATCCACAGCCAAGTTGTGCACATTCGCATCCATGACGGTTGTCATCTGGGCTTCTTGAATCGGGCTCACTTTCCCCTGCGGATGCATAATGAAGACCGAGACATCTTTCTTGCCTCGAAGACCGTAGATAGCAGCGGAACCAGTATCACCACTTGTTGCGCCAATGACCGTCAAATGCTCCCTATCCCTTCCAGTCTTCCCCTGATTCCTGCGCACAAGGAAGTACTCAAACAGATTCCCCAAGAATTGCAGCGCGACATCCTTGAATGCGAACGTTGGCCCATGGAAGAGCTCTAGCAGATGTATGTTCTTGTCCTTGTCCAGGGTCACCGTCGGCGTTACATCCTCAGTTCGAAAGGTCGAGTAGCTGCGGCGTATGATATCTTTCAGATCGGTAGCGGGTATCTCGAAAGGAGAGATGTAGAGCGAGAAGATTTCGTATGCAAGTTCTCCGAATGATAGGTGCTGCCATTTAGAGACCCAGTCGCTGGGAAGGGAGGGTATTTCTTCGGGGATGAAGAGCCCGCCATCAGAGGCGAGTCCCTTGAGGACAGCTTCCTCGAAAGAGAGCTGGGGACATTAGCACCATCTTCATGCAGTAAGTATAGGTTGTCGGAAGGCGCTTACATCATACGATCCCCCCCGGGTGCTGAGGTAGCGCTGAGAGGCAGTATGGGAGGACATTGAGCACCCAATTGAAAACTCAATTGAGTGAGTTTCCTTCAAAGGACCAGAAAAAGAGGGGAGATATGGACTAAAACTTTAAGACAAATCGGTTAAGCCAGACACTAGTCATGCGAACCCCGTGGGGATATGAAGGTCAACTTTGGTAGAGAAGAGGTGGCAGTAAGCTAAGCACAAGAATGTAGCAAGGGAAAGAGTTCGAATGGCGCTGCGTAAGTCCTGCCTAAGCTCGGAGGGTTCTGTGTAGGAACAGGAAGGTCTCGTTGGGACATCAATTGCTCTTCAACAAGTTCGGGTGAAAAACGGCCCCGCGGCTGAAATGTCCTGCCGCACGGATGACTGCTCCGAGGAATTTTCAGGCAGATGGGCGGTCTACAGCGGCAGAATCGGCCGCAGGGTTGGAAGAAGCTGCGGCTAGCCAGAACAGGCTCGCGTACTTATATAATCTCACTAGCACGGACCATCTATGCCTCCCATAAAATGCCGCCCTCCCCCGGACCTAATCCTCTTTTCTTTCATGTCGACTTTGTATGTTCCTCCCGTCCCCCAAGGTTTCAGTCAACTCTAACATGCCGCAGACTTCATAGAATCTATTCTATAGGTATCGTCCTCTTCTGAGTCTCCTACAAGAGCCACAGAATCTCCAACCTGGCTGATGAGCTGAATCCTCGGTGTCTCGGAGTGAGGCCTTATTTGCACTTGCTTTGGCGAGTGTGGCGATGATCTTCAGTCAATTAGGCTCGTACTTCGGTCGGTCTGAGCGACAGGACACTGAGTGAAATCTGACAGGCTTTTGGACTTTTTGTTTTGGATCAGAGTGTTGACTTGGCCATGCTAGTGCGCGATAATAGCAAATTTTTACTTCTAGTTTACTTTGTGCGCTTTGACTCGCTTGTGAAAATTCTTCAACTCGTTGCCTTCCCTTTGGTTTGTGATGCTGTTTTCCGTAGTCCTAGGTTGAATTGCTTCCGTATTCACCATAATCGTTTGCGTAACTAGTGTCAATCATCATATTGTGTTCTTCACAAATTGCTCCGCGGTGTGACTACCATCTAGTTGATATATCCCTCTGTCTGTAAAGTATCATACGGGAATGACTCTTAGCACCAGCAATATTTTTCGTTCCCGATCCAATCTATTGAATCCGCCACGGGCCCATCGTGAGAGGGAAACCACTTCAAGCTCGTGATGCTCTCCATATCGCGGTTAACCACCTTTGCGTTAGGATCTAACTTCTGTGCAGCTGCCATCATTGCCGACGACGGATTCCAAGCCTCTATCTCCTCCATATTCCACTCTTGCGCCTCGCGTTGTGCCATCAGTAGTAGGGATGCAATTGCGGCATCGTGATTGTGGTCCGGCGCGGCCCCGTTCATGTGGCTCCTTCCCGATCTCTCCCAATCATTACGACCTTCATCTTCAATTACTAAACGAAGAATATGCAGGGTATTGCCTTTGGCTTCTGCAGGGTTACTATTATACCACATGCGCGTCCAGTAGCACCATATCCGCTTTCCTTTCTCGGAACCCACCATTGCACCCTTGATATCGGGAGTCTTTCCGTGGAGCTCTGTGCCGACAAAATCTTCACGAGCATGGTGCCATCGGATGGTTTCTATGTCGGGAATTAGCGCAACAGCGGTGTTGCTATTCTTTGCCCGCGATTCGAGGGTCTTTCGAACCAACGCTTCATCAATTTTGCAAAGCTCCGCAAGATGCTCCTTACGAAGCGGTCGAACGGTTGGGAGGCTGTTCGCATCTAGAGACTCCGATACTCCAGCCGGGATGCATACGTGGGCAGAGTTGAATGGCTCCCAGCCGTGCTCCGCATAGAATTTCTTTTCGTCATCAGCGCGACGCTCCCCAATTGCATGTGCTTGTCCACTTACTTTGCCGATGTCAGAGAACAGCACAGAAAACCACGATTCAGTCTGCTTGCTCGTGTGATGCGTTCTCAATAACTTCCCAAGCTCCTGCATCAACCTCGCCGCATAGCCCCGCTTCCTCAGATGCGGCGCACAGAATACACTCCCGATGCCGTGGGAAATGGTTTCGTGTACCTTGCCATCCTGCCAGACAAGAGCCTTCTTTCGGTAGGTTTCGCAGCTCGCAAGCGGTAAACGAGCGGATGAAGATGGGTCCAGGGGGTTCTCTTTGGCTGCAGTATCGACCAGAATCCAGTACGTGATGCCACCGTCGCGGGTCAGTGACTGCTTCGACAGGACTTCCTCCCGGCGCAGGTATGCCGGCAGCGAGAGAGCACCGCGCCATTCAACACCATTGAGCTTGAATTGAATGAGTTTCTCTTCCTCAGTCGGATGGACAAGTGCGAGGGTTGGACAAGCCCCATCTGGTAGGTCTAGAGTGGGGTCCATTATTACGATTCTGGAGTAGTATAGTAGGAGACAATATGAAGTTTAAAGACGAATTTTCACGCTTGTTGGGATATTTTAAAGTGCAAAGGTATGTTCACTAACCTAGGACATTCTAATGTAACTATATCATCCTTTGATTCTAGCACCCTCTTTATATCTTCTACTGGCGTCCTTGCTGTGAAACGCGCCCTTCCAACATTCCCTTCAACTTCCGATGTGGGCCGTTGGAAAGCGAGACGGTTCTGGTGGTCATGCGCAGCGCTTGTTGGCTTTGAGGAGTAGACTATTACCTAAAGACTAGGTTTACGGAACCGTGGGAGTATGTTCGAGAAGCATATCAAATCGCCTTCGTGCGTGTTTAAGAATTGCGTCACATTTGTGTTTTTCAAGGTTCCTTGAGCTCAAACTGCTCCTGGCCAACTGCGTGCTAGTTAATCACGAAGCGCTTAGTCGGGGACGCTTTAACCGTGCCCATCCTGGAGACGCCGCACGAAGTTGGTGAGGAGGGAAGGCCGTGTTCAACATCACCCTCTTCTCCCGGGTCGTTGACAGCATAATCTCCACCATAGACGCTAAGAAATTGCGTAGTACATGATTGTCCCTCCCTCACTGTGCACGTGGGACTGCGTGCCTTCCCAGGTACTTCCACAGTCACTCCGGAGCAAACGCCCGGGCTTCGCAGCTTCTAACGACGCCTCTATCCAGCAGCCAGATCACCGGCATCATTCAACTGCCAGTGCGGCGCAGCCTATGTTTAACCGATCTCTTCCCTCAGCCTTTTATCACGTGTTGGGGCCGCCTGTGGTGTTGTGTTGACCGGCAAGGCTGTCGACTACCTCTGCTCTTAATCGTTCGATCACTAAATCGCGGCTCTTTTGTCACTTCCCTCACCTTTTCTCCCGTTTGCTCCCCATTCAATGAATAATTCGCTCCCGATTGACCTTCAATCACATAAGTTCGTGAGCTTCTGCGTCTCAGCCTTGGAACTCTGTATTCCCCGCCGACCTCATTCCTCCACCACCATCTGCCTGGATCTTGCAAACCAACCTTGAATTCACTCTCGTTAAAGAGATGGCACAGGATGCGCACTACTACCGCGAAGTTATCGACCTACTATCAGACGATGAGGGGACTTCATCTGAGGCATTGCCCGAAGACACCCGGCCTGAAGACCTCAACGACCTTGCTCTATTCAACGAGTTTCTCAAAATCAACGGCCAAGACGAATACAACCCAATCGACCTGACTGCTCTGGAAGACATTCCGGACGTCGACGTGCCACCAGATGGTGCGCATCCACGATTGACTGTTGAAAATGCTGAGGCTGTTAGCGAGGCTGTTAGCGAGGCACAGTGCCTCCAAATGGTCCTGAACGTTTTACCAGACATTGCGATCGATCACGTGCTCAACCTTATCAAGGAGCGTATCGGCGATCGCACACGTACGGTGGCAGAGTGTGAGCGACTCATCACCCATATTCTGGACGAGGGGATTTACCCAAAAGAGACCGATGAAGCCAGTAAGCGCAAGAGGAAGAGGGGCAATGACGACGATGACGATACCTCTGAATTTGAGAAGGACGGGCAAAAGGACCAGAACATTTCCTACCGCATTAACGCGTGAGTGTGATTTCTCCAGATGGTATTCCATATGACGGGTCCTTTGCCAGCTCATCCTTCTCAATATATCTTACGAGGCTGCTGTTCTCGCCATGAATCATGGGACAGCTCCAATACCATGCACCCACGCTAGCAACACTTATGTCTCCGAACGCTTTTCGTTTGCTGAATTTCTTACTATATGAACTATACATACTAACGATTAAACCATATAGTCTGAACCTCCTTAAGGACGAGTTCCCACATATTCCTGCACGACACATTGACAACACGTTTAGGACTCACAAGACACTTTACAAGACATTCGGCACGTTGGAGCGTCAGCTACAAAACTACACCCGTATCACCTCTGGTTTTACGAAGGTAATCAATCCGCGTAAACGACGCGAATTCGAGTCGACTTTATCAAAGCGCACAAACGGCGAGGGGCCAGAATTCGACGCGAAGGATCTCCTAAGAGAGCTTCAAGCCGCGAGGAGACAGCGTGAAAAGGAGATTGGTATGTGTTTAAGATCATCACACATCCCTCTACTATCAGCTGAAAGAGCTAAATACCTTGCGCAGCCAAACGGCGCAGAGAAATGGAAGTGCAGCAGATCGAAGAGGAAAATCTTTTCCGCGCACGGCAGAACAATGAAATAAGTGACTGGTCAGTATTCTCGTTTGTCCTTATTGACATGCTCGGGGCTGACGAGCTCGTAGCCAGCTCTGTTTTGATGAGTTTCCTATCAACCGAATGTTCTCCTGCGATGGCGACCAACTCCACTTGCTTTGCAAAGACTGCGCTAGGAGCCTTGTGGAAATGCAGATGGGGAATGGCAAATGTCGTCCAAAATGCGAGGCGATACAGGACTGTACAGGAAGCTTCACTCGAACACAGCTGCAAGAGTTCCTGGGAAGCAAGTCTTTCGAGCGACTTGAACGGTTACAACAGCAGGAGGATATTATTGCCGCATGCATCGAGAATCTCGGAGAATGCCCTTTCTGCGACTTCAAGGCAGAGTGCCTACCGGTTGAAGTGGACAGGGAATTCCGATGCCAGAATCCGGAATGCGGCAAGACGAGCTGCCGCCTTTGCAATGCCGAAACACACGTTCCTAAGAGCTGTGAGGAGGCAAAGAAGGACGGGAAGATCACGATTAGGCATGTCGTGGAAGAGGCCATGTCAGAGGCACTCATTCGGAAGTGTAACCGGTGCAAGAATCCGTTCGTTAAAAGCGATGGATGTAACAAGATGACGTGCACGAAATGCGGGAACTTGCAATGGTAGACACCCTTCCTCGAGGTTGTTCATGCTGCTGTATGGCCTAGCTAACTGTTTCGTAGCTATGTTTGCTCTAAAGATGTGAAGGACTACAACCACTTCTCTGAAAACAAGGCGAATCGTTGTCCTTTGCACGACAACGTTGAAACGCGACATGAACAAGAGGTCAGAAACGCAGAAGCAGAGGTGCTTGCCCGACTTCGCACTGAACATCCCGAAATCTCTGAAGAAGAACTGAAGGTCGAAGTATCCGATGCTGTAAGCCGCGAGGAAGATTTACGGAGACAGCAGGGGCAAGCCCGTCACCAGGGATTTGGATTTATGATGCAAGGAAACATACTGGGTGCCCGACCAGCGGGAGTGATCCCAGTTGGAGCGGTACATGTACCACCCCAACACCCGCCTCCACCTCCATTTCCGTTCAATCCTGAGCAACAAGCGAATGACCCCCAAGCCTTCAATCCGCTTAATCTATTCGCTAACAGGCCTCACCCAATTCACGTTGTTCTGCCTCAAGCTCAGGCTCAAGCCCCACCGCTTCTGGTGAGGGAAGGCAATGCACAGCCGCAGCCTTTCCATCAGGTTCGACAAGAGTATGTCCTTCATCCCTTTCCAGATGCGTGGTTTGGCATCTACCGACCTCCTAACCCGACGTAGAAATTGGCAGGCACTGCAACAAGGGCAACACCAACGCAACCCATTAGCGCGTAGGCCAGCCCCACTTGCGCCAGAGCAGAACGACCAACAGCAGTTGATGATGCTCCAAGCGCGAATACAAGAAGCAAATCAAGGTATCGAGCGAGCACACCAATGGCTGAATCAGCATCAGAACCACCAGCAACAGGCGAGATATACCGCCCCGAGGCGTGTAGAGGCTTTGGCGGAGATGGTGAGGCTGCGAGGGCAGAGAGCTCCACCAGAAGCTCGGCAGCCGAATGTAAGGAGACCGGGTGTCTGAAAAGTGTGTGCTAGGTGTGCATAGTAATTTATAGGATGTGTATGTGTGCAGCCTTCAGAGTGGACTAGCTCTGTCCTGGCATTTGGTCACTAGACTGCATGGTATTATGAAGGTAGCGTGGTGTTCACTGGCATTCGTGCGGGACGGCGTTTGAATTTTCAGGACCTTGATACCAATAGGGGAATCTTTCGGTAATAATAGCATCTCTCCCAGAAGTGTTCTCCGTAGTGATGGATCTACTGTAGAGAGGTGCCTACCGTAGAGAGGTGCCTACCGCAAGATGTAGACAAAGATGGTGCAATATGTCAAGTCAGGTGCTGGAATTGGAGGGAGTGTTAATGGGGCTGCAGATTTCTGTCCTGAATCAGACCCTGGTAGGTTCTGTGGCTACCTGCTAACATTCAGCAAGGCTCTTTCAATCCCTAAGGCCTATCTTAGGTGGGCTGTAACGCTAATAGTATGGGGCAAGGGATGTGAGTCCTCTGCATACCCAGTCCTTCATACAGTAGTCTTTCTCGATCATATTCTTCACCATCAACCCCCAGAACTCGCGAGGCCGATCTTCGGCGCACGTTCCAGCTCAAACTTCGCCTTACCCTCCTCTATCCACGTCTCAAATCTAAACACGCCCGCTTCGACGGTCCGAATTGGGGTTGTGCGCACACCCCCGAGATCTTGTCCTTCTTCCCTGCCTCTTTCGTCGGTCTGATCCTCAGCTTGCACATGCTTCCTCCCAGTCTTCTGCAGGCTGGGTTGCACGGGGATCCAAGGCTGCGGGTGGCCAACCGGAGGATCGATATCCGCCTCATCTTTAAGCTCCAATGAAATATTAAACGAGCAGTTCTTCGGCAAGGGTTTGAGCTGTGAGCAGCGTGTTGTAAGCGTAATAAGGGCGGCGCGGAACTGCTCGGACATGTCGACGTCGACATCCACATCTAATGCTTTAGCCTTGAGCTTCTCCCGCTGTTTCTCCTTCCCCTTCCGACTTGCACCAGCGCCTTCCATATCGAGTTCCTGCTCTTGGTCGGAGTCCTGGTCCTCGTTTGAGGCTAGCGCGCCTTCCCACCCAATCTCCATATTCCTCTCCCCCTTCCCTACGACCGGAAACGAACTCACGTCCAGCATAAACCTTTCCAAGACCTTCGGATTACCTTCACCCCCACCCCCAACTGTCCCGGCTCCGCCTGTGCCTGTTCCACCTGCCCCTGTTCCATCATCGGCAATACCATACCAGTATATGACTACTGCGATCTTGGCAACGGTGCCGGCGAGGAGTTCGGTGCGGATGGCGGATACGGCATCGGTGATCCATTCGCAGACAGCGGGGTGGCGCGATTGGTAGACGGAGGTGTTATGGAAACGCGAGGTTAGGAAGGTGGGGCGGGGGTAGAGGTGTCGGAGGTAGAGGAGGGTGTGTATGTAGGCGGTTAGGAAGTTAGTGAAGTGGGAGAGGGTGGTGAGGTAGGTGGGGATGGTCATGGCTGTGGCTGGGGGTGTTAGAGAGAGAGATGGTAGCTCGATAGGAGTAGCTTGGTGGAGCTGTAGTTTGCCCTTTCCTTTTGGAGTTGGTCGAGGAAGTCGGGGTGAAGGACAGTCAGTTATCACATCCTACAGAATATGGCCTGGCTGGATTGATCTACTACTACTCTGGCGAGTATCCTTCTGCTAGAACCAAGGGGACGTCAAGGAAATGCCTGTTTCTGGCCTAATCAGATCCTTCTTGTGCTCTATCGGTGGGTGTTTCTGCCCTGCCCTGTGGTAGCGGATGCCCGATCAGCTCCGCAACGAGTGCTCCTGCGCCTTCCAGAAGGCGTGTCTGTCGTTCTCGATCTTGGTGTGTTTGCTAGGTACACCTGGCATGGTGTCGCCCCTCGATTGGCGGTGAGTGCAGGAGACTGAGGCTTCTGGCTCGGGCTCGGGTGAAATCCATCGCGGTTCCTGGTCGTCAATAACCACGCCAAAATTTATTGACAGGCTTATCTCAACCCACACCACCACACGTTCCCAAACACTTTCCCTAGCCCAAGTCTCGCTGACCCTTCGTGCTCCAGCAAACGGCTTCTCTGCCAGCTGTCGGCCCCCCCTCAGGCTTCCACAGCCTTCAAACACACGACCCCGCCTTCGCGTCACGCTTCAAAGCGGCTGCCCCTCCGACCACCCCCGGTCCCTCGAAATATCACTCCCTCTCACCTCTACTGCTGCCTCTCACTGCACCCACGCGTCGAGCTACTCCTAGCACGTCCCCCACCCTCCAATTCCTCTCCGCTAGCGCTGAACCTCCGCCAAGCCCCTCCCCACGTCGCAGCTCGCGTCCGCCCCAAGCCATGGAGGAGCAATTAGCCCAACTGCTCGCCGCCACCCAGTCTTCCTCAGATGCTCCCCGCAAACAAGCCGAGCAGCAGCTTGCATCGTCGTACGGTCATGCAGATTTCCCGCTTGGCCTCGTCGCCATCGCGTCCCACGAGAGCGTGCCGCTAAATATCAGGCAATCTGCCCTGCTGTATCTCAAGACCTTTGTGCTGGCCGGCTGGAGTCCGCAGTTTGACGAGTTCAAAGGGCAGATTCTGATCTCAGACGAGAATAAGGCAAGAATACGGGAGGCTCTCCTGGAAATCGCGACCCACAATCACCTGGACCGCAAAGTCAAGACGGCTGCCAGCTATGTCGTGAGCAAGATTGCGAGCGTCGACTTCCCCGAGCAATGGCCGGACTTGCTCTCGAAGTTGATGCATGTCATTCCGAATGGGACCGATGGCCAGCTTCATGGTGCGTTGAAGGTGCTGGACGAGCTTGTCGATGATGGCCTCAATGATGAGCAGTTCTTTGCAGTGGCGAGGGATCTTGTGAAGGTCGTGTACGACGTGGCGGTCAATGATGCAAGAAAAGCCACGTTGAGGGCATTGGCAGTCGGCGTTTTTAGGGGCTGCTTCGATATCCTCGAGATGGTCATGGAGGATCACAAAGCCGCGGTTAAGGCCTTCGCCGACGAGGTTCTTAGCCAATGGCTCCCGTTCTTCATCAGCGTCATGAAGATGGGCTTGCCCAACCCACCGTCAAAGCAGGAGGAGAGCGAGGATGCGCCAAATGCAGAAACACACAGGGGAATGGTCTCCCTGAAGCTCCAGGTCGTCAAGGTGGGTCATATTCATTGTCTGTTTATGCATCCGACCTTGACAGCAATTAGGTCCTCATGCGGATACGATCCGTGTTTCCTGCTATGCTCTCACCACAAAGCCCGGTCCTATTCTCTGCCACTTGGGAAGAGCTTTCCTCGCTGCAAGCAGCATATCACCAGATGTACATAGAAGAGGACCGCGACAGCAGATTGGAAGACGCCGACGGATTGCCCTACACCTTAGATTTCCTTGTCCTTGAGGAGCTCGACTTCATGCAGGCGTGTCTTCGGGCGCCGCCAGTACGATCTGAGCTCGAGCAGCAACTTCAAAATCAACAGGGGGCTGAGGGTTCGTGGGTCACTGAGGTCATGAAGCTAGCTGTTGCCTATGCCCAAATCACTACGGAAGAGGAGGGTCTCTGGAATGTAGATGTGAACATCTTCCTCTCTGAAGAGACCAGTGTCACGGCGAATTATACCCCTCGGACGGCTTGTGGAGACCTCGTTATCAAACTTGGCGAATGGCTTACTCAGCCAACCGTTGAAGGGCTTCTCTCCTACACTCGCTCTCTGTACTCAACAACACCCAGTTGGAAAGCTAAGGAGGCCGCATTGTACATTCTAAACCAACTCCTCGGGGATTTCCAAGATGTCGACAAGCAAATTGGGCCAGATGCAGCCAAGGGATTTATCGATTTTATCCGCTATGCGATGCAACAACCTGATGTCTTCCTCAGGGCACGCGGACATCTAGTCGCGGGGAGCCTCACGAGAACTTCTGGTGGAGCTCTTCAAGAGGTGGCGACTTCTTTCCTCGAGGCTTGTTTGCACGCGATTCCTAACGACGACTCTGATGTGGTTCAAGTCTCCTGTATCCGCGCTCTCCAGTACTACCTTCAGGCTCTTCCCTCGACAATCACACAACCTCTCCAGAATTCCATCATCACAGCAATTTCAACATATCTCCAAGGTCAGGACATGCAAGAACTCGCGGAGAGTGACGACTTGATGGTTACATTGGTTGAAACGCTCCGAGACGCCATTCTTCTTGACATAAGAATATGTCTCACGGGTACTGGTCTGGATCTACTATTCACGGTTGCAAGTCACGGCGCGAATAACTTCCAATTAACAATGCTGGTCAATGAAACTTTCGAGGATGTTACAAGTCAGATTGCTGCGCTTGGTGGTGATGCATACATCAATCTGTGCGCCAAGGTTCTTCCATCTCTAACCGGAGCATTCGACATTGGTAACATGACGGAGGAGAATGCGTTGACTAATGTGAGTTATCAACTTTTCTTTAACTGCAGTGCATATCTAATTACGATAGCTTGCGGCTGAGCTCCTCTCTGTCCTTGCCGAACATGGCTCTGAGCCGCTTCCGAACGGGTTCGTTCAAGCCACTATGCCAAAACTCAACCGCCTTCTTCTCGGCTCTTCGGACGACGAGCTCCTCAAGTCTGCTACTATGGCCGTCAAGAATATCATTGCGCACGATCATCAGCAGCTCTTCGAATGGCGCGACGAAACTGGCAAGGGTGGTCTTGAAGTTGTTCTCGTCATCATCGATCGTCTGCTATCAGCTAGCGTCAGCGATACTGCTGCCGGCGAAGTCGGAGCACTTGCTGCTGAAGTTGTCGAGAAGGCGGGTGGCGAGCGACTAGGCCCATACCTTCCGCAACTACTGAGGGCCGTGGCTGTGCGGCTCGGTAGTGCTACACACGCAGCTTTCATCCAGAGCTTAACGCTGGTGTTCGCGAGACTAAGTCTTGCTAATGCCGGCGAAGTTGTGGACTTTCTGTCACAGTTGGACTTGGATGGCGTGAACGGATTGCAGGTAGTGCTGTCGAAGTGGCTAGAGAACTCAATCAACTTCGCCGGTTATGACGAGATACGACAGAAGTATAATCCCTCCTAACTCTAGTAATCACCATATTTCAGGCATTAACGGTTTTGCAGCGTAATTGCCCTCTCAAAACTTTACGATCTAAAAGATCCACGCCTATCCCACATCCAAGTCAAAGGAGACCTCATCGTCCCCCAAGACGGCCGCATCATGACCCGCAGCCGCGCACGAGCAAGTAAGCAAAAGCTCTCACCTTCTCCTACTCAAGACCTTCGTATTCGTCTTCTTCGTTCTCAGTACTTGACAAAATGCGGCGACGCGTTCATAGACGACTTCGAACTACTCTCGGATCCGGAGTCGGAACGCGAAGCGCAGGATGTCATACCTTTCAATTGCTTGTTAAATGAGCTTCTTGATTTCGGTGATATGTTCGAAGACCGCTTCAAACATGGGTTAATCAATATGATAGATCCGGATCAGTATACTGTTGTCCCCTCACCGCTCAAGATCCTCAAGGTCTTGATCGTGGAGTTGTCCGGCGCGAGTGGGTCGAATCGTCAAATCGATGCTGCTGCTGCTGCGGCGGCGGCGGAGTTTGCGGACGAGGGGAGTGATGATGGGGATTGGGAAGATGAACCGAATCCGTTCGAGGATTTAAGCTCAGCGATGAGTAAGGAACAGCTCATGGCTTTTGCAAATGATGAACCGGGAATGAGCAGACAGCAGGATAATGAGACGCAGGCTTTCCTAGTCGACTTTTTCGGGAGGGCGGCACAGACAGAGGGGTTTAGGGAGGAGTATGAAGCGTTGACGCTAGAGGAACAGCAGAGGTTGAGGGATATGTCATAGTGCGTGATAGACTGAGGACTGCGCCGTGATGTGGTTTATAACGGTTCAGGATACGAATGAATACTGGCTGTGGATGGTGGCCGGAAATATGGGGATGGTTTTCTAAGCATGTGGCGAATAGACGGGACGACAGCATAGCATGGTATGGGATGGTATGTGGCGGACTCTTCATCCCGGGTGGCGAAATTTCGAGTTTATCAGTATGGCTTGAAGAATATATAAATGCGGACCTCTAAGGAGGCTTCCCTTAAGGAAGTCTGCGATCACCTTAAGTATATAGTCTTAATCTCCTACCTCTTGTAACGAATCGCTGGAATCATTCCATTCAAAGTTACCTGGCGAACCTTATATCCGAAGGTTCCTCATATCAGCTCCGACCCCGCCCTGCCCCCTGCTGTACCCCTATTCCCCAAGTATTTAGTCGCACCTCTCCCCTTAGCTAGCTTAGTAGTTTTCTGATGTCCTTTCATACAAGGCCTATAGGTGTCAATGGCATTCCCAGGTTTCTGAGTCCCCACGCACTCCCATATGTGTAACGAGGTAGGTGTAAAGATGGGATAGTAGATAGCACGGATAGCACTGAGAGCAAGGTTTCGGAGAAAGATAGAGACGAATCGCTGCCAAGCCTCGCTTGTCAGGATTCATGCTTATATAGGAAGCACAGGTCATGTGACCTCCAAACAGGTCGGGTGAGGCCATACTGGCCCGTTCTGGGACATCCGGCCTTACAGTAGTCACGGTCAACCACGTGGCCTTCTCTCGCTTATAGAGGTTTAGGCTAGACGAGAGACAACCGCTAGTGCTAGTGCTAGCCCTAGCATTATCTATATATATATTATACTATGCGAGAATACTTAGCTTAAGTATTCTCGTGCGTACCTTTTAGTACAGTGGGGAAAGTCGTATAGTATCGGCTTGGCAGGCAGGGCGCCTACCTCATTACATATATAATATAGTTACTACTGTAAAGTTTTGTAGAGTTTAAAGGACAAAAATATAGATAAATTAGTAATAAAAAGTCCTTTTATATAAAAAGTAAGTAGTAAAGTTATAGTATTTAAGAAATAATTATAAAAGTCTCTAAGATAGCTAGGAAGAGAAAGCCTTTCTTACATCCTTATTAGCTAGAGAGATGGGGCTTGCGCTATTAAGGCGACTAGCCAGGGTTCGCGTTGACTAGCAGGGTTGCTCAGACGGATGGGGAAAGAAGGAGCTTGCTGAGATAAAGCTGAGATAAAGCAAACTGTTTTCCGCTTCCACTTTCGTGTAGCATCTTTACCCTACTCTACAATAAAACCCACTGTCACGCGGTCTTCATGTGTTCAACTGCCAGGAAGCTTAATTACAATCACCTCTAGTGCCAGGCTATAACCCGTATTCAGCCAGTCTTCTACTGCTCGCACTGCTACAATGGCTTTCGAATCTGTCGTTCGGGCGATGCATCCTGTCAAGGTAGTTGTTTGGGCGAACAGGCGATAGGCTTTCTCGGAGCGGGGACACTACTTAATGTACGCCTTCTCCTACGCTTGCTAATGATTGTACTAACGAATATAACCTAGAGCTATATGCTGATCCCTTCTGAATCTGATTTTGACCTCGCCGCACAGAAGTTGGTTGAGGCAGGTTTTCGCCCCGCCCTATGGTCGTACGGTATAATCGATCCACACCTCCTTCCAGGGCTTCCAACGAGGCGTAGTACTGTACGATTGGGCGATTTTGAGGCCTGTACGGGTGAGATTTTGTGTACGTTCGTACGACAGGGAGGAGGAGAGGTAGGTGTACGTATTGTAACTGTTACGGCTCACGTGATCTGTACAAGTAGTATGATTTAATTAAAGTACGCTGTACTCTAGTTAAAACAGCTAAGACTATGGGTCTCTAGAGACGTAAGATTAAGGTCTAATTAACTATAAAATAACTAGTTCTCCCTAGTAACAAGAGCAGATAGGACTAGATAAGGCCTATAAGGCGGCAAGAGGCGTGGATAGATAACTCTGTAATAGAAAATAGTCTGTAATAGGCATTTTTAAGACGACAGACTACAGGTAGATAGATTAAACCCTTGAGAAAGAGATTTAAGCGCCCGCAGGCCTTCTGCTCACCAGAGCCCTCCTACCCCTCCAGAACCCCTATACAAACTTCCTAAAAGGGTAATACAATCCGTACTACGTACTGTACCTAGGGCATTATTAATTGTACGGTACGGCTCACGAACTCAGTACGTTCGTACTGAACACGTGACCGTTACGGTTCACTTTGTACGGACCGTAGTACGGCCCGTTGGAAGCCCTGCCTCCTTCCAGACGACGAGATAACTCAACGGATTAACCCCATGGAAATCCCCGGATACCAGATGCTGGATGAAAATTCCGTGCGGCTCTAATTCCCAGCAGGGTTTTCTGGCTCTAAAAGAGTTGTATTGTGTTTGCAGTAATCACACGATAGTCAGATGCGTCGTCACCATGGTCGCATGCGTCGTCACCATGATCGGATGCGTCGTCATCATAGTCGTATGCGTCGTCACCATGATCTGTTGCCAAGACTCACCCACTCATTTCGCATGTATATAGACTCCTACAAAGGACTCCTCTAGCAAGACAATACAATGCAGTTCCTCATGTCTCTGGTGCCTCACATAGCTTCACATATTGCTTCGAAGCACATATGTCTGCCTTACTCCCCCAAACGATCTGTTATCGATGCAGAGATTCTATTGCGACAAGAACTTGTATTATCCTGACAAAGCTCTCCTCCTAGAGAGCTTTATTAGGACTCTCCTCTAGGACTCTCCAGGCTTCTGGCGCGACTTGTTGGGGGTTTGGGCTATATCCTATGTGTATAGTATACTGATGGTTGAAGACACTGTGCTTGATTCTTGCGACAAAGAAAGTGTTAGGTTATAGTTTAACAAAAAGATTTGCTGGGGAAAGGGTGGTTTCTAGACAGAACTACAGTCTCTAAGAGAGTGGGTAAAGGGCAAGCCCTTACTAAGTAAACTAAAGGCCTTAGAATTTAGCTGATCTATATTATCTATACTCGCTAGCTCTTACCTAATGCTCTTCTCTAATGTTATATATTGTGAGGACTGTAGGCAGGAAGGCTACCTAATTAACCATCATCTTCTAACTAAGAGGCCGACTCCGCTAAGGATTGCAAAAGATGATGGGATGCTAAGCCTTGCGAAAGCCCGGAGCCTTGCAGGAGTGGTGGGACACTAAAGTCTAACTCAGGGGGCAAATCATTAACAGCTAAGCAGAGTCTTTTAAAGTGAGTTAGCATCCACGCATCATAAACATTCTTCGTGAATTTGTGCGCCGTCCATTTCTCTTTCCCCTCTAGAGCCGAGAAGCTGAACTCATGGATCAGGTGGCGGTAGAAGGTAGTTTTGGCCACATCAATCACAGCGTAGTGACCGTAGATCCGGACTGACCGATGATCGTGCGAGACGGAGAAGGCGAGGATTTCCCGATGGATCTCCTTCTCGCACTTGACGAGCCGGAAAAGCTCGACGACAGCCCTTACTGCGAGCGTCATGCTGTGCGCATTCTGTCGGTCGGCGATGTCGAGAGCCACAGCGCCACACTTGACTTCACAGGTGGCCATGAAGAAGGACTCGAATCTGCGTAGGTGTTCATTCCAGAAGCTTCACTCCTCTACCCCGTTGCTACAACTCTAACATCAATATCACGCAAGTCCCGAGACCTGGCCGACGCATAATGCTCTATGGAAAGCATCTCCCCATCCGATATTTTTTTCACATGTGGGCTGCAGGTTTGTTCTGCGCATGGTATCACTGATGAAGGCTAGGTTCGTCCTGTATATTGCATAGGATTCATCGATTGATCACGGAAAGAGGGGACTTCAAGAGGTGCTAATGCGGAGTTAAATAGGATACAAAGTATTCCGTGGCTATTAACAAATGAGATTATTGCTTGAGCTGGGATTCAGTTGTGATGGTGATTCGTGAAAGGGAGGGAGGGATTGGGCGGGGAGGCAAGGGGCGGGGAGGCAAGTTCTTCAGAGCGTCTTTCCAAGTAATAAGAATGCTTCAAAACAGGAGAAAAATATAGTATTGACTGATGAAGTACAGCCACAATAAACTCCAAAATTTCAACCAGTTCGCGTTGATGTCCAAATAATTCGTCCTGACCAATCACCAAAAAGGACAAAAACATACAACAGCAGGTATTCGCTGCTGGTCACCCACGCAACTACTAATCCGCCGGTACCAAGGTTGTCTATCGAAGATCGAACGGGGTTCAGACTTTGCTGGGTCCTATGGTTGTATGTATCAGAGATTCTCGTGAGAATTGTATATATTAGAGAGTATTTTAAGAATAACACTATTGTTTAGAGTAAAAAGCTACTAGGGAGCTATTTCTAGAGACAGGGATATAGGAGTTATTCTGCGCAGAATTCCTAGTTCTAATCACGTTTAAGCAGTCTAGCGGCGATAATTAGAAAATGCGGATGATTAGTGATCGTTGTAGTTGTTGCTAGAACAAGTTAACACCATCTCTCTCACACCTTCAAATAAAGCGCAATCGCTCCAACAGTATAGTTTACAGCCGCATAGATCCTAGCTTAACTTGTTACAAAAGCATCTACTCTACCTTAGCTTTAAATCCCTCCTAGACAAAACAAAAAACAGGTACCTAACTTTATATTATTGTCCCGCCTCAACAACAATTTGTACAATCCTAGATTAAGATAAGCAGTCTAACTAGGAAGAACATAATTCTAATATTTAAAAGCATTACTAGTATCTGCTAAATATACAGGTGTAGCTTTCTAACAGTAATAGTTATTGCAGTCTAAGAACGTAGCTGCTTTTAGAGTGTTTTAAGACTATTAAGATGTTAACTATAGTAAAGAAGGGTAATGCTTTGTTAGGATCTAACCGCGACACCTGCGAGAGATATTAGAAATGTAGTATAGAAGGCAGCTTATAGAGTCTAGGGAGACTCTATTAAAATGGCAGGTATACCCAGTAGGGCGTGGCAAGCAGGATGGATTAAAGAGGCAGCACCAGTTAAAGATGTTTACACCAACTAATGCAGGAGCTACTAGGTAGCTAAAGGTATATAGCTAGAGTTGCGCTCCTTATCTAATACAACAACTTTACTCTCAATTTTTAGCAGACTCGTATAGAGATAGCTAGGAGAATGCACCGCTTGCAACTACGGCGATGATGGCTACATTCGCGGATCAATAGTATCCTTGTGATCTCTCTTCGATTGGCTTGGGTATACGGTAATGTTGACTATTCCCAGTGCAGAAAGCTGACCATCTCTCCACTGGGATTAAGCGGCACTCTTTGGGTCGGATTGAATGAAGTTCTCCATGGACTGTGAAGTAATGGTCCAGGGAAGGAAACTTATGCGAAACACACCTAGTGAACCTATTCTGCATAAATTGTAACTGTTCGGTGAAGACAGTAGGCGATGCAAGATTGGAGAAAGAATGAGTTCCGGCAACCCTGGAATGTATCAAATATCAGAGAAGCTTGACGGCGGGGAAGCAAAGCGCCACACAGCGCCAGTTGGCTTTGTGGCTGTAAGGTCTTGGCACCAGGGCGAGCTGCGAGTTCGCAGCTCAGTCTTGGCTGCACTGCATCTTATCGGTTTTGTGTCTATTATATATTTTTAGAATTTGGGCTGGAATTGTATGCATTCTACTTCTAGCTACGTTGCCCCTTTCGCTAGACAAATACTGTATTCATTCCCCCTGTGGGCGGTTTCTCTGTCAAACTGACCATAAAGAAATACATCCAAACTCAGATCGCTGCTCGAAGAGTAGAAGTGACAGAGTCAAGGAGGGTTCCGGGAAAGGTCCTGGCATTGAGAGACGCGTTAACGACTTTCTTGCATTCATCGTCATCCATGTTCGTAGAGATATCGGTATATTTCACTCTTTAGATCAAATCGCGCTGCGTTGAAACCAGAAGCCGAGATGCCAAAGTGGGCGTTGGAATAAAAGTTGGCGAGGATTGGTAGTGCAAGCCCTCCTTTCACGCGTAGGATAATAAAATTCACGAGGGCGAGTTAAAAACTGGTGTTGCTGGAATGGGCATAGAAATTGCGATGACGTATTTAGATTCTAGTTATGAATGGAAGGAATTAGTCTCTCATTCACGAAAACAACGGCGAATTTCTGTGGGGCCCCGTGTAGTCGGGATAGTAGTCATAGATTCAAATCTTGCATGAGCTGAGGAGGGGACATATGGCAAACGACTCGACAAGGGAGCGAGATCCAAACAAGGTGGAATGAGTGTATTGTAAGGTCTGAGGAGCTCAATAGAGCTCTGGGCTGACTATATACTGTACGAGAGAGGAGCTATGCCTAATGAGTGAATAGTGCAGTACATGGGTATGATATCGCGTGAGACACGTGCGACATCAAACACTATGTCCAGGCTAGGTAGGGGACCACTGCTAGAAGCTAATTAAAAGAGTTTCTTTAATTGTTCAGCATAGACGTTAAGAATGGTGGAGGATATCTCTACTAAGATAATGGTTGATGACACTTTTGTCGAAGATTGATAGGTGAGAACCGGTAGGAGGAGAGAGAGAACTCAGGTTTTACAAGAAAACTAAATATGCAGACTCAACATTCATGCAATGATCAGAATGAGATATCCTTGCTGTAACATAGAAATGCTGCTCTGTAACATAGAACTCATGCACGAGTTCAAACAGACCAAAAATCTCCTAAATTGCGGGTATAAAGATCATAACCTAAGAAAGGGGCGACACCTAGTTTGTGCGTCTTTGTCCAAGATGAACCTTTAGGGCTTGAAGAAATCAACCTGCAACGATAAATCTTTTCCTCCGCCAAGCCAGCGCTCTTCTGGCAAGACTATATTGCCTCCCCTTATGAACGCCTTCACGCAACCACTCACCGCATGCTCGTCCTCCGCCCCAACAGAGTACTCTCCTGCATGCTTACTCCTCACCAAACGGCAACGTAAAGATCAACTGCGCAATCCCGACAAGGCTACCTGTGACAAGGTGCTTCTTACTAGCAGTCTAGCCGTGCTAACAACTTAAATACGGGTTCTTAACCCTGATAGCAATAACTAGATTTAGTACCTATCTGTTGCTGGAAAAGATATCATATTTATGCGCCCTTAGATTAGCACTATAAAGAACTAGATAATAGGAAGGTTTTAATTAGCAGTTATTCAATTGCAAGCAGTGCGGGCTAACACTCCAAGCATTGGGAGAGTTTAGAGGACACTAAGCTAACGATATTGTAACGATCCTCATGAATCGTTCCATCTCGGATGGTCCGGAAGGCCCCCGTATCGGCCCCGACCTCGACCTGGCCCCGACCCCTGCTGTTACCCCTATTCCCTCATGTATTTAGTCGCACCTCGCCCCCGTAGCTAGCTCG